AGCTTAGAAAGGCTGGGATTTATATCCTTAATATTAATTATTTTAAAAAGCCTAATCTTCCTATTTTTAATAAATATATAAATCTTGCTTATAAGGCAGGATTTATATTAATTAATAATAATAATTCTTTAAATACTAAGTTTAAAGGGTTTATTTATAACCTTAATTAAAATATTATTGCTAAAACTCCGCTACTTAAATTTTCTAACTTTAATAATAATAAAGTAAGCTTTATAAAATCTTTTATTATAAAACTTTAGCAAAAACTTAAAGAAATCTCTTTATTAAATTAAGAAAAGTCTTAAAAATAAGCAAGGTTAAAAGAGATTTAAAGTTAATAAGAAAGTAATTTAAATTTAAAATATATTAATATTTTTCTTTATTATATAAATTAAATATATTATATTTAATTATTTATATAACTTTACTTTTAAAACATTTCTTTTATTTAATAAAGAAAGTATTATTCTTAATAATACTTTTATTAATAAAAAAGAGGATAAGTTGAATTTTCTATTTAAAATATATATATTATTTTTATATTATATAAAGTATAAAGATTAATATCTTATAAATATTTTAACTTAAAAATTAATAAAGACTTTATTAATAAAGAAGATAATAAGTAAGTATTTTTATATATATTCTTATATATATATATATACTTATAAGCTAATATTATTATAGGAGCCTTAATAAGGCTTCCCTTTTAACCTTAATTTATTAACCCTTAAAATAATTAATAGCTAGTCTTAATACTTAAATTTAAGAAATAAGAAAGGCTATGGAAAAGCAATCTTTTAAGTATACTTTAAATAAAAGTAATGTCTTTAGTAAGACATTCTTATTACGCAAACTTTAATAAAAGCACTTTAATAAAAAGCAGTAAGTAAAATATATATTAATATAAAGGTATAATTATTAATATTAATATTTAATAATAAGCTTAAAAAGGAAAAAGCTATGGATTATATTAATATATTTAATAATGTATAAGTTTATATATTTAAATATTATATTTAGATATATTAATATTTAAATATAGGTTTAAATTAAATAAAAAGGAGGATAATGCAAAGAAAGAGCTAGCCGCTTAAAATAAGTAAGTTTATATATCTAAATACTATATTTAAATATATTAATATTTAAATATAAGTTTAAATTAAACAAGGAAAAGGATAATATAAAGGAAGAGCCAGCTACCTAAGATAAGTAAGTTTATATATTTAAATACTATATTTAAATATATTAATATTTAAATATAGGTTTAAATTAAACGAAGAGGACGATAATGCAAAGGAAGAGCTAGCCGCCCAAGACAAGTAAGTTTATATATCTAAATACCATATTTAAATATATTAATATTTAAATATAGGTTTAAATTAAATAAGGAGGATAATAATGCGGAGAAAAAGCCAGCCGCCCAAGATAAGTAAGTTTATATATTTAAATACCATATTTAAATATATTAATATTTAAATATAAGTCTATTAAATAAAGCAGCCAAAGGGCTAAGAAACCATCCTTATAGTAAGTATTCTTTTAAAAATAAAAGCTTAAATATTAATAATTATATATTTAAGTTAAAAGATAAAGTTAAGGATAAGATTATTATCCCTATAATTAATTCTTATAAAAAGAAAAGGAAAAATTCCTATCCTACTTTTCCATAAAATTATTTATCTTAATTACATTATATAAATAAATAAAAGATTTTATAATTAACAAAGGTATATTATAAACTTTTATATTTAATATATTAAATTAATTATTATATAAAATATAAGGTGTAGTAATTAAGAAGCAATATAAACTTTATATATTAAGCTTTTTATATATAAAGCTTATTTTAGCTATATTTAAACTCTTAGCCTAAAAGCTACCCCTTATTATAAGTATTTATATCTTAAAGTATTTATATTATATATGCTAATATTTAAATATAAATAATATGCTTATTAAAATAAAAGGTTAATTATTATAATATTTAGCTTAATTTTAAAGATTATTAAGATATTATAAGTATAAGGTAGTTTATTTAAATTAAATTATTATCTTATAAAATACTTTCTATATATTACTTAAAGTTATAACTATATTTTTATATCTTATTATAATAACCTAGGGCTTAGCGGTTAATAGCTAAAGGCTTAAGGTATAAAAGGAAAAGACCTAGCCCTTAAAGAACCATTAAAAGGGCTAAGAATTAATCTTAATAACAACTAATACCTATAAATAACACTACTTTCATCTGCCCCTTAATGCTTATTATGCCTAGTAACTACGTACATTACACTTATATTTATATCTTTAAAAATATAAAATATTATATTTATATTTATATTTATATTTATATTTATATTTATATTTATATTTATATTTATATTTATATTTATATTTATATTTATATTTATATTTATATTTATATTTATATTTATATTTATATTTATATTTATATTTATATTTATATTTATATTTATATTTATATTTATATTTATATATATATATATATATATAAATAAATAAAAACATATATATATAAAAGAAAGATAAACCCTTTTAAATCTTTATTTTCCTTTTTACATAAAACTTAATAAAAAATACAAGTATATATAATAAAAATAAGTAATTTATTATTTATTTATAAATCTAAAATAATTAATAAGATACTTAATAGGATACTTAATAAAATAACTAATAAAATATTATATTAAATATTTAATATAATATTTATTAATTTATTTATTTATTTATTTATTTATTTATTTATTTATTTATTTATTTATTTATATTTTATATTCTTTTTAATTGTTTTAATTATAAGAATATAAATTACTTATATTTAAATTTAAATATAAATATAAATATAAATATAAATAAAGATATAAAATATTATATTAATATTTATATTTATATTTTATATTCTTCTTATATTTATATTTATATTTATATTTATATTTCAATTTTATATTAATATTTATATTTAATTATTAATAATTAAATAAAGATAATAAATCCTTAATAATAAAATAATATTTATATTAATAATTAAAACTTTATTATATTTAATTATATATATAATATATTATAATATAATATATATTAAAAAGATTAAAAAAGTAAAAAAGTAAAAAAATTAAAAAATAAAAAGAATTTTACTTCTTAAGCTATATTTATAAAAAAGCCAACTTTAATATATTTATTTAAAATTAACTTAATAAATAACTTAATATAAATAATAATTAGCAGCACTTATATTTCCAAGGCTTTAAGTTTAACTTATTAATAAATAAATTTAAAAAAAAGAGAATTTTAAAATATTACTTAAACCTAAGATTATATACTTTATTAATCTTAATTTAATTAAAAATAACTTAATTATTTAAAAATATAAGATAAAGATAAATAATGCAATTATTATTTAAAATCTTATAATTAATATAATTAATATAGTTAATAAAAAGCATATAAGTATAATTTTAATTTATTAATAATATAATTTTAATAAAAAATAAAAGGCTATCCTTAAAAAGCTTGCTAAAATAAATAGCAATAATATCCACGTTTATCTTTATAATGAATTTATAAGCAGGGTTAATTTAATAAAGATTATTTAGGAGAATTTAATAATGCTATATGGAGTTTTAATCGCCTTATATAGAACGAAAGTTAATAAGAAATGCTATTATTGCAAAAGTTATAAATATAAGAGAGATTTAATTTATAAATGCATTAAGGTTTTCGGCATAAAGGAGATGGGTTGTGCTTAATATTAATATAAATGCTAAGATTCTTACATAGCTTAAAGTAGCTGTATAAAAATATTAAAATAAATTTATTAATATGAATTAAAAATTAATTGCAATAATTTAATAACAATTCTTTTTTTAATATTTAAATATAAAACAAGGTTAATTAATATTTAAATATAAAACAAGGTTAGTTAACATTTAAATATTATATTTAGATGTTAAGTAAGGTATAGGGATTAAGGTTACTTAACCGCATACCTCTGTTGGGGACGAAGCGAGCAAATCAGGCCCGGATCAGGTTGACAGCCCCTGAAGGGTCTGTGTGTCAGGGAGTCAAGCTTCTGTTTAAGGTTGCAGGGCCCGTCCACTACGACTTGAGCCTCATCCCTGGTGACGACCTGGGACGACGGCAGGCGAATCTCATCTTTTTTCCTCCAATCCAAAGTCCACATTTCAGCCGAATATAACTCCTGTTAAGATGAAAGGTGCAGACTGCAACACATAGCACGAGCCGTCGGCTTGTGGGGGTACGAAAGCCACAAGACCACCCAATCATCTTACACGCATGACCCTCTCGCAACAGGAAAGGCACTGCGGCATTGTATGGAACAAGGCTGCATCCAATCATAGACTCGTAGCTTTCCTGGTTGGTCTAACGTAGTGATATAGTGTAGTGCCAACGGGAATGGCTCTTGCCGAGCATGCTTATTACTGTCATTATAACTCTGCCAGGTCAACCTTCCTGCGTCGATCAAATCAATCTGCTCTGCTTACCCCGCAGTTTTGGAGATCCTACTGTACGTGCGGACCGGCCGGGTGCTCACAGTGGTACAGGATGCACCTCCGGGATCAGCAACGTCATGCCGAGGAACGGCATGCATGCTGGAACATTGTTTGCACAACAAACACGTCTTGTAAGACGACAAGACGATACCATCACCACTGTCTTGGAGGAGAACCGTCCATTGGCATTGTAGCCGAGAATCAATTCAGGACTCACCTCTATCTGCTGAGTCCGAACTGCTGTGACATGGCTGTGGGTTCCAGGATCGACCGCCGTTGGGGTAGGCATCGTGCCTATGCCGTAGCTTACCGCACCGGCAAACCCCGCCCTCATCTAGATATCTCAACAATGCCGAGGCATCGGCCTCCAAGTGCCTATCTATATTGCCCATTCCTGCAGACAATAGACAGTATTAGTCCCGTCACCACTTTCCTCTCTCATGACAGTGCGCTTGTGCCGCCAAAATGCCTCACAAGTCACTCTACGCCGACGTCTCCATCCCGGACGTCGACATCTTCACCCTCCTGTTCTCGCGGCCCTCGAGGCCCTTCCCCGACATCAAGGAGCTGCTCACCGACGGCGAGCTCCCTTCCCGCTCCTACACCCTCGCCCAGCTGCGCAACGCCGCCACCGATTTCGGCAAGGGGCTCAAGGCCCTCTGGCAGTGGAAGCGCGGCGACGTCCTCGCCTTCTACACCCCGAATGACGTCGACACCCCGGCCCTGACCTGCGGCGTCCTCTGGGCCGGCGGCTGCGCCTCGCCCGCCAACCCGCTCTACACCCTCGACGAGCTGACCTTCCAGCTCACCAACAGCGGCGCCAGGGGCCTCGTCACCCAGCTGCCCTTCCTGCCCATCGCAAGGCAGGCCGCGGCGCGCGCGGGCATCCCCGAGGACAGGATCATCCTGCTGGGCCGGGAGGGTGACCCGGAGGGCAAGCTCAGGCACTGGAGCAGCATCAAGCCTACGGCGTACTGCAGCCGCTACGCGAAGACCAAGGTGCGGCCTAAGAAGGACCTGGCCTTCCTCGTCTACAGCTCCGGGACGACGGGCCTCCCCAAGGGAGTGTGCCTCACGCACCATAATGTTATTTCCAACCTGCTCCAGATGGAGCCTCTGGAAGGCCTCTACCTGAAGCCGTACGGCGGGCCTGGGGATAGGGGTGATCGCCTGCTGGGTGTGATCCCTTTCTTCCACATTTATGTACGTTTATCCCTGAGTGAGAAGATAGTGAGCTCTCAACGGACTGCCCGGACTAACAGAACGTGACAGGGCCTAGTAAATAACGTTTTTATGAGCATATACTCTGGATGGCAATTAGTAGTCCTCTCGCGCTTTGACCTCGAGAAGGCCTGCCGGGTCATCCAGGACTTTAAACTCACATTTGCCTACATCCCGCCCCCGGTGGTCTTAGCCCTCAGCAAGGAAGCAGTGGTGGACAAATACGACTTGTCGTCACTGAAGCTCCTCCACTGCGGCGCGGCACCAATCACCAGCGACCTGATCGAGATGGTCTGGAAGCGCCTGAAGGTGCCCGTGAAGCAGGGCTACGGGCTGTCCGAGGCCAGCCCCGTATCCCACGTCCAGCCGCCGGACGAGTGGGCCAAGTTCATGACCTCGGTTGGCAAGCTAGTGCCGAACATGGAGTCGAAGATTGTCGATACCGAGGGCCATGAGGTGGCGCTCGGTGAGGTATGTGGCCTGCGGGCTCTCGCTGAAACTCATGTGCTCAGGATACTGACACAAGTTCATGACCATCACAGCCAGGTGAACTCTGGCTCAAGGGCCCAAACGTATTTGGAGGTTATCTGAACAATTCTGAAAAGACTAAAGACGCCTTCTCAACAGACGGCTGGCTTAAAACAGGCGACGTTTTCCAAATGGACAAATATGGCAACTACTACTGTGTCGATCGGCTAAAGGAACTGATCAAATACAGTGAGCACATTCCCCTCCCATTGTTACTGCGGATTTGGCAGCAGGGAACTGACCCAAAATTCCATCAGAGGGCTTCCAAGTCGCCCCAGCCGAGCTGGAGGGCCTGGTAGTAGGCCACCCGGACGTCGCAGATGCATGCGTCATCGGCATCTACGACCCGGGCCAGGCGACGGAGCTGCCGCGCGCCTACGTGACGCTCAAGGCCGGGGTCACACAGGATGCGGCCAAGGCGAAGGAGATCGCAGACTGGATGTCGGCCAAGACGGCTCCTCACAAGAGGCTTCGTGGCGGTGTGTACTTTATCGACGTGGTGCCTAAGTCCCCGAGCGGCAAGATACTGAGGAGGGTGCTGCGGGATAAGATCAAGCAGGATGAGAGGCAGGCTGGTCCGAAGTTGTAGGGCATAACTTATAACTTATAGATTAGAGTGGCTGCGTTGACTTCCCAACGTCAGAAAGACTTCCATCCCTCCATCAACACCCCTCCGCTGTTGTATCTGTTAAGCCCTGCAAAAAGATGGGTTCCCTTAGCTTGGCGGTGATGATAGATGCTGGTTGGCATATATTCTTGTTTATTGTACAGCAGTCAAGCGACATTGCTTGCTATGCATGATATCCGAATAACCTGTCTAGTATTCAACAACCGGTCCCATCCCATCAAACCAATCTTTCCGCCTCCTCCAGCAACTTCTCAACGCTGAACCTAGAGTCGCCCTTCCCGAACCACTCGAGCAGCTTCTTCCTCTCCTCGGCCCTCTCCTTCCCCAGCGCGTCGTTCTTCTCGCCGTCCCACCCGCCGTAGAACCGCTGCAGGCACATGACCAGCCACCTCGCGTCGTCGGGCTTGACCCCGCGGTCCGCCACGACGCTGCCCTGCATGAGCACGACGCGCTTGTCGGCGACGAGGTCCAGGTGGTGCGTGACGGTGGTGTGCGGCACCGCGAACTCCCCGCGCGCCTTGTACTCGGCCAGCTGCGTGAAGAGAACCGTGCTCGTCCGCGTGGCCGGGTCGAACGTCCACTGCAGGAAGTGCATCTCGGCCCCCTGCTCCGGGTGCGGCAGCGGCAGCACGAACTGCGGGTGCCGGCGGGCCTCGGCCTCCATCGCCTCGTACGTGTGCTGCGGCACCACCGCGCACAGCGCCTGCGGGCTGCTCGCGTGCCGAAGCCGCCAGATCGCCGTCAGCTCCGGCACGGGGAGCTCGCGCGCCTTGGGGAGGTCCAGGATCTGGTCGAGGCTCTTGACGCCTGAGTTTGTGGGGTAGCTCGTGGGATGTGCTGTCTGGTGCGCCGCGGCGGCCTCGGGGGTTAATTGGGCTCGGGGAGGAGTGGTGGTGGTGTCGGCGCTGGTAGGATTGGTGGGAGCTGGTGGCTCGTCCAGGGGAGGGATGCCCGGTATTGTGGCATCCTTCTTTCGAATCTCTTGAATTTTGTCGGCATATGCCTTCTTCAGGTCCTGAATGTCTGCATGGCCCTCCTCGCGGGCCTTTGTGTCGAGCTTGTTGCGGTACTTCTCGAGGACGTTGCGGGACGCCTGTGTGGTCGCGAGGAATCGCACATCATGGACCTGTGCCCAGCGGCGCTGGTTGGAGGCGCGCAGGGAGCGCAGTTGGCTGCCGAATAGGTTTCGAAGCGCTGGTATTCTTGTTGAGGCCATTTCCGTCCCCGGATCGAATCGATTCAACCAAGAGGGCAAAGGGGGAGAGACTTGGTTGCTGAACTCGATCTTCAATTGCGCAGACTGACGTCAAACTTGTTTGATTACGTAAGCACACGAAAGGCCCACCTGAAGCTCCATGGCCCACTGGAGCTCTCTCTCAAGTCACCAACACAAGATCAACCGCTGCCAGAGGATATCTAATTATCTTAGCAACCTCTCGAAACTGATGAAGCCTTGTTCTGTTGCAGAGTCAACCCAAAGAGCATCAGGACCGCGGAAAAGAGCAGGGAGAATGTAATATTTGCACGGCATCATATCAGTGTCAAGCTGCTCCAGTCCCCAAGATCCTTCACCGCGAAACGAGTCTAGCTGATTTTGGGGAAAGGCATGTCGCATACTTAGCTGTGAAAATACGAGCACATGTGGGTTGAACTGTGGGTAACGGCATGGTACACTTCGGCCTACACTACACCTCTCCCCGGCAGTATGTTCTGCGTCTTCACTTGGCGAATAGCTTCAACAAAGGGCCAGGAAGGATGCGGCCAACGGTCCTTCGAACGAGCAGCCGCTCTGGAGCCTTCTTCTCACTGAAGCCATAGGCAATACCAGACCGTCGCGGGCGTTTGGCTTCTTCGATCTTCCGCAGTATCGCAAAGAAAGCCTCGTTGGCACCGTCACTGAAAGCAGCACCGCTGCCAGTGTCTACCTCAAAGAGCTCACAACCCCAGCTCTCCGCAAGCATCGCAGCCTCCGCTCTAACGGATGCTGCAGGGACTCGGTCTTGAGCTTTCGAGTCGGCTGGCCCCTCCTTCACGTCATCCTCCCGGCGGCGCAAATGCTCATCCACGTTCCCAATCAGAATTACCGGCGTGGAACCTCGCCCATTTCCATCGCCAACGAGGCCCAGGGCTGCCGCTGCGTGCTCCACAGCGTCAAACATCTCTTTGACCAGTTCAAGTGTCTCCCGCGACGACATGTTGAAGACGAACACGAAGCCGTGCGCGTACTTGACATGGTACTCCAGCATGGGCGCGCTCCGATGCCAGGATGGAGGCGCGTCCATCAGCTCGATGCCCGTGAGACTAGTTGATTGTCTCGTTCGGACACTCCGTTCCGCCGAGGGCACTGAAGAAGTATTGCCATCGGTGCGGATTGAGGGGCTCGAGACCAACCGGGTCGCGCGCAAGATCCTGTCCCGGGCGGTAGAAGAGTCCTCGTCTCCGCTGATCAAGACGGCACATTTGTCAGACCCCTGATTGGAAGGGTAGATGTAATGGGCATTTGGAAGCTGTGGTCCAGTCGCTATATACCCCAGGTCAATCTGCTTGTCTCCTGGGCCCGAGATCACCAGTCTATTCACTCACGCTGGGTCCTCGATGACATCTCCTGTGGCCGTGACCCTCAGGAAGGCTTTTGGCTGAGTAAAACGATGCGCGGTACGAGGTGTGATAAATCGTGAAACTCGATGAAGTTGGAACACAACCACTGCAGGAGGATGACCCAGGTCTTCGAAGGCCCTCGCCTTGGGTTGCTGCTAAACAGGGGAGTAGATGTTCCCGCTGCGGTCCTACTAACTGAAAGCAGCGACGATTGCTGACAGCATCATAACACCACGGAAGTAACGTCACCACCAAACATCGCGCTGCTGAGTATTGACTGCGCTACCCAAAGTGCACCTGTTCACTGAAGCAAGCCTCGCATTACTCATTAACCAATAGCCTGTACTTTGTCATTATATGTGTTCTTAGGAAACCATGGCCTGCAAGGGTAAACATCATCGCGTACTAGTACCAGCTAAACCAAACAGATAGATGTACCGCACTCAGCTCTTTCAGACATCTTTGCCTCTCTCCTCAGCAAATCGCAGGAACTCGTCGTCCGTCTGAAGCCTCGGATAACAGCTCTCCTCCAGCCCAAGGCAAATCTCCAGACCCTCGTCCGGGTTGCCCTTGGTCGTCCTCGTCGGCAGCACAAAGAAGAATCCCTCAAACTGTGGGTGCGGCCACCTCAGCGCCGCGGGCCTCCCGAAGCCGAAGTCGTGCACCTGGTATGACTTCATCGTGTGCCAGTCGAAGGCCATGCAGTCCAGTCCCAGCACCCAATGCATATCCAACTCGACCCACCGCAGGTCCGGGCTCGAGCCCGCCCACCTGATGAGGTCGGCCACGTACGACGGCGTCACCTGGTTTGTGGCGGCGCGCACTGTGCGGGCCAGGAGCGGCAGCGCCGAGCCCAGGTCCGGCGAGAGGACGTCCGTGACGGCCAACTCGGGGGACTGAGGCAGCGTGACGGCGACGCCGATGTAATTATCCGGGATGGGAGGGTCGGTCCGCCCCCGCGCGTTGACGGCGTGGATGGCCTTGGACGGCGCGGCCGCGTCGGGCTTGAGAAGCGGCTGTTTGGCTCGCACGATTGCGCGCCACAGGATCGCGAGGAGCGCGTCGTATGTCGACACCCAGCTTGGGCCGCCGCCGTCCTGCGCCGTGGCGCTGGCGAGCGCCTTGAGCTCCTTCAGCTTGCTATTTGGTACGTGCCATATCCGCGTCTTGACAACTGGCATCTCGAAGTCTGCTGGCGGTGGCGCTGGGGGCCCGTCGCGGGCCTTGTACGTGGGAAACTTGTCGCCGAGCTTCTTCAGCTCCTCTGGTGAGGTGACGGGCGTGGACTTGAGGCTTAGGAGGTTCCGGTCCGGCATTGCGGCTGTATTGATGGTGCCGTTTGCCGTGCCGTTGAAGACGGCGTACGAGTTGCGTGACCAGCTTGTCAGCAGCATCTCGCAGCCCATTCCGTCACAGACCTGGTGGGTAACCGCCAGCGCTAGGATGATACCTCCCTCGATGAATGTAACTTGGAAGGCACAGACAGCTGGGCCGTCTGTTGAGATTTCCTGGGCTGGGACCGGGAATGTCCCGACCACAGATGACGGGAGCACCTTGCCTGCATCAAGAAGGTGGACAGGGAAGTCGTGCTTGTCGAGGGTTGCGAAGGACTCGATGTCGCTCGCGCCATCCGACCCAGGCTCCTTGATAGCCAAGGCCACGGAGGAGGCTGGCGTCCTCTTCACGACGACTCTCTTTGTCTCATTGTCAAAGTGCAACGAGCCCACCAAGATCGGGTACTCAGCAAGGGTTCGGGAGAGACCTTCGGTCAGGTTGTCGAGGATTTGCTGCTTGTCTGCGTCTGGCTTCAGGGAAAAGACCTCGATCATATGCACGTAGAGCTTAGGCTCGATGACGTCCAGGTCTGCCAGTTGAACTACCTCATCTTGCTTGTTGCCATGTGGCTGCACCCTGGTCTCTCGGAGGGCAGCCATGAGGAGAGATCGAATTGCTTGCCTCCAGGTCCAAACAAGGAGGGCTAATTCACGACGAAAATGAGAAAAAGGTGACGTATCACCGCGCAATTTGCGACTTGTTTGGGCATGACAAAGTCTTTATCGAATCCAACATGTGCCCTGAGACTTCCATGCAACGTGTGGGTCTTGAATCCTTAGATGGAGATGCCGCGGCTGTTTCTTGGTCGCCTGGTCAGGAGAGTGTGGGCAAATGGAGATCACGTCCGTTGGTGAGAATCTTCCCTCTTGAAACTTGCTCCACATAACTGCCGTCTTCTACAGCTCCTTGAAGTCTGATTAGAGAGTCTTCCGTGTCTGTTGGTGAAGGGACGGATAGGGGAGCATCCCCGGTGGATACAAGCGGGCCCTACTGCTCCAGTACCGGGCCTGTTGGTGAGAGAGAGCCACGGGGTTGCTGCCCGGAGTGGGTATAGGCGGACCTGCATGTGAACGGTCACAATACATCAACTGTGAAATAGAATCAATCGGGCCATCAGTTTTCATCTGCTGTCGGATGACACGGTGTGAGAAGACAGCTGTGGGACAAAGATCACTTATGCCTCGGATAAGATAAGACCACTCTGTCTCTGTGTTCTTTCTGTCTAGAAGAGTGTGTTATGCCTTGCACGATTTCATGGACCCATGGCAGATATCAGAGGCATCGAGTTGGGTGTGAATTCTCAGTTGAAATAATCGGGATGGGAAACTTGATTTGAAAAGTCCATTCGGTACTACAAATGAACCCTGTAGCCGGCCCCGTACCCGTGGCCTACAAAATATGGAGCTCCCGATATTCCTTGTCGGCCCAGACCCTTAGAGGTTCTGTTGTAGACTACATACAGTACATAACACATGTGACAGTGGCCTAACGTCAGGAGAAAATAGCCAGCAATATTGTACCGCACCAGGGTTATGATCCGTCAACCTCGCTCCCATATGAAGATCCATTGGGGTGCGACATGCTTCTACGGAGGAAGGCACCGGGGTGCCTCCCACTAGATCTGTATAAGTTCTTCTGGGCCCTTTTTTTACCCATCTATCTTCACAAGCAGGTCCGCCCCCAACTCAAGACTCTTATGAGGCCATGGCGGGCTTCGTGGATCCTAGCGCCAGACTCGTCCAACCCGAAGGCATTGCTTTGGCAATAGTTGTCGTTTCTCCGATCTTTCTGTTCTTTTCCATCTTAGCAGTGGCTGCTCGCATATATGTGAGGGTCACGGAGAAGGTGACGTCTAAAGACGACTACCTGCTGCTAGGGAGCCTGGTAAATGCATTTGTTTTCTTACTTCCTGTGATCCTGGCACATCTTGGCCTGTTGACAAAGTCGTAAAGCATGGTCCATGACTGATCAACATCATTACATCTTCTACGTTCAACCTAGGTTTGAACACATCTAATATCATCACAGATATTCTACATCCCCGACACAGCGATCGCCATCCATGCCGCCACCGTAGGAGTCGGCACAGTCAACGCTCGCCTCAACGCGTGGATGCAAACCCAAGCGATGAAGTGGTATACGATCTGGATATTGATATATGTCATCGGGCTGGCGCTCCTCAAATCATCTATTTGCATGATGATATGGAGAATCGCTAGCGTCCGGCGCGGCATGCGCATGACCTTGATCTTTCTTCTGTCCCTCGTGTGGGCTTCTTTCTTCGTCACCTTCATCGGCGTGCTGCTCTATTGCTCCCCCGTCGAGGCCAACTGGGAGACCCATCTCGTACTGGAAGGCAAGGCACGCTGCGGAAGTATTGCGGCCATGATCGGCTTGAGTCATACAGCTACGGTGACTACGATCATCACGGACATTGGATGTGCGATGCTTCCTGGAGTGCTCCTTTGGAAGACACAAATGAAATCTCAGGCTAAGCTTGAGGTTTTTGCTCTGATGTCGGTAGCGTCTATGTAAGTCTATATTTCATACGTTCTTTGCCTCCTTGTTGATCCAGGCATGTCGTCCCATATGCAAAAGCCAACAAGAGCCTTGACACTGAACACCTGTCTAACCAATAATATCACCTTGACAGGGCCTCTATCAGCACTATAGCACGTGCTCCTTTCATTTCCCGGTATGAGAAGCCCGAGGAAGATCTGAAGTGTAAGTGTATCATGAACTTAATACCTAAAAAACGTTTCAACTTTACCTGACAAGGCAATGCTAGATTATATCGGCTTCATCGTTCTATTCTCCAACATAGAAACTGGAGTCGGCTGTGTCGCCTCATGCCTACCCGCTATGCGACGCCTTTACATGCGCATCACCAAGAAGGAGACTTCAGAGAACAAGAGTTCCAATCCACAAGGGACCGGTTCGGGGATTATTACCATCGGTGGCGGCGGAGGCGGGTCCTCAAGCCGGGGCCGCAAGCAGAGGGGCATGTTTGCCAGCGCCGCCGACCGGAGTGTCGATATTAACACGGTTCAGGCCACCGGCGGTGCCGAAGGGGGCGACTGGGAGCAGCTGCATGATGGCGACTCGGACGAGGTTCCGTTGTCGCCCTGGAAGAAGCCCGCACAAGGCATCAGGATGGATTGTGGCTCTGCTGTAGAACTTGAGCCGGTGGAGCGGGGCGAAGCTAGAACAAATTAGAAACCAATATATATATAGATAGATACCCACATCGAGATGAAATTGCGACTTCGGTTGGATGCCTTCAATGTTGTAGTTTTAGCGTCTGGTTCAACTCAAATCTTTGCTGATAACGATTGCTCTGACAATTGCAACATTTAGACCCTACAGTAGTTCTATCGCTATCCTGAGACGCGCATAGGATTGAGAGACAGTAGCAAGGCTTGAGCAATGCTTGGCTGTGGTGTTATCTGCAGTGCACATGCTTACAAATATTTTGATACTGTTGGGGAATTGGTAAGCATGTCATTCGGAGGAGAGAGAGGGGCCGTTGATTACCCAGGTACCGCGGTAGGATCACGGAGTACATCGTGGAAAGAGCAGAAGACTCGGGTTACTCGTCCAAGCTCCTGGGAACGCTGCCGACCGTGAATGCTCCGATGTATCCGACCAGCCGAGAATGGGTCTCCGGAACTGATTTGCATCATTGGCAGATGAGATCGTCAACGAAAATTTCGCGGTTTTGACGTAGTCTTTCGTCTTCGTTGTGACGGGGTCATTTTCCGACGATGTATGAGCATCCACAGACTCGACAGCCGCTTGTTATTCTCACCCGCAGTCAAGCCGTACTAGTAGCCCTCCTCGAGACGCGCTTCATCAGCTCGGCCGGCCAAGACTCAGCCGCCGAACGTCAGCAGGGCGGAAAGACCAAAAAGGACTATTGTCGGTACATGACCAATGTCTTGATCTTGCACGCACAGGCTAAGCGGTTAAGAAGCAAGTGCATGGGCCAGGTACCTGAGATGGGATGTGGCACGCGAACGCCGCAGGAGTGTCGCTTGGTTTCCCACATCGAGCCAGCAGGATCGTGTCACTGTCGATCCAGGACTAGTCCCGGTGGGCCGGGCCGTGCTTGCAGCAAGATCCTCGTGGAAGATGCCGTGGAATCTGGGGGGGGATGCAAGATCCCTGAGATCCTCCTCACGTCCTAAGGCCTTGGATCTTCTGGAAATCTTCTGGAAGGGGCAGTGCCGGGCCTCGTCAAGGGCCCCGGGGCGCACGGGGAAGTGCGGGGAACGAGGATGCCAACACCAGGCTCCGGTGCACGCTACTGCGTGGGACATGACAAGGCGTTTCAATGGGACGGAGGGTGGGATCAAGCGTGCCTGGACCCGATGAGCCTCCATTCTTAATTAGACGGCAACTCCTTCTCCCTGGACCGTTGACGGCGGATGACCCACCTCACGATTACTTCGCTGACTACTCGCCGGGATCGGCAAGACATGTGCCGTTGGCCCTTTGCTACTTGTGTGAAATGGACATTGAATTCGCCTATCATACAGTTCGGTACCCAGGAGGGACCTCGGAGCCACCAGATGAAGACAGCGACAGAGTATTTGTATTTATCACTGCCACCTGCCTCCTGCTCATTGCTACCAGAAATTCGCTCTAATAACGTTCAGATGACTATCGTTTCGCGTGGAACCGGCCAGGAACGTACTTGTCCCCAGCCGTGAAAACCCGTGCTCCACTCCTACTCCTGTGTCGACTTGAATTCCCAACGCTGGTTCTCGGTACCCTCGGCGAATGGGACACCGAGCTCGAACAGCTTGACGGCGACGTCCCTGAAGTCCTTGAAGAAAGCATCGTTGTCCTTGGCGTACTTCTGCACATACTCCATGAACTTCTTGTCCTGCACAAGGGCCATGTCGGCAGGAAGCATCATAATCGACTTGGTGTCCTTGTCGACAAACTGGCGGGGGCCATCCCACTTCTTGTACTCCCACTTGGTGTTGACCAGGAAGTTGTAATAGTCGTTTGTCAGCACCGTGGGAGAGAAGGTCCAGGGCCCGTCGAAGCCGCTGCGGTCGGTGTGGCACCGGCCAAGGGCGTGTGCACCGGAGAGAGCAACGATCTCCTGGTCGTTGAAGCCCATCCGGTAGAAGATGTTTCGGAGGTGGTCCTGTGTCTTGGAGCCATCAGGGAGACGACCGTCAGGAGTGCAAGCGGCGATGTCCTTGTCGGAACGACCAGGCCGATAAGGAATCTTGGGGCCCAGCATCTCTTGGATGGAGCACACTCCAGCCAAGATCCAGAGGTCGGAATAGGTGATCCAGGGGAACTTGGCTGTGGATGTTTGTTAGTCACCCTAGAGGAAAACCGTCAAAGAACAGGGAAAACTCACCTTTCACAGGCTCCAGGAAGTCCCTGGCGTGCTTCAGACCAGCATTCGCTCCGTGGTCGCCCTCGGGAGCGAACCTCATGGTGGCTCCGTTGCTGCCACCAGTGCCGGTTTCCTTATCATAGGTACCGCTCGCATGCCACGCCAAATCGCACGAGAACTGGGCCATACGACCCATCATCGTAGTCGTCTTTCTCTTCGAGCCTCGAGGCTATCTCATTGTACACCTTCTGATAATCCTCCTTGGTGGGGTTGAAGACCTTGGGCGTGGCAGGGGCGCTGTTCTGGCTCCAGAAGTAATATCCGGCGCCACCAGCTGCGGCGGCACCGGCAGCCCAGAGGAGGGGGTTGGACGAGGACTTTGGGGGCTCAGAAGAGTAGAAGCGACGGCCGCTCTGGCGGAACGTGCGTGGAACTGCTGTTGCGAAGGTGCTCCGAGTTGTGGTCCGCACCGCCGTGCGGGCGAATTGGCGGGTTGTGGAAGCCATCTGTTTGGTTGTGAAGAGGAATTGTTAGCTATGGTGATGAGGCTTCCAATGCGATCGGGGCAAACAAAACGTCGAACGGCAAGAGCAGCAACAGCTTACCTTGACGTAGTGCAGTCTGGGGGATTGGGGCTTGCTTAAAAACAACAGAGGGACAGGAACTCAGGTTTCCAAGAGTTGGGGCAAGAAGGAAAGAGTCATACACCAAAGCCCGAGGGTATCTCGGAGAAGATAAATCAGAGACAGCGTGTGGATACCTAGGTATGTACCGTATCTACGCACCTACCTGGTAGCCCTGGGTTCCCAGAGTGGGCAGGGGCGGGTGGCCGAAGCCACGCTTCCTCCTCCCTGCTTCTTGTCTCTCCGAAGGGCGAGCTACTTCCCATTCCAGGCCCGGATCTGCCCAGACGAGAGCGTCAGACCTCGGGCCATGGCTGCCGGGCAGAGTAATAGAGCAGGTGCCATTGGCCACGGTCATTGTGTAAGACGTAGAATGGGCCCACCGAACCCGGGCCCTGAGTCGGACCCCTGGGGTTCCAGGAGACCAGAGGGCCTTGTCTGATGGGTAAAAAGTGGACGCTCCCGCACGGGGGCTGCAGGACGGGCAGACGGATGGGTCAAGCCGTCCGAAACGTCAGGAGGAGATACGTAACGGTCGCTGGGGGAACTCTACAAGTGATGGCATTGCTCCTCGGATGCTACATGCTTGACTTGACTGTTTGCTGCACCCTGCCGGGCCGCAAAGTCGGTTCGACAAACAGCAATTGCTTTGGCTCCAAAACCGTACTAAACCGCCGAAAACCGCCGAGAAGGGAAGAGAGAGGATTTGCAAGGGTTTTACCATGTGCCACTGTACCGATGTACCTGTTTGTCCTGTGGCAACGGCGTGTCACTTGACTACGTGTAGAGTGCTGGCGCCGCGGAACCCAAGGAAACGTGGAAAGACGCGGCCTGGCGACGCGCCGATCTCGGTTGACATGCTTGGTAATCGACATCCTCGGCTGCGCAAATAAATTTTATAGAACTAATCCAGCCAAGGATGCACTTCTTGCCTATCTCCTTGGCCAGGCAGGCATGCTGGATGACACAAGAATACGCTATGTTCTTCTGTGTTGTTATTTTCAGGTATTTGGAATCATTCACGCAAGAGTTTTCATCACCGGCGTCACCTTACATCGCCGACCAAATCCCGTCCGTCCAACCGTCTTACAACAAGCTTCGAGCGACTCAGCCGACTGCATTCCGCAGCCTTACATAGCTCTTATCCCTGGTATAATTGAGAGCCCGCATTACAACTCCCTTCCCCAGGCAGATTTTGTGTTCCAGGCAACCAGGCAGGGAGGCAACGATTGTGGAGCTTATCAAAGGGATGCCCCATCACACAGCATGGAATCCTGGCCTGCAGCACAAGTATCCAAATTGGTGTGCAGTCAGACTTGATGGCCCGGATTTGCTTTTATCTAGTGTTGCATCACGTGGTGAGCACGAGCAATACTGGGAAGCATGGCATATATTATTTAATCGTTTGACTTCTCCATGCCTCCCCTTAGTCCCACGCTCCACCGATAAAAAGATATTGCATAGTGCACCGACCTATACTTTGACAAGCAAGTAAAGCTCACCTACATCCAACTCAGCCCCAAGAGAACCCTTAGTGTACAGGACAGAGCGCCGTGAATGCAGTAGCTCTTTTGATCTTTTTTCGTCGTCGGAATAGAAAATCTCAAAGATATTTGGAAAGGCGGAAATGGGTATCGGACTCAGTGGAAATCAGCGGGGCCATTCGCTTTGGGGTCCGCGTCGACATGAAGTTCGTAAAAGCTGAAGTAGTGAGCCTCAGCCTTCTGCTGTGTGGCCTCGTCAAGTTCGCCCAAGGGCACGCCGTTGTCCTTGGCTGCAAACTTGTCCTTGGAGATGGACAGAGGGCTACAAAACCGCGTTGTTAGTTTCTTATTCACGTTCAAGCGTGCAAAGACCACCAGACTTACCCGAACATCTCGCGATCGATCAGCAGGAATTTCTTCATGGAATCCTCGCCGCCGCGCTGCTGAAGGTAGTTCAAATACTTTCCGCACAGGTGCTTCTTCGTAGCCACGGACATGCGACTCCGTGCTCGCATTTCGTCAATGACGTGTTCGATGCGCTTGCCATGCTCCGCTTCCAGCTCCGTGTTGGTCGGCTGTTCGAGCTCAAAGTCCAGCCACTTGCTCCAGAACTCCCGGCTGTCAGAGTACCACTGCACATTCGAACGGAAGACGGTCCGCGCCTCCTCGACAGACCCCTTCACCTTCCACAGGAGCAAGGCCCATTGCGTGACAAGGGCAGCCTTGGTGTAGAGGTCAACCCCTGGAGAGTCGATCTGCGCCTTGTACACATCAATGGCCGCATCGAGACCGCTTTGTCGCCTCTGCAGGTTGGCCCATGAGATGATCGCCTCAACACAGTTTGGTATCTTCATCAGGATAGCCTCGTGGACGGCGCGGGCCACATCGATACGCCCGCACGTTTCCTCGAAATAGGCAAACTGCAGCCTGATGCCAGGTCTGCTAATTGGCACGTACAAGGTAACTGCGCGGAGGAAGATGTTGCGGACCTCTTCGTCCTTGTTGGGCTGCGCCTGCATCCATCGCGCATATCGGAACCAGAACTCGTCGTAAAAAGCGCATGTGACCAAGCACCTCTCGTACAGCGCGGTGACCCTGGGGAGGTCACCTTCGGCCTCCTCAAAATCCAGGTACTTGCGCCAATTTGCAAGCTGGGAGTGGTCCAGCTCCGTGACATGAAAGTACGGCCGCTTGATTTCCGACTCATACGTCCAACGCTTTGTCGTCTCGGATTGAGTTGTTTGGAAGACGTCATAGAACGTGGCATCGACCTTTGCCCTTATGTCGCGTTCGATCTCGAGTTCCGACTTGACCACACCGAATGGGGCAGCCTCAGCGTCGACCTCGGCTCGGAACCGAGTCAGAACCTCCGGCTCGACCACTTCTTCCAGGGGCCTGGAGTGCGACAGCGTTCGGAATCTCTCGTAGTACCGCGCATACTGGTGCATGGGTATGTGGATGACACGCTTGAGGATCGCGTAGATCTTATCGTGGGCCTCTTGCCGCTCCTCGTACTCGATATACTTATCCCAGAAGGGATGTGCCAGGAAATCGAGTCCCACGTAGGTCGCAGCCCGCTCGAAGAGTCTATCACAGGTCAGTGGGCGTGGACCGGTAGGGCAGGGGGGAGGATCAGGTGGGGAGGAATGGACAGGACTGCAAATACAAGAAGGGATTGATGTGGCAACAGTAAACCCTTCTCCCGACTAATCGAACAACAGCTCAACGTCTTTGCGACGGGGGAAGCGTGGGGGAAGTTCAGAGCGAATCATGGTGATGATGTGTGGCTGTGAAAACAACAGTGCCTGGTAGATTCTGTGAGACGCGATCCCAGCGATAAGTGGTGGCTCTTGGTATTTCTCACCGGAGCCCGACGATACGGTCAATGACATCTTATCTCGGTGGGATCCGCTGGTTTGCGACGACTCGCTAATTGGTGGACGCGTCGATGGCTGGAAGGTTATGGGGAAGGAAAGCAGCCATGTGAACTTACTCTCTCACGAGATGCGCGACATGAGTGGTCTCCATCTTGAAGGAGCAATAGTCGGTCCAGAGGTCGACCGAGTTGGTGATACTGGCGCAGCCTCGCTCGTAGACCATCTCCGCCGATTCTGGGCCCGAGATGTTGAACTCGAGGTCGGCGTACTTCTTCCAGTACCCGAACAGGAGAGGGAACTTGATGAGGAATCGGTCGTACGCATCGCGCAGTGTTGCTAGGGCCTGGGGGCTGGAGTTTCTATTGAGACCGCCTTCGAGGCTTTCGCACGCGCGCACCAGTTTCTCCCAAGCCTCGAAGCTGTCGGGGTCGGCTTCCTGTTGAGGACGCGCAAGGTTAGTACAGCCAATGGAGCATTGGTCAGTGCTGGATGGCTTCTGATGGCTTGCGACTTACGACTTCGGTATTGAGCTTTCGAATCTCGGCGTTCTCCTCGTCAGAGCCTCCATAGCTTGTGAAGTCACCCATCCTGGTGTGTGGTGCTGTGTAGGAAGGCTGCGCTGGAAGATGTGAATGAAGTGCTATTGGGTGTTCCGATGGCAATATTTACTGCCATGTGCCTTGGATAGGCTGATGGATGCGCGGGAATTGTGCAGGGCGCAAGGGGCTGCTGATGGTTCCGGCCAGAGAAAAGGGGGTTGGGGGGAAGGCGGAATGCAGAAAGCAGAAAGCGGCAAGCTTGAAGAGCTGGGAAGATGCGCCTGCGAGTTGAGGAGTTTGCGCCGGGCGGCCCTTGTTCCTAGCCGGTGCTACTGCACATCATGCCTGCCAATTTCGCCGTGTTTGATTGGCTTGGTGGCTGCTTACCTAACCGGCCAAACCACTCGAAAACTCTACCAGCAATTTTGCAATGCTGCCTTTTCCTCTCCTCCTACAATCATGAGCTTGTGATGATTTACACAAAACAAACATGATAGGAAGAGGATGAATACCGCCAAAGGCGTGCATGATCTCACTTATCGTATAAAATCTGAAGCTCACCTATTCATCATTTCGTTTGATTCCCCAGCATACTTGGTGCATACAGACTGCTTTCTGACTCTTTGAAACCCAACACTGACGACGGCACACAAAAACACCCTTTTGGCAAGATAGGAGTGGAATTGGTTTTAATCAAGTCATCGCCGCAAGCAGAACCACTCTTGATATAACTCTACTTATGGTGAAACTACCGCTGAGGTCTGAGGACACCATAATCACACCCTGATAGAGCGGTCTTTTCCTGGGTGGCCCCATGACAGCATATTGTTCGGGTGCTAGAAATAGTTTCGTGCTACAAATTTGTATGAGCATGTGCAGGATCGGAACAGAATTCTAGCTACGCTGCTAGGTTTGCTGCCATGGGTGCCGTGTATGAAGTTACCCCGGGAGCCCTTTTCGAAGGTCAGCACTGAAAGCGTGATTCCCATAATGCTGCTGGGGAAAGGCGGTCCTCTCTGTATAACTCTCTTGGAGATGATGCGGTACTTCTCATAGACAAAGCACACAACCTGGCCATACCCTTGATGATGCACTTGGAAGGCAGGACACGAATTCAGAGTCATATTATGTATATACCCAGGACACTGGAGGACATTGGCGATTGTTGAGCCGCACCTGTGGCCCCTCTGTGCAGACTGCCCCTGTCCTCGGAACAGGCTCCACAGGGCTGAACAGCGCTTGGTTCTGGCGTCATAGCTAGTCCAATCCGCCGTCGGGCAGTCAGGCAGTTTGGGCAGTCCTGCCAATGAGCGCCAACAAGTGGCGATTGGTGATTGACTGCCTGTCAGAAGCTCGGGATGTGCATCTGCAATCTGCATCTGCAACTTCGTTAGCGCCCCTTGTAGCTGACACCGTCACTGCTCTGAGATTTTCATGTCTAGCCTACCAAACCAGCGTGCAATGCTCGCCTGTTCCTCTGACCCCCCGTTACCCAAACCCAATTCGACCCCTGACCTCCCTCGCCGTGCCCTCCTCTGACCACGGCGCTCAGTTCTGGCAGGACATGTGGCATCCCCCCGGCGTAACGTAACCTGTCCGTCTCGAAGACTGGCGACGGCATCCAGCTGAAAGCACTCCCGACCGCTGACCGGGCATGGATCCCAACTATCCCAACTCGGCCCTCTGGAGCGGCCAGGCGCCGTCCCCTGAGAAGTCGAGCCAGCTCCTGATCCGCGAATACCCTCACCGGGCCATTGCCATTGTCTCCAACGACCACGCCCTCATCTTCCGCCACAGCCCGACCACCAGCGAGTCCATCGCCAATGGCTCTCTCTCCTCCATTCCTTCTGCTCGGCCCCGCGCCGGCACAGGCATGAGCGCAACCGATAGCTTTGCCTCAAAGTGCATGGTCGAGTTCACCCAGGTCACCAGGAACACCCTCAGCGATTACCGACCCCTGACACCGCGGCCGATTTACGGGACACTTGGGCTGATATCCGTCGGCCGAGATGTCTTCCTCTGTGTCATCACACACGCCTCGCGAGTATCGACATTGCGCCCCGGAGAGACCATCGAACGCATCCTGGCCGTCGAGTTCTATGGCCTCAACACCTCCGAGTACGACGATGTGTTCTCCGCCATCGATCCATACGAGCTTGAAATGTCGGACGCCGCAGCCACGTACGGGCAGCCACTCAACAGGAGGGAAGGCGTTGAACACCCCTGCGTGGATGTACAGAAGCTCTTGAGCAATGGGAGCTTTTACTACAGCACCGATTTCGACCTGACGAACCGGCTGCAGGACAGGCCTGCGGACGCGAATACCTTCGACATTGACAACTTCGACGAGGGGTTCCTCTGGAATTCGTACATGATCAGCCCTCTTGTGCAGTTTCGGTCGCGGCTGATGCCACACGAAAGGGAGACGCTCGACGCATCACGGATATTGACTTCGGCCATACGGGGGTTTTGTTTGACAATGAACATCCCTCAATTAGTGGCACCCCTGAAGCCCGCAAGGTCGGGCATGCCGTCCTATTTAACTATAATATCACGCCTTTCATGTCGACGAGCTGGAACCCGCTTCAACTCGAGAGGCATAGACGACGATGGCAATGTGGCCAATTTTGTAGAGACAGAGACAATCTACTGGAGCCCCTCAGGTGTCTTGTTCTCATACGCGCAGGTTCGCGGCTCCGTGCCTGTGTTCTGGGAGCAGGCTGCTGGGCTTTTGCCAGGCCAGCAGAAGATCAGCATAACGAGATCCCCTGATGGCACCCAGCCGGCTTTCAATAAGCATTTCCAGGACCTCGAGCACAATTACGGCGCCGTCCATGTCGTCAATCTGCTAAGCGAGTCGAAGCCCGGCGAGGTCGAACTGAGCCAGCTCTATCGCAATGGCATACTACACTGCCCTTTGAGTCGCGCGGGTGAAAAGCATTCGAATGAGCACGCGCTCCTGAGGGGGACGGAATACGACTTCCACGCTGAAACCAAAGGGCCGACGGGCTATGAGGCCGCTAGGGGAATACGCCGGTACATTGAGGGCTCAGCAGAAGGCTTTGCCTACTATCTCGCAGAGGAGACAGATAGCCCTGGTGAGACTGTGAATGGCACGGCGCACATCAACCGGCGTTATGTGGTTGTGCTCCAACAGGAAGGCGTCTTCAGGACAAATTGCCTTGACTGCCTGGACCGCACGAATCTGATCCAAACCCTCGTGTCGCAAATGGCTGTTGAGTCGTTCCTTGGCCATCGTGAAGAATATGCTTCCTCGGACTTTTGGATGAGGCACTCGAGCCTGTGGGCTGACAATGGCGACGCTCTATCACGGATTTACGCTGGCACCGGAGCTCTGAAATCCTCCTTTACCCGTCATGGAAAGATGTCTCTGGCCGGCGCCATTGCTGACGCACGGAAGTCAGCAACCAGGTTATACATCAACAATTTCACTGACAAGCAAAGGCAAAACACCATTGACATGCTACTGGGCAGGCTCGTGGGCCAGCAACCAGTCTCACTTTACGACCCCATCAATGACTACGTCAACGCCGAGCTCAACAAGCGCAGTGCACAGTTCTCATCCACGGAGAACATCAGAATGTTAGTCGTGGTTGTTCTCATGCTTATGGCGATATACTGACCGGCCACAGCTTGGTTGGCACATTTAACCTCAATGGACGTACCCACGGCATTGACGAGGACCTGTCTGCGTGGCTGTGCCCCGAAGAGATCGGGGATACACAACCTGAGATTATTGTAGTTGGATTTCAAGAGATTGTTGAGCTGAGCCCGCAACAAATCATGAATAGCGACCCAACTAGGAAACAACTATGGGAGCAAGCCGTGCGGGCGACTCTGAACACCCGAGCCCAAGAAATCGGCGGCGAGAAATACGTGGTCTTGCGGAGTGGACAGCTTGTCGGCGCGGCGTTGTGCATCTTCGTGAGACAATCCGTCCTTGCCAACATCAAAAACGTCGAGGGCTCTGTGAAGAAGACAGGAATGTCTGGCATGGCTGGCAACAAAGGTGCAGTGGCTATCAGGCTAGATTATGCCAACACTCAGATATGTTTTGTCACTGCACATTTGGCGGCCGGCTTCGCCAACTACGATGAGAGGAACAAGGACTATGCCACGATCAGCAACGGATTACGCTTCCAACGAAATAGGAGCATTGACGATCACGGTAAGGCGGGCAGCTCGGCCAGGATGGAGATCAAATGGCTAACAAGGGCGAATAGATACTGTCATCTGGCTTGGTGATTTCAATTATCGAGTCGGACTAGGTTGGGAGAGAGCCATGGAGCTGGTACAAAAGCGTGACTTGGAGAGGTTATACGAAAATGACCAGCTGAACCTACAAATGGTGGCTGGTCTATCATTTCCCTTCTACTCAGAAGCGAGGATCACCTTCATGCCTACATACAAATTCGACATTGGAACGGATACGTATGACTCCTCTGAGAAAGCTCGCATCCCGGCCTGGACAGACCGCATCCTGCGCAAGGGCCCCAACCTCCGGCAGCTGGCATACAATTGTGCACCACTCAGATTCTCAGACCACAGGCCTGTCTATGCCCTCTTCGACTGCACCGTGAGCATCGTGGACGAGCCGCACCGAGACAGGATCAGCCGTGATATCTACCTACGACGGAAGGCAGAGGTGGGGGATGCCACAGCAAACGTCAATACCGAGGACACAGAAGATGAGGACCTGATTGGCTACGACGCTATAGAACCTGGACTGCCTCCAGCCAGTTCTGATCGCCAGAAATGGTGGTTGGACTATGGCAAACTGGCTCAGTCCTCAATCGCGCCTCCAAGAGGCTTGGACGGATCGACCTCAACGATTCTAAATCCCAATCGACAACCCAATCCGTTTGCCCCGTCAGACGAGCCCGACTGGGTCACAGTTCCGCGGGCAGATTCGAGGCTATCATCCTTCTCCAGTATGTCTACGTCGCCCTATGAACATATCAATCATTCTACCTTACTGGCCTCTTCTGTTTCAAGCACCCCTCCACAAAGGAAACTGCCACCTCCTTACGACCCATCAGCTCTGCCTGCCAGAGTAGGAAGACTGGCCCTGAATGAAGAACAAAACACACTACAATTCAAAAAGCTAGACACACCGCCAGCACCGCCACCAGCTAGAAAACCATTGACGCAGACACCATCTTTCCCTCCGCCGCCCAATCAGACTCCTGTCCCCGGTATCATCAATCAAGCGAGGAAACAGGCACCGATTCCACCGCCGCCCCGGTCAGCTTCCACGGTCTCTGCATCGTCTCAGAAGACGGCCAAGGGCCCGCCGCCGGTCGCCAGGAAGCCAGCGCACCTGCTTTCCACCTCGCCAACTGGGCCAGATCTAGAAACGTCGCCTTCTACTGAGTCCAAAGCCAAACCCATACCGCCTCGACGGCCCTCAAGCAGCGTGCAAAACGTGTCCCGCGCAGCCATACGCGACAGCCTGCATCGCACTGCGTCCGCAAGAGAGTCTTACAATCGCAATCATGAGCAGCCGCCTCCGCCTCCGCCTCGTAGGGCAGGTACTTCTTCCGCAGCGTCGGGCGCCCCTGGCTGGGCTCCGCCTGGCGCTGTAGGCCTAGTTGGGCTGTCTAAGGAGGGTCGCCCGACACTGCCGACTAGGAAGCCGGTACCGGGCACAATCTCCCCGACCAGCTCATCAGGTCGGTCAGCCCCTATACCTGCTCCAAAGAAGCCTGGCTTGAATGCCAGGAGTCCTGTGGTGGATCTGCTAGGCGACGACGGAGCCGCTGTTGGGGGCTGGGAAGCCCTGAAGCCTTCTTAGTGGGGGTGGAAAGGGTTGACCGTGCACACAGTAGCGAACCACGATGGGTGCAAGGACGGTATCATCGGTCCAAAGTCGTTCTGCACCTAGGAGACCTCAGTAGGGATATTTGAAGGGTCAAGAAGAGCTCCGCCTCTTAAATTGAGGAGCACAATGAGCTTTGACCTAGGCATTGATTCAAGTGTAAACGCTGGCATCACTAGATGTAGATAATACAATAACAGGCCCCTTAATCAGGGTGCTAGACAAGGTCAGAGACAGGCCCTCAAGCCAGAGCATCATGAAGGGCCCGGGCTGCCTGAGTGGCTTGTGGACATTGTTGGGACTGACTGTGGAGAGAGGGAAGTACAAGACGTACGGCCCAGAATCAGGGTCATGAATAGAAGCTTCAAGTACCCACTATCAGACTTGAGTTGTCTAATAATAGTATGATGCACTTGGGAATACAGGTAGCATAAGAAACGAAGTGAAGCTCGCCCTCGAGGTCCGTTTTTAAGTATGTTGAACAGGGGTGCCCTGTCGCGTTTTTTATCTTATCACCGATCTGATCTCGGAGCCAAAAAAGTTTCCCAAACTACTGGTAAAGCGCCTCCGTTCGCTCTTGAACATTTACACCAATTATAGTCCAAAATGGCGCCAACGAGACCGTCGAAGAAGGCAAAAGCCAAGAACCGAAGCCACCCCAAAAAGTCGACACCAGCATCCACGAAACCAGCAAAACAGCTCCTCGCCGAAGCGACCGCACTCCTCGAGCAGGGCGATGCGCCGGGCGCAGTAACCACCGCGCGACAGGCCCTCGACGCGGCCCTCGAGAACGACGACACGCGCGCGTGCGCGGCACACATGCTGCTGGGCGAGATCAACGTAGAACTAGGCGAGATCGACACAGCGAGGGGACACTTCCTCGACGCCGCGCGGCTGGACGAGGACGGCTCGCTGGCCGAGGAGCTGGGCGGCGGGCCGGAGAAGTTCAACTGGCTGGCGCAGCTGTCGGAGGAGGGCGGTGCCGACTCGGTGCGGTGGTTCGAGCGGGCTGCGGCGTGCCTGCGGGCGCAGATCCAGGCGCTCGACGACGCGGCGGCCGAGGCGCGGCGGAAGGGCAGCGCGCGGGGCACGGCGGAGCGGGAGATAGAGGCGGCGGCCACGGAGAAGAAGCACAAGCTGTCCGAGACGCTGTGCGCCGTCGCCGAGGTGTACATGACGGACCTGTCGTGGGAGGAGGACGCGGAGGCGCGGTGCGAGGCGCTCATCACCGAGGCCACGATGCTGGCGCCCGAGCTGCCCGATGCGTGGCAGACGGTCGCGAACGTGAGGGTCAGCCAGAGCAGGACGGACGATGCGGTGGCGGCGCTGGAGAGGAGCATGGCGCTGTGGACGGACTTGGAGCCCGAGGACCCCGGGGTGCCTCCGTTCCCGTCCAGGGTAAGCCTCACCAGGCTGTTGATTGAGTGCGACTTGCAACAAAAAGCGGTGGACGTGTGCGAGAGGCTGGTGTTGGACGACGACGGAAGTGTGGAGGCCTGGTATCTAGGAGGGATGGCACATTACACTCTGGGCGAGAAGGACAAATCGGAAGCGAGCGACACAAGGAACGGTGACAATACCTCAGAAGCAAAGGATGGCTGGAAGAAGGAGTGGGTCAGAGCGCGGCAGTGGTTGTCACAATGTCTGCTATTATTCGAGGCTCAAGAGTACGAGGACGAGAGGCTGGGAGAGCACGCCAAGGAGTTGCTCTCTACGGTCAACGCAGAGGTGGGTGATCTCCCGGACGAGGAGGATGAAGATGAAGACGGTGCTGGCTGGGAGGATGTGGATGAAGACGGCGACGAAGATCACGAGATGGACCAATCTTGACCGGCAATGTCACACCGGAAGATTCAGGGCAGATGAATATCAACGAACCGCACTTATCAGACCTCCGTGGCTGAAGGGCAGCGCCTCATAGACGCTGTCACTGGTCCGTCAGATGCTGAGAGTCTACTGAGCCAACTTGTCTGGGAGACTTTAATGACCAATATTCCTGAGGAGCTCTTCACTGGGAGGACATCAATACATCCATCTTCCCGCTCCAACAACCATTCCCATGATATACAGAATACTCGTGGAAGATGTCACAGTAAATGATGTAGATAAACTATTCTTGCACAAAGCTCCATCATACCAAGAACTGATTGCCTTTCCGTGAAAGGACCCGGCGCTCTCTCGAGACCTTATTGCCCAGCTGGTGATAAATCGTCCTGGTAAAATGTCAACATCATCATAGTTGTGCTGTTCTCTTGCGAGACGGTGGCATTTCAATGTCAAAATTCTGATGCAACGGATCTAAGACTGTGATAGCTGGGACGGAGAGGTCTGTCAGTGTCGAGCATCCCAGCTCGTTTGAAGGGTGATTGACACCATCGTATTGTGGCTCTTATGTGTAGGTTTCTTCTGTCACCATCATTCGGAGGAGCAATGGCTGAGGTCTTGGGGGTTCAACCAAGCGCAAACCGTTTGCGTGTTGCAGGACTACATAAAAAGTTCAGGCTCCAGCCGAGAATCGAATGCTGAACTCCTGAACGTCAGTTGAAGGCATCACCAACCTCGTCGCCCAGTGCGAAGTCAGTCCAGCATAAAAGCCCAAAAAATGATACGCCCTGCCAACTTGTGTGCTACAGCGCGGCCCCCTTTCGAGTCGTGCCTATTTATTTTCAGTGTGATCAACCTAGGGCCAGGTACGGTTGGCACTGTGTATGGAGATCATTGGATTTAAGCACAGTTTCTTCATATGCTGTCAGCGGTGTTACCACTCGACCAACTTGCCCCTCGCTGTACTACCTCACTCGGTTGAGAATGGGAGATTCGGCCAGACTATAAGCTTGGATGAAAGTCGAGTGGCCCCCAGTGAATGCCGGTGCCCTGCTGCTGGAGTTGAGGTCACCAAAGACGACACCAAGGGTCACAGGCGCCACCCCCCTCCCCTTCCAACGTGAGTCCCTTGCCCTCGGCTCCTGTCAGAGCACCAAAAACCAATCTCGATCCGACAGCCTCGACAGCCTCGTGCCATACGATTAGCCGTCCAGAGACCGTCCATGACAGCCCTTCGAATACCCAACCAATCCCTGGTCGATGTGCCCGTAAGGGCAACGGATACGTAGACAAGCCAGCTTCCATTGATCACTCAAGTACACATGCGCATGAGAGCGCGAAAGCAAGCCGGAGCAACTTCTCTGGTACAGGCAGCACCATAGGGGATTGAACAGTGGGAATCGCAGTACTCACTGATTGTGTCATTTTCATCTCATGAAGCTGATACTTTGAGCTTCGCCAGATCCTCTGCTGGCGCGTCATCATCTCCATCATCTATCTCCTCACCCTTCGCGAGACCGCTCTCCCAGAGCTGCCTGCCCGTCATCCTGGCGGGTTCTTTTATCTTGGCCTTCTTCATCTCGGCTAATCTTTCCTCTTCCTCCTTCTGCCTCTGCTCCTCCATCTCCTTTAAGAAGCCCTCCCTCCAGCTAAGGAATGACTCCCTCGTCACTGCAGTTCCTTGGAACTTCTCATTTTCCTTCCTCTCCGCCTCCAGGGCCGCCTCCTCATGCGCCTTCAGTTGGTCCTCTCGCGCTTTTATGGCCACCTGCTCAGCCTCCTCCTTCACTGTCGTGACGAGTGTGAACACCATGGCCATTCCCAGGTTCTCTTCGATCACTGGCTCAAGGCTCTTGAGAAGGTCGTCCTTGGCATCTGCGATGTTGAACAGAGGGTGTTTGTTCTCGCCATCCTCCGCGGAGAGGTCGAGGTGCGGGGCCTTGTCCGGGTACTCCTCTGGATAGCGCACTGTGAGCGCTATCACGGGCTGCTCGTTTTCTTCGTCATCGGGTATGTCGAGGGTAATCTTTATTCGGTATTCTGAATCGGAAATGTCTAGGAGACGATGTCAGCGCATGTGCACCCGCGGCATGTACAGACATGTAAATGTCACCTGTGATTTCATCTGGGAAGATCGAGTCAAGCACCTCGCGCTCCTCTATTTGCTCTTCGCGGCCCATCTTGTGTTCTGACTTCAAGAAAAAGGGAGTAAGCAGATTGTGGCGCGTCAAATTGATTGCACTCAAACCTTGCGAGGACGTGGTTGAAGAGTCGAGGCTGAATTGACGTACGGTACGGTACGTACCTAGGTTGCGGGGTACTGGGCCCGTCACACCGGCGCAGAAAAGAGATAAGATAAGAGCTCACCGCCCAAAAGTAATGAACAGGGTCTCTCGGCAGAATCCGATCTCCCTACTATCTAGAAAATTTCGCCCGATCTCAGATCCCCCCATCCAGTCCATCCACTGAGACCACTCACACCGGCACGCAACAATGGCAACAAAAAGCGCAAAAGCTGGCGACAAACGCAAGGCGGCCGAGGCCCCGGAGAAGAAAGTTAAGAAGTTCGAAGTGAAGAAAGAAGGACCTAACTCGACAAGGAAGCTTTTCAAAAACGAGGATGCCTCGGACGACAGCAGCGACGACGACTTGTCCGATGGAGATGATGGTGGTGCCGAGCTTCCTGCAAAGAAGAAGGCGAAGCAGGCCAAAGGATCAGAGAAACCTGGAAGCAACGACGTGACAGACAAGAAGCACGAGCGAAGTAGGCCCTATCTTGACGCTTTGGCTTGCACCTTTGCGGTTCTAATGAATTCATGTCAGGTGGCGAAACGTCGAGAGAATCGCACATCAAACAGAAACAGCTGGCCAAGGAGCGGAAGGCTGCACGCCCTCTCGCCGACGAGCTGCAGAGGGCCAAGAAGATCTGGGAGCGCCTGCGACGAAAGTCCCATGTGCCAAAGGAAGAGAGGCAGCAATTGGTTGACGAATTATTCGAAATCATAACTGGCCGTGTCAAGGACTTCGTTCTCAAGCATGACGCCGTGCGTGCTGTCCAGACTGCCCTCAAATACGCGAAGACGGAACAGCGCAAAACGATTACGCAAGAGCTTCAGGGAACCTATGCCCAGCTGGCCGAGAGCAGATATGCCAAGTTCCTCATTGGCAAGATGCTGGTCCAGAACGATCCAGAAATCCGGGACATGATCATTCCTGAATTCTACGGCAAGGTCAGGAAGCTCATCAACCACCCTGAGGCTGGCTGGATCCTCGACGACATCTACCGTGGTGTTGCGACCAAGGAGCAGAAAGCAACCATACTGCGTGAGTGGTATGGTCCTGAATTCTCGCTTTTCAGGAAGGACGGCGACAAGACCGAAACCGCCGAATTGACCCAGATCCTGGAGGAGAATCCTGAAAAACGCGGACCTATCATCAAGCATCTCTTGGGTATGATCGACCAGCTGGTCCAGAAAAAGATGAACGGCTTCACCATGCTTCACGACGCTATGTTGCAGTGCTTCTTGAACCTGAAGGCCGGCAGTGAGGAACAGACAGAATTTGTGCAGAAGATCAAGGACGACGAATCAGGAGACCTCCTGAAGAATATGGCTTTCACAAAATCCGGTTCAAGACTCGCCTGTCTTCTCCTCGCTCACGGAAACGCCAAGGACAGGAAGCAGTATCTTAGGCTCTACAAGGACACCTACGAAGCCATGGCTGGCGATCAGTTCGGGCACCGGATTATACTCACAGCCTACGATGTGGTAGACGACACTGTGCTCACGTCCAAGACGATATTTCCCGAGGTTCTGGGCAAGAATGAGGAGAAACATAACGTCATCTTTGGCGCCAACGATCTCAATGCGAGGATCACCCTTCTCTACCCGTTCGAGGGCACCTCCAAGGCATTGTTTCCTTTGAGTCATCAGGGAGACCTGGACATCCTGAATGAGATCCACGAGATCCGGCAGTCCACCAGCAAAAAGGATGCCGAGGTACGGCGCAAGGAGTTGGTCACTGCAATGTCCCCAGCTTTGTTAGAAGCTGTCGCGACGTCCGCCAAAGACCTTGTGTCGACCTCATTCGGCAGCCAGTTTGTGGCAGATGTGCTACTAGGCGCAGTTGGAAACAAGACCTCGGCCTTGCAGGCAGTCGCTGAGGCAGCAGCAGGAGATCCGTCAGCGTCAGAAGACACCGAAGAGATCTATTCTTCAGCATACCCTCATCCAGCGCAGACGGCTTGGGCGGAAAGGATGTACAAGACGCTAATCCAGGGTGGGCGTTTTGACAAAGCAACCAAGAGCATCAAGCTGGTAGAGCCACCTCTGGACTTCGCAAACATCCTCTACCCCGTCATCAAGGATCACATGGTGGCCTGGTCCACCGGGCGAAGCTCCTTCGTTATCGTGGCCCTGCTGGAATCAGAGAGCTTCTCCCAGAAGGAGAAGATCAGAAAGGTACTCAAGAAGAACAGGGCGGAGCTCGAAAAAGCAGCAACCACTCCTGTAATCAAACCTGATGCGGGGAATGATGCCGAGAAACAAGGAGCAGGCAAGCAAAAGAAGGGTCGACAAGGGAAGAAGCCGCCAGCAGCTGGAAACTCGGGGTCAAGGATACTGCTCGAGAAGCTGTGAAACTTTATCGATATAAATCCAGAGCGGCGGCCGCATATGCAGGGGTAGTTGGCAGGAAATCATATACTAAAGCGGCCTCCATCCCAACTACCGTGAGGACACGCATGAACGGGAACCGGCCGAGAGAGTGCGGGAATTGACGAACCACCGAGCTTCTGACTCGGGGCGGCTCGTCACACTGGTTCGAAAACTGACCCCGCGATGTAACCGTGACGGCAAGGCATTCCGAGAAAGGGATGGGTTGAGGCTGAAGGTTGGGGCATGGTTCACCCATGTTCGATCTGGCTAGATCAGATCTTGACAGCCCGCGGAGGGGATCGCGGGGACCGGGGGGGGGGGACAGACAGGCAGACAGGGCCCTGGGGGAATGAAACCACGACATGCGTATCATCCAGCCGGCAGCGAACCGTGGAACTGGGGGCAGATCACGAATCCAATTGGCTGCTCGGCTGAATAGAGGACTCGTGATAATACCCTTTTTGAGAGTGTCAGTCGCGAGCTAGTCTCCCTGTCACCGGCATGAGCCTAAACATACTTCCAAAATGAGATCTCTGGGGAACAGGCCCGCACCCGTGCCAGATCTCGTGTGCCAGATCTCGTGCATCTGCGGGTGACATGATTTGAGATGGGTGACTGACGTGTAGGCCAAGCTCGGTTTTTGATGGCTCGGATTATCCGCTCTCGAAACATGTGAGCTTCAGCAAATACACCGCCGTTCCGAACCGAAGGGACCGACAGGACGTCTACCAAAGATTCAACCCCAGTCGAATGTCGTCTGATCAAGGATGGGCTGCCAAAAAGGCCACAGAGGGGTCCAGAGCATCGTGTTGAGCCTCCCGGTTGAAGTGCGCGGCATGACGCCTAGGGAAGAAGATTGGTCCCTCTGGTGGACGCCTCCCTCTGATATCCAAGCCCTTTCGTCTCTACTATGAGGCAGCCGGGCTTTGAATTGATCTTCGTTCTGACCCGTGGATGAACCTGTCTTGGGATTCTCCTCAATTGGGCGAGCATCTGATATCTGTCGTTTCGTCACTTCTTCTTTGGGACCGCGTCGCGATTCTTCATGACTGATTGCATGTCATCGTCACGCTTCTTTGGGAGGTCCCTTGCACCGCCCTCTCTGCTCCAACACCTCAACCTCGAGCTGTTCGTGTCGTCCCTTATAAGACTCGTCCACCATCACGCACCTTCCCATCTTCGCCGCCAAGAACCTCACCTCGTCGCAATCCAAGCAGCACACGTCGACAATGGGTCCGTCCTTGCTTCTTCCTCGCAGGTTGCCAATTGCGTGCCCTTCCGAAAACCGGCCGGGGTTTTCAACGTCATCCAACGCGCCCGTGGTAACACCAGAGCCAACAGCACGCCCATTCTCCACGAACGCCGCGTCCTTCACAAATTTGTCGACTTCTCGGACAGTCACTGTCATCGTCCCCACGACACATCTACCCTCACCGACAACAACTACCGCCACCATCTCAACCATCTTCTCCCTGCCTCCTTCCTCATCGCCAAGCTCGTCATCACCATCTTCATCTTCCTCCTCCTCAACCAAGCAAATCAACCCAGTTGGGCTCATAGTCGGTCTCACCGTCGGCTTCACAGTCCTCGCCCTCATGATGGCCCTCGTTATCTTCCTGCTCTGGCGGCGCCGACAGTCACAGGACGTCGGGGACGAAGAGCCCATCCTCCCGATGAGAAGCCTGAGAGCTACGGCGTTCTACCTGCCGCGGAAACAACAACCCAACTCCCTCGTCCTGGCGTCGCCCAACACCGACAAGCCAACACCACCGGCCCCGACGTCCTCGCGGCCGTGGCGCGAGTCATTCGCCGAGGCGGGCCTCTCAGATAAGGCGCCCAGTCCCCGCGCCACCAACACGGCTGCGCCAGCTCCGACGGTATGGCGGCACGCCCGCGAGGCTGCGCTGAGCCGCGCGCTGGGGAATTCGACTGAGGTTAGGGGCGGGACGTCAGGAGAGCCCGCGGCAGCTGGGGCAACACAACAGGGCGCTCAGCCGAACAGCAGGTCGGCGTCGCCCGTGGAGTCGATCTTCGACGTCTCCCAGAGGCGGACGACGGCGGAGATAGACGCCTCGTGGGCCATATTTAGGGAAGGGCCTGCGGCGTTCCACGGGCTCTCTGCGCCACCTCGGAGTCGCGATGGCTCACGGCCTGGCTCGAATAGTAACCAAGGGGGATGAGCAGCACGTGGCTGATGTATGTGGAGAACAAGACTGGAGGGAGTGACAAGCCCTTAATCACACATTGTGGTGACTACTAGATTGGGCGTTAAGCATTGGCTGGAGTAAAGGTGTTGTGGCAGGGAGTGTGACTTGCTGAGGAAAGGGCGAGGCCCAAATGTCTGCTATAACGTTCCTCTTTGGGAACTGCAGGCTCGTGCAGGCGTTGGATTCGATACCAGGGAAAACGGACAGGGCAACCAAGATACCTAATCGAGCCATTGAGCCGTATCTCTTCAGGGTTGCTGCCAAGTGCGATTAACAAAAAGAATTATACCCACACTCCATGAACAATTAAACAGTGACTGGTTGAAACGAGAGACACCCGGAGTCAGTCGCACAAGACTGGTATTAGTGAACGGTGGTCTAAAGGACACATCATTTTTGGAATTGAAGCAACTTGCGCAGGGCAGGGTGAATATTGCCGGATCGCATAAGCGACTATGAATGCCAGTCAGCACGCATCTGAGTTGTTAATGTCGCGATAAATTCTTTTTGGCGATGCTCTGGGATACTGATCGAGGGTCCATTTTGGTCTTTTCCCGTCTCCGCCTCGTCTCGGGGTATAGAACATAACAGGAAGAGAAAATTCAGGAGAAAAAACAAGTGCAAATGATTTGATCCACCCTCACCTATGACGCCGGCCAATGCTTCAAATTCAAGCAGAGCTCGCTGTCAATCAGTCTAGCTGCTCTTTTGTCCCCTTACCGTAACCGTAGCCTTTTTTTTTTTTTTTTTTTTTTTTTTTTTTTCCCACTCTTGTCTCTAGATTGCCAATTCCTTCGGCCACCTTTCCCACGCGTTGCCCTACCTTGCTGAATTCTGTCCGACAGCGGTTCCATCCTACCTGCGAGGTCGCTTTTCGTCACGTCGTGGTCTCCCATGTTTCAGGCCGTGGTGTGCCTTCATCTAGCCCCTAGAAGCGATACCAGATATCGTCGCAAGCGTAGTCGCACGTAAGCCCGCCTGCCCGCTCACCCTTGTAGCTTAGCCATCTGGTCGAGCAGGTCTTGGAGGACATCGTCGTCGATCTTGTTCGCGATGGACGGGATCAGGGTCTTGGCCTCCTCAGCGCTGTCGCAACAGAGCGAACCTAGATAGTGAAAGGCGCATCAGCACACGTGTTCCCTCGCCAGAATTGCCCCCCTGCGACGCCCGTGAATCAAAAGCCGGTCATCTCCATACCGATCTGCGCCCGCTCGAACTTGTTCAGGTTCTTGTGCGAGCTGAGCAGGCGCTCGACAGCCTCGACGTTCTCCTTCTGCTTGAAGCGCGCAAAGGCGTCGAGGTAGTCGACGGTCTGGGCGAGGATCTCGGTCTCCTGGAAGCCCTTGCGGTCGTTGCGCCGCTTCGCGACGAGCGCGTTGATGACGAGCGACGCCTCGGACAGCGTCAGCGTGTCGACGTCCTGGAACTCGCCGAGGATCACGTCCGTGCTGACGTCCTCGTCGCCCGGGGGCAGGGGCTTGGGTCGCGACGTCTGCTGGCGGCGGGGTCGGGCGTGCTGGTCCATGGCGGCGGTCAGGTTGCGCGCGAGGGTTTTCGATCGGTGTGGAGTGGGAAAGGGAGTACAGGTCGGTGGATGGGAGGGGGTGGAGACCCTCGGTGCCCGAGAGGTGGGAGGATGTGTCACTCAGGACAGCGGTAACTTGATTGCTAATGCTAAATCTGGCGATGGAAGGCTTGTGAGGTATCGTCTACTGGTTCAGCGTGGCCGCATTTGGCTTGTTGATGGGTGTCTTTGATTCGCGATTGGGGAAACAAGAGCAGGGTGGAAAATAGGAACTTGAGGCTCAGAGCCAGAGCGGGAGGCCATTTTAGCGTGCTTTCAGTGAATGCCAGGTACCCAGCGAGAGGTACCTCGCCTGGAGTCTTACCCCGTGGAAACACAGTACGATAAGCACTTGCATTGTCTCAACACTGGCACCTTCTCTCTCATCTTCCGACTATTTGTTCTCATATGAGTACACAGTGACATACACAAGTGTTCAGGGGCACCCTTTTTTCTTCGACTTGTGAATATCCCCCTCAAGAGAGCAGTCGAGATCCCAGTTTTAGGAAACCAGCTGTCCCCCTTTCGTGAGCCAGCTGTCCAGAAGCCTCCTTCACATGCTCAGGGTTGGCTGGGGACCCGTTCGCCGAATATGTGAGCATCTCATAAACGGATTCTGCTCTTGCCCACTAACTGAGGACGTTTCCAGGACCGTCTTTGCACTCATGATCATCAACAAGGCAGGTGGCCTCATCTTCAACCGGACATTCCAAGAGGGCGGGCTGAACCAGCTCAGCTCAAACGACTACCTGGTCATAGCAGGAACCTTCCACGGGTATGAGGACTGGACCTCGTGACTACACCGGGAAACCCTCACTGACAGTGCGCGCGTCCTAGTGTCCACGCCATCACATCCCGCCTCAACCCCGTCAAGCAGCCCCCGCTGCCTCCGTCTGCAAACGGGATCCCCACCCGGCCAGAGCCTCCGTCTGGGCTCGAGGTCATGGAGACGGAGAACTTCCGCCTACAGTGCTTCAACACCATGACGGGCACCAAGTTCCTCTTGTACACTGACAACACCCAGGCGAACGTGGATGTGACCACGAGGCGGATCTACGAGCTGTATTCCGACTACGTCATGAAGAACCCTTTCTACCAGCTGGAGATGCCCATTCGCTGTGAGATGTTTGACCGGAAACTGAACTCCTATATCAGAGAGATCAACAACCGGTAAGGCCCGGGAAGTTGTCAGGCTAGAGTGGAGGCGGCGAATGCGATGGGAGACGGCGTTGGTGGAGTTTATGATGTGCGGCATTACAGTGCTTTGGCATCAAGTCAAATTTGAGCTAGAATACCCTTGAAGAAATTGATTCTCATTCATGTCTACTCTTGTACATCGTGTCGTAACGACACTGTGCCACCAGGCACAGACGAGGATCCATTTGCCAGCTAATTCGCTGCTGTCTACGTCTCGTGTCGGTCGGCCCATGATCTAAGCGCCCGTTCTCTAAGCAAGTCCAAATCTGATGACAGAGGCGGATCAAGAGGTGTCCATCTTATCGCCACTCTTGTCTCCGTCCTTCTTCTCGTCCTTGGAACCTGAGCCACTCCCGCTTCCACTCGGCTCGCCATTCTTGTCCAGAAGGGGCTTTGATGACTCGTCCTCCTCTTTCACCGAGTCCAGCGATGCCTTCTGCGCCGCATCGGCCTCCTCTCGTGCTTGCCTGTCTCTCCGGGCCTGCTCCTCCTCCATAGACATACGCAGCGCAAGCGCCAGTTCGGGATCGTTGTTGGGGTCAAAGCCGAACTCCCCGAAGTCACCGCCGCCTTCGCCGCTAGCTCCGGCACCACCTGCAGCACCCTCTCCGTGCATTATGGGCGAGCTGACAAGCTGGTCACTGAGAAGACCGGTGCCTGCAGGGATGGTGACGAGGTGGGAGCCCTCGCCGGACTTTACGTGCTCGTTGAACTTGGTAAGCTTCTCGTGTGTCTCACTGCCCTCCAGCTCGCCGAACAAGACGAAGTCAACCGAGGTGTTGACCTTCTTGAGCTTTTTGGCCAGGGTCGTGAGGGTCTTCTCCGAGTCTTTGGTGGGCGAGCAGACGAAGGCGACGATGCGCTGCCGTTGGGTCTTGTTTTGTCGGTGCTTCAGTGCGAGCTGTGGTTCATTGGGGTTAGTTCATCTTCCTCGAGAGCCTCACTAGAGCTGGAGTGGGGTCAAGTAGGTAGCACATACACTTGCGACTTGAATACCCGTTGCTAGGTTGGCCTCCCCGCCGATCTTCTTCTGCGTCCTGTGCAGACCCTCGAGGATGCGGCCTTGCTCCGTGGTCAATGTGCTGAGCACCTCTGGGCCCTTGCCACCCATGCTCATGAGGCCGACCGAGGACTCCGGGTTGCTCGTCGTGATGGACTGGAAGAGGATATTAACGGCGTCCCGTTGCGCACCGAACCGGTTGGGGGCATAGTCTCCGTTGCGACTGCTTTCGCTGTTGTCGACAACGATCATGACCGCTTCGAGAACCATCTTGACTATGTGTCCGGCGAGAGATCACCGCCGAGGACTGGGGATGGGTGAGGTTGGTAGTTGAGAGTCTCTCAGTGGCAAGGCGTCTGGAAATGGGGTCGAAAGTCGATGATGGACGTCGCGGTAGGTGACGAGCGCAGGGAAAGGCTGGGGTCCGTGATAAGATGCGGTTCAGGGTAGAGAAGGAAGCTGGCTACTTAGTATCAATTCGTAAGTCGGGTTCAGCCTACAGGGCTGGCTGGCGTCACAAGCGTCGGCAGGCAGTGACAACCAAGCTCGAGCCCCACATTTCCTCTTAGCGCCCCAGCTCCCCTGTCTGTTCTGCAATGCGGGTTAGAGCTGAAGCTCCACGCCTTTTGTTTACTTTGTTTCCTAGTCCAGTATCTCAACCCCGATCCGCAATTGCATCAACACTACAAACATTCCGGCCAAACCCGCATAACTTCGTTCCCGTTGTTTCATTACTGCGCACTCAAATTTGGGGGTTCTGACAAAATGACACACTCTGGACGCACAAAGGGGCAGCCGGGTGAGTCTGCGCCCGCCGCTGGCCGGGTCGAGAACGCGCATGGCGCGCCGGAACAGACGATCGCGACAAAGGCGGGCAGCTCTTCTGCTGCTCAGGAGATCCCACGCAAAAAGCAGGCCACAGGAATCTCAATAAGCCAAAAACAGGCCCTCGTCGACAACCTCCAGCTCGAGAGTATGTAGTCGCGTCCTACAACGCCGCGCTCAGGGGGACGATTCTAACGCGTCAATAGTCACGGAACGCGCCCGGAAGCTTCGTGCGCAGTACAATCTCCAGGCCCAAGGTCTTCGAACACGTATCGAAATTCGCGTTAATCGCATTCCCATGGCGTTGAGGAAATCGAAGATGGGAGACCTGGCAGACAAGCATAAGAATGGTCAGCATCCTCAACTGTCGAAGCCCACCGCTTCCGCTTTCCCATCTTCAGTCTCCCGTCCACCGCCAGTACCGGCAAAAGACACCCCTGGGTCTCGCCCAATCTCTCAAGCGACCTCTCACACTACCACCACTACCGCCACCACCACAACTAAACGAGGGCCTGGACGGCCACCCAAACGGACTAGGTACAGGACTTTCTCTTCGAGGTTTGAATGCGTGCTGACCTGCAAAGTGATCAAATATCGGGGGCTGGCAAGGAGAACGAAAACGAGTCCGCAGAGCTAGAGCAGCCCAAAAAGAGGACCCGTGGTCATCCGCCCCCTCCTGCGGAATCGACCAAGGCGTCCAGGGTGCTGTCGCCGGCATCGTCTAATATTCGCACCCTTCCTCGCACCACACCAGGTGGCAAGTCTTTCATGTCACGACCTGGTCTAAACACTGTGGCTGGTCCATCCTCGCCTACAAAACAGCACAGCTCGTCCAACCTCTTCAGCAACCTCGCAGAGAAGGCTCGGTCAACACGCACAGCTGCAACGGGACGGAAGCAGACTGCGTCTACCTCCACTGCTGCAAGTTCAACTGGTGGATCGACAAGAGGGAGGAAACCAGCGACCGGTGCGACCACGAATACGGCGGCATCCAAGACGGCGCGGAGAGTTAGCGGCATCAGCGAGTCTAGTGAGAGCAGCACGTCGACGGTCGTCAAGAAGGGGACGGGAAGAGCGGCCCAGGCTGCGACGAAGGAGACGGCGCCCGCGCCGGCCACAAAACGGACAGTGATGGGCACGATCAGGAGAGGCGTCGCTGGGGCTGGGACGACGAAGAAAGCCGCAGCTGCGAAATCGACAACGCCGGCTTCTACAGCCACAGGTAGAGTTCTAAGGAATAGAAGTTGAGCAAATTGGACACGGAGTCGCGCAGGAAGGGGAAACGGATGGTACCACAGAAGAGTCACCTTTTTTTGAAGTCGTGCAATGACCGGGAATAGCAGGGTGTTCAGGAGGGCGTTGCGTCATTGGGATTGTTTGAGGCTATTGCGGCAGTCTGTTCTGCTTTTCGAGTGCCTGTCTTTAGTTCCCAGCAAGCATCACACAAGACCGTCACCGGCCGTGCTCATCAAGATAATGTAGTGCGCGTGCGTGTCTGCATGGCGAACTCGTTGAATTTCGCTCCCCTCCCCACCCCTGTCGTGGCTGAATATACCTTGCTCCTGCTCCAGCGTCTAGGCAGCGCTTGCCGACTTCTTCTTCTTGTCATCCACAAACTCGATGTTGTCCTCGGGTATCTGCTTGTACTTCTCGTTCAAAAAGTCCTCGATCTCGTCGCTCACGTCGCCCTGCACCACGATCTCCTCGCCCCCCGACGGAGTCTTGGTGACGCTGGAACCGGTGGCGAACTTCTTGCCGAACTCCTTGGCGACCTTCTTGAGGTCGAGGTCGAAGGCCTCGAGCCCCGAGACGGCCGTGACGTACTTGCGCTTGTTGCGCTCGATTCGCTTGATGGTGACGACGCTTGCGGCGCGCTTGTCGGCCTGCTTCTGCTCGGCGGCCTCGGCCTTGGCCGTCTTCTTCAGGGCATCCTTCTCGGCGCGCTTCTGAGCCTCGACCGAGAGGTTGGCTGTGGAGGCTGCTAGGGCTTCTGTGTGTTGGGAGTGGGGATGGTCAGGTTATCTGTTGTATGCAGGTATAGAGCGACGCAGGCGCAAAGCGGAGGAGTGGAATTCTCGTACCAGGTGACCATATTGTCTCGTACAGGTCCTTGTGGTTCTTCTGGAGCCACTCCTGGCATTTCTTTACCGTGCCCCCATACTCGCAGTACTCTGGGGGAAGGGTGCAGACTGTTGTGCATCATGTTAGCCACGGATGGTGGGGGGCCATATATGGAGGGGGGACAGAGAGGTTGGCGGCATTGAACGTACCACCGCAATACAGGACGCTCAAAGCTTGTGGCTCAGCCGGTGCAGTCTCAGCGTCGGCCATAGCAACAGCAAACAGTGTATAATTGAAGAGATGGTTCTTGAAGAGAACCGTGGAGTGGAGAGGTCGTGTGCGCTTTGTGGTGGGGAGCTTGTGCTTGGATGCAAGGCGATGTACAATGTTGACTATTGAGGGGTTGCTCCCCTCTGCCTTCCAGACCTGCCCCGCCATCATCAACGAGTGACTGAATGTGGGGTGAGTGCTGCATGTCTGCTCACAACTTCACCAGGGGAAGGTCCAATTAGGCTTAGGATCACTACCGAGGTACCTGCCCAGGCCAGAAATGCCTAGCTGTGAAAATGATTAATACTTACAAATACAAACACCAAGCGTTACTCATATGTACAACAGATATAATACTATATTATAGTAAGTGATCATCTTGCTGATTTCTAATTTCAGTGATCCGACTACTTTTGCTTCCTTGGTACTAAATCCTCGCGTCGGTGGGGAGGGAACGTGGTTGCAGATGCCCTCTCTTACCCTGACTGATGTATCACTACCTTGCAGACCCCCTTCTATTCCACCCACCAGGCACTTTCATTGAGCGCCTGCTGACCACTCTTATCTCAAAAAAATTACAAGCCGAAAAGTACGGATCTTCTTCCTCGAGCCTTTCGCAGGTGGATCTTGAATTTTTAGTTTCTACCGTGTACCCGGGGCATTCGAACATTAGCGACTGTCTGAGTAGCTAAGACCATGCAGCAAGGAGCAACCTCTTCGCTTGATCAGGCCCCTCATCACTAGACTTAGAGCCTCGAGGAGGGCCTCTCGACGAATATCTCACAGGGCGCCGGTCGAGCCCTCGACTGTTGCAGACAACAAGCTGTCCAGAACAGCCGGCCCACGGCGTCAATAAAGCTGATGCAGTATCCTCAGACATTTGCCGGGTCAGAATCATGACCTTCAGTGAAACGTCAGCCTTGCGTGCGTCGAGTCCCTCTTTCAGACCGGAGACAACATCCAAGATGGCCGTGCTGTTCTCCTGGGCATCAAGCACCAAGACTAGTCGCGGAAGAGATGACGCAAGGGCGACCAGTAGCTGCAGCCAATCGTCAACATTCTCACTGTTCTTGAATTGTTCGTGTTGTATCCTTGCTTTGGCTAGAATGTCGGGATTCTGCTCGATGATCTGTAATGTCAGGGACCGCAGGACGTCTGAAATCAAGACAGGCCCCTTGTTTATATCCACGCCTAGATATAGTACAAGACGGATTTTTGCGAGACGTGCCATCTCAATTATGTCGAGGGCAAAGTCGAGGGCAGCATCTTGACGAGCAAACGGGCTGTCGACACGGAGAATAGCTGACTTGGGAGAAGAAATCCACTTATGAAGAGCGGGCTTGTCCCAGATGGCTCCAAGTAGCTCACTTCCCCGGGTACGCCGCCGGTCTCGCGTTACCAGCCCGGTCTTGACAGCTCTGCTCGCGTCGATTGGTATAGAGTCGAAGAATACGGAAACGCTCTCGAGGTTGATGACAATCCGGACATCGTCACTTGATCCTGTGTCTTCCATGTATACCGTGGTCTTGGATGCATCATATCCTAGGTCCGGTTGACAGAGACTCGGATGTCCATGCGTTGATATGGCGAGAACCTCGCAGACCTTTGCATGAATCGCCCGAGTCTCGGTTTGATGAGCCAGGGCCGACTGTTCCCTCAGTCTTCGGAAACATGTGTCGATGGCGATTCTGGTGTCTTGGAACTCCAGCGGCCATGGGTTTGCGATGGCGTGCCAGAGTTTTCTTGCCCTGTTCCGACTCACATCGTGATACCACTTGGTTGCTTGTATACAGAAAGCCACGATGTGTGTATAGGCGTCTGCTAATGTCTGTTGGATCGCTTGAACCGGATATAGCTGACAGGCGACAAAGTTGACTTCTGGTAGCACTGAGCCGATCTCTGCGACAGCCTGAGCAATCTTAAGGGAAAGCTCTTCTTGATTCAAAGTTACCTGCGAATTTCAAGCAAATCCTCAGCTATTCAGACCTTCCTGTAGTCCACGGAGATTGACGATGTGAAACTACCTGGAATAAAAATTTAAAGGCTCCCCAGACAAGAGCCGCATATTCCGGATGAGAGGAAACGAAAGTATCGACTACTTGACTGTAGTGGTTGATTCTTGAGGCGGCGACTTTCCACCATCTCCCAATGGTCTTCACCTTCTTTGATTTGCATGCAGCTATTTTGTCGTACCGATTCTGGGACTCATAGAGGACCGCAAGAACGTCAGACATCGAAGACGCTGTCGACAACCACGATTGGTTCGCGTTTCTGCCCTTGAAGGTGGCTTCGTGGAATTGTTTTGCGCGGTCGAACGCCCTCTGGATGTTTTCGGTCGGGGAATCTCTACGGATTGTTTGGAGGCGACTGTCAACATAACTGTAGAACTCTCCGCGTTTGATTCCCCCACGCAAAAGGGAAGTTTATCAGCTTACTTCTGCGACTCGCCCAAATACCAGGCCTCGAGGTTCAAGCCCTGAGTGGCGAGCGAAACATTTGTCCGGGGATTTGTGATGCAACTACTTGCTGGACTTGACACCAGAGACTTTTCCATCCCCGCTGTAATTCGATTGATGATGGCCTGCGGCAGATGTATTTGGAATGAAGTGCGAATATGTGAAGATGATGTCGCCTCACAGACCTTACATTTGTCCTCTGCGGTGTTTGGCTACGCGCCTAATATCCTTTCAGCAACTTTGACTGCCAGGCCTCCGTTTGCCTCTCAGCCCCGGAATTCCGAGGCGCTAAGTAAATGCCTGCCTTCAGTGGGGCATGCGCCTTAGAAGCAGTGAATCTTGGAACCGGTGTGATGCCTAAATGGAAGAGGTGCAGAGCCCCATTTTCAAATAAGACAGTACTCCCCTTCGGAGTTCACTCTTCTGAATAAAACTTGTAGCAAGACGTTCATGACCACCAACATCTGGCATTGCCGCAAATCCAGCCCAGATGGAAGTGACTTCGGACAATAATCTTGTATCCAATCACCGGATTTCTGACGGCACAGAGGATGTTGTGCGGCTGGATTCTGCCGCGACCATCTCAGCTGATTTGACGGAGACCACCAGTGAGGATCAGAAGATCAATCTCCGTTCTGCTAAGGACAAAGATGTGGACAGCGGAGGTAGTGAGTACAGCATCTATAGTGACACTAGCGATGATGACGACGGTGGCAAGAAGAACGAAAATCAGAATGCTCGAAACAGAAAGCACCAGGTCTTGCCAATCAGCACCGATGGCACAAAATGTGAGTTTTCACGATTAGTCGCTTCCATTGATTGTTCAGCTTATTGACGTATGCGGCAGTGACCATTGACCCCAAGGAGCTTGAGGCGCGTGTTAAGGACCTCTTGCATGACAAGCTGTCAATGAATGCTTTCAATGGCACATCTCAAGCGGACAGCACCTCAAAAGTCGTTTCTCCAAATCAATATTCGACCAATAAAAGCGAGGTTTACTTCTCGGCAATCGCGAAACTCTGCGTAGAGAACATGATGTTGAGGAATAAACTTGACACCGCCCTCCGGACTGCGGAAGCGAGTACCAATCAGCCATCAGATTCGATCGTCGTGGAGCCTCTTGTGGAGGAAAAGCGACCCAAACCTGATACCTTCAAGAATTTCCACCTCGTGTACTGCACTCGAGGACGGAACAGCTATTACAAAGACGTCCCGAGAATGTTCAAAGGCGACCTGATCTCTGACCACCTTCGCGGTCAACACGGATTGCCGAAAGATTTGACCAATTTCTTGAAAGACAATCCGGAAATCATCTTTACTACAATTAATTGTTACAATTGTGGTTGTAACGGAGGCCCAAGTTACCACGGAACCGTCGGGTACAGAGACGGCAAACTGGTTGCAGATTCGCCCCTTGCCGAGCCCGCAAAGAACGTCCAGGTTGTTCTTGGGAAACGCATTCAGGACATCATCAAGGGGATTATCAAGTCACACGCAGAGAGTTTTAAGGGCTATTCGGCGGTAGACTTCCCAGCTTTGTGGATAGGGCCGTACCGCTTCTTCTTCACTCACAACAAAACTCTGTTGGACATTGCAACCTCTGCAGATGTGAGCGAGTCCGACCTGTCTTGCATCCAAATGCTATGCAATTGGTTCGAAACCAATCATCGCAAAGATTGGGACGAAGCACGCGAGCTGATGTCCAGGGGCAAGATCAATCCCAAACATGACACCAAGCTCTTCGGACCGGACGAGCTCTATGTCGGCCGGGTTAGCGACGATCCAGACGTCCTGGAAGTATTCAAATTCAAAGAGTATCCTTGGTTTGCTCCTCGCGACTCGTTCGCGGATCAATATAGCTGGGGCTTCAACGGTCGTTTTCACAAACTTGTCTCTACTTGCCCGTTGCGTGTGTTTCCCAAGCCCTCTGTCTCAGATGAGACAGAGGTCGATATCACTTCTTTGGACCTGTATCCCCTTTGCTTCGCTGAGCTCGGGACTAAAGAGAAGCTTATAGCCAGAGGCCACAAATTCTGGAACTGTCGCACGCGAAGTCTTGTTTGTTACCGAGAATCCGGAGAGGCGCCCATGTCGGGACAGGTGAGGGACACACCACAGTACAGAAACGAGGACTTTTGCTAATTAACAAATTTCGCTCTAGGCCGAGAAGCGATTCATGGTGGACTACGCAATGCTTCGCCGGATGTACCCGGATAAGACCGTGTTCAGCAACGCTTCAGACGATCTTGGCGAAGAAGCAATGAACAAGACCGAGCCACCGGATGACGACTTCCTTGCTATGTTACCACCCTACATCTATGGATTCGACATCGACTCCAAGACTTGGAGTAAGTACGCAACGGCAATCAATGATCCGAACCCGAAATTACAGCTTTGCAACACAACGGCTGACAAGATGCCAGGATCTATCAGAATCGATCGCACGACGGCGGTTACTTGGAATAAGGACGCCTTTAATAGGCTCGTGATTGCTCCAGACACGAAGGAGATGCTTCTGGCTGCCGTTACCTCCCATGGAGCGCATAATGTTCCGGCAACGGACTTGATCGCCGGCAAAGGCCAAGGGCTTTTGATCTTGCTTCATGGGGGCCCAGGGACCGGGAAGACGCTAACGGCTGAGAGCATCGCGGAGGCACAAGAGAAACCCTTGTACCGGGTAACGTGCGGTGACATTGGAATGGAGCCCGAGGATGTCGAAGTGGTATGCGTTGTCACTAATGCGTCCAGCCTCGAGCCTACTGTATCGTGTCCACTAACCAGTCATCGTAGTACCTGAAAAGCGTTTTGGAGATCGGAAAGGCATGGAAATGTGGTGAGACTCCAGCCTGGTATGAGCTGTTTGGAGATGAATGAGTATTGACCTCGATTACAGTAGTACTGCTTGACGAAGCAGATGTCTTCTTGGAAGCAAGGACTGTGCCCAACCAGAAGCAGAATGCAATAGTATCAGGTATGGCTTTTCCCATTGTCTTCGGGCAAACGACGCATTAAGCTCATATCGATCCAGTCTTTCTAAGGATGCTGGAGTACTACCCTGGCATTTTGATTCTGACATCGAATCGCGTGGCCACATTTGACGAGGCCTTCAAGTCGAGAATCCATCTGCCGATTCGCTATGCCGATCTGGATGAGGATCAACGTGTTCAAATCTGGAGTAACTTTCTCGAGGTCCTCAAGCGATCCAAGGAACGTGTGGATTTTGCAGACCTTGAATCAAACGTTCCTCACCTAGCCCAACTCGCCCTAAACGGAAGACAGATCCGCAGCGCGATCCAAATGGCAAGATATTTGGCTAGATATCGAAAGCAGATGATGGTCTACAAGCACGTGCAGGATGCTGTCGCTGCAGTCATGAAGTTCGATGGATACCTGCAGGAATTTCTGGGTCCGGATGATGTTTGGGCTAGACAAGAGAGACTAAGATAACTGCCGGGGCGCTTGGATTTTGTGATTGCAAATGTTGATTTTCGTCTGCTTGACTTCCTTCGGGAAAGTGTGATAGCCTAAAACTTAGGTTGGGCTTCAAACAACATGCCGTACTTCGTAAGGTTGCTCAAGGGTTCTAGAGTTGCTCATCTGAGAGGCTGACGGCCCCGGAACAACTCTCTGCTCTGCCCCAGCTGGTGCTAGTAGACAGGAGGCGAGAACACATTTAACGAAATTTTGCAGTCGTGTCAAGACACAGCTTCCCAATTGGCAGTGAATCCGGCCGTAGACGGCTCCACATATATAGCACGCCATAGATTTACAATACATGACAGGTAGCAAGTTTCTAATCCAAGTACAGGTCATCTAACCTAAACCATGGCAGAGTAACAAAGTCAGTATCGAGAAGCATAGCGACTGCTCAGTTTTACGATACAAGAGGCCTATCTTGTTTATATCAATGTGAGGTTTTTACCGACTGTCTAGGCCAAATAGAGGACGCTGTCGGGTAGAATAGCTCATACAGGCTTTATCACAATAATAAACTCAGGAGAACATTCTCTCAGGATGTCATCTCGATCTTGTGCCTAAAGATACTTAGGTTTAGATTGCCGTCAGTCCACCCGTGGGGTACGGACGGGGAAACGATGCGGGTCGTTTGACTAGTCAGGAAACCCCTTTCAGCCTTGGCGGGTCGCACTACGGGATGTCAAGATGGTCTTATACGGGATATTTCGTAGTGTGAGGCTGTCGTCGGGATGGAGTTGCCCCTTATTTATGCTTATTTCCTAAAGTCAGAAATCGAGTAGGCAGGCTGTGAAGGGGTTTGAAATGAGGTCGCAATTGTTGAGTGTTCATTGCTCAGGTGAGTTGCGGTTTACCAACGCATTAGTGTCGACAATGCCATCACTCTCTGGAGATGACACTCAACGTAGGCGACGCCTCTGCGGCTGGCTCTCGACAATCCCAAGTCCGATTCCAGTTTCCATCAATCGGAAGTCTGCAGATCCTCTGCAGATCGATTCACGCAAAGAGCACGCAACAGGGGCAGCCCGGCAGGGCTGGCAGGCTGTGATTGGAGCCTTCTCGCAGTTGTTTCATAGTAAATTGCAGCCCACTTTCTCGGAAACGAAACGCCGCCTGGTGGCCCAACGAACAAGCAGGGCCAACCTGGCGGCGCTTGTGTTCTTCTGCCATCACGGAAAGGACAAAAGTGCTTATGGTAATACGGAGGAGATTTATAGCTGTGGCTTGCCTCTTCAAGACTGTCGGTGCGGTCCAGATAGAATGTCTCCCGAGGCTGAGAATACCTGTCACACAAGCCCCTTGCGGTCGCAGGATCACCGGCATAAGCGATGCAAGTGGATTGTGCATGATTCCTTACCTTTATCACCTGGATAGGCCGGTGGAGATGCCAAGGGACAATATATCCGCCAGAGAAGCTAACAACCCACAGCACTGGTCCTTCGCCTCTGCCGGACAAGGCCTTAAACGCCGGCTTGGCGATGGAGTCGTTGCTATAGATATAATGGATGAGACCGCCTGGGACGTGGAGGGAGAAATGTTTCCTTGATCGAGCTCTATCCATCACCTTCGCAGCAACAGACTGTGTCTTTCTTTTACAATTAGTCTGTTGTGGCCGGTTATTCCACCCAGCTCATTCCGTTCTTTTCAGCACATCACGAACTCCAAACAAACACACAATAGATCCACAATGGCTAGATCAGACCTCTTCTCCGTCTTCCTCGCCCTCACCGTCGGCGCCAGCGCCCTTCCCCAGCGCGGCACCCCCGTCGAGAGGGCGGCCGCGCCCCCGGCGACCTTCAGCCCACAGCCCAGCACGGGTCCGGGTGGCAGTGACTACAAGGACTCTGCGCACTTCCGTGTGTACAGCGGAGCCAGCGATGCGGACAAGGCGCTGGAGATGCTGGAGGGCGCGTACGAGTGCTTCGTCAACACGCTTGGGTGGCGGTCGAGCGGCCTCTCGTTCAACGACGAGACGGACGCCGGGCCGTACTACAAGACCAACGTGTACTCCGTGAGCAACCTCGAGAGCGCCGCGGGCGTGATGCACTCTGAGGTTGGCCCCGGCGCGGGCTGGCTCGAGGTCGTCAGCGATTACCTGGCCACGCCGACCGTTACGGTCCACGAGTACGGCCACGCGCTGCACTACCACCAGAAGACGTGGGTCGACCAGACCAACACGGGAGCCTGGTGGGAGACGGTGGCCAACTGGGTCGCCGATACGTACTCGACCAGCCCTCTGTGCGCTGATGCGCGTACTGCGCACAACCAGGAGGAGGGCCGCAGCGAGCTCGAGCTTGCCAAGGTCATTGGTGACTCGTTCCAGGTCATCGTCGATGGCACTCCCGATTCGGGCAACTACTACCAGGCAGTAAGTGGCGATGTTATGCTTCTCCTTGGTACTGTAATAGCTGACCCCGTATGCCGCAGTGGCCCCTTCTGACGTACCTGACCAACAACCCTGACAACTTCGCCGGGCTGGGCAAGGACGCCCTGCACCAGATGATGGTGCAGTACGAGGCCAACAGCAACGAGACACCCCTGCACGCGCTGCAGCGCGTGGCCGGCAACTCGACGGCGGGCGAGATCGTGGGCCGCTACTGGGCGCGCATGGCCTACGTCGACATCGGGCACGCCCAGGCCCAGGCCGCCTTCGAGGAGCAGAAGAGCACCTTCAACTACGCCAACGTCGATGCGTCTGGCGACGGCTACGCCGTCAAGTCCGCCCGCGCCCCGCGCTACATGGGCGCCAACATCATCCCCCTGACCGCCGAGGGCGGCAAGGTCGAGGCCAAGGTCACCTCCTCCGGGGCCTTCACGGCGACGCTGGCCATCAAGGGTGCTGATGCCGTGCGCTATGTCAGTCTCGCCAACGGGTCTGGATCAGCTGAGGTGGCCAGCGGAGAGGAGGCCAGCCTGGTGGTTGCCAACACTCCCAAGGAGCTGCTCGAGTACAACGGGTTTGAGCTGGAGGGCAGCAAGGCCAACGAGGGCCTGGACTACTCCTTCACCCTGACCGGTGCTACTGTCGCCTCGGCTTAGGTTGAATTGGGGTGAAGTTAGGCTTGGGCTGGCAAGGAGCCTCTTCGTGTACATATTCACAAGTTACCGTTGTATATCAATTAGTGTGATGGCGTAGTGCCAACGGTAAAATGTCTTGATCATGGGCATGTGATGTCTGTCTCGCAGGAGAATATTGACTAGATTTGAACCGTTGCAGTTCAATATAGAATTAGCGCTACATACTGTGTACACTCTGAAGAGGTAAAAGATAACCATTGGTTGCTAATAAGACGGGCTACTATTAAAACAGATAAGTTTACAGTCTGTCACTGTGCGTTTACAATAAAGTTAGATGGTGAGGCTAGCAAAATTGAGTCTGGGTGTTTGTACTGCTGGGAGTGCGTTATATCTGCGAAAATGTAAGCGGCGATCACACTGCGTCTCTGCTTTTGAATAGGTTGTTGAAGACTCGAGACATTATTCGTGAGAGCTGTTCGTTATCAATATTTACATAGGTGGACAAGTTACGTTTGCATCTCAGGGAAGTCGGGCCCTGCTGTCGGTAACCAAAAACCTGTGGCGAATTTCCAAACCCGTTCCGAGATCCGGTTAGCATTCCTCTACCTCGCCTTCTGATAGTACACGTGAATGCGTAATCTTTGTGGCTATAAATCCTGAAATTCGACAAGCAGAAAAGAAGAGCGCTCGTCAGTCTCAAGAATATCAAAAACAGATTTCCATTCCATTGACACTCCATCACAATGAATAATTTAATTATCGTAGTATCCACCGTGCCGTTCCGCATCCGTAATGCTCTGTTGTATTTCCAGCTTCCGTGACAGGTCCTGCAACTGGCCCCGGAAGTCCTTGACCGATCTGACTACGATCTTGAGGCTTTCTAATGTTAGCCATGGATATGACAACAGCTGGGCTGTCATGAACATGTTCCTGATGTCTCGTCCAGTGACCTTATCTTTCACCATGTCATCCCGCCAAAACTCTTTGAAGTGTCTCGCAATTCTCTCTTTCTCGCCCGGCTGGCAGTTCTCCTCGCTCAGCTGCTTTGTGAATGTTTCCCAGATGTTGTCCAGTGTAGTTTCGTCCGGTTCCCGAAATCGAACTGAGTAGTGCACTCGCGACTGCACTGCAATGTCGATGGTGAGGATACGGTTGGTTGTCATGATAAGGATCCCTCTGAAATATTCCAGCTGTCTCAAGAGGACTATGTTGAATCGTTAGAGTTGCGGAAACCGGTGTTGAATGTCTAGGTGCCGATTTGGGAGCTCGGTGGAATTCATCAGCTTACCTGAGACCAAGGCATTCTGTTCAAGTTCTGCTCGTCTCCTTAATTGAAGAAAAACATCGGCTTCATCGCTGAAATGATACAGTAAGCATTCACTGACACCGCTCACCTTCCTCCAGGAAATGCCGGTGATTGCTTACAGAAGTAACAAAGCCCCCCACGCATGTGCCAAGTGGAAGAACTTCTGGAAGACACCATTGACCTGGCTGCTATCGTTGTAATTAAAATCTGAAGCATCAATCCTAATTAAGGGTCTTCTCTTCTCATCGGCAAGTGCTTCTGCTGTCATCGTCTTTCCCAAACCAGGTGTTCCTGAAGTAGACTGAGCTCAGCAACTGACTACATTGGAGTGCGGTGGTTTGGGTATTCAGATGCCGGGATAGTTGCAGCATTTGAGTAGAGTGATCAGATCTGGGAATTGACTTACCATGCAACAATATGACGAGACCCTCTCCCTTATTCGGGATGAGATCTCGAATTCTCGCCTTGTCCCTGGAGTCTCCTATCTTTAGATGATTTGTTACCAAGCTCATGATGTTCTTTTTATGAGCCCCAGGCATTGCAAGGGAATCCCAACTTCGTCCACCTCGTTCCGTACGATCCTCTTCCTCGATCGAGTCAACGTCTATCTGGGCCCAGATTTTGTGGCTGACAATAAATCCCAGAACGCGTGGAGGGAGTTGAGCATAGAAACTATCGATCGTATCTGTGTCTTGATCCTTCTCCGTGGAAGTTTTGGGTTTGGTGCTGTCAACCTGATCACTGGCTGTGAATTGCTGCCGCCATTTCGCTCGAAGGCCATTCAGCTCACAGAGAACACACACGCACAACTTGAATGTGTCTGGAACCATGTTGCCCAAGTGAAGGCAGCACCCTCCAGCGTACTTTTTGTAGAGCAACGGGTCCACTATGATGTTGACCTTCTCTATCTCGTTTGAAAGCCGGGTGGTGGAGGAAGACTGGGCTTCAGAGTCGGGCTCCAGCTTGACATTGTTGGCATCAGCGCCCGAAGAGGAGTGCCGTTTCGTAGCTGAAGAATCGTACTCGGTAAAGCTGCTGCAGCGGAACTGGCGTGATTTCGCCATAGATCCAACGCAAAACTCCCTAAACTTTCGTCCTCGCTCCGCCAACTTGTGCCTGAGGGCGTTCTCGTCTTCTCCATTGGCGTTGTAGAAAGAGACAGGGTAGCAGGGGAGTTCTTGGACCTTCTTCTTCCCTGAGAACCCTTGAATGGGGAAGTCGTGGCAATAGCGGACCAGGTCTTCACCATCCCAGTCATATCCCCAGCAAGACACCACAAAACGTGAATGATCACCCGATGGCCTATGTGATCGAACTGTGAAGATCTGGGGGAGGCCGTTGAACGGGAAAGACACAACCTCTGAGCCGGGAGGGAAGAGTAGCCACATGGTATCAGACTGGACAGATTGTTCCTTGCGAATGTCCTCTCGTGTTTGAAAGAGCTCACTCTCGTAGCGTTGTATATGCCTTAGGAAGCACCGCAGCTCGGCTTTAGCCTGCCGATGCTCATCGGCAGGCCTTGAGGATTTATCATCCTCTGAGTGAGCGACATCCGATAACTTGTCCCATTCGTGCAAAATCAGGACGTCCATCGTCGAAGTGACGGCAGGCGTGGTAGTCCATATCTTCTCGCAATTCTCGTGCTCCAGCAAGGGTTTGATTGTTTTGCGGATGATATTTCGCAACCTGGTTGAAAAAACCTTGATGACGGTCTTTTTTTGAAGACCTTCCTTGGAAATATGCGGTATGAACTCCATGGCAGTCCCTTTCTCCGGTAATAGCTTCTCCGTTTGGCCAGAGCTGGTTGGAGCCTTTCCTTCTTCGGCGACATAGTTGCCTGACTCGTTCTGTCTGTTGATGGTGTACTTCACCTTGACACCCTCGCACAGCTCTTCAAGCTCGCCACGCTCGGTATCGTTTGGCTCGGCCGTAGCAGCAGCCGTAGTAGGGTCGGCTTTTCCAGCCGAGTCGCTCACGAGGGTTTCATCTTTGCTTCCTGATTTCGTGAGGCCGAGGGATTCTTCGATTTTGGCCAGTCGTTGCTGTAGCTCGGTGATAAGGCTATGTCCAATTGCTGGTGGCTGGTGACTGTCCGTTACTACCGGTTTGACGACACTGGAAAAAGTTACTTTAGGTTCTTACATGATTGGTATTGAACACGTCTTTTTCTGCTGATGTCTGATCCGGACCAGCAGTATGATGCTAGTTGGGAAGAGTCAGGCAAAATTTTGAGAACACGGCAGTTGCTGGAGGGTGATACACACATCTCCGCATGTATCCATGGCGATGAATGAGAAGGTATAGTTGTACAGTTCAATAGCACAACTGTGATCTCAAAGGGCTCAGTGGTGGTACCGCAAGAGGTTGAATAGGTTCTTCTCGATCACTGATGATATTGGAAGCGGCGGTATTGCTAACAATGGACGAGCGATAAAGAAATTCCAGAAGACCAACGACTTCGAACGGGATGGTTCTCAGGAGCAGCTGTCCTCCATTATATACTATTGCGGCAATGCGATGGTAACAATCCATGGTCGCCCAGTATTCAACACAAAAAATCGACAAGGCTCTATTTTGGGGGTCTACCTAAGCGCCTTCGACGCCACGGAAATTGGCAAACCGCACAAGGGTTGGACGCATGCGAGGTTCCAAGCGGAAAAGTATTGGTGAGGTTGGGGGGGGGGGTTGAAGAGACGACCGATGGAAGTTGCTTCTTCCTCTATACTATGGTATTGGCCTCTCAGAATCTAATTTAGGTGTATTCTCAACAGAAGCATCGAAGGATTCGGTAGGTCCTTCGAGACCATGCTTGTCAGAATTGCTGTCAAATCAGCGTTCACTACAGCCTCATTGTCAGTCATGGCGATCTGCACGTAACGCAAGTTTTGTTCATGGTATGGTTGCACCATGTCCGAGCAGCATCGTTGAAGGAAGCCATCGACGCTTTCAATTTCCAATGAGAGCTCGAGAAGGTACATATTGTACTACACATTCCAACTGAACGCTGTGGGCGCACTGTCACGCGAAGCACGCCACTAGTTCTGAGGCTTTCACCGGTCGGTTGAAATCAGCCTGAGAGTGGTTTCTTGCCACATGCCTTATTTTGTGCCTTTGGCGAGGTAATTAGCCCCGGCCCCCTCCTCCTCTCGGAAGCAGTGAGCGAACTTCAAGGAAAGTGCCATTTGCCCTCTGTGGATTCGATTTCATGCAGATGGGCGTCAACGCGGAAAATCTGATAGGCCTAGAGATGGAAGCCTCCTGCAGACCTAGGTGGCGTACACGGGTTAGGCGCACACGGATCTCTGGTCAGCCAGCCATAATTACCTACCTACTTCCTAAGTAGGCACTGGTCTGCACCCGCTAGACCTGGAATGTACCCATCAATGTCAGCCTCTTTACATCAGACATCGTACTTACCTGGTTACGACACATACTCAAACACACTCTCAAAAGCGATCTCCTGAAGGCCCGGGATAGTCCACATCACATCAGTAACAGTCGCAGAATGGCTTTGCAAACGATGCAGTCAAGCCCCGACGCGGGCGACGAGAACGGCTTCGTACAGGCCGACATGGAAACCTTTTCCAATGAGTTGAGTAGAAGGCTGGCGGAATCAGTCGAGGTAAAAGACACGTTTAAGCTCACAGATGACCGGGAGAAACTCAACGACTTTCTGTCCCAAGTTCAAACGGAATACGACAAACTCCAAGGATCTCGACTACGGCATAAAAGGGGCATGGGGATTCGCATCTCAAGAATATGCGCCAGCATGTCACGTCTCCTCACGCATTACGCAGGGATCGCTGAGCTTATCAAGTCCATAGATTCAAGAGCCGGCCCTTTGGCTTATGGTGCTCTTGCGGTTTGCCTCTCGGTGTGTGCACCCCCATTCTCTAAAAAAAAAAAAAAAAATTGCCGCTCATTTCGTTTGAGCGCATATATTATGGGCCATCCACAAGTTGTGTCTCGTTCAGCTAACATAGCAATAGCTGGTAGGGCAGAAAGCGGAGCTGGAGGAGATCATGTCTTCAGGGCTGGAAAAGGTCTCATACTGGCTCCAAGACATTGGAGACTACGAGGCAATATGGAAAGAATCTTCAACTCTGAGGATTTTTCTATACCTTGTTTATCGCAAGGTCTTGGGCTTTGTGATACAAATCTGGGACTATTCGTCCGGAACGTCAAAACGTATTACTACCCTAGAACCTATCACTGAGAAGTATCGAAAGTTCTTGTGATATTTTGAGCACACATACTGACAGCCTGAAAGGAAGGGTATTTTCTGCGCTCAAACGACCACCTAAATATGATCTAGCACCGCAGCTTGAGAACATCAAACAAGCTGTCGACATGGTTATTGCCGAAGCGAGGAAGGAGCACCAGAGACTGGACGTAACGCAATGGCGCATAGAGGAAGGTCAGAGTCAAACAGTTGCATAATTGGCATTAGGAAACCTGCTGCTGACATGGACATCGCAGAGCGCAGAGAGCGTGAGTGGAAAAACGCTGTCTCCTCACTCCGTACAAGTGCGCGATGCCCAGAAACTGTGACCCCTGGTCAATTTTTGGAGATGCTGCAGGAGTCCTCTGCTGGATTGGACGACGACAGTCAATCTGAAGACGATCAGACTAGTCAATTGACAGGGCACCCGGCCTTCAAATGGTGGTCTGAGTGCCACCACAGCTGCATGTTGTTGTTGACTCCACACAACGGATCGGATTCTTCCCCGTCGCCTGATCAGCCACTTTGGACCTCGCCCATCATCTCAGAATTCGCCGAGACCGTGCCTGAAAGGCAGAAGCACCGGGTTTTCTATCACCCAATCGACGACCGGGCGCCGAGGCCGTCCAGCTTGGTCGCGCTGATCATCTGCGACATTCTGGAGAAGGAAGAAGACCTATTCAAGTGCATGGGACAGAAGGCCAAAGACGTGTTGATGGGTGATATGTCTGATGAGCTTGACTTGCTCGAAGCATATCTGCGGCTGCTCCGTGAACTGATACGCGGCTGGGGAGAGAGGCACGATGATACGGCGTTCTATATTATCTTTGATCGTCTTCATGTATATTTCCGCCGAAATTCAGCTTCACCGGGTGGTCAGGATCTATCTGGGTCGGCTATTGCGATGTTGAAGGGCTTATACAGAATGTTGGAGAGATTACAGCAGCCCGCGGTGAAGGTCCTCGTCCAGGTGGATGCAGCACGAAGAGAGCATGTTGTTGGGCGCTTGGACGTTTTCGGCGATCCCAAATATTTCCGTTTCTCAGGTCTTCTGTCTCCATAGGACTCTTCCTTTTTTTTTTTCTTCTTTTTTTTTCCCCCCTCTCTGTGTCTCACTATGCGCTGATGTTGGTAGTTGCGGAATGAGAAGCGCATACATTAGATGCCATATCCTTTTGTGATGACTTCGGCGACTGACGAGACGGAGAGGTTTGCAACGCTGGGACAAAAGTTCACTACCGTTTAGGTCATTATGATGACAGTGGAACCCACCTGGGCACCTATATACCTGATGCAAATCCTCATCCCAGCGCCTTCTCATTCGAGCCAACGCGAGATCCAAATCCCATTCTACGTTGCCCCACCTCCCACCTCCCAACCCCCTCCAAGCTGAACTTGTGCTCCAACAGACGTGATTGGTTTCACCGCCCCATGGCCAAACTACGCCTCCCTATCATCAGCTCATCAGTGCCTTGAAGTGCGAGTTCAAATGCACCGCATGTCTAAGCCTCAGCATCTGCCGAAACACCTCACGTGCTGGACAGGTTCAAACGCACAAGCTGTAGCGCTCGGCAATGAAGGCTCATTCTATAATCAGCTGACGTGAGATCTGAGATTGAATTACGCTCTGGTTTAGCCTTGGCCTCAAAAGTAGGTTTCAGGGGTTCGTACAAGTCCATTGTCATACAACTTAGTCTGAAAGTCGAAGCCGCCAGTTGCTCCCCCTCCTTCTAGAATTCACAGACAGCCAACGGCACAGTCGTACTGCATCTAGCCCCCTGTTTACACCCAGCAGTACTGAGGTAGGCTTGTACGTAGATGAATCATGTTGATGAGTGAACCACCCAACTCAAAAGAACCACCAACTCGGCGAACCAAGAATTTTCAACCCCCGCCTTTCCCGTCCTTCCTACCATCTCCAATCTCTCCCCGTCTTTCATTGCAACCAACTCGCCTTTGTTATCAACTCGGCCTCGCATTCAGCAACCCTGGCAGCCATGACTGAGGGACTGGCACCATTTCCTGTTGAAGGCCTGTCAGAGCCATGCCAGACATGGTATAAGGTTGTCGGCGACCTCGGAACGTCAGCAGTCCCGTTGATCGTGCTCCATGGTGGCCCTGGGGCGTGTCACGACTATCTGCTACCCTTGACTGACCTCGCGCCCTCCATCCCTCTCGTCTTCTATGACCAGATCGGAAACGGCCGGTCGACACATCTGCGCGAGAAGAACGGCGACGAGCAGTTCTGGTCGGTGGACCTGTTCATGAAGGAGCTCGACAACCTACTCCTGCATTTAAATCTTCAAGATCGGCCCGTCGATGTCTATGGGCACTCGTGGGGTGGCATGCTTGCGGCCGAGTGGGCAGCAGCACAGCCGGGCAATCTCCGGCGCCTGGTCCTCTCAAACAGTCTTGCGAGCACGGAACTCTTCCTGGACGGTCTTATCACTTTGAAAAAGCAACTGCCCCAGGATGTCCAGGAGGTATTGGATCGTGCCGAGGAGACCCATGACTTCGAGAGCCCTGAGTACGAGGCTGCCGTTGAAGTCTTCTACAAGCGACATCTCAGTCTCGCCAGGCCTTGGCCGGCTCCAGAAGTCCAGGCTGCACTTGACTGGTTTGCCACGGACCCGACTACCTACGGTACAATGTACGTCGTGTTCTGCCTCACCTGGGGAGGAAAAAAGATGAAGAGCTAACCACAGGTCCAGGTATGGTCCGAGCGAGCTAGTCGCATCCGGCTCGCTTCGCAACTGGACCTCCATACCCAAGTTGCCCAGAATCAAGGTCCCCACCCTTCTGATCAATGGGGCACAGGATGAGGCTCAGGACGTGGCGATGCAGCCCTTCTTTGACCACATTGGGCATGTCAAGTGGATCACGCTGGACAATGCTGCGCACTTCTCCCATGTTGATCAACGGGAGAGCTACATGAAGCATTTGGGAGGCTTCCTCAAGGCGTAAACACCACGGTGAGCGGGCCACTCGGTGGTCGTCTCGTAGGGTGAGTAATTACCTTGGACTTTTGGTACGCAGAGTCTACATCTGTACATGGCGGTAGTCTACTGAATACATCCCACAATTTTGGTCCTCATTTGGTTGTGGGAAAAAGAACAGGGTATCATAACTTACCATTGCATCATTCCCCCTGGCCCTGAGCCGCATCACCAACGACGGTTCTTGGCCGCGCCAGCTGTGAGACCTGACCACTAACATATTGGACCGTCTGCCAAGACTGATTCATAACCTCACAAAGGCTTTTGGAAGCGTTGGGAAAGATTCAGTACCCTGTAGTACTGCAAGCATAAAGGAGTCACTAGCATGAATGGCTTACACACTTTTATATGGAACTAGACACAAGAACTATATTTGATTATTTCAGCCTCAGTACCTACCCTTTCTCAATCCCCCTTCATCGGGATCAATAAACGGCCAAGAGGACCGGATTTCACTGTTAATGTAGCACTCCCACAAGCGATACCTCAAATGCATAGGTAGAATACAAATGATGCGAATGGTTCCTGATATGGTGTAACCTTAAAAGTTTGGTGCAGGGGCAGGTCCTGGCGCCGGGGGCCTTGGTGGTGGCTGAGGCTGAGGTGGGGGTGAAGGCGGTGGAGTGTCCTTGATTGGGTTGGAAGACATTTTGAATGTTTGAATCAGGTGAGTTTCGTAGTTGCGGGATTTCTTTTGCTGTACAGGCTTGTGATCTTAGACTTGTTTGAGTATTGAGGTTTAAGCAAGAGGGTAGAAGAGAGGGAGTCCAAGAGCTTTCTCAATTTAAATACCTGGCAGATGACTGGCTCACTCGTTTTATTTTCAATTAATTAAGTGAATAACTGACCCCATTTTCTCAATTGAATTCTACCTTCACTTTTCCAACACGAGTCTGAGCTGCTGCGGAACAAATTAACAGCGTGAACAGCCATTGCACTGCTCTCAGCTTTGAATGAGTGCTGAAAAGCCGATGATCACCAGTCGTAAAGGGTTGAAAAAACAAATATAGGATACCTTGAGCTGCTTAACAGCTTTCGAAAATTCGGACCTTTTCTTTTGGGGATGGGGAGGTGGAAGGGCCTGGGGATGGAGTTGTTGCAGTTGATCTACAAGATGTTCAATTTCGTGGTTGTGGGGAGTTCCAGATCATTTTTACTTGGTAAACAACCTTGAGAGTCAATTTAGGGAACTGGATCGTCTTATAGAAGAGAACGGAACACTATGGTGGTATTGTTTCCTCATACCTGGGCATGATTCACCTCGGTCGTTAGAGTTGTACCCAAATAAATGGGCCAAAAGTGACTGCTTGACAGGATGGGCTCTAGCTCCTGAAGGTCTTACTACCGCCTCAGGAGCATTTTGTAAAACATGAGCACTGGGCTATGGCATCACTGATATTCTCAAATGGATAGACCCCCAAGCGTAACCCTTTGTCACCAAGGACTTTAATCGTGTATATTGCATCAGTTAAGCGTAGCTGGGAGTGATCTTGGCTGCCGTGCTTAAACTGCAAGCCATGGGGAAAACATATTGCGAATTTGCTGTACTTAATCAAGCTTGGCTCGAAGCGTCCCTCGCAGGCCTTAGTCACTCTTCGTTACGGTTGACCTAGCCAACAGCCCAGGCAAAGTATTGGGAGCCGGTGAGCAGACATATGATGGCATTGAGCTATCTGCCGCAGCTACCTCTATGTTTCTCTTCCCATACTCATCCCGCCCTTATGCTCCCTCTCATCTACTAGAGTCTCTTCTCCGTGTTGATACAGCGAGTCAGCTCTCAGAGCCGGGGGATCTTGGAAAGACCAGAGAAAGAACACAAAGCAACAAAATACTTCAACCGCCCAGAGGAATAATAGCCGCTGCTTCGGCGCCAGCTCCAAGCCCTCTCGATTGGCGCGAGCGAGCAGGAGTAGGGACTGAATGAATGAAACCAAGATCCACACGGCTGTTGCCCCGGTTAGATCTCTGTCAAGACTAGAATCGATTTGGTATGCTTGCACCCACTGGTCCTTTTATCTCTGCACCCAAGACGCGCAGCGGAGAAGATGAGGCACAGGGCGCTGATGCACGAGGTCGAGAAAAGAACTACACTCGGCAACGTCAGTCCACGGTTCTACTACTGGCCAAGTGACAGAGGGTCCTGTCAAGGTTTGCGCGTGAAGGCAACTCATACAATTATTGATTCCGTCTTGGGTCACGCAATCAGGACCACAGTGGATAATATCGCTGCCAGACATAGTGGTGGGGCTACTTTGTTTCCTTTTTTTTTGGCCCGAACCGTCGGTACTGGTCCCTCGGCGTCGTCGAGTTGTGCGCCTAGGCGATCCTTGGTAAGGAGATGAGACCCGCGGCACTGAAACGAATAGCGCCCGTGAGCATATCACATCATCACGGCCGTCTGCGGGACCCTGGGGGCTTATTAGTATTAGTAACCTTCTCGGCGGACATCCAACTCGCTCAGGGTCGTTTGCCTCCCCCTCAGTGAGTGACAAGGCTTTCAAGTGCCGAGATGCCGAGTCAAGAGGTGCCTTCTATGGCCTTGTGTCAGGATTGAAGGATTCAATTGCTGGTATATTGGATGTATCTCAAGACGGGCGTGCCTGTTCATGGTGGAGCCTTGTGCGCTCAGCCCCCCTGGTCTGTGATGGCCACTGCATGGCCCATCTTGCCAAAAGTGCTGAGCTGCAAAGGATGATTGCTCAGCCCTCTCGGCTCGTAACTAATAAATCCGCGCTGACAATTTCATTCCTTCATCGTATGAATGCCGCACAGGGCGCAGGTAGCACGGCGTGGCAACTGCCCCTACTGTAAAATAAACGAAGGTCCACAGGAGGATTCGTGGAGCAGCCAGGACGGAGAATACCGCATGTCAGAGTTTATTTTTACAGCTGCCATCCCAATTATGCATAACTGGGCCCAAGATCTTGGCTAAGTTACACGCTACCGTCTGGGAATTCTGGGAGCAGTTCTCGGTCGATGTCCGCGAATCGATAGTGCGCCGTTATACCCGGCCACCCCGGCCACTCCGGCCCGCCGCACCTTCACACAGCAGGATGGTATGGCATGGCATCGCTTCAATCTCTGGACAACCTACTCTTACACAGTGTTACGCTGAGGACGATCACATCATAAGCATGGGGCCTGAAGGGATGGGGTTGAGAAAAAAACGCTATTCAAAGCGTTGTAATTTGCAAGAAGAGGCATATCTCTCTCGGAGCACTAGCCCATAGAAGTAGAAGAAGAAAGCCTCCAGAGGGTTTGGAGATGTACATGAAGTTGTTGCCGCGAGGGGCATCCGGCTGTGACGCCGGCGTGTCCAAGTGCGCATGGTGGTCGTTGACCATCCGTGATGCCACCTGGAATGCTCCCAGCATGCAGGGGAGTCAATAACAATAGCGGTTGTGAGCGCAGGTGGGAAATCCCTGGGCCTCGGCCCTGTTATATCACCGCCTTGTGGGCGGGATCAGTTGTGAAACTCCTTTTATGAAGAGTGAAAAGCCCGTTTTGCTCGCCATGTGAGGCTCAGTGGTTGGGCAGCACATATCGTTCTTAATTTCAGAACGTTGGGCATGAACTGGGCAGGAAGGAACGCCGATGGCAACAAAGCGACGGCGGTGGATCCAGGGCTCCTGTAGAGTTGTGATCCGCGGCCTGCCGGTTGTATTGATGCAGATGGGAAGTCTTCCGGCTCCGCAGGGCAGTGGGATGAGATTGATTGAAAGTGTGTCGAGGCTCTGCTGTAATGTGTTAGTAACTGGAGACAAGGTGGCCAGGTACCGGCAGTGGGGATGTATGTATCTTACCTCGAGGTTCTTCAAGTCTCGTCGGCACTTTCAGGTACAGTCCATATGGCCGAGGCACTGCTCTTGAGCCGGCTATGTGGAGGACGAGTCTTAGACGGCGATGGGGTCGTCACCTCGACTGGCGATGACTGCGGCGACACGTCTTCGAATCCCTCACCCGTCCTGGGGCTTAGCACCGATTGCTGCTCCAGGGCGTAAGGGCACCTCCCCTCTCCGACGGAGGACCGATGGCTGTGGAAGGAGCACTGCCGGAAGCCGAAGTTGCGCTCGTCGTTCTTGAGCTTATTGCGAGGTAGCCTAAGCTGTGGGTTCTTCACGCTGACGTTGGCCCTGCTGTCGGCCATCTTCTCCACGTGCTTGGTGTAGTCGACCCCCAGCTCCGGGAACTCGTCGAAAAGCTCGTTGTATGATAGGGCGTCCCCGCCCCCGTTGCTCAGCGTCCAGGCCAGCATCGCGACGGACCACTTCCGAAGACGGAAAGACTGCTCGCGCGAGCATTCCTCGTAGAGGTGACGCACAAAAGAGTAAGACACATCCCAGTCACATCGGAGGTACATGTCCTGCACGGCGTCCATGGTAATGTCCTGGAGGGCGGATAACCGTATCACGGCAGCGAACATGTGCAGCTTCACAATGTTCCAGTGAAGTGCTCGTCTGCTGGCTTGTATCTTGGCTTTGTTGGCTGGTGTGAGCTGAACAGCCACGGTAGCGATCATCTGTTCCAGCATAGATCGGAATGAGTTGCGCCGGTACAGCCACAGGATGAAGAGGTCCATCATCTCAGGACACTCCTCGGAAAGCCAGAGGACCCGGTCAGGTTGTGCTCCGGCAGACATCGACAGCTCGCTGTCGGGTGAGCCTGGGACCGAGTCTACAGTCTCCAGGCTATACCGGAAGAAGGAGCTGGAAGCACACAGGAGTTTCTTGTGAACTGAGAATTCCTTTTGGCTCGGACCGACCAGCAGACGCACCACCTCAGCGCCAGGCAGACTAGTAAACCTTCGAGATTAGCAGAGGTAGACGGGATTAGTGAGATAGGGGGAGCGGCTTACGGTCCCAGTGATACCATATTGTCTTGTCGTCTGGCCATGGTGCAGATTTGTCAAATGATACCGCTCGTCAGAACACGCACTCAATGCGGTACCCAGGCTCTCAGACCACGAGAGGGAGGAGGGAGGTGAGCCCATATGTAGCCCTTGGTGAGCTCATATCACAGCCAACTCCTCTGGATCGGGGGATCAGCGCCGAGGCGAGTCAATCGAATCCGATCCCAGTTCGCCATCAGGGAAGACGAGACGAGGACAGGGCCCAGGGCCCAGGGCAGAGGGCAACGACCACGACGGGACGAGGAAACAGGCCCCTGGCAATACTGGCCAACCCGTTTGTTTCGAGCAGGACCGCTGCTGTCATGGGGTGGAGCAGAACCAGAGAAGGGCGTGAGGAGGGCGAGGGCCGTGCAGCGATTGTTTTCTCCCGCATCGAGGCACACTGGCACAGAGGCAGGGCGGGCAGGGTGTCACCAGGCGGGCAGCAGGGTGGACGAGGGCCTCGAACGGGCTGGGTGAAGGTGAAGGGGGGTCATTTTCCCTCCAAGGGACTCCTGAGTGTCTGAGGTTCTGCCGGTTCAGAGCCCCCTTATCGCGGGCTCGACCCCACTTCTCCCACCAGGTGAAGCTCGCGTGAGGGACTGATGCCTGCGGCTATAGGTGGGAAGCTTGTCTTAATGTTGCCAACCCACGGCTGCGAGCCCCGGAAGAATGCTTGGTCGGGTTTGAGGTCGATGCATGGCTTCCTGTGGCGCCTCCTTCCCTGCTTCCCTGCAATGCCTGTCAGGCCTGCTGTGGTGCAAGGCGCATGTCAGCGCTGGCCAGCCAGCCCCGTTGTTTTAAAACACGAGGGGCTTCCCGGCTCCGAAGTTTCGAGGGAGAGCTCCCGCTGACATGGGCTGGGCTCTGCGAAGCGAGCCCCCGGTCATCCTTACCAGTATGGGCGACTTAGACGGGATGGCACAGAGGATCCAGTGGATCGGCAGATTAACCATTTCACCACGTCGTACACGACCCGAGTAAAACGAGTAAAACGATTTAATCGGCGGAGATCACAACTCCCACCATCAATCAAATGTTTTACGAGGACCGCAGCCGCTACCAGACAAGAGCCTCCTCGCGCGGTTCCTGATAGACACCGGGTAATGGCTGGCGGGATTTTGTGGTCACGCACACGCGGCGACGCCACGCCGCCTTGGTGGTGGCGGAGGAGCAGGAAGAGCACTCGCGGCGCCGGTTAAACTTGCTCACCACCAGCAACGGCCAGGCCCCAGCATGACTGAAGGTTTCCTCGTGATCCTGACCAAGGCATCATGCTCGACCCCCTCATCAATCTAAATGACATTCCCGGCCGGGCGCCATCAACTAGTCCTGCTGTGCGCTGGGCTCGCACAGGCCTGTGACCCAGTTGTTGACTGGACTCTGGAGTCAGTCTTGAGTTTGACAGAAAAGCATCATCCTGGTCCCGAGAGTGGACGGGCTCCTCTTCTCACGAGAGAAAGAGCGCTCTCTCCCGCCCGACTCGACACTCTCCCTCCACGTTTTGCACGTCCATTCGACTGCCAATGACGAAACCTCAACGCGCGGAAGCTAGTGCATGACCAGCAAGCGAGATGTTCCATCCCGCGTACTAGGGATTGTGATGCAACATCATATCAAATCCCTTACGTGCCATTTCCGAAGCAGATAGAGTGGCTGACGGGGATTGACAGTCGCCGTCGTATCTTTGATCTTCTCTGACAGGGAGACAATGTCTTGCTGCGCTGCCGGCACCGACAGTCCCGGGCCTATGGGGCACTCCTCCTGCAACTCTCACGAGATTGCGACGGCTCAGAGCGGTCGAGTCCTCGCAACAGCTTCGAGCCCCTTGTTGTTCCCTGGTATATTATTGGAATCGGCGAGGGTGGGTTTTCCAGCGGGCTTAAGTCCACGTGGAACGCGGAATCGACTCCCCGTTCATCTCCGCTTCTGAGGGAGATGGGGTCGCAGTCGAGGCTGGACGATCTCGTGGGCTCTATCCATTGGCAACTTGCCAATACCTACACTGACGTTATCAGTATCTGGTCTGCTGATAAAGGCGCAAACTCGTCGGAATATTGAGGAGAAATACCAAGGTACCGCCGGGTAAGCGGCGCCTAGTTGGAAGTATCCATGGGTTGTGGTCCTTGATAATTTCCCTAGCCTGAGGACTCCAGTTAATGCGGATTGCTATAGGGAAGCGGGGCATGCTATACTCGCAGCTCGAGATATCTCGAGTCGAGCGGGATGGCTTCCGTGCCTGGCCATGACACATACTCGTGGCACCCAGGTCAATAGAGCAGCTATAGCCGGCGAGGCGAGGCCATCATGGAGCACTCGTGCTCGTGACTATCGAGATGAAGCCGAACCCCTCCGCCCCGTTGCACGCCATGGACACTGGGGCCCAGGAAAGATTGGTCTGGAAGACCTGCGCGCTCCACAAGCTCGTGCGTGTCCCTTCCTAAGATTTCGTCATGTGAAATTTGTCTTTCCTCTTGTATGAGCCGTGACGCGTGGGTGCCGGGTGCCGATCAGTAAGAGGCTCACCGTTGCGACAAGCGCGTGGGGATGAGCTGCAACTCTGCTACATCCATTGGGGTCCCTTCACAGGAGATTGTCAGCCGATGTTGACTCGGGACCGACGATCGGATCAGAGACAAGCACTGCCAAAATCCGGCCACCAGGGCTCCTGGTCACCGACTCGTGCGCCAGCCCAGGCGATTTTTGTTTCTGGGGGGCGCGAGGTGGCAGGCCGTCGTCATCGTCATGGGAGGAGTTTCTGTGGGCTCAGGTTGCCGCCCGCAGATGTCGCACGAACAAATTCCCTCGCAGATTTGGCGGTCGAAACACGAAGTAAGTAGTACTTGTGGGGACGCCCAGTCCTCAAGCTCCGGAGGGTTCGACGATCCGGAGATCAGTAGTGAAAGTAGTGAAGTCTAAGCTGCCGCGGCACCTGCCATCTTCCCTTTTGTTGTTCCAGAATTTGTGGAACTGTTCTCCATAGGCTAGGAAAGTTTTAGAGTTATTAGCCCGAAAGTAGCACCATCTACCGTTCACCCACTGAAGTTGCCCTGTACATAGAAAGAGCCGCCTAGAGCTTAAAATGTACGGTGCAGCTGTCGTACGCGACTCCTTTCATGACAACAACAGATGTTGTCTTGCACTTTTCTAGTATGCAACACATGATCCGTCCCAAATTGTATGGTGCTGCCCAGCTTCAGTTCTACGAACGCGCCGTATACGTCAATACGACAACGTCGAGTCAAGCCTACCCACAGATGGCTCCTTGTCCGTATCACTCAAGTGTGAAAGTGTGATCTTCGCTCCTCTTCGGAGTTTTCCACAAAGGGCGATGTGAGTTCTGATCTAAGTCACGCATACCCACACAAAAAGTGCAGGTGAAGCATCTGTGAAGCCCTAGAAGTCATGTGCAACATACTAACTCGAGTAAGGGAGCAGTGGGCCATGTGGGAGATCATCGTTCTTGGAATAAAAAATTCCGAGTCTCGCGCCCGCGCGGAGGGAGCTATGACCTCGCCTGGGCCTGGTTGGGGCGGGACGGATTCAGCCAGGAAAAGACGCAGTGGTCATGGTTGAGGCTTTATCCATGCCAAACTAACCGTGGCAGTGTTACTGCGATATTCCGTCACGGTGTACCTGCAATTGCATACCCCTCCGTGAAGGCGGAAGCCCCGGCATCCACGGGGCGTAGACCATGTCCGGCTATCAAGATACCACACGAGGAAGCATGGAGAAGACCTCCATGCTGAGATGGGTTAGGTTGAGACGCTGAGCGGTCAAGGCAGCTTACCGTGCCACCTCTGGCAGACTCGATGTCGCAGGAGTGTCGACAGCATCCTTTCGAAGGTGTCAACGGATGGTGCGGCTGCTTGTGCAATATCATCCCAACCTCATCGGAAGTGTCAGCGAGCTGTCACTGCTTGTTAATGTTCTTGGTGGACCGAAACTCAACTTGGACTTCCACTTTGTCCAATGGGTCCGTAGTTGGTGGGCCTGGCTGGGTTTTACCTCGCATCACTGCCACGCATCCGTCCAGTCCTGATGTGAAGGTTCTAAAGTTCCTCCCCGAGCATGCTGCCATGAGGCTTGGCTTGCCTGAGAACTAGAAGGTTTGAGTCTGCCATTAGTAATCCGTCTTCTCAAGGCTAAGTTCTCCAATGGCCACAATGTCCTTGACCCATAAAGCTCAAGAATGTGTTGCTGACTAGCCATACGATGGATGAATACAGATCGGACCATCGGTATCCACGCCCTCGCAGACGATGGGAGTCCTCGCCGGACGCTCGCCCGCCCCCATGCCCTGACAGACCTGGAAAAGACCATCGAGGAGCTGTGCAGCTACGAGGCAGTGCAGCCAGATCAAGAGCAAGCACATGCCAGTAGCCAAAGGGCAATTCGGTAGGAACCAGCAGGCATTCATGCCAGTATGGTGTTTCTGAAGCGCAGTGTTGCTGCCCGCAGGCAACATACGAAGCCTGACGCCACGGGGGCTTCCAGGCACTTCCAACTGATGCTCCACTAGGGCACGCGACCAAGAGCAGCTTGGTGTCGGTCGAGAACGAGACATGCCCGAAATTGGCTTCGAGACCTGATGGCCGCGTGCAAGGTCAAACACTCCGGGAAAGCCTAGAAGCCGCACCGAAAGGGTCGTTGAAGGGAGGCGGTGCCTGCGTGCGGCAGGGAATGCGAGTCACGTGAAGACACGAGTTGTCGAAAGTTTCCAGCAACTGCCGCAGGCAGTTACATATGTGGCAGAACCAGATGGCACGGGCGTGGTAGGTTCTCTGCTAGATGGTATAAGTCAGCGTTGAGGCGCAGTGTCAAGATGATAAGCGGTGGGAGCGGCAAGCAGCCCTTGACACTGGCCACGGGAGCGTGGTCGCGTACAGGCGTACGGGCGTATTGTCGTCTTAAAAGCTGGATCATGCCATGGCGTTTCGAAGGAGCAAAAGAGTGGAGAGAGCGCGGAGCATTCTCCATCTCACCTCCTGGGACCCTCGTGCCAGTGTGTGCGCTTGTTGTTGAGAATCAGCCTTGCCATGGCATGTGGAGATTGAGTTGAGGGCATTCCAAATCTTATCGTGGCTGCGCCGACGATGGATGCGACGGGCAGCAACAGTGAGCACGTTAGATTGGCTGCTGCGATGGCTTACAAACAAAAACAAATAGACTACAGTCAGTAGTACGAGGGCCAGGTCCGGCGGACAAGAGCACAGCCACCGGTGATCAGCTCAAGAGGAGCACTGCTGGTGACCGCCCCGGTCACAGGCCAAGCGTGATGAGGAGCAGTCACGCTGTCTTAGCCCTCGGATGGGGAAAGTGACGCGCGCCGGCCTCCTTGGGTTGGGCCCGCCAAGCTGGATGGGCCGCTTATCAGCGTAAACCACTTGGTGCACCAGCAACTGGTGGACCAGCCGGCCGTCCGTGTTAGTGGCGCACCCAGGGCGACCGCCAGAAGCTGCTAGAGTCCGCTTCTGATTGTGGCCTGCCAAGTCTGCAAGTGTGAGGGAAGGTTCGGGAGTCCGGCAGCCAGCAGACCAGACCACCTTCCTGCTGCTCTGGCGGACGTCATCCATGTCTCTTCGTCAGTGGTCGTCATCCCAGCAAGCCCAGCACTGCCCAGCTGCCCTCGCTTCATTTAAGGTAGAGAGCCCAGCACATCCGCATAACGTCAACCGACGCCGTCCCTTGGGTTCCCCACTGCATACAGCATCATTTCGCAATCGCAGGCTTGTGCAGTCAACAAAACATACCCTACCTGCCTTTCACCTCATCTGGCCTAGAGTCGCTATCAGTGAGTCCATCGTGAGGAATCATCAGCAAACGAAAACAACCAAACACCCGCAGTCATGATCATTCCGGAACTGGGCGGAGGTCTGGCCCCCAGACAATAGTAAGCCTACTCTTTTCCTCTGCCAAATCTGCTCCACATCCACCCGCATTAGACCCCAACCATGCTAACCATCACAGCACCACGGGCTGTCCCTCCGGCTACCACTTGAGAAATGGTCGCTGCTACCAGAACAACTGGTCATACTGGGGCCGCTGGGTCCTCGCCGCCGTCGTCATCGTCTTCTTCCTCTCCCTCTTCGTCATCTGGAGCTGCATCTCGAACCGGCGCCGCCGCACCCGGGGCCTGAACCCGCGCTACGGCACCGGCTGGATGATGCCCGGCGGCCAGTACAACGCGGGCGGCCAGCAGCAGCCCCAGTACGGCGGCGGCTGGTTCGGCCACAACAAGTTCGGCAACAACCAGCAGCCGCAGTACCAGCAGCCGCCCCCGCCGCAGTACACGCCCGCCCAGGGCCCCGTGCCCAATCAGTACACGGGCCAGACGTTCAACTCGAATGAGGGCTACTATGGCCAGCACAACACCCACAACAACGACATCCCGCTGCAGCAGCCGACTTCGTCCTACTACCCGCGCGGAGGAGATAACGTCTACGAGCCGCCTCCAGGACCGCCTCCGGCCAAGTCTTAAAAGGGCTGCTCCACATTCCTTGTATCGGTGATGGAAGCAAGGCGCGGCAGGCAGGTTCGCTGTTGCCGCCAGGGATGAGAAAATGACGGACCTATGATACACACTGCTGCTCCTGGAGGGGGAATTCAGCAGCGGTGACAATATGACGGGCAGGCGTTACGGAATACCTCTAGGGCATCAACACTTGATTTCTGGTTTACTTCACTGCTGTGGCGGAAAGGGAGAAAAGGAAGATTAAGTCGAGGCTGTATTAATTGTAATTCATACATACGACCCTTCCGCACGGGTATCTGGCGTCTCGCCAGGCTAGCCATCCCCAGGGCTAGCCAGTGATGCATGCATGTACATTGTGTCCCACTGTGTGATTTGCTAAATCGTGAATGCATACGGATAAAACACACTTTGCGTATTGAGCTGAAGGGCCCCACGTGGCTGGGGCAGCTGGGGACCCCCCCGTCTGCCGAGATCCGCAGTTGGGAGGCCTCGTTCCCTCGCTGCAGGCGGCGCGCCCCGACCACTCGCTCTGCATCACCCGGTCTTTGAACCGGGCGGGCGAGTCACACGACAGTAAACAACACACTTCTATCAACCGGGGGACAGAGCGGCGCCACAAAGGTACCGGCACAAGCAGGTTTCTACCTTTCACCGTTCCAAAGTCACAGGGTCCGAATCAATCCAGTCAGCCAATCCATTCGGTCCTATGTTCAATGTCTGGGTTTCCAAGGTTCTCTGTCGTGAGGCCCAGGGAACAGGGTCTCTGTGCTATTGTCGGAGAAAGAGGCGAGGGGGCGGAGTTGGGTGGCGGTTTGTTTGGGAAATAAGCTTAAAATCTGACAGCGAACTCAGCCGTGGTCTTAAGTTTATACGCTACCTACGTGCAGTACAATTGAGCTAATCAACGTAGGACGTGCACGTGTCCAGCCCGTCCTGTCTGTATAACCTCCATCTTTCTCTACACGCATGAGGTCATTCCAGTATTAGTTGCCAGTGACAGTCAAGGGCCATTAGCGCCATCGTCGGAAGACAGAGAACACAATGGAGGGATTGCCATGAGAAGTGCAGTTGTTGGGAGAATCTCCCGACCTGGGAGATATATCTGATTGACACTCTCCCCACCCTATTGTTGCTATATGAATATACAATATGTGATTTCTGGTGCTTTGCAGAGCATTCCCCCCTCGGCCGCAAGATGCAGCCAGCCCGAGAGGAGGCAAGCACCATGTGAGCATTTCCTTCCCGTAAATCCTCCCAATCTATGCACTGAAAATGTACAGTATATCCTGTGATATGCAAACAAACTCGCTCGCTGGGCGCGTCGAGCATGCATTGTCGAAAATTTTTGGGTATCTCTGAGTCCTTTTGTCCTGGTCCTCCATTTTATCCTTCCCTCAGTTCGAGGTTGGGCAGCAGCCGGGGTTGCCCTTTCAGTCTTGTCGGTCCAATTTGTCTCGCTCGTCCATTGAGGCGCGTACGGGAGCTTGCGGTGCCCGGGGCGGGAATACAAAATCTCCATCCACGGTCACGAGGTCGCCCTGCTCTACCTCGGCGCTAGGCCTTGCGGCCAGGAGGCCCGTCTCTTCGCCTCCTTCGTCTTCGACATCAGTACCGCTCGAGCTCGGGCTGGTCATATCGCCGTCCTCGTCGGGCCGCCTGCCGTGGACGTCGGTTTGCGCATCTGCTCGCATCTTGGTGATTTTGATATAATTGTAGGCGCAGATTGCGCCAATCGTAACGAATAGCCCGGAGATGTTAATGGGAGTCAGCTTGTCGTCAAAGACGAGCGTCGCTGTGGAGATTGTCACGACCTCCTTGAAGATGCCTGCAATCGAGAGAGTGACGACCGAAGTGCGCTGCAGCAAAGCGAATTCAGAAGCCGTCATGAGAAAGGCGATAGTGCCTGGGAATAGAACCAGCAGGGGTGCAGCAAAGCCCCATTCGTCGACGAGACCCCGCATGCCCTCCATGAGCTCAAATAAACCCTCGGTGGGGACGGCGATGCAAATAAGTGTGAGGAACATGACGGGCGCGAGGAAGAAGATGCTGGAGAACGGGTTGGAGGTGGCGGGGTTGCGGAGCAACAGTATCTGCGTGAGTCCCCAGCGGAAGCCAGAGAAAAAGGCGGCAGAGATGACGAGGATGAAACCGGCCAGGTTGAATTCGACCTCGCCGGCTACCATCATGACAACTCCTGCGGTCATGGTGGCGATGATGCTCACTAGCTTCCATGTGGGCGACTCGAGCCTAAACATGAAGGCGAATATGAGAACGAACGCCAGTGAGGATGACTTGCACATTGCTAGTACGAAGGTCAGTCGGTGCTAAAACACGCGCGCAGTCAGGAGAGGGGAGAATATTCTTACTGTAAAACGTAAGTGTGATAAATTTGAGAGATGTGTTGCCCAACCCGATATCAAGCCCTGTGGCCGCACCGCAGGGTCCTATCCGAGTAAGGTAAAACATCTTGGTCATGAGGGGCCGCTCTGGCTCCGAGTCTTGTGCCGAGTCGCGAAACTCCGATATATTCCTTGGGGCATTTTGTGGTCTCAACGATGGTACACAATAAAGAACAACAGAGGCGAGTGTAAATTGCACAAGCATGTGTACGGATGTGGTGAAGAGCGGGAAGGGGAAGTTGAGTCGGGCGGTATCAAACATCCACTTGTTATACTGTTTCTCTAGTCAGTATCACAGGCCAAGTTCTTTTTCGAAATTTGCCCCGGGACAGGGGGAATCCGGCATACAAGTGAAATACCCAACGAAAAGAGATACCAGAGGCCGATCAGGGTGCCATTGACGGCCAGTTTCCGGATGACGGTTTGGTCTGCCTCCTTTTTCTCTTCTGCTGTGACGTTGTCCCGTGCTATCCGTTGGTCGAGCAGAGTGTTCCGCCTCCTCTTCTTCTGTTTCCTCCGCCTCTCCTTGGTGGTGAGGCCGGTCTCCTCGTCGTCGTGCAGATCCTCGTCCGAGAAGTCGTTGTTATTTATGGGGTGTCTTATGACACCGTTCTTGTCCTTGATGGTAGACTGGCTCTCTTCTGATATTTTGGGCTCGTCAGTGTGAAACTGGCCAGATACGGAAGGGCCTCTGGTGTGAGAACCCCTCCCAGAAGGCTGGCCTTGTGCGCTGGTGGCTGGCGACATGAGGCTGCTCCGTCGGCGGCGATGGCCAACGGGGTTGGGGTTTATGGGGTCCATCTCGATGTCTACAGGATGGGAGGCGGTGGTGGAGGTGGAGGATGCAACGGCATCAGAGACTGTAGCCCTCCTCGCGCGAGCAGTTGAGGAGCCCTCGGTGGTGGGAGAGGGGAGTATGCCGAGAGCCCCTGAAGCGGAAGTAGAAGCGGAAGTAGAAGCGGAAGTGGTCGCGTGCGGGACGGCAAGCGGGAATCGAGGTGAGTTGGACGCTGAGGACTCGGCAGAGGTGGAGTGGGCGGCAATGGCGAGGCGTGGGAAGGCGGCAATGGACTCGAGACGAGGAGTATTGTTTTTCGAGGATCCCACGAGCGACTGGGGTGGGGAAAGGGGAGGGGGAGGAGGAGGAGATGAAGAAGGCATTATACACGGCGAAGACGGGTAGGCAAAGTGGTTATCAATGGCAATGTAGAAATTGGGGCCCCGTCATCTGGACTTGGGTTACCCAAGGTGGGCTTGGGCGGGTGGACCGTGGGACGGTGTGGGTGGTGCCGTCCCGAGGTCAGCAACCAGCTGTACTCTTGGGGTCCTGCTGCGGGCTGCACCCTGCATTGCACGCTGCAGTGGGCAGGCAGGTACGGGTGGGTACCTGGGTACGCCGGGCACAGCTGGCACAGCGCGGATAGAAACATGTACACGGTACAGCATCACATAGGTAGGCACTATGCGTATAGCGTATAGCAGACGGCATTACCACCGCACCCTGGACCAAGCACCCAGCACCCAGCACTGTAGCGCCAGCCCTTGGGAGGAGTGAGTACCTGGCACCAGCTGCTCCTCTGCCCAGCAACCACAGCCCAACGCCCAGGCGATGGCAGTGATGGTGATGATGGGGCCGGTCGCTAATCGGGATGATGAGCGCGCGGGGCCCACGGCACCGGGCAGAGATGGCGGGTTAAGGTTGGTTTGGGGCAGTCTTTCCAGGTGACTGATGATCGATCGGAAGCACAGCGATCCACTGTCCGCCCGTCCGCCCGCCCACTGTAGGGCTATCGCCGTCTAACTGTCTGCCTGGCTGTCTGGCTGTCTGCCCAGATGTGCAGGGCTTGACTGGCGTGTTTCTGATGTTTTGCGTCTCTTGCAAGCTCTTGCAAGCTCTCTCAGGATGTCGGAAGGGTTTCCTGGCCGGGCGGAAGCGTGGCCAGTCAGCGCGGGCGCATCAAACAACAACTCTGGCCTAGGCGGGTGGTCTGTGACTCCATCTCCCGCGGGAGCAGACAACAAAGACAGCCTTGGAAGACCAGGCCAGACAAGACCAGACAAGCACGACAAGACTGGACGAGGGTGCAAGCCTCTTGGCGCGCCATTGGAGCCGGCCCATTGGCTCTGCCCGCACGCGACCCCCTGGCCCAGGCGCGGAATCGGGGTCATGGATCAGCATTGCAGCGGCGCCTGAGACTCTTTCCTGCTGTCTCTCTGTCACTGTGTCACACCTTGCCATCTGTCCGTCCATCTATCCCATCCATCCAGCCCATCCCATCCGCCTGGGCACCCCCGTCTCTGCCAAACCATGGAAAGTGCCGTCTGTTGCCCCGTGACTGTTCGACCCGGGTCAGCCGGTGTAACGGGCAACAGAAGAAAACACCATCTGCCTGTATCTGTGCACACATGGCAGCAGCAACGGGTTCGGTCTGAATACAATACAGTAATTGACTCCTGCATAGTGCTGCATAGTCCTGCACAGTATCTACTTTTACGGCAGACACGTCTGCTTCTTCTCACTCGCAAACCCACTCGGTCGTTGACCGCCTGCTGTGTGTGTTGTGGAGTCCTCGCAGGGCCTGGGCTGGATTTTCCAGATTTCTTGCAGGACCAAGCGCCAAAACTCCGGACCGAACGTTCTGTTCCCTTCCTCTGCAGGCCTCTGCAAGGGCCCCTGGGGCCCAAAGAGGACCCGGGGCTCCATCGCCAGGTCAAGCTCTTCCCCTCTGGGTCGCAATGTGCCCGAACGGTCTGCCACGTCGCTTGGGCCAGCGAGAAAAGGATACTGTGCAAAAACCCACCCTGCCAGCTAGCGTGGTGGTAGTGGGTGGTCTCCTTCCCCGGAGACCCTGGATTTGCCGATTTGCGCCTGCAGTAGCCAAAAACGATCCTGGCTGACAGACAACCTTTTCCTACTGGATTTTTGTCATTCCTACTCACACGACACACACATGCTACAGTTTCGATTGTATCTATTAGACTTTCCGCCGCGACACATCTCTTCGCCACGCCCTGCTCGGCGAGCGACACGCGGACTTTTGAGGCTTTGTTCGGGCCGCTCCGCTCTTGGAAAGACAAGACATATTCATCAATTCCTGACTGCAGACTGCAGGCTAGCACGCGCGACAAGTCTTGTCTCGCGCTCAGCTCAGCCCACATGATGTCAGCGAGCTTGCCGAGTGCCAAAGCTTAAAGGTACTCCTCTGTGTGTGTGTGTGTGTGTCCAGAGAATAGCTCGCCCTATTCTTGTGCATCCGTACCCTAAGATTAGACGCGTTCCTAGCCCCGATCATGCTGCCAGCACTACCGACAACTAGTACGCATGCGCGGTAGCCTTGAAGTGAGAAACAGCTGCCGGGGCTTGCCATGTGGTCATCGATAGGCGAGCCTACACGGCTCCTTCACGCCCAGTGGTCATGCGACCGCCATGGCCGCCCCGGCCAAGTCAGCTAGCAGCCCGCATGAAGCTTAGAGCGCTGCCAGTGTGCTCGGCTGAGCTCAACTTCCGCCCATTCGACAGTTGTGTTCCAGGCGGCGGGAGAGCATGCACGCCTGGGCACCGCGTGCCACATCTCTCGCTGGTGTTCGAACCGGCACGACACGACACCGCATGTTCGAGGCCCCCCCCCCCGGCTCGTCAGGATATCCATACTGTGAAGTTCCAGACCGACTATCCCGCCTCTGCCCGCCTACGGAGCACGGCGAGCGAGTCAGGGCCGCAAATCATTGATCGACCCCCCGGAAAGTCTGGGGAACGGCGTTGATGTGTCGTTAATGATGTCAAAGGCTTTTGCTTTTTTGATTACTTTCTCAGCCCCCGGAGAGTTTACAACTCACGGCGGTGATCCTCATTTTACAGTTCCTTGCTACTGTCCCGGCAGGATCGCACTGGCGCTGGCGCTGGCAGCCTGGGGCAGCACACCCTTGATGGCATCGAAGTCTGTGGCGGAAGCTTAGCTGGGCCCGTCCCATGTGACGTACGGGATCGATCTCTGTCGCCGGAGCAAACGGCGGAGCATATGCCAGAGTCTTGGGCGTTGGCAACGGCGCCTTGGAGGCTCGTGCGGTCGGCGTCATTCCCGTAGGTGCTCCTCGTTGATGAGCTCGATGCCATCTGTTTGGGTTCAACTCGTCACAAATCCATCAACTGACTCGGTGTCACTGGCGGACAATGCAACAGTCGCGATACCGTAGAGCCGGGCCCGCATTTGATCGCGATAAGCTTATTTCGTTGGTCCGAATGGCTGTTTCTCGAGTTTCGCCTTGTCGGACGAACAGACCATTGCTCGGATTGCTCACTCGGATGACTGTCCGCCGTGTAGAATCTAATCTATCACAGGCTAGCCCCCGACGCTCACATGCAGTAATTGTCAGTCATGGGATGGTGCAGCACAGCCTTGATACAGTGAGTCCATTGCATGCCCATGCCCGTCGCCAGTTTCGTCGGGATGGTTCGATGTCAAAGTCCTGGTTGCTGTTTACTCAATAGTCGTTGCAAGACTAAGACAGATGACAAAGAGTGTCTCAGTGAAATGTCTATTAGTCTCAAAAAGCGCATGGATACAGGGGGACTTCGTGTGTTCAACTCTATTTGAATCACGACTCTTGAACAAAGTGACGTACTCGCAACGTACATAAATCGGAGACTTCGGGGGCTTAACCACTTCAGTAGACTACCACCACTACTTTTCAGCCGCAACATACTTCATGTCTAGGAGCTCCCGAGCTCATTCAGCTCTCTCATATCGGTGCCACCAAGCTGTCGTACCTCGCCTCGTGCAACATTCTGCAGACCTGGTACATCCGCGAGGACGGACGTGGCTTGCCATGTCGAGTGCATCTGGAGCCAGACGCCCCGAAATGTAGATTTAATTCCTGACTCTCGGCTGCGCGAGGGCCGAGTACACGACATCAGTGCTCCAGGACGTCCACGAGCCAGGCCCCAAGTCCACACAGCTCCGGAAGAGAGGGCAGGGCCGAAGCTGCAGATGGATGTGAAGGGAGAAGGATGACTAGGCCGCGGCAGTCCGTACGGCGACAACGTTCAAGATGGCCAGACAATCTCTTTCATACTCCGTGGTGACCTCGATGAGCTATTTTGCCACGCACCGCGTGGCCGAGGGCCTGTACAACACGTAGAGCGATACACAGTCTTTCCGTCACCATGAGGGAAGCCGTTGAGATTCCCGAGCTGAGGCTCGACCACTTGGGAGGGATACAAGGGCTCACAGCCTGTTCGGGTTGGCGACGGCGCAGCTTTGTATCAGCACCTGGACATCAACGGGGGGCTTAAGGATGTGGTGCATCTAGACAGAAATTCTCCGAGAATAAATTGCGCTGCTGCCAAGCACCCGGGGACCATGTCGCGGGCCTTTAGCTACCTCGCCTTGATCAGTTCGGGTATCAGGGAGATCTACTATCACCCGAGCTTGTGAGGACCTTTCTGGATTTCGTAAAATGCTGAATGCCCTTATAATCTGGTTCAAATCTCTGGGTTCCATCCATCAATGGTGACTTGGCCGGGGCCATGGTTAAGTGGAAGCAGTGTAGCAGCTCCCGGGACAAATAATAGAGGGTTTGATGAGGGGGCGTTGTGTGCTGCCAGAGACCAGTAGGGGCAGCGGAGAAGGTCAGCTGGTGAGGTCCAGGTAGAGCTCATACTGGAAAGCCATGAGCCTGGACATGTATTTCACTAGAGACTTTTCGGCACTTCACAAATAGTTACGCAGACGGCTCTTGCCGTCTTCACCCCAACTGCGATAAGTCATGCAACATTATTCTCTTGATATCCCGTATTATCCCTGACCCTCAGGTGATAGCACAACCTGCCTTTGTGTCCGTCGAGACTCGCCGTTTTTTTGACTTCCGTCTGTCTTCGGGGACGGCTCGAAGGTGGCAATGGAGACAGTCACCTTCCCGAATGGACCCCTTGTTCCTGATGCGCCAGAATTTCAACGCTATGCATGTTAAACCTCTTGAATATTTTACTGTCACTTGCTTGCAAACAGCCGTTGCTGCCACGCGAAAGCCCCAAGACGTCATGCGATGTACGTCAGCGTTCACTCCGCGGTGATTCCTGCAAGAGCGTTGTCCGAGCTGTTCATCGTTGGCTTTGAGAACTGAGCCACTTCGGATAGGTAGCCTACCCTTAGGAAGTGATAAGTATAGATGTATCTGTTACCAGTCGGGCAGCCCTGTGCAACGAACTCGGGTAAGCCTGCCAGCTAGTCAGATATGCTGTTAAAAAGGGTAGTGAGGGCTAACGTACGCACCGCTGGCTCCATTGCCTGCTGAACACCCTGACTACCTTCATCGTCATCATGAGCCGAGCCTTCGTCGCAGCTATGTGGAGCTCAACTCTCAGCGTCCTCTATTTTGATGTCATTCTTGCCTTTCGAGGACAGACGTCGTTTGGTCGGATGCTTCATCTCCTATGACAGGTCCATCTCCCCATCCATCGTACCAATAGAACTGAGCCCACTAGACGCAGGTCTAGACTCGGTGTCCGTGTCGGGCGAGGTCTTGGATGGCCCACGTTGCCTTTCAACCCAGCTACGGATGCTGTCGATTTCGCTGTGGCCCTCAACAACCACAAGACCTTGGCCGTGTGGCTTCCCCAGTAACGTGCCAGTGTATCTTGAGTCATCGGCAGTCTTGCTGTGTCTCTTCTTCAAGGCGCTGAGGTAGTCCGTGACGCCCTCCTCACCCCCGTCCAACGCAATCCGCCTGATGTTTTCATTCTTGGGTCCTGTCGCCCACGCCACGAAGTCGTCCACGCCTCTCGTGTCCTCCTTCCCTGTGTAGTCTTGCTCCTCGAAATCGCGCTCGGGGAGGAAAGCGCCGGCGTTCTGCAGCGCCAGCCGTATGTCCACGACGGTCGGCGCCGCGGCACCGTTGTAATCGAACTCGCCGGTGTTGTCACTGGCGTGGCGGGCCGTTTCCTCGCATAGCAGGTTCAGGTACCGGGCTGCGAGGTCGGTGAGGCTGTCGATGACGGCAGGTCTTGCGGAGTGGAAGCCAGTTGCACGCAGAATTTGGATTATGGCAGGCCGCAGGAGCGCGTGGAAAACGGCCTGCGGAGGTGTCATTTTCTCAGGAGGGCAGCAGCGAGAGCGCGTTGGCGTTTTTCGAACGGCTTCGAGGAAAAGATTTGAGTATTCGACAGTCGTCAAGGCACGGTCACCATGTGCATGGTTGGTTCGAGTCGCTAGAATGCGTCGTAAGTGAGAGGAAGAAGTTGCGCCAACCGACGTGGTTTATAATTGCTGTCTGCGAACATTCAATCTAACGTATAGTGAACGGACCTAGCAGCTTCACCACTCTGCCTGCAGCTGGTGGGTGCGGCTCAACCTCCAAGTACCCAAACTTGCAGGGATCAGGTAGTCTGAGCTTCCCCACTACGACCCGCAAATCCCCTATAATCTGGGTACCAGTTGACCCCAGATGCAGGTGGAGGAGCTACGCAACTTCACTCACTAGATCCCTTTTAGTGGTCTGCAACCACAGTCGATACTTCTGGCCTTCACGCCTCCTCTCTGTCCGTTTGCTGCCCTTCCTGCCGCATGAGCGCCTAATTGTCTGACCGACCAGCCGAGCATTTGTTGCAGTATGACCTACGCCATTTGTCCATCGACCTAGCCCTTCGCAAACGCGTTCTCACTTCACCCAGCCCGGACCTTTTGCAGCTAGCGCAGCACCGCGCAAGACACCGTTCGTCACAAAATTCGACGACGCCCACTTGCACCGCCCTCTGCCAACACTACGGACAAACTTGCTTGGCTTTCCGATAAACTCAAAATGGAGGTACCAGAGAGGAAAAAGCTCAAGCTGAAGATCAGTCGGAACCCGTCTGTATCTAGCAGCGGCCCTGGGTCCGCCAATCCATCAAGCGCCATTACCTCGTCGCAACAGGTCGCAACACCAGACCATATGTCTCCTGCCGGCTCCGCGGCTATACTATCTTCCACAGACGCAGCTATCATGCCACCACCTGCGGTACCACCGACTCCCACTGAGAATAAGACACACAAGATCAGGCTGTCCTTCAGCAAGAGCCAGCCATCGACACCGATTTCCGAGACACCACCAGCATCTAGGAAGCCTCTCCCAACCAACAGGACTGCTCTGCCAGCCGCTCCGCCGCCAGGCGAGGTACCAGCCCCGTTGACTATGACCAAAGCAGGGCGGACATCGAAACCGACGGCGAAGAAGCGCGCTAAGGCCGACCCCGATAGTGGCGATGAGGCCCGGCCGAACGGAAGCGCCCAGGAGCCCGCGAAGAAGAAGATGAGGACGATTAAGTTGAAGTCAGGCCCCGATGCCCCGAGCGCCCGGAGAAACTCGTCATTCAGGATCGCTATCAAAGATTCCCACAAGTCGACGTTCTACCGTGAAAATGGCTCAGGCTACGACTCGGAGATGGAAGACGCCGAGGAGGATCCCATCGTCGAAGAACAGATTGTGTTGCGCATGATGGAAGGTCCTGAGTGCGACTACATCAACGCATGCCTGGACTCCAAAAAGTTTCCTTCGGGAGGCATGGACTTCAAGCTCAGATGGCTTAATGAGCGGAGAGCGGTTGTCACGGTCCAAGGACGCATGTATGCGGCTGTACTCGTCGATATGCCGACGATTACAGAGGGAATGAAGACATGGGACAAGAAGCTCATGGTCAAATCTGCGGATATCTCTCAGATGCTACTCGTTTTCGCTAGAGTGAATGACGAGGCTTCGGCACGGACAGCAGAGCTTCCCAAGGTCGTCTTCGACGGGCACAGGTGGCCACATGGTCTGACGCCACCAATGCATGACGCGGTCCATCGCAGGTTCCGCAAGCGCTTACACAAAAGTGAGATTCTCAACAAGGAACAAGAGGTACAGAGGCTCCTTCAAGAAGACAAAAATGCCATCAGCACAAGGTATGAATGGATTGATGAACGGAGGGATACGATGCAGGCGGGCACGCCGGATCTAGATGCTGAAGGAGAAGAGGACGCCGAGGGTGAGATCGATGACGGATGGGACGTGGGCGCGAACGATACGGATATGATCGACGCAGAGATCGAGGCTCAGCTCGAGGCCGAACTCAATGACCTGGGCTCGGAGATGGCAGAGACTCCCACTCAGGAAGGCGCTACCCCTGCAGCCTTTGCTCCCGAAACACCAGCGGCTGGGGCCGAGGCCGCAGAACTGAAGAGTGGGGACAGAGCCTCAGTCGAAGGTGAGAGCGGAGAAGACTACGATGATGACGATGACGATTCCGACGACGATGCGAACGAGGAGGAGAAGGAGCGCAGGGAGCAAGTCAGAGGTGTTCGCGAGGATGTCAGAGACATCGAAAAGCAGATCAATGCTTTGCGGGAAGAGCTGGCTAGTAAGACCAACTCGTTACTAAGGAAACGAATAGAAGGCAGGATCAAAGGTCACATGGAAGACCGGCAGTTGAAGCTTGCTTCAATTGGGGAACTACCACCAGAAGATCAAGACCAGGACGAGTGAACAGCATACCTAGAGGCTGCCAGATTTTGAGGTTGGTGTCAGGATTTTGGCTTCGTATCGTGGCCAAGATGGTCAGTCGTGGAGGGAAATCGGTTCTGTCAAGGAGAGGACAAAGTGGGAGGCCAGTGTGAGTAGCAGCCACACAGTGTCATGACACTTTTTGTTGCCAACATACTCATTCTGCAATGCAGTCTCGAGGTTCTTGGGAGGTCGAAGTGCCTTTGATTCAAAAAGTGGAATATCGCTTAAACCGCTGAGCACTCTCAGTTGTTTGAAACAACCAGTGCTGATACTGAAGTTGGCACGTGGACCGTCACCAGTGAGAGCGAGAGCAGAACCTATCATGAATATCTCAACACCAGTTTGGTTACTGGAACATATTTCTCTACCATGGTACGCAAGATGTGCCGTTACCATGCGGCCTGAAAGGCCTCGGGAGTCTGTATGCCCGAGCCAGACTCTCGAATAATGTACATATGGATATAATGCCACGCATTGACCAACAGCTGCCTGCTCTGCTCTGGATAGCAATGACACAACATGTCCCGATCAAAGTGCAAAAATTTGGCATGATGTCCGCCACAGCCATTGCTCACATAGACTTGAGATAGTTGTCCTCCTTGATCTTGGCCTTCCTCTCCTTCCTCATCGCCTTCCTCAGCTCCTCCCGCTTCTCCACCGCCAGGATCGCGTCTGCCACGTCGCCGTCCGGCTTGCCCGGCAGGTTGATCGACTGCTGCTGTATGGGTATCTTGGGCGCCAGCGCCTCGAGGTTGCCGGTCGCCAGGATCTTGGCCTCGAGCTCGCGCTGCCGCTTGGCGGCTATCCGTCGCTGCTTCTTGGATTTCGCTGTTTTGGGCGAAGCTGTCAGCACAATGGTTTCACGTCTCGCTGCATCTTGGAGGGTACAGGGGAAAAGTGTGGCGTGAGAACGTACAGAATTCATCACCGGCATCTGCATCTTCCTCCGCTGCCGACCCCTTCGCCACGTCCAGGCACGACCACAGCCACTCCGGGTACTCGTTGTCCGGCAGCGCCACGGGGTCCGTCTTTCCCTTGAAGTAATTCAGGCCGTTGAGGACTGTGCCCGGTGGGCATGATGACCGCGGCGCGGCCTCCTCCGGTGTTGTGGTTGCGTTACTTCCCGCAGGAGCAGTAGGTGCGGCTGCGGCTGCGGCGGATTGCCTCGGCGATATCGCGCTGAATGTTCGTCGGATTGGTGCCCTCTGTATTATTGAGCGTTGGCCGAGGGCCGTTGCTCTTTGTAAACAGTTTCTGCAGATCATTGTGCCGACTTATGGTGGAGTTGGGTGTGTTGAAGTCGGTCACAGGCTCGTGGTCCTGGTGTTGAAGATCCAGGTCCAAAAATTTCTCGGCAGGCAAGCAGCCTTGCGCCTGGGCTTAGGCCTTACGGTATTGGTAGTGGTGAAAGTGCAAATCACAGGCGACATCAATTTTGAATGCAACATTTTAATTCCATAGATTCACCATGATTCGGAGTATGTATTTGAATTTTGATTGAGGTAGGGTTTCTCCTGTCTTCAAACTGCTGTCTAGACGCACAAGATGCAAGGGCTTGCAGCCTCCAATTGCATGCACAATGCCGTAGGCCAGCCGTCGTGTCTCGTCTGATGAGCCCACGGGTATCCGTACCCTCGATATCCATTTGCCTGGGCCAGTTACGGAAAGAACCACTTGTAGATGACTTCGAAGATGCCCGAGAAGCTGCACTGCCTCATGCGTTCTTTGCCAGCTGGTTTTGTTGCTGGAACAGGTAGCCCCGAACTCTGTGCTTCTCAAGCAACTGCAGATACCGCTCTGTTGCACATTGTCAGCCATCCGTTGCTCTGCGGAATCCAATGCACTGCATATCAACTGCTTCAAGAAGCCTCCCCGGTGGGAGCGCATTCTCCTTGGGGCTCCGGGGCTTGCCCTCCTGACGATAGGCGACGGTAACACTGACCTCGCAAAGGACCGCACTTCTCCAAATGGTTGACGCCCTCCCGGTAGTAACACTTGCTCAGCTCCTCCCGGACGAGTCGTCCCATCATGACATGCACCCATTGCTCCCGGATGATGGCATCCTGGGCCTGCTTGACGCGCTTGTTGTCGTCGAAGTCGACCCCTTCGAAGGTTGGTGGCACGGTCGGCTTCTTGGCCAGGAAAGCCTCGGACTCGGGGGTCGGCATTGCGAGTTGCTGTGGAAGTGGACGGGAGTGCAATCGACTAGCTGCTGGATGGATGCGTTGTTGAGAGGGCGGAGGGCGATGCGACGGTGCTCCCTCGCGCGACAGTTGACGACGAATGGACTTGTCTCGATATCTAATTATGCCAGCCGGCCGGAAGCTCGCTTGCTGCAGTCCCAGGGCGCAAGCCGACACGGGCCTTTCTCTCTCCCCAGTGCCCAGCATGGGCCCGTGCACGAAAAGGGTACGTACTTTTTATCTCTGTATCGCAGCCTGCCGCGGGGCTTGCAAAGGTGGAGTCGACGGACCCACACTAGCTCTTCGCCGCCAGAATTTTTCGATTCTGCCCGCAGATTGAACTTTTCCTGCTCCCAAGGGTCCTGCCACCCGACTTAATAAACCCCGTCGCAACTTTTCAACTCAAATCTTGCCTCCCGCATCCCTCTTTCTTCCACTCCATCTCCCCTTGGAAATTTTCAACTTGATAATTTCCTCATTCTTCCCTCTATTTCCTACCCAATCTCACTCTAAAACCATCTCAAGTAACTCTCTTCATCATGGGCAAGGTCAAGGAGGCAAAGGTCAGCAAGACCAAGGCGGAGAAGCCTTCGGCTGTCAAGGCTGCCGCTGTCACCAAGTCTACGTCGACCCCCAAGGCCAAGTCTAAGGCCACAGCTCAAGAGGTTGCCAAGAAGGCCACTTCCAAGAAGTCCAAGAAGCAGGAGTCCTCTTCTGAGTCCTCCAGCTCCGAATCCGAGTCTGAGTCTGACGACTCTGCTTCCTCATCTGACTCTGAGTCCTCCGAGTCTGAGGACGAGAAGCCCGCGCCCAAGGTCAACGGAAAAGTCAACGGCAAGGTGAACGGCAAAGCTAAGGCCGCGGAGTCCTCTGACGACTCCGACTCGTCGGAGGATGACAGCGACGACAGTGATGACAGCGAGAAGGAGACGCCTGCCAAGGCCAAGGTGAAGGCCACCGCCCCTGCTGCTAAGAAGGCTGCTGCTGCTGCTGCCGAGGAGTCGTCCGACTCCTCTGACTCCTCCGATGATGAGGAGGACAGCGACGAGAAGCCTACTGCTAAGAAGGCCGATAGCGTGAGTAGCTTCATTTCACGAGCTGTGTATAGGCTGTCTGCTGACCAGTATACTTGCAGTCTGATGAGGATGACAGCGATTCCTCCGACTCTGATGATAGCGACAGCGACAAGAAGGCTGCGAAGCCTGCTGCCGCGAAGGCTGCCAAGAAGGCTGAGGATGTGAGTTGTGAAAAAAGATGGATTCGACAGTGCACTTGACCGAAGCTAATCTCTCTCTTCACAGTCCGACTCTGAAGACTCTGACGACTCCTCCGATTCGGACGACTCCTCCGATTCCGACAGCGAGTCATCTGATGAGACCGAGGCACCATTCGCCGCCAAGAAGCGCAAGGCTGAGGAGGCTGCTGAGAGCTCAGCGAAGAAGACCAAGACCGAGGACGCCTCTGAGGAGAGCTCTACCCTCTTCGTTGGCAACCTTAGCTGGAAGGTCGACGACGACCTCCTCTACAATGAGTTCCAGAATTGCAAGGGTATCACGAATGCCCGCATCATCACCAACAGGGAGGATGGCCGCCCCCGTGGCTTCGGCTACGTCGACTTCGACACTGCTGAGAACGCCAAGGCTGCTCTGGAAGAGAAGCACGGTGCCTACCTCGACGGCCGCGACATGCGTCTTGACATCTCCAGCGGAAAGCCCAAGAACGACCCTGCTGCCCGTGCCGGCGACCGCGCCAAGAAGTTCAACGACGAGATGAGCCCTGAGAGTGACACTATCTTCGTTGGTAACCTGTCCTTCAACGTCGACGAGGAGGCTGTCTCAGCTTTCTTCTCCGAGGTTGCTGAGATCAAGAGCCTTCGCCTGCCCACCGAGCAGTAAGTTGTGCCCTTCAGGCATACAAAATTTGCATCATGCTAACTCCCCTCTAGGGAAACCGGACGGTTCAAGGGTTTCGGTTACGTCTCCTTCAACTCCGTTGAGGATGCCAAGAAGGCTGTCGAAGAGCTCCAGGGTGCAGACCTCCAAGGCCGTGGAGTCCGCCTGGACTTTGCCAGCGGCCGACCAGACAACGGCGGTGGAGGCCGTGGTGGTGGCCGAGGTGGGTTCGGCGGCCGTGGAGGTGGCCGTGGAGGCCGCGGTGGCTTCGGAGACCGCGGTGGACGTGGCGGCTTCGGCGGACGTGGCGGTGGACGTGGTGGATTCGGTGACCGCGGTGGACGTGGAGGCGGTCGTGGAGGCAGCACCGGCTTCCAGGGCAAGAAGATCACGTTCTAGGAGAGCAATGATCCGTCCCCAGTTCCGAAGGGCGGCAGCACAGCTGCTACGAAGCAGAAGGTGAAAAGCTCCACGAAGCAGAAGGTGAAAAGCTCCAAGAAGCAGAAGGCCGCGTCGTAAGGCGTGCTGCCTCACAAGTGGGTTCCGAGGGCTCGTGGCATTTCAGAGGGCTTTGTGGGTTGTCGGCATCGATACCTGTGGGCTTATTCATGACTTGTGGGCTTGTTCCTGACCTGTGGGCTCGTGTGTTTCACAACACACTCAAGGCACTCTTGGTGTCTGCTCCTTGCTCTTGGGAGCATCACTTAGGTGATGAGTTTCCTGCTTGATCCTGTGGGCTTCTGTGGGCTTTCTTCGGAGACCTGGATGTCTTGTGGGAGCATCCTCGAGTCTCTTGGCCGGTCTCTACTGAGGGTTCGTGGGCGTTGGGGTTTCCAAAAATGGGATTTGCATTTGGTACACGAATACTGAGGGCTTCTGAGGGCATCGTCGCCGCCTTGGCAACGCCGGCTGGCAACGCAGATCTCCATCGAGGTATGATTCTAGTTGGCTGTTGAGCCGGTAAGTATCCCCCAGCTGCCGAGATGTCCGTACTTCTTTTCCAATACCCAGTTACTTCTTTTTATGCAATTAGTTGTAGGATACGATAGACAGTGGTACACTTCATCGATCGATCGATCGACAAGAGTTATTTGAACAATATTTCTCCCACAAACCGACATGAGTGAATGTGTGAAGTTGTGGCGACACCTCGACCCATCCCAGCCCAGCGCCTTTAGTCCAAGGCGAGCCGAGCCTGCCTGGATTGCAGAGTGGTCTTGAGCAGGAGAGACAGTGAAAGATAAGATCATGTATGCATACACCAATGCGCGAGGAAGCGTCGCGTCATTGGGGTGTGTTGCTGGCCCTCGTGTGACGCCGCATCCAGCGGCTGTGGCCAGTCAGGAGATCAGGCTGCTGGGGCACTTGGGGCATGTGGACGGGGTACGGCACTTTTGGGGGCGCGGTGATCAGCACTTGATCAGCCTGATCCCTAGGCCACTTGACAAGGGGACCCTCCTCCCTCTGGCTGCTGGCAGCAGGCGTAAGCTGAGTCTGGTGCACTGTACGTACTTGCCGTGCTTGGGGGCTTCTAGGGTGATCCTGTCAAGTGCCGCCTGGCCCAAGAGACAAAGACACGACACAAAGCCCGCCTACCGTATTAGGCGTGTGGTCACGACGGCAGGACGGCCCTCATGCCTCCACACGGCGGCTTCCTGCCTTCTTGACCTGGCCTACCCTGCAAGGCGTAATCGGAGGCGGTCTACATAGTGCGGTTGCCTGCAGTTCTCGGATACCGTCTCACGGGTTTAACGCTCCTTTTGTTGAGATGCATCACACACACTCGACTCCTCTTCCCGTTCCCGCTGCTATTCTGGACGCTGCACTCCCGAGCCTCCCTTCTGGCAGGCGACCGATCCTGTCACATTTGCCTCGCTTGTCCTACTCGGCTGCATTTCCCTGATCCACCTGCATTCGCATCTGCATCTGATCCGCATCTGATGCACATCCACTGCGGTCTACGCGTCCACGTACGGTACCTACTGGCTGGACATCCACCGTCCCGCCCACATCGATAAAGCCCGCAGATCTAGATCCACTCAATCCACCGACCGGGGCTGGGCAAGGGCGTCCAAGGAGGGGTCCCCTTCTGTGTTCGACTTACACCACCACGTCTCTCTTGTGCACTGCCGTGCTGCGCAGTGCAACCACAACCGCAGCCAGACATCACCTTATTCCTCCCCGTCTGCTCTCCTCTCTCCTCCTCTCCCTCCCCTCACCTGCCCAGGTCCCGCCACTCCTCTCAGACGACCGGCATCCACCTCTCCTCTCTTTCTCCTTACCGGCCTCACCCCCTTTTCGAATCCGCCATGGCTTCCTCGCAGCAACACCGCCGTCCCGGCCCCAGCCGCCCCAGCCGCCGTCCCATCCCCGACTCCGATAGAGTTTCAGAGAGTATTGCGCGATCGGATACGAGTCCCGCAACAACATCAGCGTCGCAAGCCCAACGTAATGATGGTCAGTCAATAGCAGATGCAGCAGACATGCCAATATCCTTCCCCGGCGGTAGGATTTCACAGCAGCAACAGCAGCAGCAAGCTGACACTCTCTCACAAGAATCATGGGTCGAGGTCGCATCCCAGCCGTCTTCCTCCTCCCTCTCCTCCATCGGTGACGAGATCGTTACGACCGGTCTACGAGTCGGCGCCCAGTCGCACCCACCCCGAAGAAGACGTTTGCAACACCATTACTATCAGTCGATGCAACAACATGTTGTAAGCCACGCTGCTGCGCAGGCAGGCACGAGCAGTCAGGATGAGTACGACGAGACAGAGAGCGAGGAGGATCGCTTGATGACTTCGTCCAACGAGAACATGGGCGCTCGGCCGGGGAATGGGAGTGTTGCTCTGCAACGGTCACAAACTGCGATCGGCCCCAGCGCCGACTTGTCCGACTCGGAGGAGGAGGACGACAACGGTACTGCGCTGGGCAGGCCTTCACCCTCACAAGGCTTCCGCCCTCAGCCCAACGCCTTTACGCACCCGCCTGCTCACCTGAGCCACCGTAGCTACTCCACAAGCTCAGCAATACCGCCCCATCACCCCGCTGCCAGAGCGCAGTCGTATTCCCACAGGTCACACAATCGTGTCCGCTCAGGCTTTATGTCGCCGGCCTACCAGGCAGACAACGACGCCGCCCTGCGTGCCTCCCTCACCACCCTGCTCTCCTGCGCCGCGGCAGCCAAGAGCCTGCCCGGAAGGCGAAACGTGGCCGCCGAGCCATCGTCGGGGGAGCCGGTCATGGGCGCGGGCGTCGGGCCGAGCAGCCAGCCGATGGAACTGAGGCTGGTACCGGAGTCTGAGCTGGGGCCTGGAGGCTCGCCGGTGCACGTGTCTGCTGCGCCGAAATCGTCGCCGCGGATGCGCCATCCCACAACACGTACGACGTCCAACTCTAGCGTGCAGAGCGCTCCCGCGTCCGTCTCGTCCAAGGAGGAGAAGGGCAAGAGAGCCGCCTCCCAGCCGAAATCCCAGCGCGCGGCCAAGAAGAAGAAGGTGTCTGCGGCGGGCGTGGACGACAGCACTGTGACGTGGATCAGCCCTGCCACTCTGACCTGGGTGCTGGGTACCGGGGTTGTACTCCTGGTTTCTGTTGTGGGATTTGGTGCGGGTTTCGTCGTTGGGCGCGAGGTCGGCCGACAGGACGTCCTCAACACGATGAGCGGTGGAGGTGCCCCGATGAGCCCGGGTGCGAACACGACGTCATGTGGTGGTGAAGTGATCCGGAGTACCGGCAGCGGAACGCTTAGGAGGTGGCGCTGGGGGTCCGGGATGGGGAGGCTCGTGAGTGCCTAGTGGGTGGAGTTCATGGAGTTGATACCCATTTGAAAGGCGCAATTGCTTAAGTTTCGGCGCGGGGACATGAGAGACCGACCAGAATCAGGCCACACATGCCCATGGCGCAGTGAAGCTGGAGGGATCTACGGTTCGGCTGAGCCGAGTGAAGAAGCTCAACACCCAGATTGACTTCCCTTTTGTTTCACGGGGGAAGAAGGCGTTTCTGGATACTTTTGTCCCAAGCATAGGGGCGACAGTTGCTTTTTTTTTTTTTTTTTTTTTTTTGCAAGATTAGGAGATACCACGTCCATTTTGTCCACGGCTGTTCTGGTCTCGCCGCTAATTACTGCGAGACCACGACGCAGGCGGAACTGAAGAAAGAATACACAACAGTGGAAGAGCGACAAGCAGGGCGGAGCAGGAATAGCATTGGCTTACCTAGGAGTTAATACGACGAAACATTCTTTTCACCAGGCTAGTTGGTACTGTACAGATTTATTGGCCAAACCGACTGAACGGGCATACTGTTCTGTAGCTTCACATGAACAAGCCCGAGACATATCATCTCGGTGTGTCCAACCCACGCATGACAGTTGATGTGGACAGGTCCTGTCTGGATTTCCCATCATGCAACAGTAAAAAGAATTATCCTCCTGCAAGGAATGCTTGCGCGGCGCTCTGCCCGGGATCATACGAAAGGTCATGTTCTTTTGGGCCAGGGGGCTGATGTGGGTAGCTAGCGTGCCAACTCAGTTTGCGTAACTTTTGGGGGACAGGATTGAATGCATTTATTTGATTGTATCAAGACACTGAGATGCTCCGGCACGAATGTCGCTTGCAGCAGTTTTCAACTATCAGACAAGTAGCTCCTCTTTTCGCATTAGGGCTCGGTCATCTCGAGTGACATGTAGTTGGTATGAAAGGCATGGATTGATTGGAGTGTGTATTCTTAACTGTATCTAGTGCTCTTACACTTTTTCTAAGTACTTCGTGAGGATACGCTGTTTCCAACTTGTGAAGATCTACAAGACGTAAAACCTCAAGATCTGCTGAGGCCCTCATGAGTTCTGCTTGCCCTTAGCCTTGTCCTCGCTACCTCTGTTGGCGCTCTCCCCTTCCAGATTGGGTTCCTCGTTCTTCTTCTCGCCCTCTCGTCTTTCCTCTATCAACCTCGCGAACCCGATCCCCGTCGCGATACCAGCCAGGTGCGAGATCCAGTCCTTCTGGCCCGGCAGCCGCCTGAAAATCGGGATCAGGTTCAGGCCCACGATGAGGCCGATGATGCCCAGCCCCTGTATGCCGTTGGCCGGGTCGGGCGGCAGGTCGAGGATCTTGAAGCCCTCGAAGCGGTGCAGCCAGAAGTAGCAGCAGATGACGCCGAACACGGCGCTGGAGGCGCCGAGGCCGTAGGTCAGGTGGCGCGTGAGCACGCACTTGTACAGCGATGCGAGGAAGCCCGCGGCCCCGGACCCGACGAAGACGGCCAGGTACTCGGCGCGGCTGGCGTCGCCGCCGTGGAGGAGCAGGCCGCCGAGCAGCCAGAGCACGAACATGTTCTCGGCGAGGTGCGAGGCCGCCTGGTGCGAGAAGATGGCGGTCACGGCGCCGTGGGGCCGCGGCTCGACCATGTCCAGGATGGCGTGCTTGTTCAGGAACTTCCACGCCCCCATGCGCCGCCACGCCACGAACACGGCCAGGTTCGCCAGCATCAGCGCGTACACAGTCGCGTTCCCCTGCGTCAGCCACGGCACGAGCCGCCGGTCCTCGGGCGGCACGCTGTAGAAGCCCGACGCCCACCACAGCAGCGGCACCAGCGCGGCCACAAAGACGGTCGTCGGCAGCAGGAGGCGCCACCTCGGGGTCTCGGGCGGCGCCTCAAGGCCCGAGGTCGCTTCGGCGCGGTAGGCTTCCTCCTTGGCGCTCATGGCGACCTGGCGGGCGCCTCCGCCTTGCGTGGTCGAAAGGCCGCCCCAGTTCTGCTGGCCCGCCTCCTCCTCGAGCTTGCGCTTCTCCTCCAGCGCCTTCTCCTCGGCCTCGCGCCTGGCCACGTTGCGCGCGCGGATCTTGTCGATGATGCTCTCCCCGTAGACGTTCTTGTCGCCGGTCTCTCTGTACAGCCAGGGGCTTGATTTCCTACCGGCACTCGTGTCTTCCCCGGCAGGGCCGTCTGCGCCGGCCTCCGACTCGGCTGCGCTCTCCAGAACCCGCAGCTCGTCCTCCGCCCTCAGTCCCGCGTTGGTGATCTCGTCGACGGGTACATGCGCGCGGAGCCAGTCGAGCCCCTGCTTGATCTCCCGGTCCGTGAAGCTGGCGGTGTTGGCCCGCACCTCCGGGTCCTCGAGGCTGCCGGCGACCCTACGGCCGTGCAGGATCCTGAGCAGCTTGTTGGCCCTCCAGGGCGTCATGTCCGCGGAGCCCCCGAAGATGGTGGTTACGGTGGCCTTGTCCAGTTCGTCATCCTTGCTGAAGGGCAGGCCCTCTCCATCTTCGTACCCGGGAGGCAGGTCAACGTAGTTTGTCACCACGCGCGAGGACCCGAAGAAGGTCCTCGTCTGCTGCCCGATGCGCCGCGTGGAGATGCGCCATGGCTGTTGGGGCTGGTTTCGCGCGAAGGTCCTCGCATGCTCTTTAGGACCTTGATGTCGTGGGGAAATCCATATCGAAGAGAAAAGCCGGGCTGGGCCGGCGACGGGCTCGGGCATGGTTCCTCTGGTAGCACTGGAGCTCACGGCCCGGGCCTGCTTCTGCAGGTTGCGCCGCAGGGCCGGGGCGGCGCGAAGACAGCAGTTGGCACCGAGAAAGGTGCTCATGTCGCCGCAGATCGTGCGCAATTACGGCCCGCCCTCATGCATCCACCTCCCATCAAAGCAGTGCACGCAACTCGGCAAGCTGAGGTTGGTTGCTTCTGCCAACTGGTTGATCCGAGTTCGTCTTGACGTCGATGGTTGACGAGCGCTAGAGAAAAAAAGGCTGCCCGGGGCCACACCCCAAAAATGGATCCACAAAGCAGGGGTCCCACGCTCGCAGTCGTCGATGTTCTTCCACAGCAGCCAGTGAAAGGCGGCTCCACCCACAAACACATGTCTGGGTCTCCAAATTCGAGTCCAGCAGCTCTACTTCACATTCAGAGACAGCCGGACGCGGTCTTCACTCTTTCAACATTCCATGTACAAATATTTTGAGAACCGAGGTGCCCGCAAATGCTACTTCAACACGGCATCTCTGGCTCGATACTTCTACGAGCAAACGGGCCATTTCACAGCTCATGTCCTGACAAAGCTGCGCGCCCTCCTCCTCTCCTCCTCACTCAGGACCCACTGGATGCCCTCGTCTGAGGTGTCGCCCATGATCTCTTCCCACTCATCGTCCTCCATGTTGGCGACCATCAGCACTTGGCTCACCTTCGCGAAGAGCTCCCTGACGCTGTAGTTGCCGCCCTTGGACACGACGTTGATGATGGCCGAGAAGTCGCGCTCCATGCGAATCACGCCGAACGCGTTCGCGCGCCCGGAGTAGCCCCATGCACGCTTCTCCAGTACTCGCGCGAGGTGCTTCGCCGTCAGGTCCAGCAGCGTGCTGAACGTCTTAGGCGTCATGATGCGCGCGATCGGCTTCATCAACGCGTCCCACCCGTGCTCGAACCGCCGCGCCACCTGGTCCAGCAGCTCGTCCTCGTCCATGTCCTCCGCTGCGGCCATATCCGCCAGGTCCTCCTCGCTCAGCGTGTAGTCCACCTCACGGAACGTCTCGGCGAGCACCCGGTGCATCCGGAGCTTGACCACCTGGTTGGCCAGGACCTGCAGCCCTTCGCTCAGCAGCTCGGTTGTTTTCGAGGTGAAGCTCGACAGGAGCGTGTTCAGTGCATTAGTGACAAAGGTGACATCGTGCTCGAACGGGAACGTGTCCTCGAGCGCCGGCTGCGGCCCTGCGCCGTTGGTGCGTTCTGTCGACTTCCCAAGGAAGGTGAATATGATCCTCTCCAGGTACTCGTTGGCCATGTCCAAGCTGTTGATGAGGACAATGAAAGCTATGATCTTGTCCTCCGGTGGGAATCCTCCTTGCACTACCGGCTTCGGATATGATTCGTCTCGCATCTTCCTCTGCACCATGCCAACAAAATCTGACCCCAGAACCCGGCCGACCGTCGGCAATACAGAGCCGACAGCCTCTCTCTGGTGCGTAGAAAGCGTCTTTTGTATGACTGTGTTGACGATGTACATAACATCGTCAACAGCTGAAATTACAAATGGAGGCTGGCCTTCCAATTGTTTCTGTGCGTTCAGTGATAGCCCGCTGGGCATCTCGTCTATCTGGAATGCCTTCTCCACAGATCTTCTGAAGAAGAATGTGCTCATGACATTGTAGGGCGTGGTCAGCTTCCCTGAGACCTTGCGGCTCAGGTTCGACTTGGTTAACAGTTCAGGTGTATGAAGAGGTGCATCTTCTTGAGAATCGGGCTCCTGGACGAATACAAGTCAACAAAGTATTTGCTGGCGGTTGCGTCTCCCAGAATCCACTCACCTTGCATTTCCCAGCAATGAACCGGGAGTAGAGAGACCACCTCCCGAGCATGACAGCGATCTCGTTCAGCAAGCCGTCCACCTCCTTCATGTTGACACCCTCATCCTCGCTGTTCCTCGGGTCATTCGTCCCGCCACCCACTGCTGGGGAGTTCACTCTTGATATGCCGGCCATTCCCTTTTGCTGTGGTAAGAAGCTCTGCACCAAGAATGAGAAGGGATAGCTCTTGACATCCGTCAGCATCCTGTCCACCCCTCTCTCGTCACTCCAAGAGTCCAGAATGATGCCACCCTGGACGTCTGCCTCCATCTGCAGCCTCTCGATGACCTTGACCATCTTGCCAGACCCGTAGTGTCTCTCAACCAAACCTCCGTGGCTCTCCACGATCTGTGCGATGTGCTCGAAGAGCTTGGTGATCGCATTCGCGTAGAAGAAGCCGTCCTGTGCGCCGTGGCCGCCGGTGCCCGACTTGAGGGTCTGTCTCGCCGTCCCAGCCACTCCCTGGCAGACATAACGGCCATAAACGTCCAGTCCCACATCGCCCCTGCCGATAAGAGGGAACAGCTTAAAGAAGCGCGTGACCTTGGTGCCGTCGCCCTCCTTGGCCGCCTTCTCAAACTCCCTCAGGAACAGCCCGCACAGGCTTTCCCTCGCGTTCTCGAGCGTGACCCACGGCGCGTCGGGGATCTCGACCGTGGGTACCGTGGCAGCCGCGAAGCCGCCGCGGATGATCTCCTCGGGGATCCTGCTGGCGCGGGCGATGTAGCCGGCGGCGGCCTCCCAGTCCTGCGGGGCGCCCATGCTCCAGACGACGCCGCCGACGCAGGCCTTGAGCTCGGCGACCTGCTCGACGACACGCAGGGTCTCCTCGACGCGCTGCTTCTCCAGGTCGAGCTCGCGCACGCGCCCGGACAGCCGCCCGGCCGTGTGGGCGGCGCCCGCGAGCATGTTGTTGCTGATGGACCGCGTGGCGATGACCTGCGTGCCCAGCCCCGCGCGCAGGTTGTCCAGCCGCCCCAGGTCCCGGCGCAGGTCGGCCTGGGCGGCGAGGCTGGTCTGGAGGCGGCGGGCGAGGTCGGACTCGCGGGTGTGGAGGGCGGCGAGGGCGGCGCGGACGTCGGCGGGGTTGGTGGCTTCGCGGATGGGGCTTGGCTCCGGGGTCGAGCTCTGGTGGGTGTTGCTTCTGTGGGGGCCCCCGTGGGCGGCGGCGTCCTGGGCGCTCATATTGGCGGGGCGGGCGGTTGTCGAGGGCGAGGGCGACGGGGTGTTCTTGGTGTTGATGGTGAGGGTGGCCGACCGAGCTCGGCTCGAGTCCTGTGGGGTTGAGGACTCGCCATTGAGAGCAGACATTGATGTGGCCGTGACAAATGGCGTTGCATGCCTGCCTGTAAAGGAAATATTCAGGTCACGGCTGTTGATGCCATCAGCTGCGAGGCTGCGAGTGCGAGGTTGTGTTTGGGTGCTGATTGCCTCGACGACGTTCCAGTGTTGGATCCAGGCCGTGGAAAGAAGCTACGTAAGTCGGTCTGCTGGGGTTCGTCCGTCCAGGATTGCCCCGTGGGCCTAACCGAGCGCTAGGGGTCCAGGGGATTCTCCCTTGCAGTGCATGGTAACACAGAATGCTCCAAAAGTGTTCAGCTGTAATCATGCCTGTAACTGTAACGAGGTCCGTGCTGCTGCTCTTGTAATTCCAACCACAAACGGTTTGTTCTTTAAAAGTAAGAGACTCAGTAAAGATAAACTCAAAGATCGCTCTTTGTTTTTCAATACGGCGTTCCCTCGGTGCGTACGCCTGTTGAATTTGAGACTCTCAACGAGTCCGTTGACAAAACCAATTGTCAACCTTGATGCTTGGGCTCTTTTGGAACCGACGCTCTATAAACACAGTCCAGGATTGTCTGGTTCAATAAGGTAATGGTGTTCCCGAAAGTGTGCCTCAAAACGTGAGCCACCTTCTCTGCTGCAGCTCCTTGGCCCAGAACACGATCACTTCCCAACGGTAAGCAGTACGATTTTCAAGTCATGACGGGGCCAGTCAGTCACACAACGGCAAGAAGTGTTGTCATCACTTGGTCCTTTAGAATGTTCATGTGCCGACTCCAGATATGAACGTTGCAGCGAAGCTCCACAGGCGCATATATGAAAGCACGGAAGACTAATCCCAGTGTTTACAGTCCTTTTGGACCTGTTGGCTTTATGCTTTGCGTATGGAGAATTCGGGAGTATCTTTGGCTCACTTCTTGGTGCATTGAAGCCGTTTTCATAGCCAGCTCGCTGCTAGCTTCTATGCCAGACATTGCATATGGACAGCACTCGCCCTTCAAAGATCCCATCGCCGGGCCGAGTCTGTTCAAAAAGCAACAGCTCATATTTGACATTCATGATGAAATGTGGCAGGTCAGGATAAATAGCTCTGAGGTTTTGCTGCTCTCGAGTCCTTCCAAAGGCTATCATTTGGGTTTGTTGGCAGCTATGAGTAGAAGTTCGGCGGATATGGCGATCAAGGGATTTTATTGCCTTACTTGCCTTGATCTGGATTGGTCGAAGAGGTTAGGCAGCTGAAAGCTGAAGTGGAAAGAGAGGGGCGTCATCATCACGGCAGGGACTCTAAACCCACAGAAGCGACCATTTATAGCAGAATGGGGCTGGCCCTCCGCAATTGCAGGCTTGCAATTTTTCTTCCTGTTTTGACCCCTTCTCATTTGAATTTATCCCTCTACCTCTCAGAGGTATCAAATTCTAAATGCTTCACTATAGGTGATCCCCTACAGCATTCTTATCCTCTTTGTATAATATGCAGACATTCCATCCGAATTGCACCCTACCTACAACTGGCCGCCGTTTTGTCGAAGGCCCTAACGTACGTGGTACTCTCGAAATTGTCTGGAGCTGCTCCGCCATAATTATTTTATGCACTTGGTCGATCATCGTGCCAAATGTACCAGAGCAGTTCAAAGAGACTCCCGGCACGGGATCTAAATCATGGCTTTGCGAAGTAGGAAGGCTATCGTACCCGGGGTTTATCAAAGTGATTTGGATGCTGTACACCATCGTCCTGCCCGAATATGTGCTGGGAAAGGCGCTCAGTGGCTTCATGCGGGCACGCCATCAGGCAGCTGAACAGAAGAAAATCATTGGAAATGGAGGGGACACAGTCGCGAAGTCCTTCCAGCAACAGCTTAAGTCATGGACAATTTCTCACACGATGCTTGCCGACCTCGGAGGCTTCGTCATCGACTTGCGGGACTTGCCATTGCCTACAGCTCCAGATCACGACGAAAAGACTGTACCTGTACGCGATGAGCCTGAGGACGATCACCAGACACAGAAGGGGAAAGGTACGGGTCAGCCGGATACTACCGTATCGGAGGGAACAAGGACAGCCGGAGAGTCTACAGCTCACAATGTTGAGGTTGATTCTCGAAGCTCGGCGAGACAGAACTCATCACCATCTCAAGAAACGAACAAGTCAAGCGATGAAATCCCTGCCCAAATTCAACAAGACGACATTTCCACGCAACCCAAAAACAAAGAAATAAACAAGTCTGAGAGCTTGCGAAACTCAGTCAATATAGAGCAGAACACATCCTATCCTGAAGATCCCACCCTGACACATTTTGTCCTCTACTTGGAAAAAAGTTTCCTTATTTTTTTTTTTGGCTGGGTTCGATTGGCAACCACGGCCAGAGCACCGTCAAATCGTCAACTCGCTAGCTGTCGAAGGCGATATGGGAGAGTGGACATCTTCAAAGTTTGAAAAATGGGCCAAGTCGCCATTCTACGCCCTATGCGGCGACAAATGGGTTCTCAACGCAAAACAACTGTGGCTCGCGGCCAAGGTGGGCTTAATCGCCTTGCCAAATGTCACAGAGCGGCACATCCAAGACAAGAGCAAGAGCAACAGCCTCGTCACCACGCTAGCGCTCGTCCAGATCGCGCAGCTGATAGCTGCTCTCGGGTCCCGATACACTGGTGGCATATCGGCCAGCCAGCTCGAGGCGGTGGCGCTGGCCCACGCCGTCTGCGCCCTTTTCACCTATGCGCTCCAGTGGTCCTGCCCGAAGGACGTTGGGGTTCCGATCACCACGCAGGCACTGCGGCCGGCCTCGAGGGAGGACATCCTCGCCATGGGCAGGGAGGGCCGGGCGCGGTGGTGGTGGGGAGGCATGTTCACCAGCTACACGATCCCTTACATGTGCACGCCTCACGATTCGGCGAACCATGACGTGGGGACGCTGCTGGGGCTGGCCATCTTCGGTGCCTTCCACCTGATCGCGTGGGCGTTTGCATTTCCGACGGGCGGTGAGCGGCTGGCGTGGCGGATTGCGTCGATAGCTACCGCGGTGATCCCGCTGCTGATACTTGCGGTCATGGTGATGGTGATGCGGCTCACTTCAGATCGGAGGAGACCTGACTTCTGGGAGAGGAAGCTCCAGTTTCTCAGTGTCTGGCCCATGGCAGCGATACCATTTATATTCGTTGTCATTCGAATGTTTATGATGTCGAGACCTTCCGATCATTGTATTTCCTTCCGCCGGATGGTTGCATTGCTACTGGGTTGGCCAACATGCCTAGCTATGGGTGATACAGATGTGACCAGTGGATACATGTGTATGTCACGGTGTATGATGAGAGGGCTTTGACGAAGTTTGAGGAGGCACAAGGATTGTATGAACTAGAAGCCATCTCTGTCCAGCCTAAGGAGCTAAACCATACGATGAGTGGCAGTGAGGATATTCCCAGTGCGCATCATATAGAAAGCCAGTCTTGATGCTAAATTCAAATCTAATCGTCTGGCCGAGTATTGGTTGCGCTCCGGATGTTGTAGACCCAGACGGGTCTTGCTTCGGGCGCCTGAGCGTATCTTTAGCGACTCTCTAAGTGACTCGGGATATGCCCGATTGGCACACTATTAACTATAAAGGAAGTAATCTCTTCCAAAAAAAATTTCCCATCTTGCCCTTTCATTCTCGTTTCTGTCTCAAAACAAAGCACAACACAGGCGCGCGCCATCTACAAACCTTCTGAACCACTGCTTGCAATGCAAGTACAGGCGGTCCACTTGCAGAGGAACATGGAATGGCGCATTCATTTAATGTGCTTCACTGTTCTTTACAAGCTTGATCCATGATGAAACCTCTTGCACGGGGGGAAACTGAGGTCCTCAAGTTTTGCACGTGCCAATGCTGGCGAAGACATTCGTTTCTTCATTGTTCCAGTAAACTTGGGGTTCGGAAGCAGTAACCACGCTACATATGTGTGTTCTACCGATTCTGCAAGCCTTGCGCTTCCACTGGCAGTCCATCGTCACTGTCTTGCAGGATTCAACGTTCCTGTCGTGCACAAAGACCATAACTCGTTGATTTCTCCTCATGTCCCGGCCCCATGTTTACTATCTTGCCCAACCCCTGATTGTCTCGACAAGGCGAACCAGACGAAGCCTGTTACCACAACGGCTATTATGAGGATTCCCTACCGATGAGTGAACTTCACCCTTGAGGACAGTCGTCCGTATCATTACACAGCATTTGGACACAAAAAAGGAGAGAGTGAGCATAGCAGATCATATAGCATTCAGGTATCTGACATACCCCTCGACAGAACAAAAAATTTGACCATCAACATGGTCAACATGTACGGTTTGTAACGAGTACATCCACGTCATTCTCCATCAGCAGCTCTTGCATGAGAATCCGCAATCTTATTCTGTTTTCTTCCCTCAGCCACACCCTCCCCATCAAATGAATGATCTCCGTCTATGAATCGTGGCACAAATGAAGTGCTTACACCTGAGACTGGTTGCTCGACTCTTTAGAGACTCTCTGGTCAAAAGAGCTTCCGGCGTGCGTCGAAAAATCAACACTCAATCTTCCCGAAGGCGGCTTGGGCACTTGGAGTGTACGCAAGAGAGACTCGTTGGAGTCGTCCCAGTGGCCCTCCAAGCTGCGGCACGTATCCAAGACCGAGTCGTGGAGCATGCGCATCCTCTCCTTGAGGCCTCGTCTCCTGCGCTCCTCGGACTGCTGGCGCATGTGCGCCGCATCTCTTGCATCAGACTGCTGTTCATTGCGGACAAAGAGTGATCGGAACGAGACGATGCATGCGATTAAATAGGCTGTATATTGTCAGCAACCATTACCTGACCAACCTTCTCAGATAAGACATGTCAACTTACAAACAGTGAACTCGACGTAAAACCAGAAAGTAATCCACGTGATGTTCATTTGAGTATCCCCATTCGCGCTGGTGAATTGAGAGAACATACTGCCCCGGACAATGGCAGTAGCGATCGTGAACCCGACCACGCCAAAGACTGCTGAGAGAAGGAGTTTCTTCCGCAAAGTGATCTTGACTGTCCAGAGAATGTGGGCGGGGAAGCAGAGAACTGACTCACCGGCGACATCGGACACAACGTCAAGGACCGTGGTGAAGGTGACATGAATGTATGACTTCCGAATGTTAGAAGCTGCAGCGCACTTGACGAACAGCATCTCGACACTGCCGAAAATGCATGGATATTGGAAGAGCCCGAAACAGCCTGCGCCGCAGGCAATATTGAAGACAAAGCCGATCCACCACCAGGTTCGATACCTCGCGATGTGGCTGCCGAGCTTATAGAAGAACAAGAGAAAGTTGAACTTGATGAGCCAAACACCAGCAACACTAAGTATTGACATGGCTCTGAATGTATGAACGGCATGCACTGCATCCGTAAAGAAGTTTGGACCCATCGGCGCACCATGCTCAACGGCTGTCAGCTCGTACATGTTGGCTAGGAAAACTTGACCAGTGACAGCTATGCCCAAATGGCAAGCGAGGGCGAGGAGCATGAGCCAATCCTCGACGAGGAGACGATGGAAACAAACACAACGAATATAGGTGCGGCCGGCAAAGGCAAGTAGGCAGAGGGCAAAGAACAACCACTGGATAACCTATGATGGACAAGAGTTAGCTTCACATGATCGCCAGAAAATTTCTGACGGATCATGGTCGCATTTCAGCAGGCCAACTTACATAGTACCCAGTCAGAGATACAATATCAGACTCTGTTTCCGTCACGGTGATCATGGCGGCAGGATGCAATATCTGAAATGTACCTTGGAAAAAGGATTAGCCACTTTGGATTTTCTTGCTATCATTAAACTGCATCTGCCCATGAAGGTCTGGCCATCTGCCGCTACTTCAGAGGGTGAACAGGACGACATTTTTATCTTCGCTGGGAGACTCGGCTTATTGGATGGCATATTCCTTCCTACTTTGCAAGCTGTTGCGAGAAAATAATAGTAGCATTTGAACCCATAGTCCCACTGTGGTGGTCATGATGATACGTATGACTGGCGCGGATGGCTAAGTCCTGATTGGTGATGGTGAACCAACAGGGCTGCAAATGTCCACTGGTAAAGGGCTGGTGATCATCAGCCCCAGTTTGGATGCATTGTCTTCTCACCTTTTCAGCTTTTGCTCAGGCTCTCCAGCTCTATCTTTCTCTGGCTTCGGGCAGGCGGGGCGATCCTGCACAGTCTCTTCATCCCCACACAGCTTGGAATAGAATCATGTTGGCCCTGACACCAAGGCGACATGGATACTGGTCGCGCCCAGTATTGGTCGGCGGTGTGTTGATCGATGTTTTCCACTGGGCACTCCTGCATCTCACACCAAGAATCAGTTGTAACGACCTCGTTGTCATTCATGGCAGCGGTTGCTGGGATGGATAGGCTTCAATCTCACCCGAAATTTCCAGATTGGCGAGATATCCACTCATAGCAGATATGGCATAAGCCCCTACAGGGCATCTCTGCTTTAGACAAGCGGTGCCAATGGCACAGGACGTGGTAGTTATCATACTCTATTACAATGCCTCTACACAATGTATACACAAGCGCTGCGCCATGCACAGTACACTAAACTAGGAAGTGAGTGACACCCACTCACACAGCCTGGCTGTACCCAGTTCCGAGCCGTTTCTTTCCGTACTTCCACCACTTCCTCGCCTCGTCCGCCCAGAACACAGTGCTGCAGAGCATGACGAGGCCGACGAGGTCGTAGAAGCCTAGGGCCTCTGTCTGGAACACCTCCTGCAGCCAGGGGAAGTAGATGACGAGCAGCTGGCCCACGAGGCTCATGGACACGGCCCAGTTGAACAGCGCGTTGGAGAAGAGCCCGACCTCGCCGCGCAGCACCGACTTGGATTCGGACCGGCACGCGAGCGCGTTGAACATGTCGAAGAGCACGAAGCACGTGAACGTCATGGTCGTGTCGCGCCGCGTCACCTCACCGTCCCCGAGCATCTCGTGCGTGTACACCAGCATCGTCCCGAGCATCACGATAAAGGCTGCCTGCGCCACCCGCTGGATCAGCGCCCGAGTGAGGACCGGCGCGCCGCGCCTCCGCGGCGGCCGCTTCATGACGTCCGGGTCGACGCGCTCGACGCCTAATGACTGCGCTGGAGGGCCGTCCATGATGATATCTGGTATTCTGTCAGCAGGTGTCTCTCTTTCACACACACGCACATAGGGTCACGGATGGTGCTTACTGATCCAGAGGATTTGCATTGCGTTCAATGGGGACTTGAATCCCAGAATCGTGCAAATCAGGACCAAGGAAAGACCAGCTGCGCTTGTGCTCAGCTGGAAGGTCAGGAAGTTCTGGATGTTGTTGAAGATGCCCTTGCCCTCCTCGATCGCATTCAAGATGGTGGAGAAATCGTCATCAGTCAAGATCATGTCCGCGGCCTCCTTTGCCACATCGGTCCCGTTTCTGCCCATGGCAATACCGATATCCGCCTTCTTCAGCGCCGGTGCGTCGTTGACACCATCACCGGTCATGGCAACGATATCCCCGCGTGATTGGAGCGCCCTGATGATCTTCAGTTTGTGGTCTGGAGTCGTACGTGCGAAGATGGTGGTGTGGTGCATCGCCTGCGCAAGGTCTTCCTCGGACAGATTGTCCACATCTTTGCCGGTCAAGACCGGTTTGACAGAGACCTGGCCCGGGCCATGTTCCCGAGGAGTAGCGATTTCCATTCCGAGCTGCTTGCCAATCGCCACCGCCGTGGTCTCTGCATCGCCCGTGATCATGATCACCTTGACACCACCGCGCATAAGTCTCCTAATTGACCGAGCAACGCCAGGTCTTGGTGGATCGCTCATGCCGACCAGGCCGGCGAACGTGAGGCTTTTGTACAAAGTCTCGTCCTCTTGAAGCCGGGGACTGCTGCTTCCGTCATGCCCAGGGGTTCCACTCCTGGAGGATGGTCCGTTAGATTTGCTTTTGCTGGACCTGTTCACAGGCCCACTGGCAAATGCAATTATTCGGAGTCCCCTGATAGCCATAGCGTCTGCGGCTTGTTGAATCTCCTGTTTTCGCGACGAATCAAGAACGAACTCTCGGCCATCTTTCGTGATGTAACTGTCGCACGCCTCAAGAACCCGTTCCAAAGCCCCTTTCATGTAAGCGAATTCCTTTTCACTCTTATCAGACCCGATCGTCACGCCCATCCATTTTCTCTCAGAGCTAAAAGGCGTCTCTGACGTCCGAGTTCCAATCGATTCGCGTACATCATGCTCACGAAACCTGTCCAACAAGTCAAGCATAGCGACGTCGGTGGGCTGACCAACCCAGCGTGTATAGGTTGAAGGTTCATCCCGACCTAGAGTCGAAGATAGTACGGCTTTAGCTGCAGCTCCGTTCTCAGTATACCGCCTAGCTAGGCGCCCATCATTGGCTATATTGCCGATACGTAGAATGCGAAGAGTCGCAGCGTCAGGGGTGGCATCCGTGACTTCATCATCCGAGTCGACATCGACGACATCGTTCGCACCGAAGTACCACATCTTGGAGCTTGTCATATGATTCATTGTGAGCGTACCTGATTTGATGTCAGTTCAGAGGTTCTAACAGAGGGTATGGCGTATTTACCGGTCTTGTCTGAGCAAACCACGTTCACAGATCCCAGTGTCTCGACCTTGGGCATCTTGCGGACGATAGCATTGTGACGGGCCATGCGATGCACACCCAGAGCAAGCGTCACGGTAACAATGATCGGAAGTCCTTCGGGTATTGCGGCAACAGCGAGTGAGACGGATATGGTGAATATGTCAAGCAGTCCTTTTCCCTGAAGCCAGCCGGCAACGGAAATAAGGCCGATGACCACGAAAGAGAACTTGCTGAGCTGCGAGCCAAGGTCATCCATGGAGAGCTGAAGAGGCGAGCGGGGGCTCTCGGTGTCGGTAACGCTTGTAGCAATGGTCCCCAACTGCGTGTCCCCACCAGTCGCGAAGACAACGCCCTGGCCGTGACCAGATTTGACCAATGTTCCCATGTATGCAACGTTTTGAGTTTCGTTGGAATCGAGGTTAGGCTTTGTATTTACCCCTTCGGATGAATTAGCGAAAGTTGGGGCTGGTAGCTGTAGAGTCGAAAGTCCCTGGGCCGCCGATGCCACCGCAGCGCGAGAGCGCGGCTCAGCAGTCACTTTGACCGGCTCGGTCTCTCCAGTGAGATTCGAAAGATCGACTGTCAAGTCGGCGGCTTTTGTTACGCGCAGGTCGGCCGGGATGCGATCGCCCGTCGTGAATATAACCAGATCACCTGGTACCAATGTCCCGGCCATGACCTTGGAGGACGTTGCTTCAAGAACTTCCTCGGCTGGTGTGGGAGCGCCCGACGACCCGTTCTCTTCCAGTCCACTTTCTCCAGCCGGTTGCCAGGTCGGTGTTTTGGGGCCAGAGCCGGTCTTGGCCGACATACTCCTGATCAAATGCGCATGGTTCGGGACAAGATGGTTGAGGGCTTCGATGGACTTTTCGGACCGGTATTCCTGCACAAACCCTACACTGACGACAATGGTCACCGCGATGGTTATACTGACAGCATCGTCAACATTTCCTACCAGCACGGATGCCCCAGCGGAAGCAAGCAGGAGAAGTATCAACGGCTCCTTGAACTGTCCCAGGAATCGAATCCACAACGGCTCGGGAGGGTCGTGGGGTATCTCGTTGGGCCCAAAGTCTCGCAGTCGCGACAAGGCTTCCGGGGGCGTAAGGCCGTATGCCAGGGATGTCTTGAGGCGCGAGGCACTTTCGGCGGCAGTCAGGCAGGAGAAGTCGTCGGCGACGCTCTGTACAGGAAGCAGGTCAGCTCGTAATGAACACCCAAGCCACGCTTTGTTCTGTCGGGGAGGTTACCCTAGACTGCGCCGACGTCGTGCGCGCATATCCTGGTGATTTGGACCGTGGCCGATCGCCGTCGGCCCAGGGAGACAGTTCGATGGGTTTGCTCGACTCGTTGAAGATTGGCAGGCTTGGGGAGTCTCCCGTGAATCTGTCCATGTTCTCGCAAGATCAAGACCGGTGAGTCCAGGCCTTGCGCCGAAAGATTCGAGAGGGACCTCGCCAGCCGCGTCGACCGGCTTCCGGGGACTGTCCTTTCGAGACGGGCACGAGCCACGACTGGGAATCCAAGATGCTGCAACGCTATGGCAGCCGCATTAACAAACGTGTAGGTATCGCAGGGCGGGCGTCATTGTTTGACGGGGTTGTCTAGGGCTCGAATGCAGCTCAAGGAAACGACGACAAATGAAATTGCAGCAAATATGTCCGCTCCTGAGCTACTGTGGACAGGAAGGTCGAAAGAGATGGCGCTGACGTGTAATGTTGAACCGTTTGCAGAGTGCTCTTGAATCCTGGAGTCTGGCCAGTCGATCCGATCCGAGTCGGGTCGAGGCTGAATCCACCCAAGCTTCTTTGCACGTCAGTGCGCACACAGGCGGCGCAGGCTCGAGTGGCCTGCAGGTCCAGAACAGCGGAAGCTATTCTAGGCACATGGATACTACCCGGCTACTTTTTGGGGGGATATTCAGGTACGTCTGCATGTAGCCTAGTAGAAATACCGACTGCAATGCTCCCATGCCAGTAACGACGGGACACATATACATACACGTCGGTCATCCGCATTACCCAGAGCTGATGAAGATTCGGTCGGTGCTGATTTGCCTGGCCACCGGGGTACCGGGACGTAACATGACATTCTGCAGCTGTACAGTACGTGCGTGCATTACTGCATCGTGACCGCTCAACCATTTTCTACGGCCGGACTGTCCGCTTGGAGGCCGAACTGGGATGGTCCTTCCTATCGACACAGTATAGACTCACACTTCGGAGCCCAGGCACTGATTGACTCGCATGTTAGCCTGTCGCATTTGATGGGGAGTCGATGCTGCTGCCAAGAATGTGTCAAAGCCCACCCACAAGCCAATTTACATGGCTGCGACAAACCCTAACCCTTGTCCAACACAGTACCTGCTGGGTAGCATCCTTTGATGAAGCGTTGACCAGCCACTCAATTCTGGCAGGGCCCAGCCGCCGTTTCCATTTTGCAGGGTCGTAACCTGGACCAAGAACAACACGCACCACCACCGCCAGTCCGTCTCTCCCCCCTCTCCATCTAATCCTCTTTGCTATCCATCCCACCGCACCCTGCGGTCCGCTACGAAGCTGTCGCAACTCGCTCCAGCGTCTCTTAGTTGCAAAAAAGCGGCAGTCTGTCGTCCTTCTCGACCTTTTGCACACAACGCACGCGTCTTGCGCGGTTTTTCCTGTCCCGTTGTTGGGTGGTCGGATTCACGCGCCTGACTGCAAACGCGCCATCTTGTTGTCTTGCGAACCCACCTCTGTTGCGCGTCGGCGCGTCGAGCATTTATCGATTGCTGTACCACTTATTGTCACAACTTAACACCGACCATCGCTTCCGTCCCCATCGGACCCCCTCCAACATCGCTGCGACGCCGTCGCGACCATGTTCTATTCCGAGACCCTCCTCCAGAAGACCGGGCCCTTGGCCCGCGTCTGGCTGTCTGCCAACTTGGAGCGCAAGCTATCCAAGCAACACATCTTGCAGTCCAACCTCACCGAGAGCGTTGAGCAAATCATCACACCCAGCCAGGCCCCCATGGCGCTGAGGTTGACTGGCCAGCTGCTTCTCGGTGTCGTCAGAATCTATAGCCGTAAGGCACGATACCTGCTTGACGACTGCAATGAAGCCCTGATGAAGATCAAGATGGTGAGTGCATAAGCCCTGAACAGAATCCGGGTTCATGCCCAGTTGACATCATTACAGGCTTTCCGCTCCTCGGGGAACAATGACATTCCTGCCAACCTCCAAGTCCCAAACCGGGAGTCGCTTTTGCTTCCTGACCGCATTACACCTTATGACAATCTCGACCTGCTTCCTGCCCCTGATGTTGATTTGCTCCTGAGCACACAAGACCTTGATGTTGGCTCTCAACCTTTGGGCCGCAAAGGTCGCGTTAGCAATCGAGATATCAACTTGCAGGAGGATTTCAACAACAGCCAGTTTCTGCAGGACGGACTGGGCAAGGACGACGGCTTGGCTCTGGCCAATGTGGATGACCTGGACTTGCAGCTTGACTTCGGTATGGATATCGACGAGGGCCCAACCAGGATGACCGTGGAAATGGGTCGTGAGGCCCCCGCTGCTCGGGGTGTCGAGGAGGATATATTCAGTGAATTCGACCTGCCCCAGCCTACTAAGGACCGGGACCACGACCAGTCCACTGCGCTTGGTTTTGGGGACAACGGAGTGCGCATTCACGATGACGACGGAGATATCTTGATGGGAGACGATGATTTCCGACTGGACCTTGGAGACCAGTCTGCAATGCACGAGGGTGGAGCTGAGGTCGCCCGAGCCCGGATCTCAGAGTCACCGCTTTCTGACATTGACGAGGCGTTTGCCAAGGAGATTGAGATCGAGTACAGCCGGCACGCCAACAACACGGATATGTACGAGCCGAACGAGGACGAGGAGTCGGCAATGGTGCGAAACGCGCCTCAAAGGTCCAAGAAGAGGAAGGTCATTGCACCCGACGAGCAAACTATGCTCACGGGTGCTGTCATCAAGGAGCAACAGTCCAAGCATGACAACATCCTCAAGCCCCAGGTGTTCCTGCCCCGCGACCCTTACCTGCTGGCATTGATGGAAATGCAGAAGAACGGTGGATTCGTGTCCAATATCATGATGGACGGCCAGAGCGCAACCTGGGCACCAGAGCTGAAGGGCCTGCTTTCCTTGGACGCGATTCGTGCGCCCACCGACCTGAAGAGGAAGCGAGACAGCGGCATCGCAGACATGGATGTGGACGGCGAGCAAGGCACGTCCAAGTCGCCGCGGCTCGAGATTGACCAGGACGACCCGTTCGCAGTCGGTGCAACCGACCTCGGCAATCAATCTGTGGCAGCGGATGGCACGATACTTGAAATAGAGGGCGATGACGGCTTGGCGAACTACGATGACGAGGGATCCGCCCTGCCAAACTTCGACGACACAACAGCGCCAATCGTGCACCCCGCGGACAACGGGCCAGTCTCTGTTGGCACCAAGCATGCCGTGCACATCCTGCGTGACCTGTTTGGTGATGAGGCCGCCACGAGCGCCGAGAAGCGCAAGAAGACGTCTGTTGTATTCCAGGAGCTCCTGCCGGAGAAGAAGACGACCAAGGCAGACGCGACCAAGATGTTCTTTGAGTGCCTGGTGCTTGCCACCAAGGACGCCATCAAGGTCGAGCAGCCAGATGGCTCCCTTGGCGGCGCCATCCGCGTGAGAGGAAAGCGAGGCCTCTGGGGTGCCTGGGCCGAGCGTGAGGCTGGCGGCGAGATCGACGAGGAGGCCGAGGTGAACGAGGCCCAGGCCCAGAACCAGCCGCAGCCGGCAATCGAGACTGGCTCAGCAGCCGTCCCCGTCTCGGCCTAGAGAGGCTCGAGCACCAGCATTGGCTAGGTATTGCATCCTCGGGCGAGATGGCGTCTGGCGGCTTCTTTGTACAATATGGGTTTTTCTGGGTTATGGGTTGCGGCCTCTGCAGGCCTTGTTATCACGCGACCAAGTGGCGTTAGGCGTGGTGGAGGAGATACCAAGTTCTCTGGACTGTTCGTCATGGTGGGTTCTCCGATCGAAGTACGGTATGAAGAAAAACCTTGGGCTGGATTCACATGTTTTTTCGCCAATCCTATTATTCACAGGACCACGGTTGGATTCTCTAGTCCGCGGTCTCGCTCTATTGTATGCGGCAGGGTTTGGAAAAGTAGTCTCTCTTCTCGGATACAAGCAGCAAGATCTAGGGAATCAAGGGGGTTTGTGTAGCAAAGTGGAGATGAATTTGATAGTTGTAGTCAGTCAGTAACTGGCAATCATCTGATCAAACAGGTTGAAAAACAGGGTGTCATCCTACATCCTCCCCGTGCGCTCCCGAGAATCAAGGTTCTGGTGGAGGATGATCAACCGTGGAGTTCCCTGCCCAGGATCAGCACATCAAGTACTGTACGCCAACCTCGTCAAATGAAGATACTCCCTTGGCAAGACCGCGGATGCATCAGGAGGGGGAACTCAAATGCCCGCCCCGCCCATTCTTCGGTGTCCCCAGTGACAGCCGAGGAGGTCAGCCGGCACCTCTCAGCGGGCCAAGGTCATGTGAAAGAGCTGATGTTGGGGTTTTGACGGAGCGAAACAGCAAGGACTCTCATGACGGGGCCAGGGTCGTCGGTGTCCTCGTTCTGCCGGCGCATGCGGCGCTACCAAGTACTGGTGGTACAATGGTGTTGTCCAATTGACGGACCACGCCGCGAATCGTCATTAATTGGAGGAAGCCTAGCAGTGCGCCCCCGCATTGGGCCTAGCCGTACGCGCTCGATGTGACGCCTGGTGCTGAGGCTGTTCCAGAATGCTCGTGTTTGGGTGCCATCGAGGTGCGGCAGGACGGCAGCCAGCGGGGTTGCCTCTTTGCTTCTTGTACGCCATGCCCCGGCGCTGTTGCCCGGGTATCTCAACCGAATAAGACCCTTCTGAGCTTGCAGGAATGTGTGGGCGGATGCGTGGTAAATGGGGATGTCCTTGCACTTGCACAGATGTTGGGAACGGCCGTAGAATGTCTGTTCTCCGGACACAATAAAACTAGGAATTAGCACCTAGGCACATAGTTGAGTTAGGGCAGCTTCTGGTATTAGCGTCTGGGCGGCGCGAGGGTAGTTTGATTGCAATCGGCAGCATCTGAAACACATGTGGTCTATCAGACCATATGCCCACGTAGGGCCTGTCTACGGCGTCAGTACTGTAGCAACGGATGCGCATATGTTGGAGTCACGAGGGTGGTGGTGGTGGTGGTGGTGGTGGTGGTGCGTGGGCTGGTGGGTAGAGTGAGGGTGGAGGGGTGAGGGGTGACCCAGCAGCTCGGATGCGCGCGATGAGCATGGCCGCCAGAGTCGGCCCGGGGAACCTCGTCCCAAACCCACCCATCTGCAGCTGCGAGCACTCTCAGCACACTTGCACCGGCACTGGCATTGGCACGGAGCAGCAAGGAAAGATGAGTCCCGGTGACTGGCTGACGAGGGCTGCCTCGTCCCGTCTTCTCTGGTGTGGGACCTCTGCGCCCTCGGCCGGGGCTGCTAACGAAGCAATTGTCTTTTATTCCGAGGGCTAGCTGCATGTATGCCATGCATGTGCTGTGTGTATGGGTGATGAGCATGAGATTGTGAGAGCGCTGTTTTGCGCCGGTGGGGACGGGCAGTGCGGGTACGCTTTCTGGGTACACCTTGGATACCACCTCAACCCGCCCCTCCTCGCCTCTTGCCCCTGCCCCTGGGACCCTTGACCACAGATCTGGGGCGGTCTGCGGGCTGCGGCCTGTGGCCTGCATGGTGGTCGGCTGGTTTGTGTCGTACTTGTGTCGAAAAGGGCAGGGGACCAAAGACTGAAAGACCAGAGATGGACACGCGCAGCATTGGTTGGGCATGGCACAGGACTTCCCGGGCCGTGGGTTTTGTTTGCCCAGATGTGCAATTCTCCATTGACAATTCCCATCCCGTTGTCCTGTCAAGCATATCTGCGTAGGCATCTATCCATCTATCTGATCTGTCCGCCCGCCAACCCCCTTGTCACTCCCTCCCTCTCATTCTCTTGTCCACTCGCTCGACTGACCTCGACTGATCTCACCTTACATCACCTCAATCGCTCATTCCGTTTTTTTTTTTTTTTTTTTTTTTTCCCTTATCCGGGGTTGGCTTGTTTCCTGCCCTTTCTGGGTCCCCGCCCCCCTCTCTCGCTGCCATATTTCTGAAGCACCCAGTCCCTGTCGGCCCCTAGCCCAGACTCGGAGGCGAGAGAAGGCCTTCCTTTCTCTCTCTATTGCCCTGCCCCCTTTTATTATTATCTGCCGTTATCTCCCTCTCTGCGCCATCTTCTCGGTCTTGTTCCTCATCCTGCTATCCTGCTAAGCCCGCTGCCTCGCCCCGTTCCAATTTGCGTCCTCCTCTCGTCTCCTGATCCGAGCTTCCAGGCTCGCCATCCACCCGCCGACCCAGCCAAGCGCCCAAGATTGCGACGCCCGGATTCCTACGACGAGCGGCATTTCTTGAAACCCGTACTTCGACACACAGCATTCATCAGCAACAGAGCACAAAAGAGCACAAAAGAGCACTTACCTTCCTCACAGGCCAGCCGGCCGCCCCCCGGAGCCGACTGTTTACTTTCCGCCCCCGGTGCACCTGCGTTACTTTTGTGCAGGTGGACGTCCGTTGTCAACAATACCAATACCATCCCAGTGATTCCACCCGTCTTTCTCCATTGATCCTTTCCAACTGCCCGGCAGCCAGCCACCAGCGACAGTGACAGTGACGGCCGCAGTGATTGCGACAGCGACACTCTTGCAAAGGCAGACGCGTGCTTGTCTGCCCGCCGATCCGCGATCATCGCCATTTCGTTGCCCTACTCACCTCTTGGCCTGACTCAACTTTTCCTGGAACATCCACCTCCTAATGCAGCATTGAAACCGTCATCTCCCTTATGCGACCAGCCCCACAGCGTATTATAGCAACTCCAACTCGCTCCCTGTGCCACCCGCATCCCGTTCCGAGGCACGCACGCACGCAATCCATGCTGCGTACCCGGGCAGCCCATTCTCACCCAAAACCTACAGAGAGCCATCAATGCGTGTTTGTCTGAGCCCTATGCCCTACAACTTCTGGTCCCGATTCTCTTCACAAACCGAACCGCTCCAGCGGGGGGTTGAGAACGCCCACAACCACGACATCTGAGGCGTTCTGCGCTGCTCGTACAGGTACTTTGTACCACGTACCTCGGGCACGCGACTCTACGCACCCCCCATGACACCCACCCAGATTGTCACCACCAAAATGTCCGACCACGATGACAACCACATCATCGACCACAATGGCGGTCTCGTAGCCGCCCTGCGTTCCGTGTGGTTCTACTACATAGCGTGCACACCATGCAGGAAAGTCGGCCACCGTCGCGAGACCCGCAAAGAGGCCAAGCGAGAAAGGGGCCTGAAAGCGCGCTTGGAGATGGAACAGCCCGGACTCTACAGACACCCGAACCCGGAAAACACGAATGAGTACTGGATGGAGGACATCAGGATGGGGCCCAGCCTGCCAAAAAGAGGCCCGAACAGCAAGAACCAGAGCCAAGGAAAGATTATCAGCGCCGGGCCCGCGGCTGCGACGGTGGACGGATCCCAGTTGGAGCGAGGGCTCACCAACGGCAGCAATGCGGCGTTTCCAAGCAACGAGACTGCCGGAAGCCCTACCGTGGTTGCTGCGGACGACCTCGAGGCGCGGACAACCCTGTCCATGTCGGTGGCGGACTCGACAGATCTGGAATGGAACCACAAGAGATACCAGAGAGAGGACGAGGAGCTGTGGGGCCACCAGATGTACAACCGGGCCGGCCAGCGACTTCGCGAGGTCATAACAAAGGGTCGTGATACGGCAGGCAGGTTGTTTGATACCAGGACAGGCCGAGAACGCGAGATTACCGAGGAGGAGCGACAACAGTTCTACGGCGAGTACTACGGCGCACCGAGGAATCCGCCCGTCAATGATTACCACCCACCTGTCGTCAGCAGCAGGCCCGCGCAGAAGGGAGAGTTCCAATGGATGCTGCAGCCCCCTCCTCCAGCCAAGGTCATGGAGGGCAAGGTGCCCGTGAGCAGGAGCGGGTCCAAGACAAGCGTGAACAGCCGCAAGACGCAGGCTTCGCTTGCCAGCAAGGAGGAGCTCGGCCTCGGGCGCCTGGTCGGAGAGAAGCTCGTCAAGGATAAGATCCGCAAGGGAGAGAAACCCTCCGAGGCAGAGCTGACCGTCATCACCGGACCAAGGCCTAACAGCCGTAGGACAAAGACGGCCTCTACGATGAGCAGCATTCCGAGCGAACGCTCCACCAGGAGCCGCAGCAACACCACAGGATCTGAGTCTTCCGACACGATATACGAGCGCAGGAGGAAGAGGAGACTAGCGAAGCAGAAGGCCGCAGAGGAGGCTGGCTCAGAGGCTGACGATGAGACCGACACCGAGGACCAAGCCCGGCCCGAACGACGCGCCTCTCAGAGGCCTAAGCTGCAGACTATCGCCAGCTCTGACCTGGCTAGCAAGAAGTCTGGCAACACCGAGAACTTGTGCCCATCCAAACTGGCCCCTATGAGCGAGCCGGCTTTGTCCCCGAGCCCAATGTCTAAGAGCCCATTGAACGACATCACCAACACCGCCAACCAATCTCCCGCGCCTGTCTCACCCGCGGCAGAAACCATACCCGACGGCAAGCCCGCCACCGCATCGGCCGACAGTGGACTCGCAATGGCTTAGGCGCCTGGTTGCACAGTTTCGTGACGTATTTACCTGCATTATGGTGTTTTGGCCCTTTGAAATTTTGTCGTCTTCTTTATTCGCTTCCGTTGTGCATATTTGAACCCCCTTCCTGCAGTCGCTGGAGGTCGGGCTCTCTTTTTTCCTGCATCGTTTTACTGCATGGCTGGTACTGCATGGCAAGGCTGTTTTACATCAGATTGCAAGGCGTCGTGGGGCATGTGTCTTTCCGAGGGAGAAGCAGGCTACACGGGGCTTGGAGCTATAGCCCAGAAATTAGAATTAGCTCGAGGATCGGAAGAGGGATTGGCAAGAGAAACTATGACCTGAAGTGGCCATGAAAACGGAGAAGAACGAGAGTGGATGCTAGAGAGGGGGAGTGGAAGAAAGAAAGAGAGAAAACCTGCAGCAATATGAAGTTTTCCTCGAACTGCATTAATATCAATATTCGCGTCTGTCTTGAGTGATCATTTCTGGGGATAGGACGATCATTGACTTTCCCGTGGCCGATTCGCGTATTCGGCCGATACAGTCCCCAAAGTCTATGTCATGTGGGACGCTTGCACTTTACTCCAGATGGGGTAGATCTAAGTACGAGATCTAGAAGATTGTGATCGCGATGCTGTGATTTCATTGTCCGGGTATCGAACGTGACATTTTCCTTCCCGCCCGACCTGTCGGAGCCGAATTGTAGTCTTTCCCCGCTTTACCTTAAACGCCTATGATGCTCCCTCATGACTGTCAAACAAAATAATACCCATGATCCCGGGCGGCCATTATCACAGGTGCAAGCCTCCATCCTCGTCATCGTTGTCTTCGGCAAGCCGCTCCTCTAGCCTGCGACGGAGCTCCTCATCCGTCAGCCTCCCGCCGCCGCGGCCGTTTGTCTGTCGCGGCGCGGCGCTGCTTCCCTGCCTGTTCGGTATAGCGTCCATGTGTATCTCGCCGTTCCTGATGACGCCCGTCTGGAACGTGCCGTCCTCCCAGGGGTTACCCCTCGACGGCGCCGCGCCGTTCGCGCCCGATCCCGCACCGTCCTCAGCATGGCCATTCACGCCATTCGCAAGCGGCGCCGCCGATGACGCCGCGGGCACCTCAGACGTAGTAGGAGCGGGGGTAGGGGCAGCGACACCGGGCTCGTCGTCCTCGAGCTCGTCCTTGGCCTCGAACTCGCGCCAGCTGAGCCCGCGGGCCTCGACCTCCGCGCGGACGAGCTCGACGCGGACGCGCATGCGCGCGATGACGGCCTCGTTCTCGCGGATCGCGTCGGCGCAGTCGGCGTCCGGCTCGCCGGGGACCCCGCCGGGCGCGGCGACGGTCCCCTCGGCGAAGGGCCGCAGCTGCGCGTTCGAGTGCGCCAGGTGCGCTAGGCTGTTGCGGATCTCGAGGACTTTTAGGTGGAGCGAGGCCGCCGAGAGGTCCTTGAGCGCCGCGGCGAAGCGGGCTGGTGTTATGGGCGCCGTTATGTCCTGGGGCTGCGATGGGGTTGCCATGTTGCCTTTTGTTTTGCAGTTCTCGTTTGCTCGGGGTTGGCTCGATTCGTCCGCGGGGGGGGGGGGGGGGGTTCGGTTCGGGGCTGGCTTGGCCGAGGATGGAGGTGGTTGGTGGGCAGTAACCTGTCTCTCTCTGGTAGGTCGCGGTAGGGGAGGATGCAGATATCTTCGTGCAAGAATAGTAGAACTTGCAGGATGGTAGTTGGTAGATGGTGACTGTATTCTGCAAGGCAACCCGACTTTGAAATGGCGGGGTGTTTGCCTCGGTGTAAGCTCAGACCCCATTATCTACGCAGTTATTCGAGCCTAAGCTACCTCCTGGGTACCCAGGTACCCTCAATGCTACCCACCACACCAATCCTTACCCCTGTCGCTCTCTTCCCATCTCGGACCCGAATCCTTGCAAGAAAATGCATCTGACCCGCTACGAATCGGGGGTCTTGTCAAATTTGTTGAAATCCGTGACTTGGACGACGCGCCGACGATATTCTTGCAGCACCCTCAGCCTCACCACACGACTCTATCACCAGAATGGCCAAGTTGGAGAATATTGCGGAGCCCCATGAGGTTTACCCGACCATTCTGGTCTTGGATTTTGGGTAAGGAACTCGATCCACACAGCCCGGGCGCCAGAGACCAAGTTACTAAACCGAGTTGAAAACATCAGGAGCCAACATACCCACCTGTAAGTCCAATCCCGAAGTATCTTTGATCTGGAATCAGAGACCGATTCCGGTCGATACGTCACCGTGCTGATCAGATTGTTTCCAGGATCATCCGCCGTCTCCGGGAGCTCAACGTCTACTCCGAATTGCTCCCTTGCACCACGAGACTTTCTGAGCTCAGATTCAAACCTGCTGGTCTAGTCCTCAGCGGAGGACCCTACTCCGTCTACGATGTCGATGCGCCACACGTCGATCCTGCCTACCTACACCTCGGTATTCCAATCCTGGGGATATGCTACGGCCTTTCAGAGCTCGCCTACCGAATGGATCGCACCAATGTCGTGGCCGGAGTCCAGGGAGAGTATGCCTTAGCCGAGGTGACGGCGAAGATCGTCAACGCCCGGTTCGACCGCCTCTTCCACGGCATCGAGGGCCCCATGAAAGCATGGATGTCTCATGGTGACAGGCTGGCCAGGCTCCCTGAAGGCTTCCACACAATAGCGACCTCCGAGAACTCCGAGCCCGCCGCCATTGCGCACGATACCCACCCGATATACGGCGTCCAATTCCACCCAGAGGTTCCCCACACGCCAAAGGGTGCCCAGCTGCTGAGGAATTTCGCGGTGGATATATGTGGCGTCAACGCTGGCCGGATGACGGGCAACTTCGTGGAGCAAGAGACGGGCCGGAAACGCAAGACAGTCAAATCTTCCAGTCGGACCCTGGGGGCCGTCAGCGGCGGGGTGGATTCGACGGTCGCTGCGAGGCTCGGCCACAGGTTCGCTGCGGTGTTGGTGGACCACGGGTACCTGCGGCACGATGAGCGGGAGCAAGTTGAGAAGGACCTGAACGTAGGTGCTCATCAGGATTGGTCGGTATACGAGGCTGCAGCGATCTTACTCACACTCCGCAGGAGCACCTCGGGATTAACCTGAGGGGTTTGGTTGCGTTCGATGAGTTTTACGCTGGTCTCGAGGGAGGGTTGAATTCGCGGATGGGGAGGAGGTTTGGCGGTGGTACTCTGATTGGTGCTGTCTGAGGCGGAGATCATTTTTTGGCTGAGCGCCCTGTGACGGGCGGCCAAAGCCTGATTCTTTTCGCAGGTCGAAGGGCGACAAGGAAAATGAGTCGGATCTGAGTCGCTTCGCTCAGAGAAACCATCCGCCGTCTCGTTTCGCCAACTTCAAAGGCGGACGGCAAGATCGAATAGCTTCTGTCAGGGATATTGTAAGTTGATCCAGTCTTAATACAGGACGCTGGTCGATACTAATCCCTTCCAGCTTGCCCGACATCTTGGAATAATTCTCTTCCATGGCCGAGCCAGACATCCAAGACCCGCCATGAGGGCGTGGTCTCCCTGCACATATGACTGAGAGCCACAGGGCTGAGGCTCCTGAAGTCTCATCGCAAACTGCAAGGACGAGCCTGGGAGACAAGTTGACAGCCGGGCACCGCTGAGACGGTCGTGATGCGTCACTCACATCTTGTCAGGGCTTGGGGATCGCCATCCGCACACGATCGAGACGAGGCCCGGGCGTGTCGAGATGGCCCACCCAGGCCGATCACATCCTCCCCAGAATGATTCGAGGGCCTAGTCCGAACAAAGGCATGTGTGGCGCTTACAACGCCCTGGGCCATCATGCATCGTGGGCGATAATGCAGCGCGCGAGAGCACAGCTGGCATGTGCCGCGAAGATGACGGGTTTTGAGGCGGCAGATCCTGCCCAATCTTCTCTGTGCTCCTGGCCGTGTGCTCAATGCACACCGTAGGCTTGGTCCATGTGATATACCGAGCCTGTTGTGACCAGGCTTGCACATAGCATCAATTGAATCAGGACACTTGGGTTGGACAAGAGCGACGTGAGGTCGATTTCATGACCGGATATATCAGAAGCCATAGTAGGACTGAAACATCTTGAAGAGCTTATGAGTGATGTTTGAAGTGAAAATAAGAGAGATGACCCGCGGGCTCAATAAGGTTCCGCATGATCAAACGAGTTACTGATGGGTTCAGCTCCAGGGGAACTTGTTCTAAGAGGTATGGAGGGAAGGTGACCCAAGACCACATGTGTAAGGTGCCAAAGCTGGATTAGGTCATCCTTCCCCTCCATCACCATATCCGCCCAGCCACCCTAGCACGTGAGAAGTTGGACCAGTACACGCTCATATTCACAAAATGGTCACCAGCAACCCGTCAGCATAGGCATCAATTGACTATACATATTAAGCTCGTGACTGATTACTGTGTCACGATGACAATCATAGATCCGAGCGACGCACACTTGCTTCGCTGCTGGAGACACCAAGATTGTAAGGGCTGCTTGCATGAGGATCGATGTAGCTGGTGCCCATTTGTAGGTCAAACTCATCTTCTACATCGTGCCCCCACCACTGACACAATCAAGTCGTGGTCGTGCGTGCCAAACAATCATACCATCCAAGCATTGGCGCCAGCCTATGATGAGAACGTGTGCCCCCACTGGGCGGAGCGATGGGAGGTCCGGACACGCCCGTTAGGGTGTCAGGTCTCAACCATCACCAGCTTGACCTCGATCATCTCAATCGCCTCGACACTGGTCGTTCTATCTATGATTCTTCTCATTGCATGGGCCATTATCAAGCTGCGCAGACACCACAAACAGGCACACCAGGGGTGGTGGAGGTTCTGGAAGCGCGGCTGGGGTTCATGGAAGGCTCGCGCGGAATCTCAGCCTGGAAGCGTTGGCGATACTCCTGAAGAACATGATCCCCTACTGAGACGATGATGCGCCAAGGTCAGGCAACATGTCCGGTGGACGAATGGTCGGCCCCAGTTCTCATCCAGAGCTGACAGGCGGAATGATCGCGACCTCGTCGCCCTCCTGAATCACCGGCTCGTCGGCGCCACCCTCATTGCTATCCTCAGGGACGTCGACGTAGTTCAAGTTGATGGTCACCAGGGAGGACTCGAGCACCTTGGGCTTGATGCCGGCGTACCGCTCCTCGAGCGTCGCGAACAGCTTCCGCAGAGGCAGTGGCGCGGGCAGCGCCTCGTACTGCTTTCCGGTGAAGGTGCTGGCACTTGCAAAGTAGAGCAGGTTGAAGTGCCCGCTCGGGGGCTTCGGTGCTGCAGACATGACTGTTTCTACCTGAACGCATTGGACTTGGTCAGCAACGAGTTTTTTGCACTGGATTGAGCCGAGCATCAGAGGAATGGTGTTTGGGTTGTCAGAGATCTTGGTAGTTATGAGAACATCACAAAATGTCAGGTAATACATGCTTATTATGATCATCATTTAACCGGTTGAAGAAAGAAATGCACGGGGGACTTACGTTTTGTTTGGGTCTGTTGGTTGTTGAAGGTGGCTGGAATCGGCCGGATACACAACGGCCAGGAAATTTTCGAGGGTTTTGTAGCTGATGGAAGGTGGGTCCCCGCCATCCACCCACTAGGCCTGCCAGCAGTGGACGCTCAAGGGGGGGCAGGCAGTAGCGCGTTTAATGCGCACCTCAGTGCCGCGTTCCACCCAACAGCAATCAGGGCGGTGGAAACTCGCGGCGGGCCAGCTTTCCAACACCGCATTACAAAGGTCCTCAAAACGAGCGTCCCCAAACAAGACTGCTTTCGAAGTCATACTAGCACCGAAATTCATCTCGATGAGGCTTTCGCCGCTCCCAACCGCTCGAGATGTCCCTGAATAGGAAATACGCGGCGTTGCCCGACCTTGTGAGCCCGGCCTCGGCCTCCCTCTTCCCAGGCACCACCAGCTAATGAAGCTACCAGGACTCTGCGCCAGACATCTACGAGACACCAGAGCTCACAGACGACACTTCCACAGTCCCTGTACGTATGGTTAAAACCCCTTTCTCCTCCCTGTTCGCAGGCTAAGTCATGGTTGTAGACAACACTACGGTCCTCCTCAGATAACGAATTCGATGATGACGAGGCGGACGGCCCCGGGATCTCGCGGTCCAAACTGCGCATAGACCAAGCCCGGTCACGGTTCATGCCCTCTCAAGTGGACGCGAAAGAGGTAGACTTCTCAGACCGCGTCAATGGAAAGAGAAAGTCCTACAAGGCCTCCAGTCGCCGGCACAGAATACTAGAGGACGGTGCTGAGGAATTGGGAGATCTGAGCGACGAAGACGAGGGCGAGAGCTTGGCTCGGAAATTGGCGAGGCTGAAGCGCGAGATCGAGGAGGCCAAGGAGGAATATGGCAGACAGAAGTCGCAGAACGACGCAGCTGGCACGAAACCTGAGGATGGAGAGGGCAGCCAGGAAGAGGAGTTGGCGTCTCTCAGCCAAGTATTGGACGAGATTTCGAGGCACCCAGAGGATCTGGCGCAAGGTCCCGGTTTTCGACCCGTAAGACTTGGCCCATTGCCTGCCCGGGAGCCCAAGCAAGACGATATTCAGGGTGAGCCTGCGGGTGGAGATTCAGCCACCTACACCGTCACATACGCGCCGACTTACGAGCAGACGCACGCACTCGCTAAGGCTGCAGACTTTGATGGACGCCTTGCGCTTCTAGAGAAAGCCATTGGCATCGGGTCCTCAGCCCTCCCAGAGCTGGACTCGAGCGGCTTACCGAGGGCAATTGTGCCGACACTAGAAAAACTACAGAAGCAGGTCTCCACACTGTCGGAGGCGTCGTCATCTTCACTAGATACTATTAGTCGCAAGGTACGACAGTTGACGCAGGAGGCCGAGCAGCTTGAGAAGTCCCGGAAGCAGGCAAAGCAGGCCAAAGAGGCGCTCGCTTCGACCGGCACTGGCTCATCATCCCCAAGCACCCCGGACTCGGAGGACTCTGAGCAGACGACCAAGATCAACGCCCTCTACAGCACGCTGCCGACCATCGAGAGCCTGACGCCCCTCCTGCCGCCTTTACTGGATCGGCTGAGGTCGCTGAGGGAAATCCACGCCGATGCGGCCACGGCAGGCGAGACACTGGAGCGCATCGAAAAGAGGCAGGCGGACATGGCTTCTGATATCAAGCAGTGGAGAGGGGGCCTGGAGAAGATCGAGACGGCCATGTCAGAGGGCGAGTCGTCTATGGGAAACAACATGAAGGTTGTCGATGGCTGGGTGAAGGACCTGGAGGCAAAGATGGCGAAGTTATCATGAGCCTGCCGTTCTGCTCCTGGGCCTGATTGATAATTGACGTTGAAGTGATGATACCCGTGATAGTTCTGCAAAAAATCGGAAGACATTGAGGAAAAGAATATTTGGACGAATCTATGCACCTTTGCAGAGAAAATTGCGTTCAACGAGGATTGGTCTAATCTGCCTGCGTATGTGGTGTTGCCTTTTCTAGGAGATCCTCCATAACTCGACTCCCGAGGAAGGTGCTGCTTGCGGTAGAGAAGGACAGTATCTCTGGGCCGTGCACAGACCTTCCTAGACTGTGTTTGAACCTCGGGAGAGTGTTACTAATCTCGACACGGGAACGGACGCGTCTGGATGCACGTGTGCGAGCCTGCGAACGCTCACTTAATTATCGGTGCTGCATGAGCTGGATGGGAACAGGTGTGAGGGCATAACAAATGCAGCGAGTGATTTTGCAAGACGGAACTTGTCTTTTCACTCAGTGTCGGCCACAGAGCCTGTTCTCGCGATAAAAGAGCACACTTACCCACGAAACCTCGAGTCCACATCACTACCCAAGGTGGCCGGCCCTACCTCAAACTTGGGGTTTTCAGCTTGTCAATCAACTCTGACAACACACCTGCAGGCCGCATCTAGGTCATGGCAACTGGTCTTACATAGCAGGTCTATCGTGGGATCAAGTAATCATGCCCCCGATCCAGCTGGCACGGAATGCAGAACCACTGCTGACTATTGTCAATGGCAAGCCACGAAAGAAAGCCGTCAAACCAATGGAGGAACCAGAAGATGTGACGGCACCGCCAATTGACACCGATGGAAACGACACTGATGAGCCAGATTTCGGCGATCCTCACTATGACTCAACAGATGACGAGCCAACGAGAGGTGACATCAGCAGGTCTGACTTCAAGCCGGTATCGATCTCACAAAAGCCAGGAACTGTGTCTGGTCGAGGAGGAACAACTCTTACTATTCAGGATAACGGGACTCCTCAACGGCGCTCACCTCGGTCAGGCAGGAAGCGAGCAGTGGAAGGAATCGACGATCCGGACGCAGATGAACTTGGTGTCTCATCTCTTAAGAAAAGGGCGAAGACCAACAACTCAACGCGTTCCCCACTCCTCGGCAGCCACATAGGCGATGGATTCCTCGTGGATAGGAAAAGCAGGCCACTAAAGACAGGATACTCAAAGAAAGTAGGCAGGACGACAAAACCCATCAGCACCTCCCGCGAGTCGACGCCCCGCCGGAAATTTGAACGCGTAAAGAGCATGTCAGAATCAGTGAGCCCACAGCAGACGAGAAAGTTCAATGCATTGATTCCAGGATCTGAGGCTTCTTCTCCATCCAAGAGTCCGAGAACCTCGAAAGTATCAAAAGCTACGATTAAGGAAGGAGATTCCTCGAGCCTTTCTGATATTGACTCTGAGGATGTGAAATCCGACCCCCCTCGACCAGACAATGGCCGGGGGCATGACCAGAAGCGGAAGCAGAAACAGAAGAAGGGGAAGGAGACCAAGCGCCAGCCGAAGAATGCGAACAAGAAGTTACGGCAGCTCTCTGCTGATGAGGACGTATCACAGAGACCAGAATTCAAAATGCCGGATGGCTACAACGATTTTGCTTCGGCGACCGAGCTGGCAGGCATCGACATGCCCTTGTACCCAGACACCACGACGGGCAAAAAGGCGAACATGGCGCCAGACAAGGCACCGTGCCCCATGTGCGACGAGCCGGTCGACAAGCAATGGCTCAGCGAGTACTCCAAGGGCCAGCGCATGAGCATCGCGCGGCAGGCCAAGTTCTGCCACCAGCACAAGAAGCGGTCTGCTAGGGAGCTGTGGAAGGTCAAGGGTTACCCGGAGGTGGACTGGGCGCAACTGGAGTCGCGTATCGGAGCGCACCGGCCGTACCTCGAGTCCCTCATCAATGGCGCGGAGTCGCACTTTGGCGAACGGCTGCGCGAGAAGATCAGGACGGGCAAGAACCGCACCCTCTTCACGACGGACGACTACCCCGTCCCCGGGTACTACGGCCTGCGTGGCATGAGCGCCATGACAGAGAGTATTGTCGATGCCTTCTCGTCGCTGCTGCGCGAGAGAGCACCGCACGACAGGCTCATCTCCGCGCGCGGCCACACAGGCTATGTTCAGTCCGTGCTGGTGCCGGAGCTCGGCGTGCGACTGATCAAGGAGGACATGGGCATCACCGATGACGGCGAGGCGCGCGCGGTGATGCGCGAGAGCCGCGCCGTCGGGGTCATACTCAACGACGAGAGGGCGGAGCCGCGGGTGGCTTCCCAAGCACAGGCTCAGGCCGTAGTTAGTGGTGGTGGTGGTCACGAGGATGCCGCGTTGGGGCCAGACAATAATGCAAGTGGCACAGACGGTGGGAGCGACGACGACGACGGCAAGGTGGACCTCAGGATCCAGCGGGTCGACGATAGTGATTCCGATGTGTCTAGTCTCTCGTCGCTGGGCGCTCACGGGCTCAGGGCCACCAGGAAGGGACGGGTCGACGACGGCAACTCAGACTTGGGCGGACTGGACTCGTTGCGCAAGGCAAAGGAGCCCATAGCGCTGGGGAAGGGCGTGATCGACGACAGCGACTCTGACCTGTCGAGTCTCGCATCGCTGGACAAACTCTGATGAGGCAAGCGCACGACTTTCCCTGGGAGACTGGTTGGCTTTTTTCCCCTCCTTCTCGTCTTGTACAGAGCGTGACGGGATCGGCCTGGTGCCAAATGGTCTCCCTCCTCCTCCTAGCAGGAACAGCGTAGCTTGCTATTTCACACGATATACATCTCACTGGCTACATGCAATACGAAGCGCACAAGCGTTGCAGGTCGAACTTCGTGTCACACGTGCGACGGAGTCTACTTTTGGCTGGGCACGAAATGGAGCCGCGCCGGCGTGGTTTGCCAGTGGCAACAGAGTCCTGGCAATTGAGTCTTCCCCCCGAGGTCTCACTTGCCATCACATTTCTTCTTTTTGCCCGAGAGTCGTCCGTGGGGCTCTTGGGAAAGGTCACAAGGGCGCCAAGTCGCACGGGCACGACACATCTTGGGCATGGAGAGTTGGGCTCCTCTTTTTCCCCCGTGGTAGGAGACCGCTCCGCATGTGCCTCTCCTTTCATCTGATCCCTCTGCGGAGGCATTGCTGTTGCCGGCCATGGAACGCGGTTGCACCACCATGGACTACCTTAATTCTTCTGCCCAGACATCAGCTGTGCATGATGCACGCCAAGGTCTGTGGTCTAAAATTACGTCTGTCCCCGGGATATAACACGAAGTATAGATCCATATTGAGTTATGTGTGTCGTTGTGTTGCTCGAGCGAGTGAGATGGGTGGGGGCGGAAGGGTGGACGCGGAGATAAGGGCGCTTGTCTTCACAGTGGCAGCGGATGGACAGTGATAAAGGTTAAATGCCGCCCGGTCTGGCCATCTTGGAGGCCAGTCTGTCCGGGCAGATCTTTTTGTTGCATCGGCGCATGCATGTACTAGTGTATGTCTGTACAATATATGGCAGGGGATGTTCTGGTGGAGGAGGCGCACAAGAAGCCTTCGAGAAGGTTACCACATATGGTTGGTTGCGTTCGGCCTAGGTTCCGGTGAAGGAAAAGCTTAAATGATGATTCTCAGATGATTGTTCATGACACCAGTTTGAAAGCTTGCGCAACATATAAGTGCTTGGGTGTGGAGGAGTGGATGGCGGAGGGGCGGAGGACGGGGGTTGGGCCCAAACCGATGGACGACAATGGTAGGTTCTGAGGTCGGCATCGGGCAATGCACGGTTCCTGGTTGGCCGGCTCTAAGGCTCGGTCGCAGAGTGATCACCCCATCGAGGCGTCATTATGCGCAGCCATTGAGGCTTGTTTCTGTTGGCGCTGCTGGCGGGCAGACGATGAGCTCTTGAAGATTGGGGGCCGCGAATCGTGCAAACCGGTACGAAGGAAGGGGTAGGGGTCCCCGGGACTCTAGGAGGTTGACGGGATTGGAAGCTTCCAAATCACTTGGAGGCGGCCGAGAGAACAAAAGGAATTCGGAGTAATTGCCTCAAACGCTTTCTTGTGGGAGTACGGTGAAGAGGATGCCGAGACACTCGTCTGCCGTGGTCTCATCTATCTGTCTGGCAGGCAGCAACGCAGTGAGATGGGCCAGGAGAGCGGTGCAGGTGGTTGTTTCTCGGAACGCCATTCGCCCTGCAGGATGAAAGAGTGCTCGACATCAGCCCAATACTTCCTTGCAACCCGAAAGCCTGAAAGGTGGTCAACTGCTGTGCGCCACAACTGATGAGCACGGCGGATACATGTTCGAGACATGTTGATACTCCCCGAGCGGCTGTCTCTCTTGTTGCTGACTAGACTAGTTGCCTCTAACGTAGCTTAGGAGACAGTTCTCGTGCGAGAGCCTCGGACACATGGCATCAATCGAGTCGTCCACTGGAACTGGCGTAGCAGGATGCTTGCGCCATCAGTGCTCTGGTGACGGCCAGGACGAACTAGACTGCTGCTGAGAGGGCGGGCCTTGGCGAAGCTGTCAAGCTCTCAGAGTCCGACCCAGGGGGAGGACAAGATTCTCGTCGTGGAGCTGCCAGAGCCCAAGCTTGACTCCCTGCCCTCGTCAACGACCCCAGTCCAGGATGTCCCACCGAGTGCTGAGACTTTGGGCACTGTGATTGGGAATAGGCCTTTTTTCAGTCACGGCCGGTTCTTTGGTTGTGCCGTCCACCTGGGGTGCCAAGATAAGGCTTGGCCCGGTAGTCAGAGAGCCTTGAAACATAGACACATGAGTCGAAATATGTGTGGGCGTGTGGCCGGGGAAGTTGGGCAGGAAATAAGCAGTGACCGTGTGATACCACCACGGTAGCAGGGCTGGATTGTCCCGCGGGCGGACACGAAAACCGGAGACGCCCTGAACATTGAAACTGCTTCAAGGAGCAGGAGATGGGGGCCCCATCTTTCATCGACAAGTGCATGCGCGGGCACTAGAGGAGAGACCCCACAATCAAGGCTTCCACCAGCGGGAGCTTAGGTACCTACGCTGGAGGATCTACATGGTAATGTGATGTAATGAGGGTAATCACCCAGGACACAGGAAGCCCCCGGGCTGCCAGGTCAAGCGGGCTGGGCAGGGCGCCCGGGGGATATTGGCTCACTTAATAAGACATAGTCTACTGTAAGTGCGTTTCTGCAATGGGGGCCGCCTGGGCTTGTTGTACTTGGCTCATTATTGTGCCCATGCGGCCCTTCGCTTGATGATTATTCATGTGCTTTGATGTAGAGATGTCGAGTCTCATCCCAAGAAACACGGAGTCACTGATGATGTGTAATAATGTGTGTGGGCACCCAGTCAGTCGGCAGTCCGTGTGCGGACATACACACACAGGTATCACTTGCAGCGTGATTGATGATCGCCGCAAGGAGCAGAGCGTCCGCGTTAGCTGGTGAAGTGGGTCGCCCTCCAAACGAGAGTGCGGTAATGGTGTAAGGCCGGCACGGCATGGCGCGGTACACAGAGCGCAGTTCTATTGGAGTGCAGCGTGCTGTGCGGCACAGCAGAGTACGATGCCATGATTTCAGCCTAATGTGGATCTGAAAATGGGAATTATCTTTTTGTTGTTGTCTTCTGTCGATGTAATCAAGTCCGTGTACAGTATGAATTCATCGTAGGGTGTCAGAGTGACAGGTCAAGTGTGGGCCCACGTGGATTGATCTACTTCCGTGACGACGAGGTGTGCCGTCCTGCAGTACATGCCTGGGTAGCCCATCTGGTAAGCTGCTGAAGAGTCGGTAATGTGGAGTATGTAATCTGTCGAGACAAAGGTAGACATATAGAGTGTATGCAGGGGAGAGCAAGAGAGTGGGAGCAAGAGAGAGAGATAGAGGCGGCAAGCGAACGTTACCCCCCCCCTTCTCCCCCCCCCACCGGGCAACATGGTCAAGCTCCAGGGTCCACAGGTCTAGGAGCTGCATGCCCAGGTGTGTGGCTCCCCGGACTTCAAGCTGAAGCTGAAGCTGCCAGGGGGGGGGGCAGTCGGGTTCAACGGGCTCAACAACTGGTGTGTGTGGCGACTGGAAGGCGGGCGGCGTTGAACCCAGTCTGGCGGGCCGATGGTTGTGCCTCCGATGACAGGGCTTTCACTCCTGCTCTCTTTGTCTCTCGGCACTTCTCCTGGCATCGACCAGGCGGCAAGGGCCTGTAGCTGGCCGACCACAGCTTGCAAGCTGCAAGGGCGAGATGGATTGGAGAGCAGACCTTGACGCTGTCCTGCTGCCCGTCCGCGGTGACGGCGCTATGTATGTACCGTATACATCCTCCACGAGCGTCTCCGTTCTCATTCCACATAGGGAAGCGGCTTGTATGCTGAGTGGGTAGCCGTGCCTTTCCGGTACCTGGGTACTTTGGGACCTGGATCCCCACCCAGCCTGCACAGGATAGCCTGGCACTCCTGGCACGCCTGGGACTCTCGGTACATCGACAGGCCCGGGCTCGACCGTGCCGTGACATGTACCGTCACATCCGCGCCCCGGAAAACCCCTCGATGAGGGGCGGCGGGCAGCGGCAAAGAAAGAGCCTGCTGCGCAATGGGGAAGCAAGGAGATTGATTCTCAAGGCAGGGCAGGCGCAGGGCAGCGCAAGGCAAGGTTGGCGCAGGCAGGTGTAACGACGGCAGCTGCTGCAAAGACACAGCACAATTGCATCCGCGAAGAATCAGCGTCGCACTCGCCAGTTTCCATGTTGGGGTCCAACACCCTGTCGACGGCGCGACTGCTGGTTTGCCTGGTTGCTGGTACTGGCGCTGGTGCTGGTGCTCTTGTTGTTAGGAATCGCAGTTGGAGTTGGAGTTAGAATTGGATCTGGAGGAGCTGGACCATCTGGATAGGTCCTGAGCATCTCGAGTGTCTCATCTGTCCCATCAGTCCTATCTGCTCTCTGATCCTCTCGCCGTCATTCCAACCTGCATCCTGCATTCTGCACTCTGCGACTCGCCTCCCAGTAGCCCTTCTACCCACCCGTCGCCTCGCATCACCTACCTCCTCCATTGCACTTGGTCTCATCCATCCAACCACCCACCCAGCGTGCCACTCATTCTTCCGTACATACATACATCTGCAAACACACACACACACACACACACACACATACACAAGCATACACACACACACACACACACACACACACACACACACACTCTTGCGCATACGCCCGCACTCACACCACGCCCTCGCCCTGCCATATACGGGACTGCTACAACCCCACAACCTGCACCTGCACTCACTCCATCGCCGAGGTTTCGTCCCCACCCCATCCATATGCTCCCCATGCGAGCTCGATAATACGCCGAAGAAGAGGGCATGGCTCTATTGCCATCTTGACACCAAGAAGGCAAGCTGACAATGACGAGAGATGACCTCTCGCGATTTAGCTCAGTGACGAGCGCGAGCACCGATAGCACCGCCTCCGACCTCACCGTCAAGCCACTGCCCGCTATCCCCAGGCCAAAGGACAAGGACAGAGACAAAGGAAATGCACAACCCACCGGTCAAGGCTACTCCTCCGCCTCCGCCTTCCCAAAGGGCCTGCGCAAGGCCACCCCGAGGCTAAAGACGGACGAGAATGGGAACCTAGTCAAGTGAGTAGCTGGCGGTCGCGACTGGGCCCTTCATGTCGCCAATGCATCATTGTGATCCACCACCTCTCTGCGTGTCTGTCAATGCCTCAACCTGCCTGCCCGTCCGAGGCGTTGTTCCAGTGTCGCTTTGCCTCCCAAGCATTCGCACAAAGCGTGAAGGACTAACATGTCACTGCGTCTGCGCTGCGAAACAGGTCCCTCAAAGACTCCAGAGAAGCCGAGTGTCAGCCGCAGATCTCGCCGACGTCCAGGCAGCCCAACGCCGCCCTTGCCCGTGCTTCTTTGTCGTCAGCCCCTTCGTCTTCCAATGCCGTACACAGAATGAGCGACCTTGCCAATTACCGCCGCGACCTTGCCGTTCTCGAGCCCGCCGGGAGTCGCGCCCCACAGATCGTACACAACCCCCCGTCGACGGCTTCTTCTTTCATGCAGCAGGTTGCGCCGTGGATGGTGGGAGGAGGCAGTAGTAATGGCAATAACCCGTCCGTCTCCCCCCCGGCCAACGGCTCCGGCGTCATGGCCACTACCTTCTACAATGACTCCAGCGACAACCTCTCGTCCGCCTCGCAGATGTCTCCTGCCTTTCGATCCGCCTCGGTCAGTGCGGCGCGCCCCACGCAGAATCCCACGGGCAGCGAGTCGCCCCCGGCTGAGTCTGCATCATCTGCATACTACAACGATGAAAGGAGGCCCTCCATCGCCAGCATCACCACAACTGCAAGCAGCCAGGCCTCCAAGAATAGCGGCCAAAGGGGAGGGGGCCTGAGGAAGCTCCAGGGTTTCTTTGGCGAGGAATTCCCCGGTCGAGACTCTTCAGAGACCTCCCTACCGCCTTCCTTTGCAGGAAAGGAGACCCGCTCACACTCGTACAGCCACGCATCTCGCCCCCATCGCGACCGCAACTACTCAAACGCCACAGACCATACCCGAGATGCCTCACCATCCTCATCTAGACCAAGGACACCAGTGCCAGCACCAGAAGTCGTGCCGTTCCTCTACCAGGAGGCCGAGGTGCGTCCGCCCCCCTCCTGTACCTATCTCATATCCCGGAACCCTATCTCCACCCTGTAACTTAATTTCTCCAATCCACTTCATATTACTTGGGGCTTGCCTAATCAATACATTTGCAACTCCATCCTGGCCTGGACGTTCCTTCCTCTCCCACAACGTCATGATTGGCTTCTTTCTGTCTACCACCCGCTCACCTAACAAATGCGGCTGCAGGATATCGCGCGCTACGGCGAAGCACCCGTACGAGGTGTCCTCGCCGGCCCCGACCGTGAACGTTACGCGGCAGAGAACGGCTCCCAGAACCCCCCAAAGACCTCCTCGTCCAACCGCTCTGGTCATTCGGTAGCCCAAGGCCAAGGAACTTCGCATCGACACAACAGAAGCAATGACGACCCGCGAGCCCTGCGGCCATCGATAAGCAGGGAAGAATCGCAGGTCAACGTCGCCAACCCGCCAAAGGGCGGTGCAAACACGATGTATGGCTCCCGATCCCGAGCGCAGAGCCCCACACCCAGTGGCCACAGTAGTCTGGGGATGAAGAACGGAGGCGTCGACGGGCCTGCATCACCGGGACACACTCACCAGAAGAAGGGCCTTTTCAACAGATTAAGGGGCAAGAAAGAAAAGGACGAACTCGGGCCACCGCTCAACAAGAAGCTCTCAACTTCGACACAGTCGCTGGGATCGACGTGGATGCCCAGACCGTCGCAATCGCGCCAGGACGTGACCAGGGACGACGGCCCCTTACCATATGGCGAGAGGTGGTCCGCCATCGGTCAGGAGCTGCCCATCGAGCCTCAGCAGCAGCGCACACGGCCAGACAATGGGCGACAGGCAACATTTAACAACAAGTTCCCTTTCTCCAAGAAAGGCCGGCCCAACAAACAGTTTGACGACGCCGAAGACTATATCGGGCCGACTGACCGCTCAAACGAGAAGGGAACCTACTTCAAGCTCGACACTGACCTAGACGACATGTCAGGCATTGTGACTCGACACGCACCACTCACGCCGATGGCCCCGGGTGTCATGACCAATAACGAAGCCGAAAAAGTCCAAGCACAATCAAGAAACGGCGTCAATGGGGTATGGAATGCGCCGGACAGCTGGGCAGTCAGAAAGACAGAACAAGACGTACCTTCTCATGCAGCGGAACTTGAGGACATTGGCAATCCTCCCAGGCCCGAAGAGAAACTCACGCCGTATTGCATTCGGGTCTTCAGGTCGGATGGCACTTTCGCAACGTTACAGATGGCCATAGACTCGTCTGTCCAAGACCTCATTGGCCAGATTATCAAGAAATCATACGTCACGGAAAGCCTCGACAATTATCACATCGTCCTGAAGAAGCATGACTTGGTCCGTGTCCTCAATCAAGTCGAGCGCCCTCTTCTTATACAGAAGAGGCTTCTTCAGCAAGTCGGGTATGAAGAACGGGACAGGATCGAGGACATTGGCCGAGAAGACAACAGCTACCTATGCCGATTTCTCTTCCTCTCAGCCAAGGAGAGTGACTTCCATGCAAAGACCCACGATCTTGGCTTCGGTCGGATGCAGAAGTTCAACCACATCGATTTGGCAGGTCGAAACCTGATCACCATTCCCATCTCGCTGTACTCGAAAGCTGCAGAGATCATTTCTCTGAACCTGTCACGAAACCTGTCACTCGACCTCCCAAGAGATTTCATCCACTCCTGTGTCAACCTCCGCGACATCAAGTACAACAACAACGAAGCCCGGAAGTTACCGCTTAGCTTTAGCCGTGCCAACAAACTCACATATCTTGACGTATCGAACAACCGACTGGAGCAACTTGAGCACGCAGAACTCAATGGGCTCACGGGACTGCTGAAGCTCAATCTGGCCAACAACAGGCTCAAGCATTTGCCGCCCTACTTTGGAGCTTATCGCCAGCTGCGGACCTTGAACATCTCGTCGAATTTCCTCGAAAAGTTCCCCAGCTTCCTCTGCGATCTGGAGAGCCTGGTGGATCTCGACATGAGTTTCAACCTGATTATGAATTTCCCTGCGAACATCGGCAGCCTCAAGTCTTTGGAGCGCCTCGTTATCACCAACAACAGACTCTCCGGTGCACTTCCGGACTCGTTCAAGAACCTCTTGAGTCTGCGCGAGCTCGACGTCAAGTACAACGCTATCTCGGCCATTGATGTCATATCGGAGCTCCCGAAGCTGGAGATCATGACAGCAGATCACAACGCTATCTCGCAGTTCATCGGGAACTTCGAGAGACTGCGGAGTCTAAAGCTGAACGCAAATCCGATCACGAAATTCGAGATTACCTCTCCTGTACCCACACTGAAGCTTCTGAATCTTTCCAACGCGCAACTTGCCAGCGTTGATGATTCATTCCAGAATATCCTGAACCTCGAGCGGCTTGTTCTCGACCGGAATTACTTTGTGTCACTCCCTCCACAGATCGGTAATCTGCGCCGCCTAGAACATTTCAGCATTGCGAAAAATTCTATCGGGGAGTTGCCGCCGGAAATCGGCTGCCTCCAAGAGCTGAGAGTGCTCGACGTCCGTGGCAACAACATGAGGAAATTGCCCATGGATATTTGGTGGGCAAACAAACTGGAAACACTGAACGCGTCCTCCAACGTGCTGGAATCATTCCCAAAGCCAGCCTCTCGACCACCACAACCTCCTGGCGAAGCGACATCCACTGCTCCTTCAATAACGCTGAAGCCAAGTTCCTCCGGGGGACTGAGCCCTTCTCCTAGTGCGGATGATCTACTGCCTGACGGGACGAGGCGGCCAAGTCAAGCGTCCAGTACGCTCTTGAGTGTTGGCCCGTCCCCGGTGCCTGCAGGGCCGGACCGTAAAAGCTCGGTGGTGTCGGTGTATGGAAAAGGTGGCCGCAAGACGTCTGTGATGTCAAGAACCACGACGAGCCAAAGCAACAACAACAACAACACCCCGCAAACCCCCATGCCGACTTCCCGGAAAGATTCCGGCCTGTCTTCTCGATTGACCAATACCTTCGCAGGATCATTGAGATACCTCTTCCTGGCGGACAACCAGCTTGACGATGATGTTTTCGACCAGATAACGCTGTTGAGCGAGCTGCGACTTCTCAATCTTTCGTATAATGATCTGAGCGACATGCCTCAGAGGTCGATCAAGAGCTGGCCGCAGCTCGTCGAACTGTACCTTTCTGGCAATGAGCTCACAACATTGCCCGCCGACGATCTGGAAGAATTCAACTCACTCCAGGTTTTGCACATCAACAGCAACAAATTCACGAACCTGCCTGCCGATATTTCCAAGGCGAAAAAGCTTGCCGTGTTAGACTGCGGAAGCAATTATTTGAAATACAACATTTCAAATGTGCCGTATGACTGGAACTGGAATCTCAACCCGAACCTTCGATTCCTCAACCTCTCCGGCAACAGGCGCCTAGAGATCAAACAGACTGTGTTCGGTGCTGCGAATGCGAACCGCGAACAGTATACGGACTTCAGCCGACTTCTCAACCTTAGAGTACTTGGTTTGATGGATGTTACTCTGATCCAGCCGAGCATTCCTGACCAGAGCGAGGACCGGAGGGTCCGGACGTCAGGGTCCTTGGCCGGATACCTGCCATATGGCATGGCAGACACTCTCGGCAGGAATGAGCATCTTTCAACCATCGATCTGGTTGTGCCGCGTTTCAACTCGGCAGACACAGAAACCTTGCTTGGTCTTTTCGATGGTCAAGCACTTTCCAGTGGTGGCTCTAAGATCGCCAAGTACCTGCATGAAAACTTTGGACACATATTCTCCATGGAGTTGAAATCATTGAAAACCCGACTGAACGAGACACCTGTCGATGCGATGCGTCGAGCATTTTTGTCACTCAACAAAGACTTGGTGACCATCGCAATCCAACACACGGAGGACCGGCCACTGACGGCCCACCGTGGGTCGGCACAGCCAGTTGTGCTCAGTAAGGAGGACCTCAACTCTGGTGGCGTGGCCACTGTGGCGTACCTTCAGGGCCAGGAACTTTACATTGCCAACGTGGGCGACGTGCAGGCCATGCTGATCCAGTCCGACGGGGCACACAAGTTCTTGACCCGCAAACATGATCCGGCCGAGCCCAGTGAGAGATCTCGTATCCGAGATGCCGGTGGCTGGGTATCTCGAAACGGGAGGCTGAATGACTTGCTCGAAGTATCTCGTGCTTTTGGCTACGTTGATTTGATGCCCGCGGTACAGGCTGCGCCACATGTTTCACATATGACTGTCAAGGAGCAAGACGAAATCATCCTGATAGCCACCAAGGAGATTTGGGAGTACCTGCCGCCGGAGCTCGTTGCTGATATCGCACGAGGCGAGCGTCATGACCTCATGCGAGCGTCGCAAAAGCTCCGAGACCTCGCCATGGCATACGGGGCGACGGGCAAAATCATGGTCATGATGATGAGCATCGCAGATCTCAAGAAGCGAAACGAGAGATCACGCCTGCACCGCGGTCAGAGCATGTCCTTGTACCCCTCCGGCGTCACGGATGACATCCTGCCTCGGGAGCCGAGGAAGCCGAAACGAGCGGCGAAGGGCGCCGATGTCCTGGATTCTGACTTACGACGGCTAGAGCCCGAGGTGCCTGCGCCGACGGGCCTGATTGCGATTGTCTTCACCGATATCAAGAACTCGACGAACCTATGGGAGACGTATCCGGCAGCCATGAGATCTGCTATCAAACTGCACAACGATGTCATGAGGCGGCAGCTGCGCCGAATAGGCGGCTACGAGGTCAAGACTGAAGGTGACGCCTTCATGGTGTCGTTCCCAACAGCAACATCGGCCCTACTCTGGTGCTTCTCCGTACAGATGCAGCTGCTTGACATTAATTGGCCTCAAGAGATGCTCAACTCGGTCTCATGCCAGCCCCTTTACGACAAGGACAACAATCTCATCTTCCGGGGCCTGTCGGTGAGAATGGGCACGCACTGGGGCGAGCCGCTCTGTGAGGTCGACCCTATCACGCGCCGCATGGATTACTACGGGCCTATTGTCAACAAGGCCTCGCGTGTATCGGCCTGCGCAGACGGTGGGCAAATCACGGTTTCGTCCGACTTCATATCGGAGATACAAAGATGTCTGGAGACGTACCAAGAGCCCGTCAACAGTGTTGAAGACACCCTCGAGGACGACAGTTTTGCGCTGGCAGTGCGCAAGGAGCTGCGATCGCTGAGCTCGCAAGGCTTCGAGGTCAAGGAGATGGGCGAAAAGAAGCTCAAGGGCCTCGAGAACCCCGAGGTGGTCTACTCGCTGTACCCGCATGCGCTGGCCGGCCGCATCGACCAACACCTGCTCCACGAAAAGCAGGTGTCTGGAGAGGCGGAGAAGTCGTTACCGGCAACTGTAGCACAGGGCGGCGAGCTCGCCTTCGACCCCGAAGTGATATGGGCACTGTGGCGGGTTAGTCTCCGGCTCGAGATGCTCTGTAGTACTCTTGAGGAGGGCTCGGACCGCGGTCTGCAGCCTCCCGAGACGGAGCTTCTGGACCGCATGAAGCAGAGGGGCGGCGAGGTCACGGAGCGGTTCCTGGTCAACTTCATGGAACACCAAGTAAGCCGCATAGAGGTACGTTGTCCACAAACGATGCGTGACAAGATCGGACCAAGGGAGATGAGGGGCTAACCAAGATTACGTGCAGACATGTATCTCGACGCTGACCATGCGACACCTCGCCGCGGGTGGCGGGCAGATCGCGAAGCTCGATGACCTGCGAGCGCCCATGACCAATGTGCTGGACATCATAGCCGAGTCGATGGCGGAGCTGCAGCGATACAAGGACCAGTTTGGCGAGCTCGACGAGATGGTGTCGGTCCAAGACATCTCGGGCAGTGATACGGAGTAGGAGTGAATTTGGGTGTGCCGCAAGGGGCACAGCGGCCCAGCCCGTGTCTTGCTTCCAACCCTCGTCTTCGGCTTTTTGGCCGGGGATCTACTTATCTTGCATATGCCTCTTATAATACCCCCTCCCTATGTTTGTGCTGAGCCAAAATTGTCGGACGGCGGCGTGGCATTGGTTTGGATATATGCCTCCTCGTTCGGTGCGGTGTGGCGCGCTTCTTTTTGGGAATGTATGGCAAGCGCCTATATACTTTTACTGTTTTATCCTCCCAGCACGCAAACGGGCCTTGTCTTTTATTTTATTTTTTATTCCCCTCTCGTCTATAATGTACGATAGCTCCCACGGAGCCACACAGTCGACACGGGCGGCACTTTCTGCTTTTGAATATCAAGCTGGAATATATCATCAAACCAAGGTGGCACAGAGCCTGGATAGGGGGCGGGGTCTGGGATTTGGTTGCTGGAGCGAAGGAAAGGGCGGCTGGGGTGGGGCTTATTAGACGACGGGCTTGTCAGATGCCCGCTTTTCTGTCAGTGGGCTTATAAGCAACGGTCAGTTGTGCCGAACGGGATTGTTCGAATACCTCGTCACATTTCGGGACCGACGGGCCAGTGCCAAGGGAATACAAGTGGGTGGCAGAGGTGGATTATGTATACGGATGGAGAGCAAGGCTGGGCTCTGTAGGACAGCCGAGAACAAAACCATGATTGAAACTTTGATTGCGATCCCAAGCTGGTGTGCACTGACTGACAGTGTGTAGAGGATGTGAAGCCTTGTCGCAATGACAGCAGAAAAAGGCTGTGGTTGTGATGAGGACACTTCATATAGACCTGCACAGATGGAGTGGCGTTGAATGCATGCATACACGCATGTGCCTACGGTGTGTATGTTTATATGCACGACATTGCAGGTGCTGTGCTGTGTGGTGGTGGTGGTGGTGGTGATGGTGAGAGTGGGTGGGGGCGGCGGTCCAGATCTAAGCTTAAAACGGGATGGACGGGCAGCAGCGGCCTGGACCGCGCCTGGCGGGGCCCCCCCTCGGCCGCAGGTGATCGGTGATCCCAGCAGCAGCTGCAGGCGGGCGGCCAAAGCTCTGGTCTTGGTGTGTTTGTGGGTCCCGAGCAGCCGGTTCAGGGTCTCTGGTCGCTGACGTCAGGCGATCCCATCACTGGACGACTCCGATCAATCTTGATCTTGGCAGCCAGATCTGCAGATGTCAGGCATAAGGTTTTGCTCCGGGCTTCGCGGTTGCTATTACGTGCAGTGTACGACATGTACGACACACACATACACACACACACACACACACGCACGCGTTATTCAAGGCACACGATGCTACTTGCATCAGGGCGGCCCGGTGGTGACTGCTGATAATGCAACGTCCAATATCGGTATCGATGTCGCCATCGCACCACACGCAATCACCCACGCCACGCCACATTTCATTCGCCTCGGCTCGGCTCACGCCCACGTCACTCCACCACAACATCACCACCCCTAGAACACACCACAGCTCATCTCCTTGCATCCCCAGTTCCACCCTGCGTGCCGAGGCTCCTTTTTTTCTCGCCCGGAGCGCTGCCAAGATATCATATAAAAGCACCCGGGCAGAGGACCAAGACCACAACGCAACCATGTGGCCCGCCGTCGACAAGGTGCTGTACTCATCAGGGCGGTCCCTCCGACTCACCATGCCCCTGGACCTGCCCGAACCGCTGCCCGCCAACCTGGGCGACCACGTCCGCGCCATCTACCGCGCCCACTTTGCCCACGAGCTCGCCCTGGGCACCGTCGAGCCCCTGGTCGTCCCCTACGGCGTCCTCGTCACCTTCGGCCTGCCCATCCTCTACTTCTCCATCCCCCACCGGAACCGCCCATGGCTGTTCAAGGCCCGATACCTGCTCATGCTGTACATCATCTTGTACAATGTGCGCGAGACGTTCGTCACCACCAGCCCCAACTTTGCCCTTGGCTATGCCGTCGGCCTCATGCAGGCATGGGGCATCATCTGGAACATGACCTTGCTTGCCTTTATGAGGCCGCAGTTTGACGCCGAGAGGATCGAGAGACGCCCGGCGCGGCCCGAGGTAGACGCTCAGGCAGGAGCGAATGGGTCCACGAACGGCCATGCCCAAAAACCAGACGCCAAGGAGAACGTCCGGCCAGCGCAAAACGGCGATGCGCACACCGTCACGAGGGTGGATGGCAGTTCCAGGGGACTGGCGCAGACTCCCACCCCACGCGAGGCTGAGGGTGGCAAGGTGGCCGATGCACCCGATGAGGATACTGAAAAGAGCCTCGCTCAGGGCTACGAGTACTACTGGCAGTCCTACCCAGAAGATGCCTCCTTCCTGACCCGGCTGGAGTGGTCCTTCGACCTCGTCACCTCCTTCCGCGGAACCGGCTGGAACTGGTGTATTCCCGTGGTGCCACGCTTCTCGAAACCGGACAAGCCATGCTCTGGCGCGCTGGTCGACCTGGCATCCATCCCCGTGTCCACGCCGCAGGGCTACCGCAGGTACGACACCCGCCGGGGCTGGTTCCGCAGCGAGCTTCTCCCCTTCATCGCCGGCTATCTGGCCCTGGACGCCCTCAGCGTCCTGATGATGAAAGACCCGTACTTCATCCTAGGCCCGGAGCACACCGAATCCGCCGTCCCCATCCCGCTCCCTCCCCTCCTCGCCGCCCTGGGCCCCTGGCAGCTCTTCCTCTACCGCTCCACGCTCAGCTCCTCCGCCGTGCTCGCCGCCATCTCCGTGATAATGAAGCTGTGGCAGCTCATCTGCGCCTTCGTCCTCCACCCGCTCCTCGGCAGCCGCGCCGACCTCTGGCACTACCCGACCCTCTTCGGCGGCTTCACCCACAACGTCCTCGACAGGGGGCTCGCCGGCTTCTGGGGCGGCTGGTGGCACCAGACCTTCCGCGTCGCCTTCGGCGCCCCCGCCGCGTGGCTCGCGGGGCCCGGTAACCGCCCCAACAAGACCGCGGCGGGCTTCTTCGCCTTCGCGCAGAGCGGCCTGCTCCACTCCCTCGGCAGCGCGAGCTGCCTCCCGCCGAGCAGGCCGTGGGCGCCCCCGGTCTTCTTCATGCTCTCGTGGGTCGGGATCCTGTGCCAGTCCACGCTCTGCGGGCTGCCGGCGGTGCGCGGCACCATACGAGCGCTGCCGCGCTGGCTCAGGAGGGCGGGCAACCTCGCCTTCGTGTCCGCGTGGCTCGTCGCCACGCAGTACTGGATGCTCGACGACCTCGCGCGCTCGGGGATATGGCTGCTCGAGCCCGTCCCCGTGTCGCTGTTCCGCGCGCTCGGGCTCGGCGCGCCGGGGGACCACTGGTGGCGGTGGACGTGGGACGAGCTGCCTCGCCTGCACTCCGGGGCGCACTGGTGGGACAGTGGGATCGCGCTGTGAGGATGGAGACTCTTTCTTGGGATCTTGTGCTCCGTCTTTTTTCCCCCTTCCTTGTGGGTTTTCAGGCGTTGCTTTGTGGGAGCAGGCGGGCGGTGCATTTACAGGCTTGTTTTATACATATACGCACACATGTGCATTGGAGATGCGTTGACTTTGGGAGACTACATATATACATACACATTGCTCTCACACATAGCGGGATTTTTATTATAGAATCGATCTTTTTGTAAGACTTTCTCACTCTGCGCTATACACAACACTTCTCCCATGTCTGACCGCACGAAATCCTATCGAACTGGATTGTGGCACAATGACTTGACATGTATATAATCGCTCACTCCAGACGCTGTTTGTAGCAAGACCACATACGATGTTGCCATGTGAGCTGAAATGTGGGTGTTTAGCGAGCCCACCATGCCACAGCTCTTTGCAACACAAATGTGACAGTCAAGAAGTATTTATATCTCTTATATTGGATTCTCTCGGCACTTCCAAGCCCCTGAGGCCCCTGCAAAATACTACTCTACATGTGGAGTAACAAACAACCCACTCTGTTCTCTTGATCGCTTAAGCTAGACAGACAGCGGGAGATAATAAGGGGAGAAAAAAAGAATGGGTAGGAGGATGCAAGTACAGGTTAATAGCTGTGTCTGCGTAAGTAGGAAGAAAGGTTTGAAATGCCAGGTAGGTAGCAAAGGTAGGTAGTATTTGTGTTGTTCCCTCTTGGTCTCCACGCCCCCCGTTCTTGCAGTTCCGTCTCTCCTGCCCGTGGTTGTGTCCGACGCCTGCTGGGACACTCAGATGGAGAAACAATTCCGACACAAAAGAGATAGGGACATGAGCGGATGGGGGTCTCTGTTGCCCCCCGACCTAGTTCGCAGCTCCCATCAAGGTCCGCTGCGAAGCCAGCCTCATGCAGCAAAAAGTTAAGAAAGCATGAAAACGCCCGCCTTCCCCTGGACCCCTCCTTTGGTATCTTTTTGCAGGCCGCTTTTTTCGTAACATTAATCCTTTCGAATATCGCATGATGCCCGTCTTCTTTCTTTCCGTCCCTTTTGTATCAGTCGTGATGCATATTACACATGAGAATCCCATAGCAGCCAAAGCGGAGCCTCTTCTGAGGAAGAGGGTGACAAGTCGAAGAAATGAAGATTCCGTCCGTTTAGAACGCCGCGCCGAATGTCGTACCGCCATCACCCCCAAAGCCCTATCTCGCTTTCTACTCGCAAAGTGCGGCCATGGCTCACGGTCGAGTCCTGTTGTTCAGGAGTCTGCCAATTTCGCAAAGTGTTTGGACCAGATCCAGCCCACGAGATCACTGGGATCGTCCTGGTTCTTGGCTAACCACAGCTCGCCCTTCTCAGCAATGACATCGAAAATCTAGGAGCGTTCATAGTTAGTTTTTGGATATGCAGTGCCAACCGGGACCGAGACTTACTTCACCGGCTTGGTATGTCAAGTAAGGATAACCAGCCTCATGCTTCGTTGTCTCGATATTAAATTCGAAGAGCGATGCGGCGAGCCATAGGACATTGTAACCTTTTGAAATATAGCGCTCACGGGAGGATGCTCGTGACGAGCGCTGTAGCTCTTCTGTGCTCTCCGTCAGGGGCATGGCCGAGTGGAACAATCCCGATCCCCGGCGTCCATCAGAGCCAGATGGCGGCGCATTGCTTGTCGAATTCGAGTCGCGCCGCACGTGCACAGGAGCCGCCGAATCGATACTTGGCCTTGGAACTCCGGCAGAGTCAAAGCTTCGTCCTGTGCTCGGACGCGGCGTCATGGCCGGGAAGGAGCGCGGGGGGTTCGAGAAATCAGATGATGTGGGTGATGCTGGACCGCGCGAATTGAGGCCATGGTAGTAGTCGCGGTAGAAGTAACTGGAGGAGCCGGCCGCGGCAGCCGAGGGTGACCTCGCCAGTTGTCCACTGTGTTGCCTGACGAAATCCGGTGTTGGCAGAGTCGGGGCCTGGTCACTTGTGACGGACATGCCACGACCCCGTGTTCCAAGATCAGAAGGCTTTGACTTGATCTTGGAGATCGTGTGGTCATCGTTTGTTGACTGCGACGTCCTGGTTTTCACGGTCGGGTTGAGAATGCCCAAGCCTAGGATCTGCTCCTCCATGTCTCTGAAATCGCGGTTGAAGGTGCTCACTATGTCGTTGACCTCCGGGACGTCAGTCATGGAGGCTACAGCGCGGATCTTCTCCCTCCATATAAACCACCATTTCGCCTGGATGTTGATCATGTTCTCGAGACAGATGTTGCCAACCTTCTCGGTGAGAGCAGACAGTTGCGGGAGTTCTTTCTTCAAGGTGTCGTTCAAAGCCTCGTAGTGCTCCACCAATTCCGCAAGCTGCTTGTCCAGCTTCTTGCCGCTCTTCTTGAGCTGGACAGATTTCTCATAGTCGAGCCGCCTCTTGTTCCGCTTCTTCATCGCCAAGAGAGGATTCTGGTAACTTCTAATGACAAGCTCAAACGGCTCAATGACATGTTTCCGGATTTGTAATAGCTGCCACATTATTAGCAATTAAATGTGTTGATGACAGGACGGAGTTGCATACATGCTGGTCCAAGGCCACCTTTTTAATGTCTCTCATAGACACATTGAATTGGACCCATTTGCTCTCCAGTTCTGGATAAGGACCTGGCTGTAGACGAGTCACGAGCTCTATGCCGGACAGGTAATCCAGAAACGCCTGGACGTAGGTGGAAACCTGCCTCGTGTAGAACTCGACGTCCCGGAGAACGACCTGCAGCCGCAGGTAGTCGTCACTGAACTTCTCGTTGAACTTGAGGTAGTCAGGATCCTCGGGTGGCCTGTTGCTCGAGGTCTGCAGCTTGTCCACTCTCTTTCCAAAAGCTCTGGCGAACCCAGCCTTCACGTCTGACTCTTTGCGCTTCCTGCCCACGATTTGTCCAACAAGCTCAAAGTTCTTTTTTGTCTTGTTGATGTCCAAGATCGCGTTCTCGACTGTCGTCCTCGCGGTCAAGAGCCCCTCTCGGTCGGGGTGATCCTCCGGGGTGTATTGGAGCAGTTGAGAGATCAAGTTTGGATATTTGGTGATCCTCTGCATTGGCTTGATCAGGAGAGAATCCAAGTTCCAAGCTGCTGTCAAATCCTTGGCGACTTCATTGCACTCGTTTAACCAAACCTTGACGGTGGGATCTTGTTGTATGTCGATCAGACGCTTGTTGGCGACGTCGCTGGTGCGCAGAAATCCTTCGTGTGCTGCCTTCATCTGCTCTATGTTTCTGATGAACGCTGGTCCGATTATGGTTTGTCGGTCCTTGGCGTCTTCTGTGTCCCCATTTATCGCGGTGGTGCCAGAGACAGAAACTGCCGTCGTCGAAGAGGCTGCAGTCGAAGGCACAGCAGACGGTGTCGTCGAAGCAACCGATCGGATTGTGGTAGCATCTGACATGGTTGTGTCCTCCTTCATGACAGGAGACCGTCGACCTTTCGGCACGTACACACTCGTGACGCCGTCTTTGAGCTCGCTCAAAAATGTTGTATGGAAATTAATGATCTCGTCCGTGTTACGGAAGATCAATTTGATCGTCTTGTCGTCGAGCTGCGGGCACGCCTCTGCCGTGCCTTTGTAAATCTCCTCGATGACATTCATGTCTCTCACAAACACCGCCTCGGTGTCCACAAGCTCTTTGATTACCATGGATCGTTGATGCAGACGGTTCTTTCCCTTGCCCCCAGACCCATGTTTGTCGTCTGCATTTACAGAAGCTTTACCGTCGCCATCCACAGGAGTTTGGGCGGGAGTGGCGCCATCGGTGGCCAACGAGCGTCCGTCGGGCGACTGTGAAGTCGAGGATTGGTTGTGGTAATCTTCACTGTCCCTTCGAGATAGGGGGAAGCTGATTGATCCATGATCATCCCTTGTCAAAGCACTGTCGGGCCTGTGAGCATCGCTGTGTCCGTCGTAGTATCCACTGGTGGGCCGTGAAGCATCCTCTGGGGGCGGGGGCGGAGAATGATCCGGTAATCTTGGAACGTACGGTGCATGCTCATTCTCAGTGCCATACGCTGCGGATAGTCCTGATCCTGTGTCGAGATGTGGCAGCTGCGGATGGCGATTTTGCTCGGATAATGTGTCGTCGTCTCTATCGTGACCGAAGCTGCCTGCAAAGTATCGATGCTGGTATGTCGGCTCGTCATCCCTCACCGATTGGGGCCGTGATTCATCAGCGCCGCTGTGTCTTAGCTCGTCAAGGTAGTCAAGACGCCGAGTCATGGAGTCTCGACTGCTGTAGGAAATATCGGTCCATATCGACTGTTGACTGGACCTGTTGGCTGGCGTTGTCATGGAAGGAACGTTGAGACTGTTGGAGGTATCAGGAGTATTATGCGCATCAGCGGATCCTGAAGGCCCCTCCGAGGTGCCCGCATCTGAAGCTGTGAAGGTTGAGTCCCTCAGGCTTGCTATGTTGTCGTTCAGTCGTGGTCCAGTGTAGAACTCCTCGAGAGAATCCATCCGCGGCTCCTGTTGTGACAGCATGTTCCGTGCAGCTTGCTCGGCGTAGGTGGGAGGCCCAAAGCCAGCATCGCGACTGATGATAGTGACAGTAGTTGTCTGGTATGGTTGTGCCACGTACGGCTGAGGCTCGTACTCATCGTCCTGTCGACCTCCCGAGCCCCGCTGCTCAATATTTGACTCAATCAGGTGCTCGCCCGCAGCCTCAGGTTCGGTTTCTGCATCTGCTGTGTCATCGAGATAGTGTTGAGAATCATGCTCTGGTTCAGGCTCAAGGTCATCTCCAAATGCGCCAGGTATCGGGGGCGCAGCCTCGAACCCATCACCAGGTAATGGTTCCTGGGTGGAGGTGTGAGGTGACGAGGGATCCAGTGATATTTTGATGGAAACAGTCTCGTGATCCACAATGTCTTCAAAAGGGTCACGGTACGTTGCTCTCTCGTAGGCTGGCGTTAGCTGCGGGGGAGGCTGTTCCCCAACCTCAGCACTGCTGACACATGACCAACCTTGCGGGCCCGGCACATGCACTGACTGCTCAGGTACAGGCGGCTCTGTCTGGGTTTCATTGTCAAACTCAGTGATTGCACTCGTTTCCGATACAGCGGACGGAGGCGCCTCTTCATGGTCCAGAGGCGGTGAGCCAAAGCTCGGAAAAGTGCCTGGGAGCCCAAGGGTCGGCGAATCGAGCACCAGGGCGGGTGGATTCGCACGGGCAGGGCTTGGTGGTGTCTTGACATCGACCATTAAGGACGGCTCGCTCGCTGGTGCGGCTCCGGGTGTGGCCTGTGGATCTTCGCGCTGTATGGGATCAGTGGACTTTACACGCTCTCTGGCTTGGGCAGAGGCGGCTGCAGCCTCGGCCGCGGCAGCTTGCGCCTGAGCCCTGGCTTTCGCGCGCGCTTTGGCCTTCGCAGCAGCCTCTAATTCCTTCCTTCTCCTCTCGGCGGCAGCTTCTCTTGCCTGCTTGGCCTCGGTCTCGCGGATTGACTTGCTGTACTTGAGCTTGATCGTCTCTCGCCGCTCGGCAAAGTCGACGGGACCGCCCAAGGACAGCTTTCTCCTTCGACTCGACGGCGTTTCTTGCCTCGACTCGGGCCTGGCCGTTGGCCGGACTGCATTCTTGTGTGGAGACTTGGACTGGTCGACGGCTTTTAGCCTAGAGGCTGCCGTTGTCGCTTCAGAAACTGGCTGTCGGGGCCTGGAACTTCGAAGTTGGGGAGAGTTTTTCGGCGCGGGTGATAGGGTGGCCGCCAGTCGTGCATTGTTCGAGCCTGGCGTGGGCGTTGCCGTCTTACGGGCAGACGGCGTGCTGGCGGTCGGTGTCTTTGACCGGGTAACTGGGGTCTTGGCACGCGAGGTTGGAGTGCCCTGTTGCCGTGACGTCCTACCACTAGCTGCCACTCGCCTTGACCCGGCCGGCGAGTTGGACCGCGTGGAAGCAGGACTGGCAGAGTCGGAGGTCGAGTTCAGCTTTTTGACTGAGATGGGTAGCCGAGACGAGGATGATGCGTGCGGCGAAGGCGATTGATCTACATGTCTTCGAAATTGTGCATTAGTGTTGATTGGGGGGAGTTTAGCACCGGCGAGGTCACTCTGAGACCTGCCATGAGACTTTCCAGGGCTGTCCAAGTCGGGGAGACCGTTCTTTTGGGGAGAGGCCGCCCCACGGTACCAGTCAGTCGGTGATGCAGGCTCTGCCACGGCATCTGACTGAGTGCGCTGATGTTGTTGCCACATGGGATTATCCGCTGTTGAATCTGAGAGGTTTCCTATACCGTACCCAGGCGTCTCCGCGTCGAGGTCGCCTTGTCGTATTTCGCCAAACAAGAGAGGTCCCTCCAAATCAGAGGGTATAGGGTTGGGTTGTTGAATCGGCGATGCCGTGGGCGACAAGTGAGTCATGGACCTCGACGCATGCGCAGTGGACGCCGCAGCGCCTTTTGGTCTGTTGATCCGGCTCGCAAAGGACTGGGAATTCGTCGAGACTTGGTCCTCGGCGAGAAATTTGGTCCTCTGGGTGCCACGAGACGAGCTGGATCTGGATGGGTTCGCCCCAGTCGTACGTAATGATGAATATGACTGTGCACTTCCAACCGCGGCGCGCCCATTTGCTCCATTTACGGCACCATCCTTGGCATTGGTGTTAGTCCGCGATACGGCTCGCCGTGGGTCGGGCGACGGTTGTGGCCCCTTCTGTTCGAACTTCTTCTTCATGTCTTTTACGCTTGCCCGGACAGTAGAGGCCGGGAGGGTGTTGCCGGTGCCGGTGCCGGTAGCCGACCGCATCCTGGGCCCATCAGTGCCCGCGAATCTGTCGTCAACCGGATTGGAAGCTGAGCGAAACATCGGCCTGGTGCCGACCCGGGTGCCTGATCCAGCCGGGGGCTTGGACGAGGCAGCATTGCTGTTTGACCGTGACGCTGGGGGGTGACGGGTGTTGGGCACGGCCGAGGCCATTGGGTCATGGGACAGGGAGGCCAGCGAGTTGTCGCTGGCGATGTCGACGCCTCGATAGCTGCGATAGAAATCGTCCGGGCTGCCAAACGCTCCTCCCTGGGCGGGGAAAGTAGCGTTTGAAGCTACAGCGTGAAAGTTGCGGGCGGCATAAGTTGTGACGGAGATGGAGGTGGGAGACTCGTACAGGAGGTCGTGACGGGAGTCGGCGCGAGGGCTGTTGGTGTCGTCGAGCGGGTCGTGGTGGCGTGCTGCTGTCGGGAGGGAGGGTGGTGGGCGGAGAGGTCGCCGTTGTCGTGGGAATAGGTCGGGTAGGGCGACTGGGAAGAAGAAGCTACCGCCAGGCCAGGGCCTTGCATATGGCGAAGATCCTCCTCTTCTCGATTGCCTCCGTCCATTTTGGCCTGAACATCCCTTCTGGGGCAAATGAGCTCGGGCTCTTTCTCTCCTCTGGGCGGGTGAAACGGATGGGCGCCGCCTGGCAGTGGCTGTGGGCGGGCGTGTTGACGCAACTTTGGATCGAGTGGAGGCCAGGGAACGTCAGGAAACCATGCAGTGCTCAGCGCAGAAAGAACGGGGAAGATGGGCTGTCAGGGCTCGGGAGCATTGATGGGCTGGCGTGCAACGTGAGTGGGTGATGGTTGTTTGAAGGTTTAGGTTGGCCCAAACGGCGACCAGGCTGCCCCCTGGTGCTTGGTGGTGGTGGAGGGTCGTGGGTGGATGGGATATCGCAAGGGAGCCCGTTCAATGTTGACTGGCTCGCCCGGGCGCCAGGATACTGCAGAGAGCGTGTGCGAAACGGTGCCTCCCGTGAGCTGTCTGGCAGTCGGCTTCAGTCACAACCATCCTTGACCACGTCACGGAACTTGCGGTCGGTTCTGTACATACGGCGCAATCAATCCTCCTATCCAGTCCTGTCCCGTCCAGTGCTATCACAGAATTGTAGCGTATCGTGTCGTGTCGTGGCCCTCCACCTCGGCTCGCCTATGACTCTGCCTTGCTCCCCGATTACACGCAGACCTGGCCGTTGGGCGACAATGCAGCGTGGAGACTGGGGGGAGGGGGGGAGAGGGGAAGTGCATACATGGGACTAACATCAGAATCAGGAATGCAGCACACCTTCATCAGCCGAGAATTGCTGCTCTGTCAGTCTGGCATTGGCGCAGCCCCGATTGATAAAGTATCCAACAACCCCGGCGTCGCAGCTCGCTACTGCACCTTGTTCCTCGGTGTTGTGGCTCCTCTGGTCGCCTGTTCGCCCTGCAGCCGCAGCAAGTCCAATCTAACACCTGCAGCTTACCACTTGGATGTGTGTCTGGGATACACACTCCTCTTACTGTACTGCGCCGCGCAGTCCTACAAGGATTGGCCGCCACGTCCACGGGCAGATCGGATCGGATCAGAAGTCGCCAGCCCAGACCGGGAAACAGCAGAGTCTCCCAGGGCCCGTGGTCAACAAATGCAGAGGAAATGACCCTGTGGATCTGCAGCGCGGCAAGGAATGAAGGTGAAATGGCTGACCCAGGGCTGCGATGAGAATACAGGTCACACGGTGTGCTGGTCCCTCGAGGTGTTGCTCACCCGCGGCCGCTCTGGTTCTGTCGGTAGCTAAGGCATTGGCGCATCAATTGGGAGGAGCCATCACCAGACAGCCCATTACGGCCTCTCCACCTGCAGATCCGGTCCAGGTCGCGCCACTTGGTTGCTTACATTTTTGGGTGAGGGTTGTAAGAGACTGACTGACGGGCTGACACCTGGTGCAGTACAATCAGCAAGAGCAGTACCTACATACATTGCTTCCGAATTGGGAAACGGGCGAAGCCCACCAGGATGCAAGGCATGAACCAACATGGACACCATGCTTTTGTTTTGGTCTGTCGTCAACGTTTCGAGGACAGAATAACCTCGCGTTTAGAGTCTGGCTTGGCTGCTATATCCTCCATGCTAATACTGCTAGGAACATCACGGCAGAGTCTGGAGTCAAGAGTTCAAGGTTCAGACTACAGAGCTCTCGAGTCCTGTGCTCAGCTACAGCAATCGGATCGAATTGGGCGTGATTCGGAGCACATCACTCCCGGCTCTGTTGCATCGCCACGTCCCTACTACTCACCGTGCACTCGTCCGCGTCGAACCCGAATAATTAACCTCATCTCCTGCTTCGCACTGAGGAGCTCCCGCCTCCAGACAATACCCAGGCACCGTTGCGATGATACGGTCGCATGACGGCCGTAATGTCCCCTGGTGCGGGATGAGACGGAGCCGGACATGGGAGGAGCTTGTTGATCCACCACTCTGGGGATTCCACAGCCACATGCTTCCGCGACAGAAGCGATCGACTGTTCCCTGTGCCACCGTCGGTAGCCTGGTCAACCTGGTATCAGATTGCCGTCTTCGATTTTACTTTTTTCTTTTTCCCTTCGTCTCGTTTGGCCTCTATTGATAGGAAGCGGGAGATGACCATTGTCGCAGGTCTAGGGTCCCTCCTCCAGCTGCCGCGAGCTGTTGGTAAATGCACAGTAGCATCCAGTCTAGCGGAGGGTAATAAGTGCACTGCAGAAAACGTGCCCATCTTGCAATTAGATTGACGCGTGTGCGGACAGAGACAGAGACATTGGACCACGGTCCCAGCCCGAAGGGTCCATTGGTGCCATCCTAGGTGGTGGGTAGCAGTAGCAGCAACCATCTGATCAGGACTGGTACAGTAGGTTGTGGGTTTTGGACGATCAGTTCCTACGAGGGTCTGTTTGACACGGACGGGAACAGTCAGATGCGCGTGAGCAACGGTGCTGCGCGCAATCTTCCCCGAGCATCTATCTCACGATGGACCTAGAACAGCACATGCGGACATCTATCTCCTTGATGCCCAGGCAGGCCAGAACACCAGGGCATTTACACGGGGTACTTGGTCAGGCACCGCCCTCCTTCCAGGCGTTGCTTAGAGTGTTACCGGAGCCTGCCAGGCCCGCCCAGGTGGGGACAGGCTCCATTGTGGCCCGAGCGTCAGGTACTAGAAGGCGAAATCTCCGACGCCGTTGTCGTATTTGCAAGGGCGCCGAGACGCTTGCACTTCGCCGGCGGAGCATCGATACGCGTCCGGCGCGCTACCCACTTGTCCACCCCCCTAAACATCACCAGAAAACACGACCAAATCGAGTCGTCCGATGGTTTCCACCCACCATCTTAGCCCAAGAATATCATCGCGTGCCCATCGTGCGTCTGTGGTTTCTTCGGCTCTGGCCTCTGCTTCGGCAGTTGATTGCTTTGGCAGTCCCAGTCATTTGTTTCCCTCGGCAAGGCCGCGCATCACAGCGCGTGGCTGTGGATCAGCACCCAGGCGCCGAGGGCGAGGGCTAGAGCTGGTCAAAGAGCCACCTCGAAGCCAATGGGCATGCACGATTCAATCCACACGAGTTACGCTGTGACTTGGGCAGGAGCCGGACGTTAAGCCCGCACAGGCCCGCTCAGCCCTCACCTGAAGCCCCGGGAAGGCAGTCATCATGCCCTCACGATCAACTGGAATGCATGGGGCAAAACAAGACTCCAAGAGAACAAGGAAGAGGAAGAGGGAGCCAGGGCGCGATACCCCGAGTGGGGTGTCTTGTAGCGGTCGACCCGTCAAGCAGCCGAGGAAAGGAAATGCCGGAAATCTGCAATCCCCCGACGTTGTGAAGCATGCTTTGCTGGCCCAGTATTACCCGACTATCTTGACCTTGCGGCAGTACATGCTCGCCAGCCTGCCATCATCCTCCAAAATTCGTCGCAAAAAGATCTCCGCAGTAGGCAAGGCAGACCAGGCTGCGGCTGAAGACGCATATCCAGGAGTCCAGGAATCTGCGGAAGACCCTGACCACATCCGCACTTCACTTGCCAGGCTTCTGGACGCGACTATAGTCACTACTCATGTCTATCCCACCGCTTTGGGAGAGGCACAGCCGGATGACCGCTTCCAACGATGGATCGTTTATTGCCAGAAGGGCGACGACTCTCAATCGACGCTCTCTGGCGGTGTTGCTGGTGCAATTCACTGTCAAGCAGAGGTTGGTTCGCTCAATTCCTGTGATTGGATGAGCGTGGAAGGGCATCGACACCCTGTACGCCAGAAGCTGACGGGCACTCGCAGATAGTCGACTTTGTCATCTGGCTTCTTTTCTCGCGAGAGGTCATGCCCAGTGGTAGGCCTCATCACCTGCTCTGCGACGGCTTTCGAAAGCATGTTGGTCCCAGGCAGCAGTCATGTTCAGTTCAGGGCCTGTACAGCGTCTACCCCAATGAACGGGTTGCGGCTTTGAAGCAGACACCATGGCCGCAGTTGCTCTCGCTGTTGGGTAGGGCCGGCGAGGGTATGATGATCAACATGCTGCTAGACTGTGCCATCTTTATCCCCATTGGGGTCGGGCAGAGCAGTTACTATCAGTTGAGCGGTTAGAGACCTGACCTCGGTCTTTCAGAATAGGTATCTGACGAACCGCACAGGACTCCCCATCTTCGAATCCGAACCTATTTCGCCCCAGATCCTAGCGCCTCCGATAGATATGGCTGGCGACACAGCAGCGTTCGAACGGAAGCCCACAGACATCCATTTCGTGAGAAGCCGTATGGTGTATGCCAGAGCTACGCTCAATGCCCGAGGACTGGTCCACTTTGGGTTGAGACACATCCGTAAGTTCGGTTCCTCGGACAGCCAGCCAGCTTGCCATGAAACTTTAGACTCACATGTTTAAAGATGCTCTGAACAGGTTTCCTGTGCCTAGTGCCAGCGAGGATCCCCTGGCTTCAAAAAATGACAGTAGCGGCAATTCAGACTCTCCAGGAACCGACAATACGCTTCGATTGATGATGTATATGTTTCCTCGTCAATTCGGTCTGCATAATGTGTTCACGTCTCTTGTCGATTTGACACAGACAGCCCAGAAATTTCAGGACTACACCCTCCGGGAGGAAGAAATACTCAAGAAGTTTCGCAAGAAGGAGGGTTGCATCAATGTTCTTGACGTGCGAATTCCCAAACGACTCAGAGGCACGCTTGAGCTCCTGGTGCGGCGTCTGCAAACCTTGCACGCTCGATGTTCTTATGTGGAGTTGCTACAGCACCACTGCCCGGTATGCATGTGGCCGCAGCCTGTAGTAAGGCTTTATCACCTGAAAACTTACAAGGCTTAGGTTCATCGGAAGACAGCCGATGGCCATGCAAGCCGTCATCGCGGCGGCGCTAAGACCTCTTCCGTGGCGAGCAAGCTTTCGGGGAAGGCTCCGAGGGACCGCAAGAAGTTTCGATCGACACCATCCTCCACGAACCCCTTGAAATTGTCGTCGGTCACAGAGCTTGCAACCCCCATATCCCAAGTCTCGGCGTTTTGCCAAGCTGTTCTGTCGAAAATCATCCCCCACGAGTTCTGGGGCCACGGTGATGTTCAGACTCACAACCGAGGCAAGCTCCTCAAAACCGTTGACACGTTCATCAAGCTGAGGCGTTTTGAAACAATGTCACTCCACGAGGTTATGCAAGGCCTCAAGGTAGGAACTAGTCCTCGATTATTTCAAATCACAAAACTGATTTCTTTCCAGGTCACACAAATTGAGTGGCTAGAGCCTCGCGGGCCAAAAAACCGCAAATGTAGCCTGACTGATTTCCGCAAGCGAAGCGAAATTCTGTACGAGTTTCTCTACTACATCTTTGATTCGATCTTGATACCTTTGGTCCGGAGCAACTTTTATGTTACTGAGTCGAATGTCTATCGAAACCGGGTATTCTTTTTCCGCCATGACATCTGGAAATCCATCGCGGAGCCAGCCATGGCCGAGCTCAAGGTCAAGTTGTTCGAGGAAGTTAAACTCGATGAGGCTCTAAAGAAGCTTGACTCTCGGCGACTGGGATACAGCCAAATCAGGTTGCTCCCAAAGCAAAACTCGGTCCGGCCAATCACGAATTTGCGGCGGAGAATGCTGATGACCAAGGACAAAAAGATCCTAGGCCAGAGCATCAATTCTATTATGGGGCCTGCCTATAACATGTTGAAGCTTGAGACAGTAAGCCAGCGTTCCCTCATTTTCTGCTTGCCCGCGGACTAAGGAAATTGTACAGGTTCTCCATGGAAATAGGCTCGGCTCGGCTATGTTCTCTGTGGGAGACATCTATAAGCGCATTGACAGGTTCAAGCAGCGTCTAGGCCACCAAAATATGCCCCTCTACTTCGCCAAACTTGACGTGCGAGCTGCCTTCGATACGATACCGCAAGCGGCTGTCATTTCGTTGATGAGGTCGGTTCCCTCGCAGGGTAAATACGACATGGTCAAACATGTCGAAATCCAACCCAACGAGAATGGCATCCTGGCGAAATCCAAGGCCATGAAACGATGGCACACGTCGGCCAGAGCGGGAGGTGACAAGTCAACATTTCTTCAACTGATTGCGCGAGGGGCCATCCCCAGTAAGAAGAACGCAGTATACGTTGACAGTGTCGTCCGCAAATCGCACAACACTCATGATCTACTGGCGCTGATAGGCTCACACATTCAGGAGAATCTCGTCAAGATCGGTAAGAAATACTACCGCCAGAAATGTGGCATCCCTCAAGGATCGGTCGTCTCCTCTATGCTCTGCAATTACTTTTATGCAGATCTGGAGAAGAAAGAACTGCAATTCTTGCAGGTCGAAGACTGCCTCCTTCTGCGGCTCATCGACGACTTCCTCCTAATGACCACGGACAAGAACAAGGCCTCTGAATTCGTGGGAGTCATGCTGCAAGGCATGCCCAAATACGGTGTTACGGTCAGTCCTGGCAAGACACTGGTCAACTTCGATATGTCGGTAGATGGCGTGCCAGTGCCCAAGATCCAGGACAACTGCCGCACCTTCCCTTACTGTGGTCTTCAGATTGATTGCCACACTCTTGATATCACCAAAGACAGAGGACTGACCTCCGTCGCCCCGCTCAGAGACCCAACAGTTTCAAACTCTCTCACCGTTGAGTTCAGCCGACACCCAGGCCAGAACTTTGAGCGGAAACTCATCAACTCATTCAAGATTCAATCAAACGTGATGTTTTATGACACACGGTACAACACACTGTCTACCGTCCTACGTAGTCTCTACGAGGCATTCACAGAGTCGGCCACCAAGGCGTGGGCATACTTGCGATGTCTTCCGTCAGAAAAGCAGCCTGGTTCACGGCTCGTCATAGACTCTATCTCGAAACTTCTCGACGTCGCGCACTTGTTACTTACTAGCCCATCGAGGAAGCTAAAGCATCCCGAGTACGAATGTAAGCTCTCGAAGACGCAAGTGAGAGCTATAGGTCTGCGGGCCTTCCGGGCAGTGCTGAGAAGGAAGCAGGCCAGCTTTGGTGTTGTGCTGGGATGGCTGGATGAGCAGGCCGCACAACTGGTGGTGAACGGCAAAGCTCGTGGTGGCCGTGATGTCGAATTGCTGCCACGAGTCTCATCGGACGTGAAAGACTCCAGCTGTGTGTAGGCAGGTCGCTGTAGATGAATCTCTGCCCATTGAACTTCTAATTCCATCGATTAATCAAATCCATGCTCTTTTTTGGATGTGACGCAACCTGTAAAATATCGACATGATATGCGTGTCCAAATGCAAGTGCCCGAGGCAGTGCCCACTGCATGTGGAGCGCAGGCACTTCCAGAATCCATCAACCGACAGCATCATCAGTGGCCCGGAGAATGCAGCACTCCTTTCAATCTGCCCCTCATCTTGAGGCCCACCGTCCTGGAACGACGGAAATAAACGGCTACACCGCGCCCCTCTGCCAGGCGTGCCTCCGCCTGCTCCGCCGGGTCAACGACACCATGAGCCACCCGGGCCAGGGCCTCGACCCGAGCCCCAAGCGCAAGGCAGACCACGTGCGGAGCCTCTGGCACGCCCAGTCCAGGTTCAAGGAGATGGCGTCTGCCGCCGCTGCGGGCTGCCACGTCTGTGGGATGGCGCAGGTGCAGGTCCGCGCGGGCAAGTTCACGCCGCTCACGTGGTCTGACGACGACGACCCGTGGCCTGGGGATGACCTGATGGCGGGGGGAGAGGATGGAGAGCGGACGGAGACGGGCTTTCTGCTCAGCAGGCCGTTCGAGGAGGCCGGGGGGCTCGTCCGCGTCAGGTTCTACGTCGACTTCCGGAGCGAGTCGCGGGCCATGTTCGCGACGCTGGACGAGGTGCTCTTGCTGTCGCCGCCGGTGCGCGCGCCGACAGGTGCGAGTCCATGGTCTCCCCGTCTGTCTCTGCGTCATTTTCTCACGCTTTCGTAGCAGTCGGGCCTGTCACGGCTCACGACGAGTCGGTCAGGTCCACGAAGAGTTTCGGCCAGATCAGGGAGTGGCTGGCACATTGCGAGCGGAACCATTCTGAATGTTGGCCCAAAACGGCTCGAGACGGATCAACCTTCCTAACAAGCCGGCTGATCGATGTCGGAGGCACAGATGAGCCGCGCCTTCGTCTGGTATCAGACACGGGCAGCATTCGAGGCGGGCAGTCCACCACCCTGAGCTACTGTTGGGGAGGCGCCCAGCGCCTCAAGCTGGTGTCCTCGAACGTGGCCGACCTGGAGAGGGGATTCCTCCTGAAAGACCTTCCGCAAACGATCTGCGAGGCAGTTCAGGTCACGCGAGAAATGGGCATCCGCTACCTCTGGGTCGACTCGATCTGCATCGTGCAGGACTCGATCGAGGACTGGGAGTCAGAGGCCGTCCGCATGTCGGTCGTGTACGGCTCCAGCTACTGCACGATCATGGCCACGGACGGCCGCGACTCGGACGCGGGCCTCTTCAGGCCGCGGGCCGGCAGCGTGGTGCGCCCGACCTGGTACGAGGTCTGGTCTGAGGACCAGACGAGCCCCACTGTCTTCATGAAGGAGATGGCCCTGGAGGCCGAGGGCGAGATGAGTTTCTACACCAGGCGCTTGGACGACGCGCCCGCTGCTAAAAGGGCGTGGATATTCCAGGAGCATGTCCTCTCCAGAAGACTGATACACTTCACACATGACCAGCTTATGTGGGAGTGCCAGTCAACCGTCACTTGCGAATCGTTCCCCGAGGGTTTTGGTGGCAACGGAGTCATCAACGATAACTACCTCTGGATCCCAAAACTTAAGCCTACGGGCCACATGACGGCAACTCTGAAAAGTATCAGCGCCATGTTAAGATGGGCAACTGTAAGTAAGGTCTATGCATCATATCACTCGTTGGCTGTTGTTCCAAGGAGACACTTCCTTCGGTCGAAAGAGTAAGCCATTGCTCTGGATCTCAAGATTTATAGAACGGTCCCAGGAAATTGGTTTCCACACCTCCATAGTTAGAAACGGAATCAGCTGATCCGAACTGATTCCAGTATGTTGAAGCGTACTCCCACCGCGAGCTGTCCGTCTCTGGCGACAAGCTGGTCGCCATAGGCGGTATCGCCAGGAGGCTCGCAGACATCCACGGACTGGACCACTCCGACTACGCCGCCGGGCTGTGGAAGCACGACATGCCAAGCTGCCTGCTTTGGAAGTCCTCGCGCGCCTTCTCCACAGACACCTCCAGGCCCCGGCACACACTCGCCCCGTCGTGGTCCTGGGCGGCTATAGAGGGTAGCGTCCGGTACTTCAGGTCCCCCGTGCGCGAGCCGTCGCGCAAATCACTGGTGAAGGTCCTTGGCGTGCACATCCAGTATAGGGATCGTCAGATATTCGGCCAGGCGGCGTCCGGCACGGTGGCATTATCAGGGAGGCTTATACCCATCTTCAAGTCGACGTGGAGGAACAGGGGTGGCCCAAAATACCGGTCGGATAAGTTCAAGGACCCAACTTATGCCATGCTCTGGGCCGGCCGGCCCACTAGGGAGCTTGCCTTCGGCGCAAACCAGGGGCCCATAGTCATATTCTGGGACGTGTACGCCGCCGCGGAGGAGGCCTTGTGCGTGAGGGCCAGGCTTCGCGGCACCTACGGCCTCCCGATATTCTACAATGCCGAAGCGAGGAGCCTTTGTGGGCTATTGCTCCTCGCCACGGATCGACGGGGTGAGTATCGCCGCCTGGGTCTATTTCAAGAGTGGCAAGACCATCCGGATCCTGGGCTGCTCCATGAAGGCGAGGGCGAAGGCGAATCTAGAGAGTGGCTGCGCGACTTTTCTGAAGCCGGACGCTTTGGAGGGGTTATCAAGCCCGAGGATTTACATTTGTACAAACATGACAGGTCACTGGTCCTCGTCTAAATAGGGAGAGCCTGTTTACTACATGTAAGATGATGAAGGGGCACACTTAATACCTCCACGAGCCGTGAGGCCCCGAAAACAGCCCCCTCCCCATCCGCAAGCTACCCCAGTGTACTGAATATACCTGGATGCTGTTTAGGTTTCCTCAAAATAAAGGTCAGTGGAAACGGTGGGTGTCAAAATGTAGAGGTGACGTCTCTCATTCGTCAGGATGAAAAGACGCCGTATGAAAACCAGCCCGGCTTAACTGACTGTTACCGACACGCCGCATGAAACAAGGATCGTAGCCGTTGACAGCAGATCAGAACCAGACATTGCTGTCATGACAATTTAAAAAGTGCGAGCAATTCTCCAAGTCGTACTGGCAGTGCCGTCAGATGATTCTGGAGGTAGGCCGAGTGTTGAAGGTTATGTGGACAAAACAAGATGTCCCTATAATCCTATCATTTAAGACCGGTGAGGATCTACTGAACTTGGGACGACCCATAAGCACTTGCGTGGGAATCCTTCGAAATGCCAGCCTTCAGGACAGGTTTCGGTACGCGGATGGCCAATGACATGACTGGGATCATGTCCGATTTCTTGGTCAGTCGCCACCAAAGGTCAACGACTGCGATGGCTCGACCGAGTATATTGTGGGAAACCATACCCATCTCCACGACTGTGGAGTCCCAAGACAAGAGGGAAAGCTTACCCTTCGAAGAAACACTGATAGGGCTTGATATGCTCTGTCGAGGATATGACTGCCTTGGATGTACCCTGACACATGGGCACAATTGATGGAACAAAGAGAAGAAAACAACAACTATGTCATATGATGTGTGTTATGAGCAAAGCAGGGCTAGGAAGATGACGACAGCGGGTGCAGCCGTCTGACCGCCGAGCGTAATGGAGTTTCAGTGAGGAACTATACCCTGTGTGAATAACTTGCCATTGATGCAATGTCGATCCCGGTGTGATGAGCTACTCTTATGCAAGGCGTTGTGAGGTGGTGCGTGAAAAGAGAACAGAAGCGAAGAAAGATGGCGGGGTGGAGAATCAAACAGTTCGACCCTAATTCAGTTGAGAAGGGCGTATGCGATCTCAAGGAGATCCCACAGGCTGTAAAAGTACACATAGGATCGCATTGTTTCGCGTGGTGGCATTCGGTTGTGCCCCGGCTTGCCCGGTTCTCGGAGCCGAGCCGGGCAGACAGAAGTCGGCAAATGGCCCGACGACAAGGCCGTGTCATGCAAGGGTCAACACGCGTAATATAGTTTTCTCCGTATCAGACGAAAATGTGATGACGGCCCGCGACGACAAGAATGGTCAAAGGATGACAAGTCCAAGACATCCTTGTTTCGGTCGGTATCGACTATCAGAGGGTTTAGGCGCGATCACTCAGACGTCCGGGAATTGAAGACTGGGCTGAGGAAGCTGCTGCGGAGTTGGCTGCTGGGTTTCATAATTCGCTGAAACCACCGAGTTAGTGTGTTCTTGAGCTAGAAATCCTCAGCGGCGGTGATACGCGTTTCCATGGCCGCGCGCCCAGGGCCGGCAGTAGGAGTAATCGAATGGTCAAGCGAGTCGGGCGCCTTGGCTTGGGCAAGGTTGTTGTAGCCCTGTCAGCCTGTCTGTTGCGACAAGACCATCCAGAAAATTAGAAATGGGCCTGGCCCAGCGGCTGGGAGGCGGGCGAGTGCTGATTGACTGCATTGTCAAAGAGGTGGCTTGCAGATACACATGCGGGACGGGGTGTTTGCGACGAATGGGGAGGATGCCTTGACGTGTATGCGATGTGATACAACGTCGTCCGCGTTCGCTAGCAGTAACCGGTGGGATGGGCCCGGGGCTTTTAGACATGAGGCCACCAAGATCGGTATTGGTGCAAGTGACACGGGCGATCAGTCCCGAGTGCGGGCTTGGTGGTTTCCTGGGAGTGGCAACCTCCGCGTTACGCAGAGCACGCATTGCCCTCTTCTGGCCACGGGCGACGCTCAACAGTGCTGCCCACGGCGGTACGTACGTGCCTGGTTCTTCTCGGTTGCTGTCGAGCCAGGGTCCCGCTGCAACGAAGGTGGTGGTGGCGGCGATGCAGTTGTCTCTGGTGGTATCGCCTCCACGTTTACCAGACCGAGTGAGGCTTGGGCCCAGGCCGTTAAAGTTAGGGCACTGGGCGTCATCCCGCGGAGTTCGGCGCTCACACAAGGCGAGGTTTGCCGAAAATTTCTGGAACACATCCGTCGTCTGATAGCCAACCCCTGGGAGGGGAGCAGCAGAGAAGCTTTCCCGCGACGGCCTGCTCCTGGCCGGCTCACCGACACGAAGACGGCTTTGTCTCTGAGCTTGGCCAGACTTGTAGTGCCGCAAGGCATGGTGAACGAGCGAGCATCCGGTGGCGGAGCCCACGGCTGTGTGCTTTCTCCGAGCTCTGCAGGGGAGTATCTGGGTGCTGGGAGCAGGATGTCAGTCAACGGATCGATCAATGAATCAATTCATCGCCAGTCATGCCGTCCCCTTGCTGGTGGGGCCGGCAGCGCGCCGGTGGTGGGAGATGAGCAAAGCAGCAGACTTGGGCCCGGGGACGGGGACTGGGCCCGGGGACTGGGGCACGTAGATGGGCCTGGACGAGTGGGCTGGGCACCCTGGCATCTCGCAGATCTGGCAGACCAGGCCCTGCCCACAAGAGACGCAGTACCTGCCTAGGTCGGCATCCTCGACGTCTGATGGCAGCAGAACCTCGTACCGCAGGTATGACCGCCTGGGTCTTGCAGTCCGTCTCCTTAAGCGCGATGGGACGGGCGCAAGAAGAAAAGGCTGGTACGGGTGGATGCGCACAAGCAGAAGGGTCGGCCTGGCGAGCCAACTAGGCGACTGGAAGCTGGCCGGGTGGCCGCGGGGAGGTACCGGCCGCACCAACGTGGGCACATGTGGTACCTCCCCAGAGCTAGCCGTTCCTGCCATTACTTATTTCGCCCACCCGTGGATGGCACGCCCAAACTGGGCCTAGTCCCGGCTGCCGTCGTGGTTGCGTCCAAGATCGTCCTCTCACAGGCCCGGGCTAGCTCGGGTCATCCTGGCAATATGTGAATGCAGTGGTCGTGGTACCCCACGCATCCTGGCACCGTAGCTGTGTAAGCACCAGCACGGTGGCAGGTACCTAGGCACGCTACACAGCCAATCCACTCCACCGGTGTCGCCCCCAAACCCAGCAGGACAGGACAGCCCCCCTTTCCCGCCAGAGACCATGCTGCCATGCCACCCAGGTACAGGCGTGATATGCCTACTGTACCGTGCCAAACGTGCCTGACGGCAGATGCGAAGGACCCTGTTTCTCATCCCATCTGTCTTTTCTCTGCTAGTTACCTAGCTAACAAAAGAGGTAGAGCGAAGAGCGACAGAGGGAGGAGACACGGGAGAGGGAGGGACAGAGAGACGGTAATAACCAGGCCTACCTATAGGTACTTACACACACTACCTACCCAGTCACCCAGTCTGCCTTATTAGGTAGCTGCCGTTCGTTGGCTCTACGGATTTGGCGCCTGTCAAATGCCACGACCACCACCCTCCCCTACGCTATCTGTCCGCCCTCCAGGCTGAGCATCTGCGACCCGCATGCCCACTCACACCCGCACGCACTCACACTCAGACTGACACTCACACTCACACAATCGCTGCACGCTGCACGTTCAACCTCACATCGCACCCGCTCTCACATCCACGCTTACAGCTCACGTCCCTCTCTCGCGCCCCTTCCCGTGGCCATTGTACGCTCTGCTGCATACCACCAGCCCGACCAGCCCGAGAGTGGTCGACAGTGTCTCCTCCGCCTCTGTCTCCGCGCCATTTCGCACGGATTGATTTGATTGTACGGCACAATCCCGTCATGCAGCGCGCCGAGTAGCCCACCCAACTGTCAGCGACCCGGCCCAACCCCAAAAGCCTCGACAAGCTCGCGCCGCCACCTGCGCGGTTCCTTTATGTCGCCGCCGGACTACACTGGACTGCAACTGTACTGGACCGTACGCTCCCTGGTACTGGTGCTCTGATCCGCCTGTCTTGTAGACGACACTCCCCAATTTGAACGCCTTCGCTCTCGTGTAATCGTCGTCTCATACAAGCGCGCTCAACCACATCCCGGACACTTGACTCCTTGCCTACTTAGTCTTGTCTGGGTCTTGTCTTGTCCACAACACAACAGACCACAGTCCCGCCCGGAACGATACACAACAACCCAAGCGGTCACCTGCCTATCAGGCAGCCCTCGTTTCCTGCCACAATCTTCGCCCTTCCGTGCACTACTTCAAGTGCTTAGGTCGCCTTCATTCCCAACACTTCTGCACCACAAACCGCAGGGGATCCACGATGGCTTCGTACACACGAACGCCCAATGGCTCGGTGCCTCCTAATTACCCCCACCAACTGCCAGCCCCCTCTCACCCACACGGCAGCAACTACCCTCGGCCACAACCGTTGCCATCAATGGCACCTCCCAGCAACGGGAGTGCCTCCTACGGTGGCGCGCCCGGCTATGGTCAGCCGCAACAACCTTATCAGCACCACCACTCACCTTACCAAAACCAGCCGCCTCACCACCAGCAGCAACAGCCACAGCAAAGCCAGCAACAGCCTCCTCAGCATCAACAGCCTTACCAGCAGCCACCCCCACCATCTGCCCACCAGCACCAGCAGCAACAGAACGCGCACTCAAGCCCGACCTCGACCTCACCTATTCAGCAGCAGCCGCCGCCCTCCGCAGGCGAGGCGGGTACTTCGAGATTAGAAGCCGTGTCTACCGTGGTTGGTCCTCGCAGATATGCGTAAGTCTCAATTCGGAGATTTCTTCCAAAATCATTCTCCGGGACACACTTCCACTTTCATGCTCATGGCCTTGGCCATGTTGTGAAACTATTCCTTGTCCTGGTGTCTGAGGCTGATGTTCGCCGCTTCGGCACAGTCTCGAGGTGGAACAGCAACCCATCCGCGCCCGTATGTGTGGCTTCGGCGACAAGGTAACCCAATCCAGTGACCTCCCCCGCGGCACCTCAAACTCAGGACTGACGGTGAAACCAGGATCGGAGACCACTTACACCTCCACCAGCTCTCAGGCTGGTCGTCACCGACGTTCAGACCGGCCGAGAGGTTGATGTTAAGTGAGTATCCAGAGAGCGGAGAGAAAAGCAAAATTCGGTGCTAACACCTCGCCAAGCTCTATCGACTTCGCTCAATATGTTGTGACCGTGGACCTCTGGGACGAAACGGGGACACGGGAAGTGAATCTCGTTAGAAGCACGACAGCCACTCCGGCGATATCATCCACCATCCACGAGTCTTTTAACAACCTCGAGACCATGCCCTACCGGGCAGCTAACATCGCACCCTATCCCGCCGCTCACCCTGGTCAAATGACTCTTTACAGCCAACATCAATCACCTGTCAACCCCTATGCACCTAACCAATATGGCCAAGGTAAGTGGCTCACAGAGCGAGTTATTGCTGAGCGCAGAGACCGTCGTTCAGCTGTCTTTGTCCGGGTCAGGCTGACCGTTTGTAGTCCAATCTTACCCACAGCCACCAGCGTCCAATGGTTTCGGCCAGCCTCCCTACGGATACTCCAACGATTTTGCGCCCATGTACCGGCCCCCTCAGGTCTTCGAGCCTGGCATGGGTGGCGCCCAAAGATTATCGATCGGGGGAGCTCCGGGCTCGAGCATCCAGGGCATGTTCACCAGAAACCTCATCGGAAATTGTGCCGGCAGCGCCTTCAGGCTACACGACACAAAGGAAAGGATTGGAATCTGGTTCGTCATGCAGGATTTGAGTGTCAGGACCGAGGGCTCGTTTAGGTATGTAACAGCCGTGTGGGTAAGCGACCTAGGACTCTTTTCTAACCAGAATACCAGGCTCCGGTTCTCTTTTGTCGATGTCAAACCCACGGCCGACCAAAAGGGCGATGCCCCTGTTAAGACAGGCAGGGCGCCGATTCTGGCCTCAGTGTTCAGTGACGTCTTCCAGGTCTATTCGGCCAAGAAGTTCCCAGGTGTATGCGATAGCACAGATCTCAGCAAGTGCTTCGCAACCCAGGGCATCAAGATCCCGATCAGGAAAGAAGGCGGCAAGGCAGGCGGCGGCGATGATGATGACGACGAGGAGTAAGGGTGTTCTGGTCTCCCGCCACTCCGCCTTACCTAGGGTTGGTAGCCTCTGGCGAGGATTACATGTTAGTGCCCGGTCACCCCGCCAGGGCGATGGGACACTTCACTTGTGTCCCTGCTGTCCTGTCGTCGGCCTGATGCCAGTCCCAGGATCTGGTTATTTGTGTGGTGCCCGAAAGATATTCGCCAGCTTCCCAACTGGATCCCGTTAATCCAAGAGCTTACACCGACCTACATAATATTTAGTCCGAATCTGACCAGGCTGGGATGGATCCTATTCACTCTGTGCGCAGGGTTGATTGTCTTGTTGCTGATACATGTGTACTGGTCCCTCGGGCTGTAAGCCCCAGCCAGGCGTACGGTGCAAGGTTCTTTTTGCAATACCGCCCTGCCGACCATAGGTTCGACTGGGTAGGTAGTCTTTCGGCTGATGCCAGACATAGAGTGAGCGAGTAAGATTATGGAGTCCTGTACTGAGCTCTAGCTACCGACTAGGCCGCATGAAATTAAAAGATGCCCAACTAGCTCTCAATGAAACGTGTCTAGGTACAGACAATCTGCACTGCAGAAGTCATATGGATCCGTGGCTGGTTTTTACAAAGACCATCTCAGAAACCCAATCGGTCGAGGCTATCCATTACGTTGCGAGGGCAGTGAAACAGCATGGGAAGAAAAGAAGGCACAAGCAGCATCATATAAAAGTATCGGCTAATATGGGCATCCGGCCTCCATGTCCCATCGATCTGGAGCTAAGTGGCATCTATTGTACAGACAATGCACATCCACGACAGAGCATATCACATACACGCCGGACGCCCAGGCCGGAAATCGCCACGACAAGTTTCCTGTCAGCACCAGTATCATTTCTGGTCTCAAAATTTCCCGCGCAGCCGGTGGCTGTCTCGGTAGATCCGCAGTGAGGAGACATGTACCGCCCAGACTGACTGACATCGCCTACTTCGCCTGCGGCGCATGAGCCCTGACCTCGATCTCGACTTTCATCCCGAACGCGAGGCTCGCGACGCCGATGCCGCTCAGGATGGGCTGGTGGCCGGGCATGTATTTCCGCATGTTGTCGACAAAGTGCCCGACGGCCTCGTCGGTGACGTCGGTGGTGTGGTACAGCTTCACGGCGTAGACGTCCTTCCAGCCGGCGCCGGCCAGCGAGAGCGTGTGCTCGACGTTGTCGAAGGCCCGGTCGATCTGCTTGATCAGGTCTGGCTCGACCTCGCGGGTCTCACGGTCCCAGCCGCCTATGGAATTTTTAGTTGGTGAAGAGGGGAGAGGGAGGGTTGTACCTTGCCCGGCTACCTCGACCACATCTCCTACTCGTACTGCTTGGTTGTAATGTGTGTGCTCCTTTACGAATTCGCCGAAGCCTGGGTAGGTGTAGTACTGGAGATGCGACATGACTGGTACCCAATTGCAAATATAATTCTCTGTTCTGCCTGTACAGTGTCATAGATTAAATGAACATCAACAACACAACTGATGCATTGCAAATCGAATTACAACAGCAAACTCCTTTATGTACAAGTCTGGCACGCTCTCTAGATCCTGAGCCATTCCTACCTTATAAATCACGATCTTACAAATCCACGGCCGTGCACATCGTAGGGGTCTTGGGTGCCTATAGCTTATGCATGCTCAGCAATGCGGTGGGCGGTGTTGTGAGGGGGATGAGCCAAGAACGATGCCGAGTCCAAAAGGATGAACGGGCGGGGCGCGAATCCGAGCATCTGGATCCGCTGCGTCTCAGGCTGTTGGCCGTAGCTCGCCTCAGCTCAAGCTCAGCTGGAGGGGCCTGACGGCATGGAGGGACCACTGCGACACATCAGTGGGGCGAAGGATCGGGGTGGGCTGCCTGGCACAACAACGTCACTTGGGGCGCCCCGAGCGCGGCGGTTTGCAACTGGAGTGTCTCGCAAGCATATCTTCTCGGCTTGCGACATGGAGGGAGAGAAACCCAAGCACGTGGATTTGGTTTGGCCACAGGATTCTGAGGGCTCACCGCGCAATCAGTCAGTCATTCTGTCTCTCTTCAATTCTTCCTTGGCTCCGTGTGCGGCCTTTTCCGCTTGCAGTACAATATCCCGTCATACACCCTGGAAATCTTCCAACAACAGCGTCAATGGTTTCCAATCTCTGCCGTCGGACAAACATGGCCAACGTCGCACGTTGAAGGTCATACGGCGACGTCAGTCTATTGCCTCCCAGCCCGAAGGCTCACCTTGAGGACAATGATACCATCGGAGCAGGCGAGCATGTCAACCGCCCTTAGCTGTCCCAAGATGCAGATTCAGTAGATTGTATGTCTTAGGTGAGCCCTAGCTGGCTAGAGGTCTGGACGTCGGCAGCGCCCGCACATGGCTGGATCCCGGGGAGCCATTTCCATTACGTTTTGGTTTGTCTATGACAATCCGGCCAAGCCTGGGGTCAGCGTCCAACTGTCGCATCTCGTGGTCACAAGAATGGCATCTCTTTGGGCGGGAAACTCAAATTCGCCTTAAGGCACCATTGCCCTGGCTCTAGAATACCTAGGTAGTAACAAAGGGCAGGCCAAGGCACCGGCAGTCCCAGGCAGCACAGTTGGGCGTTTGTGCCCTGGTGTCTCCCCGTCTCCTCCTCCCCAGTCGAGGAAAGAAAAGCTCTGCTCTTGGTCGGACCTGCGCGATCAAATTTCTCTGCCCGCCCTTGTGATCAGGTTTGCCAACCAGGTCCATCGTTCGCCAAGCCTGCGTAGCCTTGCGACGGCTTGTTTTCCCTCGCCCCAGGAGATTGTCCTCGCACCAAGGCACACGGCCGCATTCCACGACTCATTTGTCTTAAAAATCCAGCTGGTCCCGGCCCGTTCGCGACGTCTCTTTGTTCGCTTATCTCTGCTCATACCAACTTGCTTGACGTCAGAATACCGCCGTTGTGCCAATCTCGCCTCTGTCTGCTCGCCTTTCAACGACTTCACACGCCCAATAAAGACCACACACGACGCGCCGAGTAGGAACTCGCACGTCTCTCGCTGCATACACGATCAAAACGCCGATTTACTTGCAACGACATCACAATGAGCGGTGCACAATACGCTTCCAGCGGCCGGGGTGTGAGTGAAATCCCAGCGCTTGAAGCCCACTTTCCTCCCATCCCTGGCCAGAGGGACACCCTGGAAATGGCCTTGGTCCTTCTGGGCTTGATTTGTTCTGGAACAACAATTGTTGACTCACAGTTGTGCAGGGCGCTGGCAACTTCGTCGACTCGACCAAGAGCCCCAAGATTCAACCCGCCGACCTACAGACGCCCACCCTGAAGACGAACTTGGTGACCACTGGCAGGGGTGTAAGTGTGCCTCGTTTGCTCTCTGGAGGAAAGTTGCTAAATCCTTTGGCTCCAGGGCGCTGGCAACATGGCGGCGAACACCGACCCTGTGGAGACGCGTGCCCGCCAGGACGTTGAGCCGTAAGTCATCTCTCCGCGTGCGGTCACCAGGTCTGATTTACTCCGTGCTGACCAAAGCTGCTGTGTAGTGTCGTCCGCCGCGAGAGTCAGGGTGCTCAACACGCCGGCCGTGGTGTAAGTCTATTCCAACAGAATGTCTCATAGTCTTTTATGTCACGAGAGAGGACATGCTATACCGTGCGCCGGTTCTTATCACTGCAGTTGCTAATAGATAGTTCCAGGGTGCCGGCAATGTCTTCAAAGGAGAGGAGGCCGAGCAAGCCAAGCACGCCTCAAACGACAGTGCGATCGAGGACAAGGTGGAGGGTCTGGCGGCCAAGGGCAAGGCGCTGTTCTTCGGGAAGAAGGACAAGCAGCAGACCACCAAATCCTGAGTCGAGGAACTGAACGCATTGGCGGCGGAGGGCGCGCTGGTGCATGCGCAACAAATAACTCGGGGGAGAAGATGCGCTTGATGAGAACAGGCCAAAAAAAAAAAAAAAAAAAAAAAAAAAAAAAAGGAAAGCAAAAAGGGGAAGGAGGGAGAGAAATGCTAATGAAGACGATGATGAGGCTTCGTATACCCACGTTGGCAGGTTTGGCGTTACGGGAGGTTGATGAATAACGGCAGAGTCGGTCCTGATGTTGGCCGAAGCGGATATTCTCGTGCTTGCTTTGATGCAGCGCTACCTTACAGTACAAGGGTTTGGACGGCAGCTGCAGGTATCAAAATGGGGTAAATGACAGTATAACTATTCTGAAGACTTGAATTGAGTCATCGATAATCCCCTGCCTATCGCAAAAGTGCTCTTCACCACTGGGCTTAATCATCCGGCCTCCACACGAATTGTAAAGAGTCCAGTCTTCCCTTGTCTACCGGTAGATACATCAAGCGTGAATTATTGCGGAATCTAAGCGGCTCCCCTCAGAATGGCACCTCTGGTCACCGAAATCATACCTCCAGTCCCGGAGACAGAGTTCGGCAGACTTAGAGACCACCTGCCGCAATCGCTCCCCGTCCTCCGGCGCATACAATTCTCTCACTACCCGCAGGGAACAACCGAGCATGCCCGCTATCTCATCGCAACGGACAGCGATGGCGTAATCGACGGCGGGGACTGGCAGGGACAGCCACCACCAAGCCGGGGACACTTCGCCGCCGCCTACCTAGACCTCTCCAAGGGCCCCGAGACGGAGATGTACCTTTACACGACCCTCGAGGACGCCACGGACCTGGCTGCGGTGCCCAACGACGATGTCGAGCGCGTCCTGGACCTTGCCGTCGCTCTGCTCCACCGCGGCAAACTCGCCGCCGAGGAGGCCATGCGCTCCGGCGCATACAAGCTAGCCCGCGGCGCCGGGTTCCTGGTCGGTGGCCTGCACCAGCCCACGTACGAGCTGCTCTGCTCGCGGAGGGGCCTCACGAGCAGCTACTGGAACCCGCATCACGCGTGGCTGTTCCGGCTGGACAGGCTGCCGGGCGGGGGCGGGGGCGAGGGTGGGTCCGGGCCCGGCCCCGGTCTCAGGTGGGACGTGGTCCGGCGCGAGGACGTCCCGCTCATCGCGTCGAGGACCTATATCCCCAAGATCGAGGCGACGCTGATGAGTGAGCCGAGCGTCGGCGTCAGGGACGCCGCTGGGACGTTGGTCGCTTGGGGGTTTATCGGGGTCGCTGGGACGCTGTCGACGTTACATGTTGAGGTACGAGGGCGGAGAGCTTGTGAAGAGGCGTGGTGTGTCTTCCATGATGAGCTGACTGTTGTAGGAACCGTACCGCGGAAGGGGAATGGCTAAGGCCGTGGCTACGAAGGTGCTGCGGGAGCACAGCTTTGGTGACGATGGTTGGGGTGAGTAGCAGTGGCTTTCTGCCACCTAGACATTTTTACTTTGCTGATCTCAGTGTTAGGCTCGGCTGATGTGCATGTTGACAATGTTCAGAGTCAAGGTGTGTGCAAAGGCCTCGGCGGCGAGAAGGGCTGGAGGAACTGTTGGTAAGTGTCCGAACTTCTGACTGGGTTGACGATGTTCCGCGCTGGACTGACAAACATCACAAAGGACCGTTGTCGATCTCGACAGTATACCGTGAGGTATTGTTCAGCTTCGTAGGCTGATGTCTAAGTCTGCACATTGCTCTTGCTACATAGCCGGCTATCTCACTGAGGTGTGGTCCCAGCTACTTCACTATGTCCTTTCTCGACCTTCATACAGCACGATATGGCAGCACCTCGAATTCTCAAGCAGCAAGTGTTAGACGGTGGACTTCCTGGAAGAAGAACTTCAGATCATCCGGATTCACGAATGGGGTGATTCCATGCCCCAGGTTCACAATCCACCCCTGCTTCCTCTGTGCCCAGCCAAAGCCCTGCACCATGTTCTTTACCGTCTCCGTTATGGCCTCGTGAGAGCCATACAAGACACCGGGGTCGGCGTTGCCCTGGAGCACGATCTTCCGGTCGCCGCGGACTTTGGCTGCATCTGCCGGGTCGTGGAGCCAGTCCAGGCCGACGACATTGTAGTCTGAATCGCACATTGCGTCCAGGGCATACCACGCCCCCTTGGGATAAGCGATCATAGGCACTGGCTCGAGGTCCAGGGACTTCAGCTTCTTTGGGAGGTTCTCCGCTATGTATCGCAGGTATGGCGCTGAGAACTCCTTGAAAGTAGCCGGGGAGAGCTCACCAGCCCATGAGTCGAAAACTTGCACGAGCTACAATGACAAGTCAGCCACGTGGATATGCGCATGTGCCGTCAAGTTCTTCTTCGGACATACCTGGGCACCAGCCTCGACCTGGTGTGCGAGATGGTCGACACACAGCTCCGCGATCTTCTGCAGCAGCACCTTTGACTGCTCTGGGTACTTGTAGACCCACGTCTTGCTCTCCTTGAACATCTTGGTGCCGCCGCCCTCGACCATGTAGCAGAGCAGCGTCCACGGTGCGCCACAGAAACCAATGAGCGGCACGCGCCCCTTAAGCTTCTTCCTCGTCAGGGTGATGGCCTTGTAGACATAGTCAAGCTCCTTGGTGACGTCGACCTGCCGCTGCAGCACCTCGGCGTACTGCTTGTCGTCGGGCGACCTGAGCGGATCTGGGAAGTTCGGGCCCTTCTTGTCGACCATCTCGACGACCATACCCATGGCCTGCGGTATGACGAGGATATCGGAGAAGATGATGGCTGCGTCGAGGAGCCCTGCAAATCGCTCGACAGGCTGGAGTGTCAGGGTCGAGGCGACCTCTGGGTCGCGACAGCATTCGAAAAAGTCCCGGTTGCCCTTAGCCTGGTGGTATTCGGGGAGGTACCGGCCGGCTGTTCACATTGTCCCAGGAATCAGCCAAGATGGTCGGGGTTCATTCATGGGCAGCACAGCTGCTTGGGATCGTGAGTTCTGTACCTTGGCGCATCACCCATACTGGGGGCCGCTCGATCTTCTCACCTGCAAGTCGACGTCAGTTGTAGCTCGCGCTGGAGGGTTCACCTGTGAGATCCTAACTTGCCCCTTGCTGCCCTGAGGATCAGGTCGTTCTGTAATGGCTCGAATTGTCCCATATTGCCTGTTGCTGGGAGGTGAAGTCGCGGTGATTTTGGGTAAATCCGCAGTGAGAAAGTTCCAACCTCGAGCCGTGAACTCCGTTGTGAGATCAAAACAGCACCGAAGCACCAACCGAGCTCGGGCGCAGGGGTGTCAATGGCGGGGCATCCATGGCAGCTCCCGACAGGCCCGGCCCACCCCCCGTTGCGTCTTCTGTGCAGCCACTACTATGGTGCTAATAGAGCTGACCACAGGAAAGCTCACTAATCTGGGGACGTCAATTTTGAAGAAAAGCAACCGCAGCTACAACCATAACCATAACCACAACCACAACCACAACCACAACCACAACCACAACGACAACGATAACGCCCCACGACTTACGGCAACACCCAACCCATCGTTCGATTACCACAAGTCCAATTGAGCGCGCCGACGGCTGCTGGAGGTGCAGAAGACGACGTGACTAAGTCGGCGTCGCCTACCACCTGAACGCAATGATTTGGGGGATTCTTCGCGCGCCGTCCCATGCCTCCGAGACCGACGGCACGATGCTGCCGAGCAACTCTAACTCAACACCACGCGCCCGTTGAGGCTGTCTGGGTGACAGACGAAGTGCTCAGTCGAGCCTTCCCAGCAATATGTGCACGCGACCGGGCATAAGAAACGCGCGGTCAGCTCGGCACCTGGTCCGCTCTACCATCGGCAGCGGCTTGGAAGGCGACGCATGACAGAGCTCAATTCGTTCCAATCGGCCAGTTCGATACCCGTCTGGGCTCTTCCTAATGCCCCAGACATGACAAAATGGCAATGGCAGCCGCCGAGAGCCCCGTCTTTTTGGCCCCAGATGCCGCAGGTCGAGGTCGAGGTCGAGACCGACGGCAGCCCTTTGCTCCCGGAGCCCGAGACCGAGATCCAGCCTCTGATCGCACCAGAGCCTCCGACAAAGTTGGCTGTGAGGGAAATTTGCAACGACTGGAGAACAAACCATGCTGCGAACTTCGGCCGAGACGAGTGCGCCCTTGGGCCTCCAGCTGCAAGCACTACTCAACAACACCTTTCCGACTGTTGCAGACTTTGAGAAAAGATATCGAAGCTTCACCAAATCACTTCGAAGGGAGATATCAAATGGCCGCTTACGAGGGCCGCAAATTTTCGAGGTTTACGACTTGGGCAGACGCGCACTTGAACGTGCCGGACGACAAATGCCACAGGCGACGATGCCTTCACTGTTGCATCTTCTTGAGCATGTGATTGGGGGAATAAAAGTCGCGAAACAGTTGAATCCCAGCTTCTTGCGCACCAGTCCCCACCACTGGGCGATTCTATTAAAGCATCTGGCGCGTTTGAACGTCAATACCAAATCAGCCCAACTATTTGCTTCGCTCCTGGAGAGCATGCCGCCGAGGTACCGCTTCAAAACGAGAGGTGCAATTCTGAATGTACTCGGTGCTTTTTTCAGAATATGGCAAGGCTTGTCGATCCGAGGCAATCCACCAGCCGGTCTCGAGCCTGAGGCAGCCCAGTCGTCCCGTTTGGCTGCAATGTGGGCTGGACGAGCAGATATACATCTGGACAGTGTGAGGTCAGAATTGGCACTGGAACGCCTCGAATATGCCAGAGCTCATTTAAAGGTTGCCAAACGATGTCATGAGAAGGCTTTACGTTTCACATCTAAGGCGGCTCATCTACTGTCGGACGACGGACAGCTGATAGACGCTCTTGCAGACGCCCTGAAAACCCATGATCCCGGGGTTCATCGGTCACTTTTTGTCATTGCGACAAGACTAACGGACAATCAAGGAAGATGGACCAGGCTGCGCTATAACTGGCTCCAGACACTTGCTCGAATGCCGGACATCCAGCAATCTCGATTCAAGACCCTCCTCCAGCTATTTCCAAAGCGCGGGTATGGCGCATTAACTCACACCGAGCTCGGCGACCTGCTACTGCGTCATTGGGAAAGCGCCGGGATGTTGAACAAGCGACGGAGCACCAGTAGAATCTGGAAAAAGCTCAGGGGCGAGGACGACACAGAAGCTATGGCTGCTCTAGCTTATGCAATCAACGCAACACACAATCCGAAGCGGTGTACAGCCATCTTTTGGAGCTTTTGGGACTTCGTGCACCTACGAGTTGGCATGAAGACAGTCATCAAGCAAATGCTGTCGCTTTCGAAAACCCGGAAACCCAGTGTTGGGTTTCTGAAGAGGCTGGCCTGGACATCAGGGGATTATCGTGCTGCACTCTTGCTGCACGACATACTCGTCGAGCAAACTGGTAAAGACACCAACGCTTGGGGCCCGGCCTTCTGGGAGAAGTATGTGACGCAAAACATGAGAAGGCTGAAAAGCAGTCTCGTCAATCCCGTGGTCCTTGTTGAGAAATTGTTAAGCTCGGCTCAGCCAGCAGAGGCAGTCTGCCAAGCGACCGGTGGCGAGCCACAGGATAGTGGCAAAGAGTCATACTTGAAGTATCGCCAGATCATGAGGATCAGAGAGAGCATCAAGATCATTGCTCGTGCCTCTGCTTTAACAGAAAGGCAGAGATTCCGCCACACATCGGCTTTCACGAAATACTTGGCCAATGTTCAAGGATTTTTAACAGCTCGGGATTTGGCAAGCCTTACAGATGTTGTCACGGAAGCTCTAAAGCAAGGCGAGGGTGGTAGTACGCAAAGACTGCGATGGTACTTGGGGGTCGTCTTCGAGCAGCTAGGCGAGGAGGCTTGCGTAAAAGTCGGGTTGATCTTGAAACGCCGCCGCGAATGGAATGGGCGGCAACTGGCCGATATGTTGACTCCTGAAGAAACGGTGGTGGAGCAACAAACTGCATCGGACCTCCATCGAAAGCACTACGAAGGCCCACATCACGGCAGAACTTGGCCCTTGTGGAGGTACTTTCTCTCCAAGAACCGGCGGAGAGGCAAGTTGCGCAGGGCTAGGAAGAAGGCAAACTCGCGAGTCTATCAGCTACAGATCCCTGACGAGCGACCTCATGAGACATCAAACTGCCAGGTTCAGAGGGAGACTGAGGCCCAACCTTCGCTCGAGGGTGATCCTTTCGGTGGGCTTTGTGAAGGTGCACACCGACAGGAGATTGACCCTCGAACCTCTTTCTAGTACGAGATGGAATAAATACAACCGAGTCCACTATATCCAGCCACCCCTGCTTATTCAACTTCTTTGAAGTTTGCTACGTGTGTTGCTTGCTCGAGCTCGTCGTATAATTGACTGTCACCAGCTGGCGCAAATGTCGCAGATTTGCACGTGGAGGTCAGGACTGATAATCAAGTTGGCATCATCTTGAAGAAAGAGCACCGCACCACCCACGAATCTCAGAAATTGCGCGATTTTGGTGTCATGGCCTTTCCGAGTATGACCTTCACTCTGCTCTGTTGACCGAGACCAAAGGCAAAAGGGAGTGGCGACTGGACACGGCGCACAGAGTCAGTGTTGTCACACGAGAAGCTGTGGCCTCGCCAGATCCTCCCGGTCTCTTTCGCACTCTCCACATGGGCCTGTACCCGGCTCGCCAACGCGGAGCCAACCACCGCGCCGGAAACCCTCCCGCCAGAGGCAGCACACAAGCACGAGGCGCCACATTGGCCTGGCTGGCCGCAGGACGGGACGCCCCCTTCACCTTATCTGAGATGATGCGGATTACCCATTTGCTGTGGTTGGGGGAGCGCTGTGATCCGATCGGCATCCACGGTTGGCTCGAGGCTCTTGCCTGGTGCCGCTGTGATGGGATTGCATCGATCTCGCCGAGTGTTTTATTGTCTGTGGTTTGTTGAGAGCGCGCCACCGTTGTGGGTCACCAGGGACCTACAGCCTCGCTGCCTTGTCTTCGGGGCGCGGCACTAACCACGACCACACAGTGACTCCTGGATTCACACACGCTTCTGCCCAGCTGAATATTCAGATTAAGACGTCATGCTTCCGCGTATAAGAGGTTGGGCTGCACGTTCCAGGCTGCTCCTAACACGGCGGGATTCTGTGGCAACAATATCACGACAATGGACCTGGTAGGCTCTGCTCATGGGGCGGTCGGTTTCGGGAGAGAATTGCCATGGAAGAATTTCGTCATTAGCCATGCGCAGGGACTGGATCTCGTGTGACATGAGATTCGGCGCAGCATATTGTTTTTCCTACTCAGGCGCTCTGGCTGGTATAGACAGGAAGAGGATGGAGCATGAGTTGTGTAGGAGCAGCCAGGGACCCTCCACCTTGTGCTGTCTTGATGCGCTTTGGTTTAGCGACCTGTTTCTACCTGGCCTTCGAACATCAACCTTTGGGATCTTGTCTCGAAGATCTCTTCACGAAGACTTCTAACGCTCAATGCCAGCTACTCCTCACGCCCTCAACACCATCATGTTGGGCATCTCCACCCACTTTGTCAGTATTTATGTCTCACTCTCTGCGTAACAAGACTGCTGCGTGCTGGACTTAACCTATTCTTCCAAGATCAGAATTCTTCAAGCCAAAGGAACCAACCAAACACCAACCTGCAAAAGCCCATCATTCAAGCGCATTGAAGCCACCAGCCCTCCCGCCGCCAAGTATCACAATAGGTCGCGGGCTTTCCCACATATAAAGCCAAGCAGAGGCATATTATTCAGCCTTAATATCAAGGTCAAGAGTACGGCCGTACGGCCTGGTCTACGTCGGCCGTACCTACCATACCAGCCTCACAAACACACTTGGCTTGCCTCGTTGTGGCCTTGGCTGGGAAATTGTCCGGCGGCTGTCGACGTGGTACAGACCCTGCCAGCTGGATACCGAGATAGACGAGGCACATAGCCGGCATCAAGATCGATCTCAAGTGCAAGCCACCAGCCCTCAGACTGGGCAGACCCAATCGTCGACTCAGAATCAAATTCTCGAACATTCAGGTGACCACCTAATAGAACGGGATATCGGTCCGAGAACGTGGTCACTATTCTGCATCAGCTAGTGGCATCGTACCGTCGCGGCGGGACGAGCGAGACTACTTCATCCGTTGGCCGTCAGCCCCTACTTCATGTGATCTCGCTTAATCTTTGTGTATTGCATTTTGCGCTGACACACCAGCCTCGTCTAATATTGTTACCGTCGCCTATGCTGAAGGCGGTCGAAAGCTCCAATGGAAGGTACCGATGGACCCTCGGGACACCACCACCCCCCTTCTTCACCATCACGACCATTGATTTATCTTCCTGGCTCTGCTGTACCGCCATACGGCGTCAGTGGCAGCCAACACCATGTCTGTGAAGGTGCATACGGTCCTCTAGCAGGTCCCATGGCAATAGATGGCAGCCGAGGCGACGGAGGGTCCCCTTCGATGGGCCTGAGACACGGATCAGGAGCTGTCATGGGGACGGAGTCAACAGAAATGGCGCAGGTCTATCAACAAAACTTCGAACAGCTACGCCAGCAAAATCCACAGCAGTTACCAGGAATGCCTCACCAGCAGCAGCAGCAGCAGCAGCAGCAGCAGCAGCAGCAGCAGGCGCAGCAGGCGCATTCGGGCTTTCCTGCCGGCGCCACCGCCGGCGCCACCGTCGGCCACCCCAAGCCAATCCGGCGGAGAATGCGCATGATCACATCGTGTCTTGAGTGCCGGCGGCGCAAGCTCAAGTGTAACAAATCGAACCCCTGCGTCAACTGCCTCAAGTTCGCCCGCGACTGTCTTTACCTGGGCCCAAAGCTCGACGAGGCGAGCCAGCTGCGCCTGACGGAGATCAAGGAGAAGGTCGGCTCCCTGGAGCGCCAGCTGGAAAGAGACGTGGCAAAGTCCGGGTCCCGCGGCTTCTACCAGCAGCGGATACTGGCCGATGACGTGGAGGGCGAGTTTGACGAGGAGAGGGACCTTGAGATCACGCCCATGGTGGCTCTTGATCTCACGTACGAGGACGACGCCGACGGGATGGACGATATTATGGACCTGGGCGTGCAGGTGGGTAAGATGCGGCTGACAGAGAAGATTGGTGGTTTGAACCGGCCGAGGATATCGGAGGAGGTGAGTCCACCGGGGCTCCTTGAACTGCCTCCGTCAATTCCGCGAGGAAAGGCTGAGCGGCTGAGTGGCTACTGTTGTCTCGCCTGGTCTTAAGTCACATCCGTAATGGAAAATATCCGGCTGACGGCTTCTTAGATCCGAGCAGGGCTTTCCGGTGGCGTGCAGCAGTCTGACAGTGGCTTATTTCCACCGACTGTGCCTGTACCGCCGAGCCAACCAGGCGCATTCTCCGAATCAACGGGCCCCGAGCAATCCATTCCCGACTTTTTGCGGCCTGGCACGTCGTACATACCGCCGACGAGCGGCGTTTTCTTCGGCCAGGTGGTCCAGTCGCCGAGTCTCTTGACCTTTCTACCCGCAAAACTAGCCGGCGACCGCCTCCTCCAGTATTACTTCGAAAGCGTACATCCTATCGCCCGGTGTGTACACAGGCCGTCATTCGAAGCACAGTATGCAAGCTTTTGGGATGAGGCAGCAGATGGCTACGAGCCGCGGGCCTCAGCCCAGGCTGTGGTGTTTGCTGCGTGGTTCAGCGCAGCCGTCGCACTTGACGAGACGGCAATCAACCGAGAGTTCGGCTTGACCAAGGCCAATCTGGTCGAGAACATGAAGGTCGGGACCGAGGTCGCGCTGAGCAAGGCAAACTTCCTCAGGACGACAAGGGTGGAGACGTTACAGGCGTTTGTGATGTACATGGTCAGTGGCCTTGCCGTGTCGTCTTTTGACAGCGCGGGAGTTTTGTGCTGACCGATTCCAAGATCCCTCTCTGCCGGGAGGAGGTCTCACGAGCCCATTCCGTGCTCGTTGGCGCGGCAGTCCGGATGGCAGAGTGTATGGGCCTACACCGAGACGGCAGTAAAGCGTATAACCTCAATGCCTTGGATACTCACATCCGGCGCCTGATATGGCACCAGCTGTGCTTCTTGGACATCCGCACATGCGAGGCACAGGGGCCCAAACCTGCCATAAGGAGGGAGGACTACGACACCTGGCTCCCGGACAATTGCGAGGAGGACCAGCTCACCAGCTCGATCCGCCAGCCGTCCGTGGCCGACAGCTGGACGACGACGCTCTTCCCACTGATCCGGTTCGAGGTCAACGAGATGATGCGCATAATCTGGGCCGACAGGCGCAAGCTCGAGGCGCGCAAGATCACGCTGACGCAGGTCCTCACCAAGATCGAGAACTTCCGCAAGCGCATGTTCGACAACTACAACCACCTCCTGGACGAGCGGGTCCCCATCCAGCGCTACGCCAAGCTCGTCATGCACCTGCTCATGTACCGGCTGCACGTCATGATCCTGCACCCTTACTACGCCAACACGGCCAGCCCCATGCCGCAGCGCCTGCGCTCCGTCCTGATCACGAGCGGCATCACCATCATCGAGATCGCCGTCCAGCTCGACACCAGCCCGGCCTTCCACCTGTGGAGGTGGTACAGCGGCGCGTACCAGCAGTACCAGGCGTCGCTGATCCTGGCGACGGAGATGTTCTACCACCCGAACCACAGGGAGGCCAACAGGATATGGGCGTGTCTCGATTACGTGTTCAGCCTGGATCCCAACCTAACAAACGAAGAAAAGGGAAAGCAGGTGCTCTCAGAGATCATGACCAAGATGGGGGTCTACATGAGCATGCGGAAGACGAGGGCGCCGACCTGGACCACGGCCGCGAGCCCAGCCCAACAGGCCGTGAAAGAGGACAGTGTTGGTGAGAGTGCACCTTCTTCCGCTTCTGCAAGGCCCGCTTCACGACCGATGGTGCCTCCAGCAGGCCAGCAGCATCCGCAGCAGATGGCTGCCTGCCCCGGCTCAGCGTACCAGACGGCACGACCTCCTTCCACGAGAGAGGAAGCAGGTGGTGGTGCTGCTTCCTCGATGCCCTCAGCACCGATGCGAGGGCACCATTTCCCAGCGCAACCGCCTGTGTCAGGAGGTTCAGCAACGTCGGCGACTCCTCAATCACAAATGGCTCAGCAACAACAGCAGGACACAAACGGGCACAACCCAAACGTGGCAGGCCCGTGGAGCTTAGCGCCGCGGCTGCCGGCGGACTCTGATAGCCCGGAGAACTCGAGCACTGACGGTGGTTCCGTAGCGAGTGGCAGTGGTCTGAGACAAGGGAACGCGGCTGGAATGGCCACGGCCACGGGGCCCGGCGGCGGTGGGAGCATGGCGGCGGGCAACTTGGATAACGAATGGGTCAGTACATGCAGCAAAAAAAAAAAAAAAAAAAAAAAAAAAAAAAATACCACCTATCTCCTACACTGGACTTACCTCCTCCAATTCTTAATGCCCTTTCGTATGAAATAATTTACTAACGATAAGGATCGGGTTGTATAGTCCACCTACCAGGAAGAGGCTATCAACGCCCTGTTTCCCTTCGACCCTCAGACCGGTAGCTTCGCGGGCTTCGGCGAGCCGATGGCGATGGGGATGAATAACAACGGCTGGGCCCCGCAGCCCCGGAGTCAGGCACAGATCCAAAATGATGGCAGGGCAAATAGAGGTGGATATAACTAGGTTTTTGAGCGTCTGGCCGTCGTTTTCTCGCTGCTTGTTCCCTCCCCGTGAGGCTTCGTTAGTCGAATACTATAAAAGTGATTCAAGCGCACCATATGTTGAAGTCATCGGGGTTGAGAAGAGGGTGGGTTGATATCTTCGTTCAGTCATTATTATACTTCTACATTATGTACTCAGGACTTTTCCGTTTTCTCTTCCCAGAATGTGAACAATCATCGAAAACAGGAGATAGATGCCATGCCAATCATCATGGTCAGGGAAGAAGAAAAATTAAACCGAGACAAAATCATTCCCCCGACTCCCGCAGTAACAAGGATATCTCGCAAATCATCTCGTGTCTCATAAATCCCCCCTGTTATTTACCGGCCGTCGCCGACCACTGACCTTTCATCTGTCCCATTTCCCTCTCGCCCGTTGAAAGCCATTCCTGTTCCGTGTTCATCCATTCATAAACTTCATCAGATGGCCCCCTCCATACCGGGAGCCATGCCAGGAGCATCCGTCATGCTCACATTGCTCCTGTTCGGAGCCGTGCTGGGGCTCCCTCCCCTCAACAGACTCACGCCGCCTGCATCCGAGGATGGTGCCCTGTACGAATGCCTGCTCTTGCTCCTTGGCCTCGCGACTATGACCTGGGCAGGGCAGACGACGATCTCGTCATCGCCAACGCCGTCGTCGTCACCCTTCTTGACGACAAGCGGGAACAGCACGACGCGGACGACGGCGCCCTGGGCCTCGAGCTCGTCGTTGTCAGTGGTGGCGTTCTTGTCGCCCGAGCGCTCGTTCATCAGGGCCGAGTTGAAGGGGTGCGGCTCGGCCAGGTCGCCGTTGGCGTCGTAGTCGGGCTGCAGCGGCGGCAGCATCATGTACTCTGCACGCTGGGTGCGCATCTCGACGCTGAGGTCGACCGCCTCGCGCATGACCTTGCGCAGCTGGCCCTGGATCTGATCCTCCAGGTTGGACGGAGGGGGGAGGATCATGGACAGGGTCTGGAAGACAGCCTGGACGACGGCCTCGGTGTCCTGGTCGCGCTGGTCCTTGAAGGGCTCCCGCTTTGACAGCAGTGTCAGGGTCACAGCACGCCATTGGCGCACTGCCTGCGGGGGCCCGACTTCTAAGAGAAGCTTCTCCAGGTTCTTCAGCTTCTGCCTCTGTTCGCGGTCCATGCCGAACAGATAGCGGGTAAAGACAAACTCCCAGATCATGGTCATGGTCACGGACATGAAGACGTCGCGACGTCTGACCCTGTCGTTGAGGTAGTGGTCGACGTTGGACCCGTCGAGGACTGCATTGTCCAGGCGGTCTATGATCTTTTCATCGTTCAACTCACTGGTCAAGCGACAGGCGCGCATGTCTGAGAACTTGGAGAAGCGCAGCACCCACTGCTGTACGTGGGAGCAGAGTTGCTGACAGCGATGGTCGAAATAGTCGACGTCCTTGATGCGCAGGAAGTCGCTGTCGGCTGGCTTGGTGGCCAGGATCTGCTTTTGCATCTCGCGGATCTGCTCCTTTGTGGCCTCGAGCTGCTCACGCAGGCTCTTGATCTCTTGGTCCTTCTCTTCAATTGTCTGAGAATGAGAGTCGTGGCGGTCGCGGTGCTCGAGCAGCTCCCTGGTCGCCTCGGCATGCTGGTTTTCGAGGAGGCGGTATCTGTCATCGTGCTGGACAGCGTGTTGCTGGATAGCGCTGTTCAGGCCCTCGTTGACCTCAGTCAGGCGCTGGACCTCCTTGCGCATGAAGTCGAGGGATTGCTTGAGGGCCTCGATCTCGGTGTCGCGCTCAGCGAGCGTGCTGGTGGCGCGGTTGGTGGTGTGGGCCTCTGCTTGGGTCCTTGCATCTTGCAGGGCACGGTTCTCGGCGATGAGTTGCTCTACTCGCGACTCGAGCTCGAGAACCTGCATGCTCTGGCGGCGACGCATGCTGTGCGGTCGGGTTGGTGAGCGGGGTGAGCCCAAGCGGCCCTCGCCGACGCCGTCCTGCTCCACGGGAATGTAGGTCAGCGGGATTGTTCCCTGGTTTACTAAATGATGGCAGACAGGGAGGGTATGTTGAATGAAGGGTTGGCTTACGTAGACATCGGCCATGTCCTTGGAGCGGACACGGCCTTCATTGGCAGTGGGGGCGTTGTTGGTTCCTTGGGCAACAGCGGCGCCTGGAGTTGTCGCTCTCCCCAGGTCGCTCGAGGCTGGGGTGGGCGAGCCCGCCTTGTTTGCTGCGGAGACTGCGGAGGCTGGGGAGCTGCTAGCTTGGGCGCCAAGATCGCCGTGCGACCTGTTGCTCAATTGGCTGAGCGACCGCAGGTCTCCACTCCGGGTTCGTCGGGACCGAAGCGGCGGTGTGCCAGAGTGCCGCAGCAGCGACGGGCTCTCGGCCCGGAGACTGAGCGGCTCAGGCGTTCTTGCGCGCGAGATGCCCGTGTTGGACGATGCTGCCCGTCTCTGCCTTGGCAGTGCAGATGCTCGCAGCTCGTCGGTCACGTCGGAAACACCCCTCTGGCTGGCTGCCGGCGATGGAGACGGCGATGCGGACCGAGACCTCGCCGCCCCTGCCGCAAGCAGGGCTCCTCCTCCTGCGAGGGAAGCCGCTGCCGCCTTCTTCCCCGGGCTCGGGCCGAGATCTGGATACTTGCGCGACTTGGATGTGTTCTTCCGCGGCTCAGGAGTGACCGGTGCATCTTGGGCCTCCAGGACTGGGGCTGACTCCCTGAACCGTCGTTGTGCCTCGCTTTCTGCAGTTGACGACCGCTCCGGCGACTTGTCTTCGAGGTTGGCGCCATCGTCCTCGGTGCTGGAATGTGACAGGCGTGCAGGCTGCGGGCTGAATGCGCGTGTGCCCAGGAGCCGTGGCGACGCTCCACCCGGGTCTCGCATGTGCACACCACTGTCTCGTTGCTGCTGGGCGCTTTCGAACTGATGCACTCGCGGCGGGACAGGCGAGCCTGTCACAACGCCGCTATCTCGGTTGAAGTCCGGCGTCATTGCTCGGGGTCCCGCAGGGAGGACATGTCTGCTGGACTCGGCCTCTTCCTCATGCGGCTCTTCTTGCACTGAGGGCAGCCCCGTTGGCAGGGAGCGGCTGTAGTCAATGACCGAGGGCCCGGCTGCCGGCTCATCATCATCTCTTGTTTCGATGGATGGTGTCGCTTCTTCGAAGCTGCTTACATTCTCAAGTACGGGGCTTCTGGATGGGGGCGTAGGTGAATCCTGCGGCTGATACAAAAACTCGTGCAAAGTCGCATCCTCACTGCTTCCGGGCAGATCAGGGCTAGCTTCGGGCAATTCGCGTGGTGATTTCACCGGAGGTTGCTGCTCGTCTGTGGGGAAGTCGACAGAGGGCTGGGAGCCGAGGACCGGGCTTTCTACGACCACAGACTCCAGAGGGATCTCCGCTTCTCGGCTGGCTTGGTCTGGGATTTGAGGCGTAAACGTTCCGGCATCTACGTCAGGCTGTGAGCGTGGTTCACTCACATTGTCGCTGCCGGGTGTTGTTGGCTCCCTACCGTGCGAGGTCGCTGCTGCTCCCGGCCCTGAATGCTGCATGTCAGGATCTGATTGTTCTTCCTCAAGGTTTGTGTCATGGACGGCCCAATAATCGCCTGAATCCACGTCCAAGTGGGCGGCTCTGAGGGGCACGTGTTCGGCCCCTTCCCACATGGCAGGTTCATCGAAAAGGTCATCGTCCTTGGGGGTGTGGTTGTCGATATAATCAGAAACTGTTCCTGTCTTACCAGTGGCTTTCTTGGCCCCTCCAAATCTCTCGGCCAGTGCGGCTACACTACCCTTCTTGGACGGGTCTCTGGCGGCTTCGAAACTAGAGGAATCTCGTGGTGAATACTGTGGTGACCTGGGTGGCTGTTGCGGTGGGAAATGTGGTGACCTAGGCGACGGTTGCGGCGAGAGTTGTGGTGACCTGGGCGGCGGAAACTGCGGCGATCTCGGCAAACCAGGCGATACTGGCCTCAGATTATCGGGGGACACACTCCGGGCCAAGGGGACATTGGCTCCATGTGCAGGGCCTGTTTCGAAGGTAAACCATTGCTTGTGGTTCACCTGCTTTACTGCAGGACTCAGGCCCTCGTCGTAAGATCGACTGCTGCCAGGACGTGCGCTGTCAGGACGCGCAGGAACGGTGGCACTTCTTGTCAGTGAACCCAAGTGCGAAGATTCGCCCGATGGTCCTGCCTCCGCCTCCTGGATTGCTACCGAATCTGTCGAGACGTTGTCACTGGTCATCGTGAGCAGTTTGGGCACATGGCCTTGGTCCTCCTGAAAAATTGAGGAATGACGGTGAATCAGTCCGAGGCCGACCAGGGGGCGCTCTTCCCCTACACGTCTGTCTGGGCTCGTGTTGAGCCCGCGAGCAACTGCTGGGTGGATGTCAAACTTGCTGAAAGGCTCCTGGTTAGGCTCTGCGAAAGTGGCGGGCTTTGGCTTGAAATAGTCCTCGTCGTCCCACAGGTCGGGGCTGGGTTGCATTTTCTCCAGTTCCTTGCCACGACTGTCAGGCGACCTGAGGAATCTTGAGCTCTCCGCGTCTGTCCTGGATGCTTCATTCTGGTATTTGTTGACATGATGAAATTCTTCCATAGGCGTGCTTAGAGTCGGGGTCTTGTCGGCCAGCGAGCTGCTGGCCTTGTTGTCCTTCTTGGACTGGTCGTCGCTCGGAATGTCCCAGTCATCCTCATCTGGCGTTGACTTCTGTACCTCGAGATTTGGTCCCCCTCCAGGCACATACAACTCAGCAGACCGATGATCGCTGTGACGGGATGGTGTGCTGCCGTCTCCGCCACGTCCAGTGAGCACCTCATCATTGCCACCTTCCAGCGGCAGGTACAGTTCCGCAGACCGATGATCCTTACGTCCCTGGGAGGCGCTGGCGTCGTCAGTGGCTTGATCGGATAGGTCAAATCCCCTGTCGTTGTTGTCTGGTAAAGAAGTGTCTATCTCTGACGGTCGACGATCATTGTGATCCTCGAATTGACTGACGTCTGTAGGCTGACCGGGAGTGCCAGATCGCTCTGGAACAGGTACACCACTCTCGACAGCGTCTACACCATGCAAAATGAGCGGTTCCACAACTGCAGGGGTTTGACTGCCAGAAACCGATCCAGACGAGGACTGTTTGCCCTTCTTCTTCCTGTCTTTCTTCGATTTCTTACGGGATATCGGAGTGGCCCATGCGTCATCGGCCGTGGCATCCTTCGCAGTAGATGGACTCATGCCTTCGGAGACCTCTTCTTCTAACTGTGGGTCGGCAGAACCGGATATTTGAATCGCCTCCTTTTGTCCCACTTCTGGCTCCAAGATCGGGCTGGAAGTGGTCGGGATGTCTTGGCCTTGCGTCTCCACTGTGATTGGGTTTTGAGACTGGCTGGGCTCGACTGGCTCGACGACATCGTCTTCCCAGGCAGAAAGTGACGCCTTCTTTGCCTTTCTCTTTTCTTTCTTTGACATCTTGCGAGAAAGAACGGGCGTCTCTTCCACTGACATCTCATGTGCCTGGGATGGCTGCTCTTCCGGCGGCTGCACAGATATCGGCTCATTCTCGTGCTCAAGTGAGCGATCCAGGTCGATCTTTTCCACATCTGCCGCCACGGGTTCGTCTCGTTGTCCAAGAACTGGGGAAGTTTGCTGAGAAGAGATACCAAGTGCATCTGATGCTGTCTCCCTGGAGATCTGTTGACTGTCATCTTCAGGAGTGGGTGTCGTAAGTTCTGGCACACCGGTTGACAGAGAGCCCTTCTTGGCCTTGCGCTTTTCCTTTTTGGACAATTTCTTGGGGATGGGTTCCCACAAGTCATCGGCAGTCGGCTCGTAGCTTTGCTCTGCCGGCGTGTCTGCTGGTTCTGTAGCAGTTTGACGAACCGAAGTCGACGACTCAGGTTCGGTGTCAAGTGATCGGCTGAGACCAGTGCCAATCTGGGCGTTGTCATTGCCGGAGTCCCTCGCGACGGAAAGATCTAAGGGCTGGTCGTCAACTGTATTAGCCCAAGGATCAACTTCTTGCGTCCCGGTCGGCAGTTGCAGTGGGGTTGCGAAGGCTTCTGTTGATGCGGAACCGATGTCACGAGCGAATTCATCGTGCTCTTGAGATCGACGGTCCGAAAACTCTTGAGTCTGTCCGGCAGAGATGGGCAGTTCTTCGTGAGGTTGAGTTGCCGTCACGGGCGCTTCGTTCCTGTCGTCGACTTTGGGTTCCAAAACTGGGCTGCTGATTGTCTCGCTGCTGTGGCTCCCCTTCTGGATCTGTCCCAAGCCAAGGTTTTCGAGTGTTTGGTCTTCTGTTCCGATAGGAGTGGCATCACGATCGCCATCTGTGCTGTGTAACTTTGGCGACGTGATTGTGTCCTTGGCGATATCTGCAGTGCCAGATTGCGGCACGCCTCCCAAGGACGCTTCTTCTCTGAATTCGTCTCCGGCGAGAAGAGCGCTGTGTCCCTCCTCGGTTGCCTTGAGCTCTGGCTCTGGGCCTGGCTGCTTAGCCAAGTCATCTTGAGGCCGAGTGAGATCACCAGTGTCGAACCTCATTGAGCGCTCGTTCGTACCAATGCCGAGATCCTGGGACGCACTTGGTTCTTCGGTGATGGGTGTATGGGCACCGCTTCCGATCTCTGACCATGGAGTGCTGGAGCTCTTCCTCTTCTTGTCTTTCCTCTTCTTCTTATTATTAGAAGAAGAGGTTTGTGTCCAATCGTCAAGTTGAGATTGAGGCTCCGAGATTGTGGTCTGCTCCTCTCTTAGCGAGCCTTGAAGATCAGGGTCTACTTCCTCAATGTTGCTCGGTTCTTGGACGAAGTGACCAGAAGGGAGCACTTCCTCCTGTTTGACATCTTTCTCCAAAGGGATTTGAGTACTAGACGGGCTGAAATCCACAACATCGCGGTTGAGGCTCGCGGAGTCCTCTTCTTGGCTTTCCTTGGGGGTAGCGATCACATCCGAAGCGTCTTCCTGGATTGGCTTTGGCTGTTGAACAACCTCATCTGGCAGACCTCTTTCTTCGACCGGAAATGACAGGCTTTGAGGTTGATCCCGGCTGATTTTGGTGGCTTCGGATCGCTCCTGGTCCTTGAAATCCGACGCCGTGGCAGTCTCAACGACATCTGCGAAATTGAGGCTAGGCCGAGACGCAAGCGTGTCTGTTCCAACAGTTTGAATAGGACTGTGTCCAGCGGCGATAGCCTCTGGCAGTGCGTCGCGCTCAGGAGATTTATCATGGCTGCGAGGGATCGTTGAAGCCACACCGGCGCCGGCGATAGCACCCGCGAGGAAGCCCCAGCCATCGCTCTTTCGACCAGGTCGGCTGGCTTGATCTAGCTCGACTTGCGGGGTTTCAGTTTTGGAGTCGAGAGGCGTGGAACGCAGTCCCTCCGTCTCTGGCAGGTGGGCGGGAGGGAGCACCTCTGCGTGCTCAGTGGGCAAGGGAGTATCTTCTACCAGGTCATTGGAGGAGGTTCGCTCGGGCTTAGAAGGTGGCAAAGGCGGCGAACTCGGGTGTTGAGTGCTCCCGAGGTTGGGCTCTCGAGTTCCCGCAGGTTCAGAAGGTAAGGATGCCTCGCCAGATTCATTCATGGGCGTGATGGTCCCGGAAAGCGTTTTCTTCCGCTTTTTGTCTTTCTTGGACTTCTTGGTGATGAAGAATCCTGGTTCTTCCTGCGCAAGCTGCTCTGGCTCTGGCTCCGGGATACTTGTAGGCAGATCTCCAAGCGTGGGCGATTTCGATGGCTCTTCACTGACGCTGTGTGGCACGGGCTGCTCCTCAGCAGATTGTACTGTCTCCAACACCGGCGACTTTGTGGCCGAGGTCTCTTCGATTGTAGACGGTATCGGAGCTGGCTTTTCGGTAATGTCCAATGGCAAAGAACGTTCCAAGGCAGGTTGTCCGCCCTCCAAAGTGACTGGTGTCTCTGCGAGGCTGGATGGCTGCTCCGGCTCGTCTATCGCGATTGGAGTTGCTGAGCCTGAAGGCAATGAAAGGTCTCCCGAAAGCGTGTTCTTGCGCTTCTTTTTCTTGTCCTCTTTCGATTTCTTGGAGACAGGTTGGGACTCAGGCTCTTCGTCAAAGACAACTTGCTCTCGCTCGGATCTAGGGACGACGATTGCAGGAACCGTTTCTTCGTCGTTTTCTGGAACATCACCTTCAGTGCGGAGGCTCACTTCTTGAGGTTCTGTAGCACTGCTTTCCAAAGGTCGGGTCACTACGGCCTCTTCAATCAAGTCCTTGCCTATGTTGTCATCGCTGATCCCTGAGGCTGGGACGGATCCTCCAAGGCTGAGGCTCGTCTCTTGCTGTTCTGGAATGCTGCCTTCCAACGGCTGGCCTGCCGTAGTCTCGTCCAATTTGATGTCTTTAGCTGTCTCATCGTCCAAGGCGAGGCTTGCACTAGGTTGTTGGCCTTGTTCGACGAACATTGGTTCGGATGAGCCAGGTTGAGCCACATCTTCGCTGCTGCCCGGCACCGTGTCGGTCAAACCGCGGGATTCGACGATTGGTGATTGCTCGCTGGCATCAAAGAAGGGTGTCGCTGTGCCAGAGTTCTGGCCGCTGCCGTCAGAGATGGTGCCCTTGCGCTTCTTCTTCTTGTCTTTCTTGGACTTCTTGCTCATGACTGGCCACTCTGACTCTGGGTCTTCGAGCAGCTCGGTGACAGTGACGGCAGGCTGCTCAGATCCACCGAATGGACTGCTGATGTTGGTCCCCCGGTCAGTTTCCTCTGTTATGTCTGAGACGAGTACAGGCTCCTGAGCTGGGGCTTGGCTGGCTTGTCCAGAATGGATACCAGCAGCAACGACGTCCTCTTGAACTTCGAACGGTGGGCCGTCATCTCGAGCTTGATTTGAGTCCTCGATCTGAGTGCCTGCCATGCCAAAATTGTCCTTGCGAGATTGCATTTCAACAGAGTCTGAGGCAGCCTCCTCGATTTGTGGCAGACTATCCCGTCTGGATTGGGATTGAGGTGCGTCCAAGGCGTGGCACTCGTCGGGAAGCGGGTCAAGTTTTGCGCTTGTGTCTTCGACGCGAATTTGGGGTATTTGGGCGCTGTCTGAATGAGCGCCGTCGAATTGAGCGCTGTCTGGCCGAGTGCTGTCTGACTGAGCGCTTTCTAGCTCGACCTGGCGCACAGGTTGTTCTTCCAAACTTTGCTCCAATTGCGAAGGCCCAGTGCCAACTGTTGCTTCGCCAAGTGAGTCCCCAGCCCGGAATTGGCTCAAGTCGTGCGTCCGTGACTGTGTCTGGGTGCTTTCTCCCACGTTTGCCGCCCCTAAGTCACCCTCGGGGTGACTGAAGCTGCTGGCGACATGTGGGTGGGTGCTGGCGCTGATTTCGTCTGAAGCTTGGATCGCGTCTTCAATGGACTGTGAGCCATCGGTGCGAGTCTCACGCGTGTCTTGACTGACAGGGTCGCGGGTGGTGTCTTCTTGGGACTGCGAGCTGCTTCCTGCTTGATCTTCAGGGAGAGGCGTTTCCAGGTCTGCCTTGTCTTGCTCCTCATTTTGTGGCGGGGCAGCGGCATCTGCTTCCTGAGCCCGTCGTTCAGAATTGGATCTCAGAATTCTCATGCGCACTTTGTCCTTCTTGTTGGGCTTCTTCTTGCTTTCGAGCCTGGCAAGTTCAGCTTCCTCGTCTCGGATCAGCGCAGCTTCAGCTTCACGGCGGGCGAGGTCCTCAGCGTCCTCGGCGACTTCCGCTTCTGGTTGTAGCTCTCTCTGTTGGGTGGACTCATCGAGCGGCGGGGGAAAATCTCCGGACGTAGGGCTAGTTCCGGCAACTTGTTGGGACTGCGAAGTCACCTCCACAGACGGGCCGGCGCTTTCAGTACTCCCTGGAGCAGCCTCTTCAGAACCGGAAATTACTTGTGGCGGCAGCGATTCGGTGGCGAGAGTAACTCGATCAGTCTTGGCCTCCTCCCCGGTCAGAATTGGTTCCTCTGTCACCGGTAAAGTGGATTCTTCTACCGCAGGCTGTTGAATCGAGCTGTCGGGGATATGTGCTCCAGGGATGTCTCGTTCGACTGGAGAGACTGTTTGTGCCATGGCCTCGGCCTCCTCACCGCGCCTGTCAGCATTGGCTTTCAACTGCTTGAGGCGTGTCTTCTCCTTTGGTTTGAGCTTCTTTTTTGACTGTAATTTGGAGATCTCAGCTTCCTCGTCACGGATCAAATCAGCCTCGGCTTCGCGGCGGGCTATCTCGTCTTCATCGAGGATATCTCCGGGCTTCTCTTGTGATCCGAGGTCAGGCTTCTCTAGCTCCGGGATGGCAATTTCGGAAGGGACATCATCTAAAACAGGAAGGACAGTGGGATCCGCCGTTTGGAGGGGCTCGACGGAGCTCTTGTTCTCGCTCACAGGGAATATTGGCTCGACCGACTTGCTGCTGTCACCTGCCGGTTCCACGGACTTGCCAGACTGCTGCAAACCACTGAATTCAGTGCTGCCGGGCTGCTGTGCGAGCTCCGAGGGGGCTCCTTTGACCGTGGATGGCGATCCTTCCAACGTGGCATCATCTTGAGGGCTTGTTGATGGCTCGATAGATGACTCGACTGGCTGTCTGTTGAGATCGAGCTCCGCTGGCGTGGTTGTGCCCGAAGACTGGACCGTTCCACCGATGATTGTGCTGCTCTTCCGCTTCTTTTTGTTCTTCTTGGACTTCTTCGTGGTGAAAGAGTCGTCATCTTCCGTTGAAGCGAGAATTGGATTTGGGTCTTGCAGCTCCGGCTCTGTTACGCCTTCAGTAGTAGACTGCTCCAGTTCGCTGAGGCTCTTATCCGCATGCGGCGGCGAGCTAGGAGTCGGTAGCGTTTGGATGGGTTCTCCCACGCTGGTGCTGCTGAAGGGCTGCTCGGACTGCTCCACCGAACTGACAGGAGGAAGGGATTCGGCTTTCTGTTGCAAATCATCGTGTACAGCTTGTTGCGGCTCTGAGCGCTGCGATATGCCCCCTGATAGATCTGTTGGGAGCTTCTCTGACGGCTGCTCCTCAATGACAGATTCACTTGGGGGTTGAACAGCTTCATCGCCTGCATACAGCGGGTCCTGGAATGAGCATGGTCCAAGAATACCTGAGCTCTCATTAAGTGACTCAGATGCCAGACCTCCTGCGCTTCCTTCCTCAGCCCTTTGAGGCGAGGTAGGTGAGGTGTGATGAATAGCCGATGGGGTGGATTCTTGCAAACTGCTCTCGGCGAGATCGATGCTTCTCTGTGCGTCTTCAACAATTGGACTTCCGATGCGCTGAACGTCTCCCGAGAACGGCTCGGGCTGCGCGGAAGCGGGTTCGTCGACTATGCCAGCTGTCTTCACCTCAGGCTCGTCATGGATTTCGGGCTGGGCGTAGCTGTGCTCCTCAACGACATTCAACGGACTTGAGACCCGTAGTTCCACGACCTCAAGCGGGCTTTCGAGGCTTCCTCCGACGCCATGTTGCTGTATAGGTGAACTTTGATCAACCTCATACAACTCTTTGTGTTCCCTAAAGCTGGTACCAGGTTGATCAAAAGCAACAGCCTCACCCAATCCAGGCTCATTCCCATGGCCAGAGCCCTGCGAAGCTAAAGACGACCTGCGCGACGATCGAAGGGACCTGGTCTTCTTGTATTTCTGCCCAGTGGAGCTACGGGCAGAGGCAGAAGCGCTAGGCGGTGACACGATGCCGTCATCACCGCTGTGGAAGACATCTGGTGATCCAGGCCGGTCTACACTGCCATGTGGTGACATGCTACTGCGTGATGACCGCAACCTCCTCGCGTTCGAAGACGATCTCCGGCTGCGATTGCTGACTTGGGGCTCTTCAACCTGACTTTGGGATTGGCTAAGAGGGCCAGGTATGGTGGACGCCTCGGTTGTATCGTGCACGTCTTCTTGATCGTCTGTCAGACCTTTGCCTTCGCTTTCTCCGAGGATGAGGTACGGCTCAGAGGAAATATCTGGTTCACCGCCCTTGGGGGAGGCTTTGCTCGGAACTGGGTTCGACGCCGGTCCCAGTACTCTCCCGGGTAATGTGGTCCCATGAAGACGTTGTGGAATGGGGCACAAGAGATGGCTCTTCAGTCGCCTTCGAAATCGGTTCCTCCAGGTTGAGTGTGTCTTGCTGTAATTCAGAAGAGTCCTGGGCGCTTGATTCAGTCGTCACCGGAATGGAAGCGGCGCCAATGCTGCCCTGCTTCTTCTTGCCCTTCTTGCCCTTCTTTTTCTTGGGCGTGCTCTCGGGCCATTCGACCGTGTCAACGGGTGTCTCTGGAATTGTTTCCATGTCTTCTGGGCGCGGTATCGGGCTTGTGCTCAAATCATTGCCGGGTAGTTGAGTTGACGACGGAGGGAGAGTGACACTTGTGTCGTCAATGACAGATGCCTCTTGGTCTTCAAGTCCCTTGATGTCAAGGGAAACGTCTTCGACTTGCTGTAGATCACTGATTAACAGTGTCCCTTCAGGGCGCCTATGCGCTGCAGGCGAGTCGTTGGGCACCGAGACGTCAGCGCCTTCGATAGTGTCCAAAGGTGTGTCCGGTCCCGATTTGCCGGCACCTGCAGTAGGCGGAGCTTGCCCCTGGTCGCCCAGATCAATTGGGGCTGTTGTACCGGCCTGACTTGCCTCGAATTCTGGAACAACGCTGGCATCTCCCGGCTGATCAATTGATTTTGCAGTAGATCCTTGAGTGCCCCGGCTGGGGTGGTCTTCCACGCTTGCCGCTGTGTCGTCGCGCGATCCACGTCCAAGGAAAGCCCCTACACCAACTAGGCCTGCAGCCGGCAGCATTGACAAGGCAGATGAGAAGTAGCCTGGCTTGTCGTGCTTATCCCCGGAAGTGGATTCCGCTTTGTAGGGAGGCTGCTCCTCCTCGATTCCCCGGTTGATATCTTGCAACTGGCCCTTGCCGATGTCCTCATCGAGAGCAGGTCTATCCAGAGCGTCCCTGAAATCTGAAATTGACTCTGTGGATTCGTCACGCTGGACTTGAGGCCTTGCCTCGGCTTCAAGACGTGGAGACCCTGTAGGTGTAGCGTAGCTCGACTCCAGCAACGGGCTTTGGTGCGGTTCCTCCGTGAGCGGTATGTCGACGTCCTTGGCTGAGCGAGGTAGACCGGAGTCAATGTGACTGGGGCCAGTCGCACCCTTGGGAATCGTACCAAATTCTCGAGCGGAGTCTGGCAGCCCAGAATCGGTTTGCGTAAGCCCTTTAGGCGTAGATTCCTGCGACCCTAGAGGGACAGTCCTGGCCACCGCGGTGTCGACGAAGAGCGGCGCGGAATCGAGGACACGTGCTTCCTTGTCAGCATCGTCACCGTCTTCGGATTCAGGCGCGGGCGACTCTCTGCTCGGTGGCAGCGGCGTGTTCTCGGCGCTGTCGTCATGCTCCTGACCACCACCATCAGCACCAGCGTGAGCCGAGCGCTCGATCAGGTAGAGCGGCTTGATCTCCCGAGTGCTTTCCCAGGATGTCGGCCTGTCCCAAGACGGGGGCCGAGGTGACCTCTTGTTAGACGGACTCGAGAACGTCTCCTGGGTGTCAACCGCAGGTGACTGGTGCGCCGAGGTAGGATTGCTGACAACTCTAGGTGAGGATGGAATTGATGACCGCTGACCCATGCGGAACGCGATCGGGATCGCGGTGTGGCTTGGAGACTTGAGGGGCACGTCGTAGGCACTTCTGCGGCGGGAGTGCGCGGGACGTTTCTGACTGCTGTCTCTCTTTTCCCGCGGCAACAGCTTTTCTTGGCCGGGAGGCGTAGCAGGCCGGCTATCTGGCAGGGAAGGCAGATCATCGCTGACATCGAAGTCCAGCTTCTGCTCCTCGCTGGGACTCGGTGGCAGGGGGAGGAGGTCGCCATACTGAGGATCGATAGCAGGCTTGATGACCCGAGGCGTAATGTCCGGGTCCTGGAAGTCGAAGACATCGATGCCTCGACTGGGGCTGTCTGGACGCCGCCCAGAGGGATGGTCCACGTCCACGATGACGTGTTGGGTCTCCTCTTGTTCCGAGGGAGCTTCGGCGGCATCAGAGCGCGAAGCAAGGCTGCCTGCTGCGACATAGGCTCCTGCTACGGCTCCTGCTAGGCCGGCACCCGCGCCAAGAGTGCCGGCGTTATCTTTTTTTGACTGGTTTTCGCCGTCGACGCCATTGGACCCCTTCAACAGGCCCCAGAAGCCACCGCTGCTCCGCTTCTCCTCTTTGCTGCTTCTCTTGTCCGGCTTGCTATCTCTCTTGCCGTCAGGCGCGGAGACTACAGACCTTTCATCGTCATGTTGGTGGCGGCCCCGACCGTTTGATCGGTCGTCATGCCTGGTATCAGATACCACAGAAGTAACGTCCCTGTCAAGTGGCTCATAGAAGTCTGATCTTCGTCTCTCTTCCCGGCGTCTCTCCCGCCGATCAGAAGGATCTTCGGCCAGGTCGTAGCTCTTGGAGTCGCGCTTCGACTTGCTTGTCCTGTGCGGTTCGTCCCACGCATTATCCACCGGCTTGGTGTCCTCGAGATCATCAAAAGCATCGACTGGGACCGAAACGCGCCTGTCGTTCACGGGCGTGTCCGCGTCATCCCAGCCAACACTTGTTCGTCTTGGCTGTTTGGATGATCGCTTGGACTTTTTCGAGGTAGATGCCTCCTTCCAGTCATCATCGCCGGCATCTGCCGGTTGAGTAGACCGATCTTCTTCCTCGGCGAGCTTTGCAGCGCGGGCTGCTTTTTCGATCTTGCGTTGCTCCTTCTTGCTGAGTTTTGGAGATCCCTCTTTAAGGTCTTGGACTTCAACGTTGTCGCTGCCCACAGATCGTCTCTTCTCTGACTTCGACTGCCTACGGGAGGAGCCCTCGACCCAATCAAAAGCCGAGCCTTCCTCACTGGCGGGCGTGTCTGCCAGCTCACCAATGACATATCCAGATTGCCGTGATGTCCGTGACCCATCGTCAACATCGATTACACCCAGATCAGTCACAGTCTCAGAGTAAGGTTGCACGTATACCCCGGTATGCTCGTTGGAGCCGGGCGGTGAGTCGCGTCTGCGGTACGCAGCATCCTCGATGACGATGTTTGGGTCAAAACCTGTGTCTTGCAGTCCAGCAGCCAGAGTCGCCGCAAAGTCGAGGTCGTCCGCGAAAGCGCCCGGCATTTGTGAGCTGCGCGGGCTGGCAGGTTTCGGGCCGGGGGCCGGCGGAACGTCCTCGGGTTCATCGTCAAATCGAGATGGTGCCGTGCCTTTGGGCAGTACCTTGCGGCTAGGCGGGGAGCGTGAGCCCTCTGACGACTTTGCGCCCGCAGAGTCCTTGGAGCGGTCGTCACGGCTCGATGGCTCAGGCTTGTCATCCTTGGACAGCGCTGCAGCTGCGGCGATGCCGGCAACAGCAGCTGCCGTCGCGCCCCAGCCACTGCTCCTATTTGGCGACCTCGGCCTCTCGTAGGACCGGGAGTTGCGCTCCGACGATCTATCCGGGCTCTCGACCTCGTATTGCTGGGTCTCACTCGGGCCCCAGGAGACACGCTTGGACGTCGGAGTCTGCGGCGCTTCAACAACCTCGCCTCGAGGCGAGATGACAACCTCGGGAACCTCCTCCTTCTTGGGTTCTTCCACCACCGGCTCGGGAGACCTTGATGAAACAGTTTTCTTTTTCTGACTGTCCGGCGTCGGTGTAGGCACAGGTGTTGGGATGACCAGGTTTAGATAAGGCCGTGGACGTTCCGCAGACGGGTCGCGCACTAGATACTCATGGGGCCTGAAGTGGTCAAGGTCCTTGGGGCTCATCAGATGGTCAAACCTGAAATCCGCGTTGGGTTCGCTGTACTTGTGCTTCTGCGGCTTCTGCATCATCTCCGGCGGGGTGACGATGCGGACAATCTCGGCACCCTGGGACTCGTTGTCCCTGTCCTTGTTGTACTTCTCAACGACCGAACGCTCCTTCGATTTGCTGCGGCTGCGAGAGCTGACCTCCCTCTCAGCCATCCTGCGGGCGTGGTAGTAGGCGTTGGCTTCCTCTTGGACAAGATCCTGCGTCTTATGGAGCGTGCGGCCACGTTCAGGCTCGTCATGATGCCGAGCCCTTTCCGTAGCTGCGATAGCAGCGGCCATGTCAACGGCCGAGATAGGAGCCGTAGAGTGCATGGACTCGTCATATATGTGCTTGGCGTCACGCATCTCGTCCTCGAAGGAATCCCGGCGGCTCCTCCGGTGCTCTTCTTCTAGAGGAGGTGAAGGTGCTGGTGTTACATCGATGATGACGGGAGAAGCCGCTCTTAATGGACTATCCCTCGTTCTGAATGCATCGTCGGGTACCTGAAACTGGAAAACGTCAACACCGCTCGATGAGGGGACGGCCGGGAGTTCAGCACGACGGGTTTGGCCGGAATCAACAGCGGCTGGCCGCTCGCCAGGCTCACTAACCCTTCTGCTTGTTTCCGGTCGTTCGTGGCCGTAATCAGGTTCACTGTATCTTGAATCGCGGTCGCGACGTCTCTTTTCACGATCGAGTTCCGCGTCCGCATCAGCTGCCCGGCTCACGAGTGGCTCCGGTGCACTGTCCCGCTTCGAATCACGTCTGCGCTGTTCTCGAGCCTTGTTGCGGTCCGCGAGGGCCCTCTCAAGTCTCTCGATTTCCTTCTCGAGGGCAAGTTCTTTGGCCCGGCGGGAGTCCTGCACGACGGTGCCCTCCTCGCGATGGTCGTCATGCCCGTACCTCTCATGGCGGCCTTGCCTCAGCTCAGGGTCTCTCTCTTTCTCTTTGCCCTTGCCCTTGTCACGACCGGCCATGATTGCTGCGCCGAGTGCCGCAACGCCTGCACCCACCAAGGCTGTCTCGGCAAATGTCTTGTTCTCGCTCGGCCTGACTCGAGATTCCCGTGGCGAGGTCTGCTCCGAGTCACGGATTCGTTGCTCGTCATACATGCTAGATCGGACCGGGGCAATGGGTTTAGGAGCCTGGATGGGGAGTGGCTCGGGACGGCGTGACGAGTGGGACGGCTCACGCGACAGTGCTGAGAAACTTGGCTGCGATGACACGAACGAGCCCGAGGCTCTCGCGGCGTCAACCCTCGAAGGGTCTGACGTCTGCACGGGGTAGACTGTCTGCATCGGCCTTGCCTCGATCGAGGCGCTCTCCGCTGTGCCCGCAGAGCCTGCATACCTCTGTTCTGCGGTCCCGGGAATAGTGTAGACGCTGTTTCTGTCATAACCGCATGGTGTGTTGATGAGCCCGCGAAGCGAGTTCACCGGGCCGAACAGCCTAGGGTCGACGACCGATGACTTCCTGTCCGGCGGCCTGATATCCTCTGGCGGCCGGGCCGATTGCATTGTAGACTGCCTGCTCACCGAGGATTTGGGCGCTGGCGACCTGCCAAGGTCCACCGCGGCACCGTACGCCAGGCCGGAGTTGCTCTCGTCACTGCTGTACTCGCCTTCAGACGCAGACTCCCACTCGTCGTCGGAGGACGAGGATGACGAGTGGCGACCGTGTTTTGAGGGCGCGATTCCACGGCTCGAGGCGGCGTATCCGCCGCTGTTCTGGCGTGGGTACTTGTCCCAGGTATCTTGCGCAGCCGAGAATTGGCCCGGCGTCCTCTTTCCCGTGGCGCGCAAGTCTTCCCTATTCGAATCCCTCGCGACCTTGGCCAGCTTCCGTCCAATCTCGAGTATCTCCTTGTCTGTCTGGCGCCGCTGAGCCTGCGCCGGCCTCCCATCCGATCTCTCCAGGCCGGCCGCTCGCTCGCCCCTGGGGCTGAAGTTCCGGCTCTTTGGCTTCCTCACGAAGCCCATCCCGTACGCCATGTCCGAGTTCACACTCGATGACGAGGAGTTGTTGCCGAACCCGAATATGCCCCTGTTCTTCTTCTTCTTCAGGCTCCGCCTGCGCCGGATGCGCTGTCTATGCTCCGAGGGCGTCTTGAAAAAAGCGTTGAGGACGCCTCCCGACCGCCCGAAGCTCGGATACCACCGCGATATCTCCAGGTAGGAGGAGCTGCTGGACGACGAGAGCGACAGGGCATCGGAGCTCGAGGGGGAGCCATGACGGTTTCTTCGTGTTCGCCGGCGGTCCAGCTCGCGGTCATGGCCACGAGACGGTCCTGGCATGGGCATTGGTGCTGAAGTCCGGAGGTCATCGTTGCTGCGCATGGTGATTGGGCCTCCGGGGCCGCCGGGGAGAGGCTGCTGGTCCGGGGGCTGGGACGTTTGGTACTGGAATGAGGAAGAGGGCGCCTGGCTCTGGGGCGCGCCCGGATAGGCGTAGGAGTAGGAGCTTGCAAAGGTGCTCTCTGTTGCTGTTGCGGGAGCCATGGACCTGGAGTCGGGCGCCATGGAAGGGTCATCTAGGACGAGCTGCTCTCTCGAGTCCCGCTTGGCTTTGCGCCTGCGCCGCGAGCTCTCCGGGCTCCAACGGCGACGGCGCTCGCTCATGATCTCGACAGCTTTGGCGGGGTGGGGGAGAGGGTGGTTTTCTATGCTGTGGCTGTCATGGGTATTTACGTATTATCCCCCCATCAAATCAGCAGCCAGCTCTGCACACAGGATATGCGGTTCTGCGTATGTGGATGTCGAGATGCAAGTGCTGAAGTAAGTGGAATTGTTTATGTACTGGGGGGTTGGTGTATAGGTCCCATCCTAGTATGGGGAAGGCTGGGAAGTATGGGGCAAGATCGAACCGGACAAGGACAGGACTGGAGCTCAGCCGCAACATGAAAGAGCTTGGGCCGCGGGCTGTGCTTCCAGTTAGACTACTCCACGAGGCGAACCGTTACTCGCACATGATGTGACCTGGGGGAGAGAAGAGGGGGCTGGGCAGTTGGTTTGTCTGCCTGTCCAGCCTGTCTGCTCCTTCCTGCACGGCACTGTGGTAGGCCCGTCTGCTGCAGGCCTGCGGCGCTAATCCGGAACGGCCACAGGATTCGTTGGCTGGCCGACCAATTATTTTGCCCGTCTTTTCGCCCAAAACAAGACCAATCGCCCGCCGGCTCAGCGAGGCAGAAACGAGGAATATGCCTGCCAACAGCCCGGCCAACTCTCCGAACCTTTTCTTTGAGGCGGCACAACCGTCCACCAGCAAATACAGCGTGCAGCGCAACGGAGCACACACAGTACTGTACACACATGAAATGCCTGGACCGCCGATCCGGATCTTCAATCAGCCATGGGCTGCGACAAACCTTGGTGAAAACGGCCCGTACCGACGAGTCTATACCCTATTAAATTCAATGCAAACCGTCGAGACAAATGTCAGACGTGAACGATTAATAAATCGGACCATATGCTATCAGCAAAGTCGGTCCAGCATTGACTCGGCATTCTCCAAGACTTCCTTCACATACACAAGATAACCAACGAGAAGGATTGATTGAACCCAGCTCATTGAGCATTGATTCTTCAGCAGTGCCCACAGGCGAGGCTACCGATGCTAACTTATACATATGCCGTGGCCCCGGCGCGCGCACTTCTCGCCTCCACCCACTACCACCGGATCGCCCTGATCTCCAATGGACACAACAATCACACAGTGGGGCGGACAGACTCTTGCTGTTTCCATCTTACAGCTCGTCTCGCGCACATGAATATGAGACTGTTATTCGCAGGCTCCCGATTCTTTCGTCACAGCCATTTCCTCTCTCAACGCAACGCTGCCGTTCGAGACTGCTTGAGAGGCCCAGTGTTCTGTACATCCGGCCTCGGCTGAAGAAAACAGACTCCACAGCACACATTGTTGGAGTTGATCCCTTCAGTATTGCGGCCTTGAAACAAGATCCCACATTTGATTCGGATCCAACAAACGCCGGCGCAATAACCACCTCTTCCCGGTTCCCTTCATAATGTGTCCTTGCCTTCCAGCATGTCCGCTCCAAAAACGTGACATGCACTCGTTCATATCGTCAGATGCACGTGATGTTGCGCGTGACGTTGACGTGGCGGCGGGAGCGGAATCTGGCCAGTAGGACGCACTGCGGTGAACTGTGAAAGAATGATAGCATATGCAGCCATTTAAATGTGCAGCGGCCAAGAGCATTCATCGACAAGTTCTGTGGCGTTTCAGCCACTGCAGGTTCAGGCCATCTTGGCCTCAGCTTCGTCTCGGACTGGGCTCTTGTCATTTGATCATCCCGAGCGGCGGTCGACTATTTTATCCGCTTGAAGGAGGGCACTGATGCCGTCCATCCCAGATTCACTCTTACCATTCAACCGTGGTGCTGGCCCTGTTGCTGTTGCTGTAGCCGGGGCTGGCGCTGGTGCTGGCACTGGAGTGGATACCGGTGCCAGCCTCGACTCATTGAATGCAGGGGAATAAGGGTGGCGGCCGATTGGTGTGTGGTTTTGACTTGGGACAGGACCATGCCCCTTGAGGTAGCCTACATGAATTCGGTCAGTCTGACCGTATTCACAAGTAGCATGTGGACGGGACTCGAACAAACCATTTATGTGTGGTAGGGCATGGTTGGTCGGGGTTGGGTCGCTTGGAGCCCGTTCCAATGGATAGATGGCGGGCGGCCTGTCATCGGGTGACATGGAACGTCCCTGGACGGCTGGGTTTGCCGCAAAGGCAGCATCATAGGAGAATTGTTTCCCGCCGGACAGGAGCGCATGTATGGGGAGTGGTCCCTCAATAGGCGTCCGTGGGAAGCTGCTGTATGCCGAACTTGCGGAAGACATGCTGCCCGCAGAGGACTGTTCCTTTTTCAGAGACGGCGGCCGTGATTCACTACCGCTTAAGCTCGGTGTATTTGCTGGGCTGGCGGTCTGAAGGCCCCTCGGGAGCAGGCCAATACTTTGCACGGGAGCTTCGCTGGGATGGGCGGCACCGTTCAGCATGGACCGGCCTTCGAACACATCTGATAGCGGGGGGAGGCTGCGCGCTACCGCTGGGCCATCAGCACGCGGGCCATCCGCATAAACGGGGTCGCGTCGCGGCGGGGCTGGTGGTTGGGAAGAGATGTCCCTGGGACTCCCTGTGAGACCGGGACCGGGCGACTGCTCAAGTCGACGGTCGAAGCGGCGATCGAAGTAGCTGGCGGCTGGTGAGGTCAGGATGGACTCCTCACCCGGGGTACGTTGAGAGATCGAAGCGACGGATGGTGCGTAATATGATTCGCCATTAGAAACGATCGAACCGATTCTTTGCCGCCTTGCTGGCGGTTCGCCGTTGTGGTCCCCAATACTGCCCGTCCTTGCAACCCGGCCCGGGTGGCCATTGATGGCCGTCGATTCCCCGATGTTTGGGTCGGACAGCCTCACTCTTTTGGAAACCTCTCTGTCTAAGAAAATCCAGTTAGGTAAAGACCAGGTCGAGAAGCGGCTGAGCTGGTCAACCGACACCATACTGACTCACCTTGGGGGTGATTGGCATGTTTGGCCTTGAATTCCTGCAGATACTGAAGGTACTTTTTGTAGTCGGGGGTTTTCTTGTACTCGGCGAGGTCCCGGTTGTACTTCTCCTTGGCTGCTTGGGCGTCCCGTTCATAGGGTTCCTTCTCGGCCTGAGTCAACCCTTGCCAGTTCTCGCCGACCAGTTTGGCAATCTCTGTGAAGGTCAAATTTTGACCCTTGAGGTCTTCTCTCATCTCTGGTGGCAGCACCCACGATTAGTCTCTGGAATATTTGGTCCTGCAAGATTACAGCGTGTCCGCTCTCAAATTGTGAAGGCCCAAAGTGTTATTAAGGATGGGCGGGCGGTCAACAGGGGATAGCAACGAAGCAGTGTCGCATCAGGGTGACACGTGACAAACAACTGACTAAAGAAGGGTGCAACTGAATGAGCACTTACTATTAGAGAATAAAACGTATGCTGAGGGGGCACGCTCTGGTGCATTTTCGTCGGGCTGTAACAATGCGGCTGTTAGTTGACTATTCCCATCCACCATCATCGTCGATGCCGAAGCCTGGAGTGGGAAACGTGGAAGGCGGGAAGAGGAAGTCCCCTTGTGTCCGTGTCACACTGTGGCTGCCAAAGTGGCCGCCAAACCGTTCACTCGCTCGACGTACCTTGGGGTGCCTCCGATATTTGCGCTTCTGAACCACTCCATTGCTATTCTCTCGGGAATCCGTGGATGGCACTGCAGCCGCTTCCGGTTTCTGCACCTCAGCGCCGGCGCGGGGATCCTCGACACTTGCCCTCGTCGGTGAGGCCAATGCCACGTCGGGTGCTACGCCTCTGGCATTGGCGATCCTTCTTTGCAATTTCTGTCGCGCTTTGTCAACACCGTTTGGCCCATAGACGAGCCGCCGGGAGTAGGTCTCTAGCTTACCCTTCGATGACCAAGTTTTACCCCCAATGCGTCCCTGTTGACCACCGCGAACGTTAGATCGATCGCCCAAAACCCAGATCTTCGTTTCCTGCAGACTGCACTCACAAATCCGACTCAGTAATGTCGAGGATCGTTTCCCATGTATCAAAACCCTGGTCGAGGAAGACATCGAGGTATTGCGAGATGCCCAGCTCCCCAAACACCTCTTGTAATTTCGGCGACATGCAGAATATGGATTACCGTCTCGGCATAGAAGTATTGGGCACGATCAAAGCCTCGTGGAGGCCTGCGCTGTCTGCACAAGAAGCGAGTCCGGGAGTAACAAGAACTGACGCCCGAGGTTCGAGGGGCAAACGCGATGCCTGTGTGGGAGAGTCCTGCTTGAATATTCCCGAGTCTCGAGGTGCCGGACAATATGGTCTCGCAGTGGGTGCTTCGGAGGTGAGTGCAAGGTGGGCGCGCGTCAGCTTTTGTTCGTATACGTTGCTATGCGAGGCAGCCGGGCATGCTGTTCGGGCGAGTCAAGAACGAGGTCGGATATCGTCGTCGGGAACCGTCTCGGTGTCTCCGAGGTAGGTGAAGTACTGAGGTGATATGGTCCCGTGTGTGGTCCGTTGTCTTCCGCAAGAGGAAGTGCTGGCCTGGGGGTGGCGGTGTTAGGAGGAAGAGTTGCAAGCTGTATGGGAAAGTATGGCGCTCCTGATGAGAATATGAGAAGGGCTGAACATGGGGGCTCACGGCATATGACACACTAATTAGAGTGGGCCGATGTCGAGGATCTCGATGACAGAAGGTGTGGCACAAGATGGGAAAGCTTCAGGCGTGCCCCAGGATATGGGTAAGGTGGTGCGCTGCTAGGCCACATACATCGAAAATGGGTTTTCCGTCGATCAGTTCGGGAGAACCTGCTGGTGGGCAATTCTAAGAAGGCTTCCTTTTCACGGGATCCCAGAGAAAGTGGCACGGGGGGACAAGAGGATGCTCTCGGATCGAGATGCTGTGGGCGGGAAGGTTGCTGCACTTGGACGTCGGCCGAACTGACGAGGAGTCTGGGAACATAACGACGTAGCACGTTGAGCGAGCAAGTAGCGAAGCCGGGGGCGCGGGCGTGGTGGTAAAAAGGACAGGGCAGTCTGCACAGACGGTGTAAGGCCAGGCACCTCGTGGGTCACCTGTCATGGAGACGGAGAACCTACCAAAGTAAAAACGAGGGACGGAGAGTCAGGTACTCTCGGTGATGGAGACCTCCCAACGTTGACAAACACGGGAGAGGGGCCTGATAGCCGCACTCGAGTGGGTTGACTGGGCAAACGGTCGGGCTGGGGCAGGCCGGGCAGGGACAGGCAAGGACAACCATGAACCCAGCCGGATCGAAATCGTCAGAAGCGTCTCCCACGCGCAGAGCAAGATGTCGTAATATCAGCCTTGGCAGTGCCTGATCCTAGAAGAAAGGCAAACCAGAAAGTGTCCAAGGCCCAGGTCCTCGGGAGTCTGGGTGTGCGAAAAGAACAACTGGTGGCTGTGGGAGGACGAGCAGCCCATCGCGATCTTAGACAGAAAACTGGGGCACAAGTATTATTATGTCAGAGGTACTTTGACCGGATGACGCTTGACCACTTTGGGAAGTGTATATCGACAACCCACGGACGAGAGGCATGTCTCTGCAGTATCGCCTGACTGCTGAGACCAGGCTGCTCAGTGCACATAGTACTCAGTGCTGAATGTACCTGCCGGCTCGGTCGCCTTGTTCGAGGGTGGAGAGGATGGGCAAAGACAAAAAAGACAAGAGACCGTCTAGAACCGGAGCAAGTGGCCCCTACACCTTCTCCTGGTTGGCTCTTGGGCGTCGACAGCGACCGGTCGCAACGACTGGTCCTGCAAGACGGCTGTGAGACATCCGTGCCGCCAGGCTCGTGCTGCGCGACGCCAGCAACACCCAAAGCTGCCCACACGCCGCCTCTATCGCTCGCGCGTCTTGTACGGCAGGTGTGCGTCGTTGATGGACGACACGAATCATAATCATAATCATCATCATCATCATCATCATCATGTTCGTGGCCAATTTGTCGACACCTTATCGTCCCCGATTTTTCACTACCCTCCGCCCAGGTTGCGTGTGTTACTTACTGGTGGTGTATCACGGCTGTTACCGGCCTGGTCCCCATCAGCTCGATGGTCCCGCGATCAGCTACGTCCTTGCCAATCAATAAGCACCACCGCTGTACAGTCCAGGCCGGACATCGTAGGGAAGAGATGTGGTGCCTCCTCGGGAAGAGCCCCTCGAGCTGTGGACGGAAGTGGTCGCGCACAGTAGGCACTCAAGGCTTGCGAAAAAAAAAAAAAAAAAAAAAAAAAAAAAAAAAAAAAAAAAAAAAAAAAAAAAAAAAAAAAAAAGACAAGATGCCAATTGGTTACAAAACTTGGAAGATGAGCCTTGGACTAGTCGGCCTAAATGGCCGGGCACGGTGTGCTGAACGAGCGCGGTGATCCCAGAAAGCTAAATTGTCGTGAGCGGATTGTGTTTTTTCCACCCAGAAGCCATAGCCGGCCGGCCGAGGCCAGGCGCACGGTAAAGTATCCCTAAAGTGGGCTGTAATGTACAGAATATCGCGGCCCTGTGATGTTTGCCGCGTAGTGGATGTGTGATGTTACCAGTACATGGTCGAGACCAACGGGTCCGGGAGTGGGAGGCCAAGGAGAACAGCATGGTGCGTCTAGGTCAGATCTCGATCCGCCCGCAACGGCATACAGAAAACGTACGAGGGCCATGGGGATGGCAATGCGGAATTCACTGGCGGGGGGGTGGGCAGGATGCGAATTCATCCCCAGCAGAGCAATGTACCATGGCTATTTTTGCAAATGACGCGGGAGCCTGGAGAGTGCGATCGATGCTGGGTAGTCTGCGCCGATGGACAATCATGCAACAAACCGGTTCCCGTGTTGATTGTCGACCGAGGTGACGCGAGGAAAAGGGAAAGGGACAGCCACCGAGGCTGAGTTGCCTGGAGGCCTGGAGGAGTGGACGAGGTGGGGAGGGGGGGTTACTGCTCAATGTCACGGTAGGTAGGCAGGCACGCGCAGTCTGGCTGGGTGTACTGTGTTATGGCGTGTGGCACGGAGTATGGGTACAGTATATCCTGTTCCAGCGTCTTACTCGCGACTGGTGTTTTCGATGAGTGTAGAAACGGGCGATTTCGACGCACCTTTGATCCCCAGCACCTCCCAGACGAGCATCGAATCTATTGAGACGATCGTGAAGTAGATATCCCTGTCCTGGCCAGGATAGGTGCAGCCAGTGGTGAGTCTAACACGACACTAGCTGTGTGCATACTCGTGGGCTGGTCAGATAAAGTAGAGGTGCATTTATGAAGAGTACTTCAATACTCTATGTTGATGGACGCCGGGCGGGAGGCGCTGTATGCCAGCCGAGACTGACAAGGGACAGACAGGCAAAGCGGGTTGAAGCTCGTCACCGGCAGCAGACCAGATGGGCCTCCCTGCTTCAGGACGACGGCCTGCGTTGTGTCTGTGGATATTCTTGCCTGTATTTTATGTGAGGATCACAGTGCAGCGCCGAGATAGCATCAGTACTCCGAGCCACGGCTCTCTCTACCTAGGGAAGGTCAGCAAAGAGGCGGGGCCCGCAACCCAGGCAGCCAACGTTCACTGCTGGATACGCGTACACAAAATTATCTGCTGCACATTGTTCTACGCAATGTTTCCAAACTGATTTATTACGCGACGAAGAGCGGAAACGCGGAATTGCAAGACTCGGGTCGAGACATGTGGCTGCAACTCATGTCGTACTGCTTTGTCCACCCTCCCTGCCCTTCCCTCCCCCACGCGTTGGGTTGTTCACCGTGAGCATATAAGGAGACACACTTCATTCCAGCCGCAGTTGTCCCGCATGCACAAAGTAGGCGTGCAGATGAACATGCATACGCATGCAAAGACGCAGCAGTATGTAGGGGCAGGGACCAAGACTACGTGCAGGAGAAAAGGAAATCGCCTAGCAAAAAGCAAGAACCGCAGTGCCGGTCATGCACATCTCCGCGGTGGCACAGGGGCATTGATCAGTAATCAGGAGCCTGATGCATCTGTGTGTACTGCAAATCCTCACCGAATGGCGACTCGGTCGGCGAGCCGGTTCAGGTCGAGACAAGTCGAGAAGTGGGTTGGAAGTCGAGGCAACAAAGGGAAGAACGCAGCTGCAATCTGGACAAAACATGCCGCTGTTGAGATCTCGATGTGTCGGGGATGCGAGAAACACACTTACCGATCCAGGAGGTGCTGGGGCTAGCCGGCCAACGGTCTAGACCACTCACTTGCGGGCACAGCTTATCGACCACACGTCCGACCATCGACCAACGACCATCGAATTGTCGGGACCAGAAAACAGAATGCCATACAGGAAGGTCGTGTTTCATCACAAAAGGTGTGCGACTTAGACGCCTTGCCGCCGATGTCAGCCTTGCGTCATGATCTGCGAATCTGTCGATGAGTTTGTGTATGCAGCGGGAGGTGCGACGGCGGGCCGAGGAAAGAGCACAAAAAAGGAGGGGGGGTCGGTGTCAACAACGCCTGCTCACACAGGACTGCCTGTCGTAGACATCTGATTATCTGCGACCCAGGAACCCGTGGCAGAAGTCACCTGGTTTTGCCTCCTTCCACGATACTTGCCATGCACGGTAGGTCAATCTCGGCGGGTGGGGCCCGTTCCCCTGCGAGCCTCACCTGCCGTTCTGTCCATCATTCTGGCATATGTCGATGGTACTTACAGTGCCCACTACTAGGCAAGTACTCGGTATCGTACATGTGGCTAACTGCATGGGTACAAGTTCGCACTTGTACAAGCCGTTTAGCACCGACGTCAGTCAGTCTACCAGTAGCTAGCGCAGTGCCGGCTGCAACGCCTTGTATGCAAATGAACTACTTCTGCCTGTCTCGCTCGCTCCGGCCGAGTGACGGGGTCTGCTTGGTCGCTGCATCGACAGATAGAGTGTGAACAGAAAGAAAAAAAAGCAGTGCGGAGCTGGGGAAGCGGCCACGGCTACCTAGCCCTGTCGCGAAAGCCAGAGAGACAGACTGCCATGGCCACAATGAGCATTCCTCTACACCTACCTAGGTACTACTTACCAAATGAATTGGGTATCCGGTAGGTAGTTGGCCAGCCTACTACATGGAGGTCAGCATCTGGCCACCACCCAGTAGAGCACTCACACAAACACACGACACAGCACGCCCGTGCCGATCCGATGCCTCCCCCAAATCCGATGCGCATGGCGACGTTGCAGCGTGGAAATGTGGGCCGTCGGCTCTGGTGTTCCCGGGGCATGCGCCGGGTGACCAATCATAGCTGTTGCCGGCGACGGGGCTGGCGCTGGTGCCACCGTCAGGCCGGGCCTTGCAGAGCTTTTCTTCGAGCTGCCTGGCAGGCCTGGCAGGCCCTGGCCGCTGGGCGGCAACAAGGTTTGGCTGATCCCGGGCAAGCAGGGTCCAAAATGCTGCGCGCCCTGCGGTATCCTGTCACTGCCTATGCCTCTCTCAGATGGTCGCAGCATACTTCAGATTCCCACTTGGTGTCTACGCTCTGACAACGGCCAGATCGACCAGCACCCCCCAGATCTCAGACGACTGCATCGAGTCATTGAGTTCGAGGCTGTATCCATCACATCATCATCATCGCTGCCGTTATTTGCAAGCCGAATCCTCCACGGGAACTTGGAAGTTGGCATCCAGCAACCCAATATGCCTTCGCAAGAAGCCGGCTCGAATCCCGCCCCTGGTCCCTCATCAGGCGCAGCAGACCGTCAAGCTGAGGACGCACAGGGAGCTGGAGCGACAAGTCCACCCAGGACAGAGCAGGAACTGGCCCAGGTACGCACCCGCAAGTCAAAGTCATCCCCAAGCAAAAGCAGCACAAGTCAACCCTCGCACTCGGCTATTTTCCACAACCACGTGTTCGCATCTCCCCCAAGCTGGCTGTCTTGGACGATCCAGACCCCAGTTCGTGGGGCCCTTTCGATTTCTCCCAAGACCCTGCCTGATGTTTACTGCATCCTGCAACCATGCCCGGCCTGCAGCAGCACGAGTGCTGTGGTAGCTCCTCTCAACGGCGCCCTCTCTTCCCTCGCTTGGTCGCCCGGCCTTCCATCGTTCACCGTGTCCCCGCATACATATGTGCTAAGCCATGTGCAACTTTCAACCCCTTGCTAACAAACAGTCTAGGCCTTCAGGGATCTCGCCCGGTAAGACAGATCCTTCCTTGAGTTCGGTCCGGGTTCTGCATGATCAACGCGCCGTCAGTCACCTGCGCTCCCAGGCGCGTGGTCGGAATTGTCCCGACTTGATGGGCGCGCTAAGCAGCTGCTTGATTCTTTATCAATCAGGAGGATCTAGAACTTCTTGCCTCCGCCTGCCTTGGATGCGCCGAGTGGCACGCAGCCAGTGTTGATCAGGACCCGGAGGTTGCCATCTCACTACAACCACATGCTCTTTGACCTCGCCACACCAGGCTCAACTGGGCCGTCAGACCAAGCCCTCGTCGCAAGTGCATGTACCAGCGCAAAGTCTAGACCCTTCTTTTATCAGTTCTGATGATACCTTGGCGTGAAGCTCGGGTGGGATTCTCCGGGTTTCCCATCCTTTGGCACAATTCCATCTTTGGATTGATGGCTTTTGCCAGCGCAATAGCATCCATCTCCTGAGATGTGCATAGATGTTCGACGCTGTCCCCGTCCCTCCCCGCTCTCTCCTTACTGTCTTCAAGAGTCTCGACCGCAGCGCTTTTGGGTCACTGCTGCCGTCGCCACATTGCTCAGTCTGGAACATGCCATCTCATGCAGGTTCCGCATGCTGCGCTACCCCATACTTGAGGCCACGAAAGTCCAGTCATGACACCGCGGAACTTTTCCTCCTAAGATGCACGGGACCACCCGCGGACCCGCGGACCAGATGTGCCCCGTCTTCAACCCCTGGCTTTGGCTCCCTTGTTGAGTAGATCATCTCTACTTCCATAGCGGCACAGTGGCGTTACACGACGTCTGATAAACTGGTCTTTCACTAACAGAAAAACTCGGCCCCGCAGCGGCGAAAATGCTGCAACAGCGCTCGAGAACAACCTAACGACCCTGGAGGGCAAGATTGATGAACTCCTTGCATCCTTTGAGCGTTCGTCCGCTGCATTGCCTCCAGCAGGAAGTGCGAATGGTACAGGCGGTGGCACAAGTGGAGCAGGTGAGGGTGGCGGTAGCCAGAAAGCGGCGAACAAGTGAGGATACGCGTACCAGGCCGGCTGGGGTGGCGATGGGCTATTACTGGTTGGCTACCTATACACACGACAATCTCGTAGGAGAATAATCAACAAGTCCGGTCATGTTAATCTTCAGCATGCGAAATCATAGTGCATCCCCCTCCGCGAGGGGTCAAGTCCACCATGAACTCATATCTTCCAATTTGCAGTACCGTGACGTCAACACGCAGTATCTGCGTGTATATATACATCGGTCTCTGGTAAATCTGATATGAAGCCGTCTCAAGGAACTCGTCACTGATCTCCCCGTATGAAGTCGGTATGAGGTCAGACAGGGTCGATCCGACATAGGTTCGGAGAGATGGGTTGCTCGCGCAGGCAGTATCTGCTGTCCCCTCGACATAATGAGGTCAGGCTATGTCATAGTGCCTGTCAGATCAACGCAAATCCTCGAGATCCATCGGGTAAGGCGAAAGGGGCAAAAAAAAAAAAAAAAAAAAAAAAAAAAAAGGCACACGGGCGGAGAGTTGTCGGTGTTGGGAAACGGATCTGGCAACCACTTCACGCACCAGCTTGTCTGGGTCAGGAATTGCCTGCTATGCGGGCTCCGCAGAGGAAGCGTGTTCTGGGAGCAGCAGCAGCAGCATGAGAAGAGCCTCTACAGCTCCATAACAAGTATAGGAGTAGATAGCAGCCTTGTGAGGGCGAACCAGAGGGAAAAACTAGGGCCCAAGGACCTATGAACCGTACCTCTACCTTGGCCCGACCTTGTTCTCCTGATTCGGAACCGAAATTCACAACTGGCAAGTCATATCTGATGCCATAGCGGTTGCCAATGGAAAGAAAGCCCTCGAGACTTGTTCACAGAGCGGAACACGGAACGGGAGCATTCTTCTTTTTCTATTGGATGTGCGTTCCGTCGCACGCCGAAAGGGGAGCTCGGTTCGCGTTGTGCTTACGATTGACCGGTCACGACTCGCGAGGCAGCATGATCTCACGACCTGCTCCCTTCTTTTGTCGAGACTCAAGGGGACGGGGCCAAGTGTAAGGACTGAATGAGCGCTGTTCGTGATCAATCGATTCATTAGAAAACCCGCCGTGTATCCTCGGCGATGGCTGGCAGCCCGCCATCCCATATCGCCTTTCTTGAACCCATCCAAGCATGTAAATACAGCAGAAAGCCGGCACTGGCAGCGCGTGGCTCGGTCATTATACAAAGGGAACAGCCCACTCCCCAGAAGAACGAATGCTGGCCATCCCGATTCCTATACAACCCCCTTTCATGCGGTGTTTGCACGTCCTGTAGTTGTTCATGTCGTGCCTCCGTACATGTAACTCCTCATCAATCAAAAGTACACTGGCCCGGGAGGGGGTAGCCTCGCCCCATCCGCTGTATTTGAATTTCGTTTGACAAACAAGCAAAGCGGTTTCATCAGATATCACCCTCGACAACCTGTGCATTCCAGTCCTTTCTGATCTCCAGCTCCGTCAGCTCATCAGTCTTCTCAATGACCAGGCCCTTCTCGTTGGCCAGATGCAGCAGACAGATAAAGCAGAAGCTGGTCGAGATGTCATCCATCACTGGCTTGGAGTAGACCTTCTGCAGGCCGTTCATGACATCCGTAAACTTGAGCGTTGGGTTCTCCGCCGAAGGTGGTGGAGGCTCCGTGCTGCCTTCCTCTGTTGCAGACGGCGGTGGCACCTAAGCGATATGTTAATAAGTCTGCTGAAGTCAAATTTGATGGAACGGGGATGGACTTACCGAGTCGAGCTTCTCCATGTCCATCCCTTTCCAGAGCTCCTCCTTTAGCCTCCTGACGTCTACCTTCTTTGCTACCCTCGCGTAGTTGACGTACTCAGGCCGCACCCGCCTGTTCTGGGTCACCAACATAGTACCAAACGCCAGGTCTGCGGGGTTAGTAACCGTGAGACCATTGAAAGCGCCCGTAGCACCGATGGTCTCCATGGCCCTCTCCGGCGAGAATTGCTCACGCGCGTCGGCGAACTCATCAATGTCATCGTCATCATCGAGACCTCCAGCGAAGGGCAGGCCGTCATCCTGGAAGAAATTTGCGTCGTAGTCGCCCTGTGGAAGCCCCATATCCTGATCGCCGTCCTCAATGCTCTGCATTGGCGCCTTCTGTCGTGCCCAGAATGCCTCATCCATCTCGCCTTCAGGCACATTCGGGTTGGCGTCCGCGTTGCCGAAGACGCCATGCCGCTTGCCAAAGTTCCGCCGGCGACTCATGCGGGCTTTTGGCTTCAGGAAAAGGCTAAGTAGTTGTTTCGAGTTGAAATGCTTGTCATCGGGAAGGAGATTCCTCGTCTTGGACTTCCAATCCTTCTTGGGTAATGAAATTGCGGCATTGGAGGACGCTTGAGTGTAGAGCACGTCGGCAAGGGGAGCATCGAGAGGAGACATGAAGTCAATCTCGAATGGCTCCTTCTCCTTGCGTTGCTTGCTTTGCACCGGCTTGTTGACATCCTTGATCTTTCTTATCCGCCAGTGCTCGGCACTCGTCCAGTTCTTCTGCAGTGCTTGGTCGAAGTATGCCAGGATGTCTTCGTGCATCTTGTCTGGTTTTTGCGCATGCATCAAAGAGACGTTGAAGTCGTCATTCCCATCGTTGTCCATCATATCAACTTCGTCGCCCTCTTCGGCGCCATCGTCGCCGAGTCCGGCATCGAAGACACGCATTTGCGGCTCCAGGGCGGCTTCTTTCGCCCAGGCCTCACCACCTTCGCCAAAAGCGACATCGCCTCCCATGGAGAAATTGCCGAGGCCTTCATCGTCATCGAACCCGAGAGCGTTGTCGTCGATGTCCATGCCGGTCTTGTTGCCATATCCAGCCTCGTCTGCGCCTCCCTCTTGCTCTTGTCGCCAGTCATCAGGAGCTCGCAGGAAGGGGATATCAAGTGACCCAGATGGGTCTCCGATGTCGAAGGTCTTGAGCGAAGGACAGACATCCAGCTCGTCCAGGCGCGCCATATCAGGGAAGAACCGTGCCGCAAGAGGGCCCAGATCAATCTCGATATCTTCGTCTTCTTCCTGTTCTTCGATGGTCTTCATGGTGACATCCTCCAACTCCTCTTCCTCTTCCCCATCTTCGACATCGTCGTCTTCACCATCTTCTTCGCCCTCGCCCTGTCTCTTTCGCTTCTTTTTGGTCTCAGAAGTGGCCACCGAGTCATCACTACTGTCGAAGACGATTCGTCCCTTGGAGTCAATCATCAGATGATTAAGTAGAAGACCCTTTGCTCCACCCTCGTCGAAATCTGCCGAGGCCTTCTTGAACAAGGGATCTACTGCAAACTCCAATTCGAACTTCTTGAGCTGCAATGAAGCAAAAGAAGGCGCCAATGTTGCCTCGGACGATCGCTGAGCCTGTTTGGGAGTTCAGTCATACATACAGTGGAAGCTGGCTGTAAGTTGCATGGGCTGGTGAGCTCACCTTGCGCTTCGTCTTCTTCCGGACATTGCCATCTTCATCCAATTCCTCCTCGTCGGTCTCCTCGCCCTCGCCCTCTTCGCCGTCGCCCTTCTTCTTCTTGCTGTCTCTGCTATCGGCCAGGCCACTGAGAAGCTTGCCGGTCTCGGTAGCAACACTGTCGACTCTGCTTGTGTAGATTTTGACGCAGCCGTCTAATGTGCAACTGGCCTTTTGGAAGTTGACGCCGTCACCCTCCTTCAGCAGTGACATGTCGTGGAAATAGTCAATCAGGGCAAAGTTCCACGAGTTGGCAGCGTTGATCTTGTTGTCGGTGGCCATCTTCATCCACTCCTCAAAGTTGGCCAAGATTGGAAGACGCTTCATAGGCGTCACCGCCGTGCCCGAGACCACAACATCATCATCGTCGGCACCGGCACCTGCACCGGAACTGGTACCTGGAACATCCCGTTGCCTGGGTCGAGGGGTCTTCTGTCGTTGGGGGGGCGATGCGGGCGTCTCGTTCTCGAGGTCATTCAGGTTGACACTTGCCTTTCGCAGGGGGGTTGTGGCAGCGGCCTTTAGTTTGTTGACATGGGCCTCCTGAAGGGCCTGGCGCGAGTGCAATCGGCGCGCCTTCTCCTCGGCATCGTCGTTGAGGGGGATCCTATATCGCAGGGTTTTGGCGGTGAGCCTGAGGTCCGGCCGGTGGTTTGTTTACCGTGGATAGACTTACTTGACGGGGGATTTGAAGGGGGAGTTTTGCATGGAACCAGAGGTGACTCTGCTCCCAGAGCGGCTCGTTGCGCTGCTTGCGCGGGGGTTCTGAGCAACTCGAGGCATGGTCGCGGATTGTCGTGGGTGTAGCGACTGAGGTCGTCGACGCGATGGAATCGATCGAAGTCGAACGGGGCGGTCGGTCGGTCGCAGTCTGAATTCAAACACCACTAGCGGCGGGCGGCACTGCAGCGATTTGTTGTCAGAGGAACGCGTCTGTCCCGCGGAAGCGATGCTTACCTAAGGGAAGGCGGGGCAGGCCTGGTCTCCCATGTACCTTGGCATATGGACCGTGCACGCAGATTAGTAACCCATCTCGCGGTTGTGGTGACTTGGAGAGAGTGTGACAGGCCACACACAGACCAGCTGGAGCGAGCCCGCCTGACCCGCCAGGTCCGCCACGGCTTGCCTTGGATGGTGCAACGCGAAACGGGACGGCGGTTGGAGCCCTGACTGTTCAGGCCCTCGGTCCCTCACTACCTGGGTACCTCTTCAATTCCAGACCTGAGTCTGGAGTCTGCATGGTCATGGTCAAGGTCATGGTCAAGGTCATGGTCAAGGTCATGGTCATGGATGCTTTGTCTGTCTGTCTGTCAAGCCGTACCGCAGTGCTGGGCTCCAAGGTTGGATGGATGGAAGGTCATCCCGTCCCAAAACGTCACCCTCCCGTAGTGGCCACGAATGCCTGCTCGGATCGATATTTTAGTCTCACGCAGTGCTGCTACTAGCGAGTCCCACGTTTCCCCATGTTGATGCCAATTCTGATGCCTGTGCTGTGAGAGGTTTGGGCTGCAAGAGGGAGCAAGCAAGAGCCCACTGGCCCCCCTGCGAGATAAGAGAGCTCTCAGAGACTCCGAGACGAGACGGCAAACTATGGAGAAAAGCATGGCATTTCCTCCTGGCGTCGGCAGCCGTTGACTGATTGTGCTATGGTTGTTTATTAGACATAGCACTCACTCACTGCCCGTCTGTCCCTCCGCCCCGTCCCGTCCTAACCTTTTATTACCATTGCTACTGTGTGCTGCGTAACCTGCCTTTCGTCCCCGGTCCGCCTCCTCCACCTACCAACCCCATCCACCTGCATACGTCAGTCAGTCACGGCTTCTGCATTCGGCCGGCCTGGGAAACTAGGTGCATTTCCAGAACCTGGTTTGGGTCTGTCGCGCCAGCACCGTCACCACCACTCAAACCCAATCATTCTTCTGCCCTAGACATCATAACGACTCACGACTGACTGACTGGTTGGCCTCCGTCCTTGCACCGTTGCAATTATCGCCCCTAGCATTCATTCATTAGACTACTTCATTCGCTTCATTCCTAGAATAGCCGCCACTCGACCCAGGCCACTCAGCTTTTCGCCTCCAACCTCTGGATGACACGGACGTCCCAAAAAGCCATCACTCTCCAACATCGCCAGAGCTCACGTGCACACCTGTGGATGCTCCAGGCGGCCTGATCTCGGCTTTTACAGCCAGACCCAACATGTGCTCGCCTTGCCAGACGTTAACAGCATGGCTAAACCCAAGAATGGACGGCCACGGTACAATCCGAGGCCGTTATGCGCGACCGTCTTCCTCATGACCTTGCTGGCCACATACTCCATATTCCTCAAAGACTGGTCCTCCGATTCGACCACGCCGGCGAGTCTGTTTGCAAGGGATACCGAAGAGGTTTGCGACGATGTCCACCAGGCCCAAGACCAATGCGCCTTCGTTCGCGCAAATTGTCTCGACGAGGAACCCGGCTTGTTCTCCTATCTCACCTTCTACTTCTGTACCCTTGCCAAGGTGAAGCCTATAGCCTTTGCTCTGCTAGCCCTCTGGCTCGGCCTACTCTTCTCCACCATCGGCATCGCCGCGAGCGACTTCTTCAGCATCAACCTCAGCACCATCGCCAGTGTCCTTGGCCTGCCGGAGAGCCTGGCTGGTGTCACCTTTTTGGCCTTTGGGAATGGTTCGCCCGACGTCTTCAGCACCTTTGCTGCCATGAACTCTAACAGCGGTAGCATGGCCATAGGCGAGCTGATAGGTGCAGCTGGCTTTATCACCGCCGTTGTTGCTGGCTCCATGGCCCTCGTCCGCGAGTTCAAGGTCAGCAGGAAGACGTTCGTGCGCGACATTGTCTTCTTCATCCTTTCCGTGAGCTTCACCATGGTGTTCCTCACCGATGGTAAGATGCATCTTTGGGAGTGTGCCTTCATGATCGCATTCTACGCCTTCTACGTCTGTTTTGTGTTTGGGTGGCATCTGTTTTCCTCAAGAAGGCAGAAGTGGCGCACGAAGCAGGCAATGGCCCACAACCATTACTCGGGTGCTTCTGTTCATGCTGGGGACGAGATTGAGCCTTACCATGATGATCCTGGCGATGACGATGATGATGAAAGGGTGGGATCACGCAGGGCGTCCAGCCACCTGCCGGACATCAGCGCTTTGGAGAACGGCCCCCGGATCAACTCCGACGGGTCGTCGCGGGACGACGACGACGACGAGCAGAAGCGACATATCGCATCCGAGATGACGAGCAGCATGCGTGTCAACCGTCCTCGCGGCAGAAGAAGCCACACTACAATCACTCCTATCCGGCCGAGCTTGGTGGGTGCACTCGAGTTCAGGTCCATATTATCCTCCTTGCAGAGGTCTCGGAATATGCGTATGGCCCCATTGACTAGAGGCTACTCTGACTACAACTCTGCAGGCCTCTTGGCTCGGAGGAGTTCAGATCTGTTACAATTTGAAGCACACAACGACGACGCAGCAACAACGACACAACCGTCACTGACAAGGGACAGAGCGTTGTCATCTGGAGATGCACCCCGTAACTTTCAGAATGAAGACATATTATCGCCACCGCTGCTCAAGACTGACCCGACGGCGGATGAGACATCCCACCAGTCTGGAGCTGCGGCGCAAGGGCATGCAACCAGGAGCCCTTCGATGGCAACTACACATACGAGCCTGCTCATGCCAGGGGACCAACGTGCGGCTGGCGACAGCGGAAGGGAAAGAATGTCTAGCCCTGCAGTTACAATTACAAGAGATGGCCGTCTTGCTCCGCCCGATATCCACCAGCGGGTGCCCGCACAGTCTCCAGAGCTGGTCCCAGAACAGTCGGAGCCCACAAGGACCAAGGCTTCCACCCCGGCGCTATCTTTAAAGATACCGAGCCCAAATTTAGGCCCAAGTCAAGCATCCTCGCCATCTCTGTCGCCTTTTCCTGGCTACCACGACTCGCCTGTGCAAGACGGCCGACGGTCTCCCCATCGGGGGCGGTCACATTCGTTGCTGCTACCACATTCGGCCCTGGAGGACGACCATATCCCGGGCCTTGACCTTCCTGAATCACCAAGACCCGTAAGGTGGTGGCCTTATAACATTTTGCCGCCGCCGCATGTTCTGTGGCGGACCATGTTGCCAACCTTGCAGGGTTGGCGAGAAAAAAGCATTTGGGACAAGCTGTTCAGCGTCTTCTCGACACCAACGGTCTTCTTCCTAGTCGCTACGCTGCCAGTTGTCGAGACTGAGGACCACTGTGACGACTTACCGGCAGAGGATGGTCTGCAGTCGTCGCAGATTCCCAGTGGCTTGGGTCTCAACCCTCCTGCTATCGCAGTAGAAAATCAAACCGCGATACAACCGGAGACCGAGTGGCAGGAATACCGCAGACGCGCACGGTCCACAAGGTCTCGGTCGTCAAGTGCTTCACGATACGCCCTGAGCGTTGGTATCACTCCTGAACTGGAAAATCATCAAGAGTTTCCAGACCTTCGACCTCCGCCAAGCCCGCAGACTGGGCAGCCAATGTCGGTATCAGGACTGGGTTCGGAGCCCACGACATTGGATGACGAGTCTGGCGGTTGGAACAGGTGGCTACTCGCCCTTCAACTCTTCACAGGCCCCTTGTTCACAGTGTTCATAATCTGGGCCAAGTACATGGATTCACCTGTGAAGACACTCGTCAAAATGATCCTGTACTCACTTCTGATTTCCCTCATACTTCTCGCCATACTGCTTCTTTCTACCACTCCGGACACCAAGCCACGATACCACTTCCTTTTTTGCTTCCTGGGATTCATAATCGCAATAGCGTGGATCTCGACAATTGCCGAAGAGGTTGTTGGAGTCCTCAAAGCGGTTGGCGTCATTCTCGGTATATCCGAGGCAATCCTCGGCTTGACGGTGTTCGCCGTGGGTAACTCGGTCGGTGACCTGGTTGCCGATATCACGGTCGCACGTCTAGGTTATCCTGTCATGGCTTTGTACGTCGCTTTCCCGTCCTTGGCTGCGCCTCATCCCGCCAAGTTCCTTGCTAACAGATCCCAGGTCTGCCTGCTTCGGCGGCCCCATGCTGAACATCCTCCTTGGCATCGGACTCGGAGGAACGTATATGAGCATCAAGGGCGCCAAGCACCATCACAAGAAGCACCCGGATGAGCCCCTTCACTACAAGTCCTACCACATCGAGGTCACGGGCACCTTGTTCATATCCGCCATCACGGTGTTGCTGACGCTTGTCATGCTCCTCATCCTGGTCCCGACCAACAAGTGGATGATGACCAGGAAGATCGGAATCACTTTGATAACGCTGTGGACTGTGAGCACCATTGTCAACGTCATAGTTGAAGTGACGGGAGTCTGGTCAGCTGTGGCTTGACGGGTGTAAAGCAAGCGCGAATAGAAATAGTTTCAAGTACTGTATTCATTCGGTCTCAACTACACATCAAGGAGTTGGATCAGGGTTTGGGTTGTATCATAGATCGTGCCTGCCTTCTTGTGTGTACCCAACCAAGCGCATGTACATTCATAGCACAATACAAGCTTCTTTGACGTTGAATGATGATGTTTGCAAGGTGAGCATGGCCCGTCACAAGTTGAAGTGGTTTAGTGCACGGTATTTAGAGCATACATGAATATTGCATGCCCAGCTCTATTGACTTGTGACAGACGAATAGTGAGACGGCGCTCTACGCCGCTACACTATGGAGCAGGGAACCAAAATGTCAGAATTTTCCAGAACACTCTGGACAATGCAGTGCAGCATATAAAGCTGCGCCGTCACAAATAGCCAGTATAGAGCTGGAAAGCTGGTACCTCAGTATGAGTAACAGGTCATTTATACAGTGCATCAGTCTTCATATAGACCAACACTATGTATAGAGTCACACAAACACACACGTGTATATACATGTATATATGTAGACTCACACATAGAGATGCTTCCACACATATAGGCATGTGTGCACACAGACACAACTAACCCCTACTATATCACAAATAGTGGGATACTCGCCCTCCTTCTCAGCAACTTGGTTTGAAGCACAAGCCTTAGTGCCTTCAATTGATCGCCTTGATACAAGCCGCTGTGATATACATATTGGAGCCACTTCTCAACCTCCCCCATCCTATCCCCAATCTGTATTTCTTGTTAGTTATTGCAACTACGAAACACATTTCAAGTGTCACCAAGGAAGCAGACCAGTTGGCTCTGTCTTCTGACGGGGCAGTCGAGGCCTTGGCCACATGAGTTGAGAAAAGCGTATATGCATTTATGTCCAGTCTGGAAAGATGAAAGTCCAACTATATACAAGAAAGAAAAGCTTGGCAAGATGCAGCAGAGACATCAAGTCTATCACCTCCCTCGAGAAGAAGTCCTCTTGTCCACGTGTATATCTATGTTTCTCCCTGCCCACCCGATCCCTTTCTATGAAGCTGAGTCTATCATCTTCTTTACCTCGTCAGCGGCCGGCGCTCGGCCTCTGTCCTGCGTCTAAACCTCTCTCTCTAAGCCGCGAAGGTGGAGTTGAGCGTGCCGAACTTGATGTTGCTGTAAACGATGCTGGCGTCCGGGTGAGCTGCCTCGACGGTCTCTGGCAGGCCGGCGGCTGGGTCGCACGTTCCCCGGGCAACGCCAAGGCCGGTCTTGTCAGGGGGGTAGCTAGAATCCAACCAGTTCTGTTGAAATGTTGAGATCTGATTTATTGATAGGATGCGGCCTATAGATGAGTCAGCGTATGCCCACCTAGCTTTTATAATACGCCCACCCAGCTTTTAGCGTTAACCCACTTAGTATAAGGAAATTAGCTGCATATACTTTAAAATATAGGTATATCTTAAAAGCTAGCTTTTTAAAACTACAGCTACCCTACCATTTATATAAAGCAAATATTTTAAGTATTTTACTTTAAATACATATTTATTATATATTAATTAATACTCTTTTAAGTTATTTCTTTATACTTATTAAGGCTAATTATTAAATTAAATTACTTAAAATTATTAATAAAAGTATTATTAAAATAATAAATTATTTTATTTATATAAAATATAAAGGTAAATAAGCTTTATTGCTAATATTATTAGCAATTATTAAGTAGGCAAAAACCCTACTTAATATTAATAGGTAAATGTTAATAAGCTAGGTTATATAACATTCTTTTTAATTAAGAAAGGGTAATAAAGATTTATTTATAAAGCGGCAAAATTCTTTTCTTAGGAATATTTAAACCCTTAACCTCCTACCTTTCTTTCATTTCTTTTCTCTTTTTTATACCTTTTGCCCTTTATTTTAATTTTATAAATACGCAGATTAAATCGCATTAATTAATGCTAACTACTTAAAGATTAAGAAAGTATAAAACAATAATATAGGCCTTAAAAAAGCAAAGGCCATGGCCATAAAGCCTAAAGGTTAAAAGGCAATATTGCGCTTAAGCCATCACTTAAAAAACACTATGCTTAATAAGCTAGCTAAGGATTTTAATATAGAATTATTAATGCCTTTAAGTTAGGGCTATACAAATATTAAGATTAGCAGCTATAATAATAGCATAAGCCGTAATGGCAGTATAAGCCGTGGTTAAAGTAGCATTATAGCTTTTAATCTACTTAATAAATAGCTTTAAGGAAAGAGCAAGTTAGCCGCTTAGCCACCCCTTAAGGCTAATAAGTTTAAGCTTATGCCCTTCTTAAAAGCTTTTAAGAAACTAGCTAAGGTATTGAAATTTAAGAAATCGGCTTAATTAATTAGCGCTTTAAATAGCGAATTAGCTAAGGATAATAGCATTTTATAATTTAAAGCATTTTATAATAATAGTAACCTCTTTATTATTATAGCTTTATTAAGCTTATTTAAATATCTTAAGGTTTTTATTAAGAAAATGGAAGTTAATCTTGTTAAGGAAAAGGTTTAATTAATAAAGTATAACTTACCCTTAAATTATAGCTTTTTACTTATTTATAAGATTAAAAATAAAAATAATAAAGTAATTTGCTTAATTTAATAAGATTTTAAGAATAACGCTATAAAATTTATTAAATTTAAGCCTTAAATACCCTTAAATGCAAATATTACGCAAAATTAAGGATAAGTTAAAAAGTAATACCACTAAGTTACGCTTTTTTACCCTTTAATAATTATTAAAATAAATATTATAAAACTTAATAAAATTCTTAGCCTTAAGATTATAAAGCATATTTATAAGCATTAAATAATAATAAATAAAATAAAATAAGAATAATGCTTAGCTAATTTAATTCTTAAGTTAGCATTAATTAATATAAATTTAAAATTATTAAATAAGATAACTTTAAGTTTCCCTTATTAACACTTATTATTATTTATTTAACCTTATATTAAATAATTAGCATTAATTAATATAACTTTTATTATAATAATTTATATTAATTAATATTAACTCTTATTTTAACTTTCCCCCCTTTTCTTAAAGATTTATATAAGTTATTATACTTATATACTTATATTAATTAATGCCAACTTTATACTAACCTTTTTTAATATTTATTGCATAAGTTAATAATATTATAGCATTTACCTTCTTTAATATTATTACTTAAGCTAAGAAATTAAGCTTTTAAGGTTACTTATTTATTTAACTTAACGTTAGCAAATAATTTAATAAGCTTATAAGGAGTTTTAATTAATTATAGCAGCGCGTTATTTTTTAACTTATTATTAATAACCCCTTATAACTTATTTTAATTATTTAAAATAATAACTTAAGCATAATATCCTAGCTAAAAAGCATTAATATTAATATAATTGCTAACTTTATAGTTTTATAATATCTTATATATTGCCTTATTAATATTAAATTAAGCGCTATTAAAATTAAGCAATATAAGTAATATAAACTTAATAAAGAGTATTTATATAAGTTTTTATATAATAACTTATTTTATAAGGTTGCTTATTATAATAATTATATTATATAATAATTTATATTCATTAAGATAAGGAAAAAAAAAGTAAGTAATTTACTTTTATTAAAGATCCTGCTTAATAAAAAGATAGTTATTTATAAGTTTACTTATATTAAGGCTTAGCATTATAATAAATATCTTATTAATAATATAAATAATATAATAAAAGTTATTTTTATTAATAAGGCTTAAAAGGTAATTATAACTATAATAATATAAGTATATACCTTATAAAAATAATATATAAAAGCTAAGGCAAAGTTATATTTAAAGAAGGGTTTTGCTAAGAATAAGATTAAGAATAAGCAGGTTAATATAAATTAAGTTTTTATAAATTTATATAAGCATATAAGCTTTCTTACTTATATTAATATATATAATATCCTTAGCTAAGAATTTAGCATTAATTATAAGATAGCTTATTATAAAAATATTATAAATACCATAAATTACCTTCCTTTTATTAATTACTAAATTATTATAGCTTTTATTAAAGAGATTTATATAAAAGGTTTGCTTATATAGCTAAGGATTACTTTTATTTAAGGTAAGAATATTTTTAAGAAGTTTAAAGTAATGCTTTTAAGTTATAATAGCATTTAGCAATATATAGCTATAAAAAAGTAAGAAGGTAAGGTATTGCAATAAATAATTAATAAGGGCACCTTACTTATAAATAATTAAGTAAATAAATAATATTATAAAAATCTTAAGTAATGCCATATCTTATTTATGCTTATATTAAGTTAACTCTTTATAGTTATTAATTTTATTAAAGCCTTAAAATTTTTAAAATAATATAAGCTAAATGTTAAAGGTAATGTAAAATATATTAATTTATATATTAATTAGCATAATAACGCTAATAATAACTTAATTAACTTACATAATATTAATTTTATAACAGCCTAAGTTATTAATAAGTTAAATAAGCTAAGTTAGTATTAATTAATATAAAGTTATGCCTTTACTTTATATTAATTAATATTAATTTAACTTATAAGCCCCTTATTTATATATTAATTAATAAGGGTTTTATAAATATTATTATTATATATTAAATAGTAAATAGCTTATTAAGAGGTATTTTTCTTGCTAATAAGGTAGATATAAGCAAGATATTAATTATACTTTTAAAGTAATATTTCTGCTTTTTAAAGCATAAGGCTAAGCTTAAGGCGGCTAGCTTATTTATATTTAATAATGCTATTAAAGAAGGCTTTAATAAAATATAACTTATTATAATATGAGCGCTTATTAACGTTATTAAGCAGCATTTTAATAAAATTTATAAGTATTTTTTAGCTAATACTTTTAATATAAAAGTTTTCTATAAATTAAGGAATAATATTAATTATAAGCTTGCCTTGCAAGTAGCTATAATGATAATTAAGAAGCTTTTTATTTAAATAAAAGTAACTATAAAGCATAGCA